CCGCGACAAAAACCTTCGGGCGCTCTCGAGTCCGGACGCTTCTTGTCCCCTGATGCCCGTATAGAAGTTGCGACTGCTCTGTTGTTGTTGTTTTGCGCTTTTGACGACTAACGGCCGAACCCCCATATCACCACCTCAAGCCGTCGACGCTGCCCACCACCCGCTGTCGACCGCCCACCGCCCACACTGCCCACTGAGCCGGCACTGCACCAGCCGAGCCCACACCCCCTCACGACAGCCTCGTTGCCGACCAATCCACCGCCGAACACGCACCCTCGCCGCGACGCCCCAAAGTGGCCACGGCCAAACCCAATGGCCGCCCTGAAGAGCGATGCACTTGGCCGCGCTGCGAAGGCGTCCCCACCAGACCCCTCGTCGCCCCTGGCCCGCATGATGCGCGAATTTGAGGAGCTGGTCAAGACTTTTGAGGAGGGTTTGCTGCGTTCTCTTGAGGACGGCGAGCACAAGGACCACCGCCCGGAACACGTCCATCGTGAGGCCTGCAGGCTGGCCATCTCCGACCTCAGTAGCAAGTACACACCAAAGTACATCCGTCGGTCCCTGAATGCCGCCGAATCCGAGGGCAAGCGCGTAGAGGACCAGCTGCAAAACTTGTCACTGAGCCCCGACACCGACACCGACGACGACGACCAAGATGGCGACGAGCACCTGGGCAGTCTGCACAATGGCTACTTCCGCCTCTACTCGAGCGAGCTGTTTGATCTCCTGGGCGAGCCCACCGACCTGCGCTTCGGCACCCTGCGCTTTCACAAAAACTCGCCGCCCAGTCCCCTGCCCGAGACCTCCTCGCCCCAGTCACCCTGGGTCACCGTCGAGCTCGCCCTCAACGACTCCTTCTTCGTCGCCGACTCCATGGAGACATTGCCCTACCACACGTTCCGTCTGCCCACCACCCCCTCTTTACGGAACTGCGGCATACTCAGCAGGAAGCCCGAGGACCCGGGCTTTCCCGAATTCGACTCGTGGCTGCTCTTCACCTTTCTCGGCAACGGCTGCATCAAGCTCGAGGTGCCCATTGAAATGTGCGCAGACATCTACGGTGGTAACCTGTGCGGACGCGAGAACGAGGAAGTGCTATTCTGGGGTATCTTTGTCGACGACGACGAGTGACAGCGTAACATTCATTTGCTTGGGCCGGAGTTGACATCAAGAAGCTAGACAGGGCTTTGGCATTGGAGTTGGGCGCAAGTGGACTGGCCAGGTTGGCCGCCGAGACGTGCTTGGGCATGCATTCATGATTCACGAATTTCCTTCCTTCATTCCCAACTTCTTCTCATCTACCCTGCGGGGCTTACGTCTTTACACTTTTAGGCCGACATTCCTTCGCATCTATACTTTTTTGCTTCGTATGCTTGGGCGGCATTGTGCATAGCATTTAACATTTATACTCTTCAAAAGCCGGAAAACGAAGTAGATCATAGAGCGCATGAACGCGACGCAACATTTGGTACTCGATAATACACACTGGCCGACCAACTACATGCGCCGGTGAAATGTTTTGCCGACCGAGCCCTTGCCTCTTGCCTTTTCCAATTTCTAGTCCAACACTTTTGCACTTGCTCCGCTACCCTACCCAGCCAGTCCTCATATAAAACTGACGCCCGCTTCGCCCTTGCAGACAGACAGCCCGCCATGTCAACAACAATAGCAAACACTGGTTTCAGGCTGGGCGACGAGCAACAATTTTCAGATGCAAGCGACAGCGACCAATCACAAGCCAGCCGGCGGAGCCTCTCGCCATCGCGAACCAACGGTCAGGGACCGGTACCCGCGCCAAAGTCGAAGAAAAAGAAGCAAAAGGAACGACGCAAAATGGGCGCACTGGCAGACGAACTAGTCGACGTCCTAGGTGATGCCTTTTCGGCAAACAGCGCCGATCCCAAACCGCAAACCGGTACGTCACGCGCCGGACCTTAGCGGCACCTGAGTGACATGAAATACGATACCCTAGTGTGCAAAAGTTACTGTAGGCGCCAGATACACTTATTAGGAATAGAATAGTGGGATTCCCTACACTGTCGCTGTCAAGTATTTCATGTCACTCAAGTGGCGGTTCCATCTAGGCTACCTGCAGCACATGGTTTTGCTTTTTCATGTCAGTTACTCATGACGGGCCAAATTGACACGCAGTGCAGACTCGGCTCAGCCACCATGCGGCGATCAGAGCATGGCGCTGGATCCTGAACCTGCAGGAAAAAAGATGAGTAAGTACACTTTCCCCTCTCCTCACCGCATCCCCATGGTAGTCTCACCCTTTTCCCATGTGATAATGCCCGTAAGGCCGAGAACTGCATACCTTGCTAATACACATGCAGGCAAACGCACTCGTCAGAATCTCGCCAAGATGCAGGCTCGCAAAGAGAGGAATCTGGCTAACCCGACCATGAAAGATATCGGGGAAGACAAGACGCTTCAGGCGCAGGCTAAGGCTGCCGAGAGGAGAGGTTTGCCGCTGGACAAGTACCTCAAATTGCGCGAGTCTGGCGCCGGCAAGAACGCTATCAGGGCATCTAGGAGGAAAAAGAAGGCCGAGATCAGAGAGCAGAGAGCTGCTGCTGCTGCCGCTGCTGCCGCTGTGGGGGATGAGATGGAGATGTGTTAACCTCGGCCATGAAGAAGTGAAGCTGTTGCCAAGCTCACAAAAAGAGGACCCTCATTTGTAGACATACCTTTGTTGAGCCGTCCCTTACCGGTTAAGGAAACACGATACCCTCTCTTTCAGGCATAGTCTCTCCATGCTTGTCTCATTCAGGCTTCTCGTATCGACCAACACAACCCCCGCTAACCAAACCCACATTCCACTTCTGTCACCAAACCAAAGCACACAAACAAGGCATTTTCCCCCATCCGACCCTCTTTCTGGATTGCCACATCACCCCACCCCCACACCGCCACTTACCTCATGCATTCATACCCCCCCTCTCTCCCATCCTGTCTCCCCAATCTATTGCAGTTCTGTGAAGCGAAACACTAGTACATCCGTTCTCTACTAGGTACAGCCGAGAAAAAGTAAACTGGGGCGCTGAGGGGGAAAATGCGCGAGATGATATGCCTCGCATACTGCCGCATGCATACGCATATGCATATGCACGTGAACTGTCTGCATACTCGGTAGGTAGCCATGCCACATATGCATACAAACGAGCAAAGAAAAAACGAACACACATACGCATGCGGTTGTTTTTCTTGTTCCTTACTTTGAGGGGGCTGTTTTGTTTTGTTTGGCCCACGGCGTGGGGTTGGTGTGCCGTGGAAGCCGTGGAAGCCGAGGTTGTGGGCTAACTGGCTTGTTTATCCGTGGATTACTGTAGGTTGTCTGGGTGATGGGGTGGTGGATTGTTTGTTTGTGTGGTGTAGTGGTCAAGTGGGTATGCAGAGGAGGATGTTGGGTTAACACTAGTAGTGCAGTCGATAACGCAGATGTTGACCTCTTAGCATCAGGGTACAGTGTTTGATTGTTGAGATGCATCTTGTATTGCAGTATGAAGACGTGGCGGACGTGGTATGTCTGGTTGAGTGTAGAGATGGAGGGGAGAAGAAGAAACGTTAGTGAGACGACTAGAGTACAAGACCTACTAGTGGGGATGGCATGTGACATCTCAAGACGCTAAGGTTTATCAATCAAGGCAATCTTCGGAGATTATATAATCGAACCTGAACTTTCTCACTTCATGTTGGGCTTTCTGTAGTTACTGCCATGTCAAAAAAGAACGCCACACTGCCAGATAGATACAACAAACTGGACATGGAATTGAATCCCAAGAAAGTACGCTCTCACTTCAATCAAACAATAGCAGCATAATAATTAAACGTACGCGTCGAAGCACCAGATTGAGTTGATGAACAAGGCGCCATGTAAGTCTTGTAGTCCAGGACATCTGTCATCCAATTATCGGCATCGATGGACGCCATGGCATGGTTGAGGAGCGAAAGTTGGTCACTGTAAGGATATGAGTAATTATAAACCTCTTCTGTGTATCGTCCAAACGATTCCTTATTCATCTATACTGTACACCAAGGCAGAAGCCTAGATGAAGATGTACGGCAGGGAACGAGGCGGTATTACCTTTTAGCAAATCTTTGAATAAGATCTAGATCACGCTCGTGTTGACCCGCTATCGTATAGAACCAGTATTTTTCAGTCTTCCTCCACCAACGGTTTGGAAGATACGCTTCACTATGTTCTTGGTCAGCAATGTTTCTTTTTTGCATGCAGAGTAGTATCTCTACGTACAGCATGTAGTATTCATCGCGCTGGTAAGGAAACTCTAAGCTCGGCGGCCCATGTTTAGACAGAAATGCATCGGTCTCAGTGGCGACCTCAGCCTCGGTCATCTCAACATGCACACGCTTATTACCCCTGTTCTTCGAGTGTCTTCGTATAGACCGTACGGTACTTTCGAGATGTAGGTCCAGGATAGAGGCGTGCCATAAAGAGTTCTCGATGGCTTTGCGTGCTATACGAGCGTTCCGTGCTACAAGCTCTTTATTCCATTCTGGTGCCTCCCCTCGCGGGATTATAGGTATCGGTGTGCCGCTATCAAGGTGCTGCTGCCAATGCGCAAAGTCAAGCACAAGACCCAAATTATTCCAAGTTAATATACACGTTAGACAGGTGCATAGTTGGTGTGGGTCGGGCGACTGGATGTGTTGGTATGGGCGATTGTGGATACTGAGTTGTTTCTGGCGAGCTGGATCTACCAACAGGGCCTGTACTGTGGGATCCACATCCGCGAGCAGCTTGGGTGTCGGAAGGCATTTGAAGAGGAGACTGTAGCGACCTGCAATGATGGCATCGCCAATGACATTGGCATGTGCCTCGACAAGGCTGTAGAAGCGGCGATTGACGAAGCTGAAGTTGTGGACATCGCGAGGGCGGAGATATTTGAGGCTTTCGAGGATGAGCTCCGTGGGTAACTTTGTTATGTTGACAATGGCATCGCGTTTCTGCTGTCTTGTCACATTCTTGCGCTTCATGCGCTCCGTCTTCTTGTTCCTGAGCGGCAAAGCTGCCGTCTTGTCCTCGAGTGGCTCATCGTCGTCACTTACAACGTGACGTGGCATTGTTGGAAATCGAGGCTCAATTTATCCCATGGAATATATTCCGTGAATAATCTAGATGCAAAAAGAAACAGAGAAGCTGGAATGAAGTGTGTCATCGGACAATGACGGCACATGTTGAAGTTGAGCTGCGGGGAAGAGCTGCTAGCCAATCGGAGCTCGGGAGTGTCCGCATAGCTGCTTACTAAGCAAATCTCGCCTGGACTTTTGCCACCAAATTCCGCAACCTTTTGTACATTTCAAATCTTGATCGATTCTGATTGGCCACATTGCGAGCACATCGGCCAAAGATGAATATGGCGTCATCTACCATTTCTAAGCAGCAACAGAGCATACATAAACATCATCAGATCCGGCTCAAGGCTTGCCTTGGCAGCTCCAATTTCACTCAGCGAACATGACTACCGCAAGTTTCTCTCACATCGACACAACATCCTACACGGGAAAGCCTTGGAACAAGGTTGACGGTCCTGGTGTCAGCTTTACTCAGAAATGGTACGAACGATCCGTCCACAACCTGCGAGGCCAGGAAGCCGACTTCAACACTGATAACTCCGGCTTCGCTGTGTACAACTATCCTGCAAAAGAAAAGCTTTTCACAGACGAGGAGGCAGTACAACAAGGCTACTATGCCGAGGTTGAGGCTCTACTTCGTGAGAAAATCCCTGGAATCAAGAAAGTCGTCATCTTCGACCACACAATCCGCCGAAGAGACAAGAACTCTCCACGCCAACCAGTTCAGCAAGTCCATGTCGACCAGACCCCTGGTGCGGCAGAAGCCCGTGTCCGTCGACATCTACCCGCCCATGAAGCCGAGCAATTGATCAAGGGACGCTACCAAATCATCAACGTGTGGCGTCCGATCGAAAACCCTGCGTCAGACCACCCGCTCGCCGTAATAGATTGGAGGACGACGTCGCCTTCGGACTTTGTTGCCACCGATCTGTTGCACCCCAAGCGCGCCGACTCCGTGGACGTTGATGATCGTGGCAAAGAGGTCCTTCCTGACCCCAACAGCTATACATCAACGGAAGGGTACGAGGTCAGGGGAGAGACCATGGCTGTGGCGCCCAACGATAAGCACAAGTTTTATTACGTAAAGGACATGACACTGGAAGAGGTCCTGCTGCTCAAGTGCTTTGACAGCTATGGTGAGGGAATGGAACCCAACGGGAAGAAGGGGCTGGCTGTACGGACGCCGCATACTGCATTTTCGGATCCCAACACTTCGAAGGATGCGCCTGGAAGGCAAAGTATCGAGGTTAGGTGTCTGGTGTTCTATGAATAGAGTTTGTGGCAACTAGTAACGTTGCAAGGAGTATATAGGATACGAACTCATAATCACATAATATCAAGACAAGTTCTGTTTGATAATCTGGTATATGACTAGAGAAATGGCATCGAAAAACTGCAAGCTTGTTCGTGTAGTGACGAAATTAAGATCTATGTGGTATCATCCATGACTGCAAAGCGAAAAATTCGGCCACCTCGCAAAATTAGTATAAGTAAAGCGTTTGCAAGAGCAATAACGCAATCTATCAAGCCTTGGGCTGGTGAGTCTCAGTAGACTCTAGCTCGAAAGAAGTGGTATCCTGGGGTCTCCAGAACTGCTTGTCGCCTTTCAACGCCCGGATGAACCAGGGCTGAGCGCGTGGGGAATCTGACCTGACTGTGGCAAATGTTAGTCAAATCTTCATAATTCTGCAACAGAGTATTAACTTACAGCTCCAGTATTCCTTGTTATCGTAATCGGGAGGAAGTAGGCGTCCACCAGAGATGGTAGCAAGAAACCAAGTAGTAGTGTTGATAATGGCGTAGCACATGATGCCAGCAATGAGACCATACGCGATGGAATACGAGAAAGGCATAAACATGAGTGTGACGAAGGCTGGGATCGAGTCACCGGGGTAGTTCCAGTTGATGGCCAGGACACCGCGCATCATCATGCATCCGACTAGTATGAGAGCACCACCCGTAGCCCAGGGAGGAATGGAGGCAAATATAGGGGCAAAGAAGAGAGAGATGAAGAAGCATATGCCTGTTGTGATAGCTGTTATACCTGTGCGACCGCCTTCTTGGATACCAGCCTGTAATATATATTAATATCAATATGTGCGAAGGCGGAGTGATTACTTACACCAGACTCGACGAAAGCAGTCACTGGGGACGATCCAAAAAGGGAGCCGATAGAGATGGAGATGGCATCAGCGCTATAGGCGAGGGTACTGCGGGGAAAGTCGCCAGTATCAGGGTCTACGACACCGGAAAATCGAGCCATTGAGTACAGAGTACCGGTAGCGTCGAGGATGTCGACATAAAGCATGGTGAAGACCGCCAAGATGAACTGACCTCCCACATTGGACAAATCCCAGTTCTGTGCCAGAAGTGTGTTCTGGATAGGATGGAAACCGACTACGTTCTTGAAGAAATCGAAGCGACTGTCTCCTACCAATGTGCGTGGGAAGTATGTAATGGAGGTATCACGAGGCCAAGAGAAGAACGATACCAGTGCGATGCCTACAATCATAGATCCACGGACTTTGTAAGTCATCAGCAGAGCAGTGAAGACACCGCCAACAAGGAAACCGAGCCACATGGTGGGATTTGTCGCCTTGTGCGAAAGACACATACCCGTTTCCGGGTCAAGGTATTCAGACGGGCAACCTCCCAGCTCAAGTGGGGTAGCTTTGGCCCCTGTGATGGCACCGAGTCCAGCAGAGTAGGAGAGGCCGATCAAGGTGAGGAAGAGGCCAATTCCTGCGCCACAGGCTACCTTGATGGAAGCAGGGATGATGCGAGCGAGCCATTGACGGATGCCAGTGAGCGAAAGTGCAACGAAGATGAAGCCTTCCACAAATACCGCAGTCATAGCAACACGGTAGTCGATTGGGCCGGTGCCGTGGAAACCCACCATCTGGTATGCTAGATAGGCGTTCAATCCCATGGCGGGTGCAAGCGCAACGGGCAGGTTCGCCATCATGCCCATGAGGAATGATCCAAGCGCTGCGATTGCAGCAGTTGCAGTGATAAAGTCGCGGTTGATCTCAAGGAGGCAAAGAGAATATTCTTCGTTCTTGAGGCATGTTGGGTCAACAGGGTCTTTACAGACACACGTAGCACCCGAGTCAGTGAGAACTGAGGCCTGCAATTGGTAGCTGTATTAGCCAGGAGCACCTAATATTGACGAATTGAATTGGACAGAGGCATGCTAACATTTACGGCGATGATGTAGGCCATGGTGAAAAACGTCGTCAAACCAGCCCGCAATTCAGTGGTGAATCGTGCATTCTTGATGGCATTGGCCTTCGTATGTCAGCAGATGACGACATTTCTATGCCTCGGGACCAAATACATGACCTGAAACATCGAGATGGAAGTATCTGCCAACAAAGGACGCAGCGACCTTGTCGTTCAGAGCCGCCTTGTTCCGTTCAATAACCCCCATGTTTGCGGGTAACAAAAGCAAGACGAGCGGGTAAAAAGAAAAATGACACTGGAGATTATGCAATGGCGAACGCACATGGGTCCTTCAAATATCGAGTTGCTATGCCCCAGACAAAGTCCCAGTCGACCTAACTCTAGTGCAGGGGGAAATCGCATAGTAAACGGCATGCTCGTGTCATGCAGGTGCCTGTGGCGATCCCACATGGGGATCTTGGTATCAAGGATGGGCCTACCCCCCAAATCGGGGCTGTAGTCTCTTTGAGCGAGTCGATGGCAACTGTACACCTGACACTCTGCAGGCCGGTCAATGCAGGTTGAGAACGACAAGACCTGCTTGCGTTTCATCATTTCCTGTGAGCCGTCTTCGGTAAGATACAACCGCAGACGCCACACACGAACCGTCGTTCTTGGACTATATACCAGCACTAAGATCGTCGACGGGTTCGGCTTGTGGACCACATCGTCTGGATCCACCATTGTCAGCAAAATTCTGATTGCAAATGCAAGTCTGACGAGCTTTTGCGATAAGACGTAAGAGAACTCGTGCGCAATCCTACTCCCTCACGTCGCCGATTCATCACGATGACAATGGTCTGGCCTCCTGCTGAAACCATCTCATAACGGGGAATTTTAGTGACCTGCCGTGTTTTTCGGAAAGACGCTCGGTTGGGAATAGAATAGAATCCCACTGATCCAGAACAGAGGATTCAACAGCCGATGGTGCATCGGTGGAAGGGTCAGACATGGTTACATCAGCGAGAGGGGTACCTAATTGTCGGGTCGTTACCCAAGAGATTCTAACGAGTCGTGGGAGGTCCCCGTAAACGCTTTGACGGGCGGCATCGACTGTTGTCTATCGCTGATTTGCCGGGATGCGGGAATTCTCGTCAAATGGCAAAAGCAGCCGCACAGGTGGCGTCAACAGACTTTATGAAATGCGCCGGCTACACGTGTTGAACGAGGTTAGCACCATGTCTGCAAGAAATCTCTGACGATCAAAAAGGAACTTGCCACGGACGTTGTTGAGGATGTCATTCACAGCCCCTCCAGTTTGCTCGTGGCATATCCAAGCAACTGGATGGTGGGAAGAAATCGTGTCGATCTCCATCTCCACTGCCAACTACTTACATATGTGCGTAGACTGGCGGCTTCGGCACTATGTCGGCGGGACCCGCCCGAGTAGGCCTAACTCGTAAGGCGTCCAACAACGCAACGCATTCCGGCCTTCCACGAGCCCCACGGATATCAAACACGAAGCCACTATGAGCGCTAGTCGGAACAGTTGGCGGGATGGAGAGTCATTCCCGCGTAGGCCTGTTCATGGCATATGGTAGATGTCAGGCCACATGTGATGGTTAAAAAGTAAGTATTGTCGATCAAAGACGCCCCGCTGGGAACGTATAGCTTTCCCTATTGAGATGAATACCATGTTTCCGACCTTTGACGTTCCTCCTCAGCACTCCGAGACCGTAGGAGCTCGCAAAGCAAGAAGAGCGAAACAAGAGGAAACTGCTCGACGATCTTCCACAGCAACCTCGCGCTCCTCGGGAAGTGCGAATAGCACAGCCAGCAAACGTCAAGATGGAGCAAGTTCATCAGACTCCAGGACCGAAGGAAAGAGCGGGTTTGGAGGCTGGTTTGGAAAAAATAGCAAGAAAGGCATCCAGGAGATCTCACCGCTAGCGAATGACAAACCCACATCGCATCCAAAAGACCTGATGATAGAATTGGATACGCCACCTGACGAAGGACCAGCACCACGGACTGCTCCCTTGGATACAGATGAACATGTGTTTCGAAGACCACAGTCACATCATTCTGAACGGGAACCTTTTGCTATTCCGCCGCAGCGTCTCGCTCCACCTTTGACTCCGCTGCCTACTCCTCCTGCGACTCGTTACAGCCCGTTTCCCATGTCAGGTACGTGTTTTCCCCTGTAGAAACTCTTAGAATATGGATATTATGCTCATGGAAAGTGCAGATAGAGCATCCCAGTACTCCACACAGTCGCGCTCATCATCGAACCCGGCCAGTGTTGCTCAATCAAACAACAGTGTCTTCTCGGGCTCGTCTGGCTACGAGACAGCTCTCTCAGAAGACAGTCATCATGATCCTCGCTATTCTGTTACATCACCCAAGCATCATCGGCTCAATGAGGCGCCAGTGTTTGAGCCAGTGGAACGGGGCTCCCGGACTGGAAGTAGACATAGCAGTGAACGCGACCAAAGTACCAAAGCAGCCCAATCACCATTCGCTCGCGCTTTGTCGAAGATGCAGAGTGCTAGCACGCGCATAATCTCCACACGTTTGAGTGAAGAATGGGATGGCTTGGAGGATGATGACAGCTATCAAGAGATAGTGTTTGAGAAACGGCTATGGGCACTTACAGCATATCAACGCCTAACCCAAAATAAGCCCCTACAGTCGCCTGCCCACGAATTGCTTAGTGATAGTCGGCCGGAGGATCAGAGAAGAATATTGCATATACATGGGTCTTTAGGTTTGTCTACACTGCATCTTCAAACCACCAGTTGATACTGACTACTGCTGTAGCTGATGGCTGGGTGCTTGCAAGTCGCTACCCCATGGCAACCGTATACACACTATCTTCGATCAAGAGTCACCCTGTCACACAATATTCTGCACCTCTGAATCATCACTTACTTTATGCGCCTTCACTTTCGTCACCAACGCCCTTTCCAGATGGCTATTTCGACGCCATAATCTCACGCTCCGTTGCAACCAGTCTTCGACACGATGAATGGGCACAGTCTTTTTTTGACAGCATGCGAATACTCAAGCCAGGCGGGCATATTGAGATACTCGCAGTGGATGCGCACATGAGCCGCGAAGGGCCCAAGTTGTCAGCATGGGTTGACGAGCACTTATCATGCAGATTGGAGGCACAAGGCGTGAGCAAGCAACCTTCAGACACGGTATTAGATACTATGGAGATTGTAGGGTTGGAAAATATCCGTCGCGCGCGTATAGCACTTCCAGCGCAACCACCCAAGGCCATGGCCAAGGTCGCACCTGCTCAGTCACATACCTTTGGTACCACCATACCAGCCCCCACACCCCAAGATACCCTAGATACGTCAAGAATGATGGCTTTCTTGGGTCGTCTCATGTATCAAGGCTCATACAACAATTATATGCACGCAGAGCAGGGCGATGAGTGGTTCTGGTCGCGCAAGGACATTCGAGAAGAGTGCGATCACTACAAGACGAAGTTGGTGCTTACTATCGCATGCGCTCAGAAACCTTATGATGGACACGGCATGGAGACTTATCTGGACATTTAAATATGAGGATCAAACGATCATCACAACATCGAACTAGAATGTTTTCACTGTCATTCAAATCCTCTCGTGTAGTCAGGCGCAGGCAATGCGCAGAACCTCGCTTCTGCCAAAGCAATACCCCTCAGGCTAACTAGTGACGGCGCCGCCAAAGTTCGGTCGACGCATGGAAGATTGTATGGAATCCAGGTAAAGGCAGAGGCGCTCGCTTCGGCTTTCTCTCCTTCCCTCCCATTCCAAGCTTCGTTCACTAGACCCACTTTAACACGCGCGCCCTCCAATTACAAAGCGCCCACGTCAAGAGGCAACTACGCCTTCATGTCAAAATCAACTCAACTCTCAAACGAAACAGCTCCACAAGAAGAATCTGCTAATTACCAGGAACGCCAACCTAACACCAATATGACTTCCTCACAAGCACCTCCAGGTCATGGACAGATTGGCAAGATTATCGAAGGTAATTGACTTCCATTCATGAAACAATACAAGACGCAAGCCCACCATAAATTGCACTCCAGATATGGAGGAGATGCTCCCTTCAGAATCCATCGACCGTGCCGACTACAGACGCTGCCGCACCACCTACGGCGCTCTATCGATGACATACAAGCGCGCCAACGACTCCAACGACCCAGCCAAAGAATACAAACAACTCCAGGAAATTGAAAAGGTCCTCCGCGAGCGTCTCACAAACCTTGATCCCACTAGAGGACTTCCGCGCAAATTCCAGGACCCTCTCGATCGACTTCGGGCCGGTATTGAACATGCACTCAACACGGGCGTTACTGTCGACTTTCTCATCCAGGGTATGAAGGATATGCTAGAAGAAAAGCCAGATGCTACACCAGCTCCGAAACCCGAGCCTATCAAGATGGTTTCTGGAGCTAGGTACAAGGCAGTGGTTGACGCGCTTGCGGCCGAGAAAGATAAGAACCGCAAACTCAACGAGGAGAACAATCGGCTTGCCATACTACTTAAACAACATGAAATGCGCGATCGATCGGGCACCGGTGAGCCGCCTTTAAAGAAGCGACGTCATTAAAGCAGACTGCTGACTTGGTCCGAATAGTGGCTGCGAAGCCGCCTATTACTCCAAGGAAGTCGCTGCGGATTGAGCAGCAAAAGCAGCAGGATTTGGATGTGCCGGATGGGTATGATCGTGAATCGCGTAGGCTGGGCGAGTGATGTACGCTTGCGTGTGTGGGCAGGGATGTTATCTAAAAGGGTTCTTTCTGAATGGTTTGGTGATCCGGGGGTTAACTTGGGATGCAACATGTGCGTCATATGATCTGGAAATATAACACCAATCCATGATCCGTTATATACAAAAGAATCTATGAAGTCTGCATCGTCAGGTAGATGTCTGTGGTGGGTGACTAGCTGACATCTTGAGCAGACACGTGAGGGGTGTCTAGTATGCTCTGGAAAGGGTGATTTGCATCGTGCTCTTCATCGAGCTTTAGTTCCTAGCTTGCACGATCCCGTCGATGCGAAAAATAAAATGGATGTTTTTCTTACTTGTAATTATCCACCGTGTCTCCTGATTTACTTGACAAAACCATACGCCACATTTGGACTATTTGTTCCCTCATTCTGCCTAGCGCACATCAACATCCAACCGCCCCATCGTGTTCACACTCACTTCTTATCTAGCCTGTTGTGTTCCGCATAGCTTCCATCTCGCATGCCGCAAACATGCCAGGATCGATCCAAATAGCATTCTAGGCTGCTCGTCCGCCGTGCTATCGTCCGTATCGTCGTCGTCGCTCGGGTCGTTGTCAATTGCCCAATAACAATCTTTCAAACAGAAATCCCGGATGTTAAAGGCTACCTCAGGGGCACGGAGATCGACAATAGGGAATTCGTTTCTGACAAGCCGATTGCAGCCCTATGTCTGCAGATGACCCCACCATTGTGCTTCCTGTCGCATATGAGAGAGCAGAAGCGTTTCCCATCGAAGAGGTCTGTATACGAGGGTTTTGGTATGGGTAGCACACCCTAAACGACCCGGCCACACCCTGTGGCTTGACAGATGATAGTCATGTTGGAGAACACAAGTCACAAAGCGGAGCGTAGAGTCTAGCTTTCAACGTGATGAATCTGACACTGGAACGTGCTCGTCTCGTATCTTCAGAAGATGCTTGTCGGAAAAAATGTGAACGCAGTAGAAGGGGTTGATAAGGAGTACGTTGACTTTGCTTAGAAATCGCTGATTGCCGTGGAGAAATACGTTCGACGAAAGGATAAAAGGAAGTCGTACATGTTTCCACGCCTTTTCGACGTGGTACTGTGTTCTCTGGGCTGTTGATGTTGTTTGCTTAATCAGTGATGGAGCAAGTCATGCATAACGATAATAAGTGTTGTCCGTGGCATATACGTAAAGTGCATACGTATGGACGGCGAAGGACTTGTCAACGGCGCAATGTTTACATGTCATACTAACATCGAAAATGCTTGCCAACTTGTGGTTGTGGTCGTGGTTGCCGGCAGTGAGAATGGAGGAAGCTGGGACTTATACTGAAACAACCCGAATATGCCTGGGCATACAAAAGACACGTGACATAACTCCAAAGTGAAGACAGTGATGATCGTGAGTCGTAAATTGACAAGACGTATCTTAACCTGACGCGTGAAAAAAGCAATGAACATGTCAGTTTCACATCTAGATGTCTCCCTTGATGGCAATGTTGAGCTATTACACCGATCGCAGGCCTCTTGCATGTCTGCCAACCAATCGCCATGGACTGCAGCGTGGCGTTGCATGTGGCGTAGTCAATAATCATATTGCTTTTGAGCCACAACCGCCAAAGAGAGAAGGTTGCACTCAATGCACGCAGACCATCGACCGATGTTGTCGGCTGCTCAGAGGAAATTTGCCATGGTGGATGGCGAGGCGGGTACCAAACATGTGCCTGACGATCGATGTTCAGCTACCGGACGCTCCCTGAATCGATGTAGGGTAGTACCAAGCAAAGGAGGCGTAATGCACATGGCAAACAAGGACTGGCGTGCAATGACGCACTGCAACAGTGGCTGAGAAGGAAGGGGGCACCGTTGCAGGAGTGCAGGAGGAAGTTGGCGGCGCCATCAGCTTGGGCGTGGCTGACCATGTGACAGGCCAGCAGTCGGGACTCATGCTATTCGCTACTCGCCGTGGCCGAGATGGTCATCAACGGCGGAGTACGGGTGGCTATCTCACTGGTGTATACCTAGAACCAACTCACAGCTCAGATGGTGGTGGTCACTAGACACAGGGCATTCGTGCGGTGCGAGCCATGGAGGGATCTGCCCGGCCAAGACAATGGCGTAGAGGGCAGCGTCTCCAGGAAGAATACTCGGCCGTGTTTGGTGTCTCAATGGTAGGCTGGCGATGAAGGAGAGCGGTAGTGGGCATGGCGCATTCGCTGCGCCACCACAACCGGCTCAATGCTTGACTTGTCTAGCCTGTCACGGTTCTGGGCGGAACTGGCGCGCGCACGTCGCAATTCGCACTCTCTGCAAGTTGCTGGAGTCGCCATTGCAAATTCTTCCTGGCAGCTGGTGGGTGTGGCGGTGGGCAAGCAGCTGGGTCTGGGTCGGAGGCAGCGACTCAGGTCTTCAGCGCGGGCCCCAGAGACGTGACGGCTGTGGCGTCAATGCAGTCTCAGTATCGTGCTGCGACATGCTTGTTTGGAGGGGAGGTGTTCTTGGTGGATGTTTGGCGGTGGGTCTCCGCCTGAGGCGTGAATGGCCGAGGTCGTGGTATCGACACAGCCCCAGAAGGGCCGTCGAGCCGCGCGTGAGGCTGGCCACGGTTTTCTGCAAACCGGAATCATGGCTGCGCTGGCCTGCTGTCTCTAATCTCCATCTATCCACCATCGGCAGCGCACTTGAATCTTGAGTTTCGAGGCCCGTGATCCGATCTGACCAGGCCACAATTGTACATGCGGTCGTCTGATATCGCTGCACTTGAGCCCTGACTTGAGCTTTGAGTTGAAGAGGTCGGTCCCCTTCTTGCTTACCTACAGCCAGCCTAGCCGCCTCTCCACCCCATCTTCAGCCACAACATCGCTCCAGTGCCTCGTCATCGGCACCTCTGACTTGGGACCATCAGCGCACTGCGACCCTGCTCTGCGCGTTGCGACCGGCGTAGTTTGCACTACGTCAAATTGGCTGTTGCATTTTCCACGTCTCCTGTCGCACCTCGTGCAGCCATCCGACCCCTCCACGGTCGCTGGAGCAAGCCCGGATTCAGCTCACAGCTCACAGCTTGCAGTTCACAGCCGCACGCCTTGTTGTCTGCTAAAGCCGCCGCGACTGTCATTCCGCCGGCCTATCCAAAGCCACTGCAGACGCGCCCGCCGTCACCGAGCCTCCCGCGCACCTCTCTTCGTGCTTGCGCCGCCCTTGGTATTTGTCTGCGTGCATACCAGACCAGCAGATCGTCTTGGCCCGAGCCGCAATTTGCGACCGAGGCCGTGATAGACTGTCCTGACTTTGATTGCTCAATTGCGAAGCTGGCTCTCACGACCGCCCAAGTCTATCTCGAGTGCTGGTAGAGCATCGCCATCTGCGCGCCCTTGTTACGGCCGCAACCCGCCAAATATCTGAACCGTTGAAAGGTTAGACCGACAGCCATTCGGTGCGCACCATCCACCTCCAACAGAGTGAGCGGGACAAGAGTTGCGCGTTCTGTCAGTCCGACACACGCAGTGCTAACGCGCCTCTGCAGACACAGTCGTACTGAATCCGTTCCTGCTCCTACAGAAGGTAGGCATGGCTACGCGGGCAATCACGCCGACGCCCACCGGCCCATTCGCTGCACCCAACCGGCCCACCACGCCGGGCTCTGCAGCGCGCAATGCTCACAGTGGAGCGACGTTTGGAACCCATCTCACAAAGTCGCCCCGCGGCCTGTCGCCGCGGCCCTCGCCCCAGCCGCTCACCGGAGCAGCTGCCCTCGCAGATGAGCGCCGCTTCCGAGAACAAACGTCGAGGCAGACGAGCCCCAATCCTGCTGTTGCTGCGCTGCAGAGCCTCAATGGAAGCATGCAGCCCATGAGCTACACCCCAGACGCCCCGCACGACAGCGCACATGCAAACCAAAAGGCCGACAAGGTCACCAAGCCGCTCATCATCCCCGACCATGCAAACGTCACGGGCGACAACATGCAGACGAGCCCAGTTAGCCTGTCGAGCTTCGGCGACGGGGACGCGCCACACGCGCCCGGCGGTGCTGCTGTCGAAGGAAATACGTCTTCCGCTGGCAACACAGGTCGGGAAGGGGCGCCCCAGCATCCCCAGCAGCACCATCAACATCATCACCAGCTCATTGCACCAAACCCAGGCGACAACCCAGGCAACCGTGCCTTTACGTTTCCAGGGCCGTTGCCCCCAGAGCCGGACCCGCGTGCCCCAGCACGGCAGATGAGCCTGCCTGGATATGGCCAAAACACGCCCAAATCGCCTTCGACCAAGCGTCACAAATGCCCATACTGCTCCACCGACTTTACGCGACACCACAACCTCAAAAGCCATCTTCTAACACACAGCCAAGAGAAGCCGTACGAATGTCCCACCTGCCAAGCCCGTTTCCGTCGTTTGCATGATTTGAAACGCCACACGAAACTGCATACTGGCGAGCGTCCCCATACATGCTACAAGTGTGGCCGCAGGTTCGCACGTGGCGATGCGCTTGCGCGCCATAACAAGGGTCAAGGTGGCTGTGCGGGGCGCCGCTCTAGCTTCGGCATCGACGACGACCTTGGGGATGGCAAAGGCGATGAAGGCATGGATGGCGTCATCTACACTGGTGAACCAGACGGCGAGGGTGACGATGACGACGATGGCAGGCGCGTCAGTGAGCCGGCCCGCAAGAGACAAAACACGGGCAACTCAACCCAAGGTTCGTATCATCAGCACTCCAGCACTTATCCGCCCATCGCTGCCAACCGGAGCTCGAGTACGCAGAACAACCTCCGGCCCTACTATCCAGGCTCATCTGCGCAACCCACTAACGTTTCGCCCAAAGCAGCCCCGTCCAGCATTTCATCCATCCACAACGCAAACACGCAGCCGAATGTCTTTGCGCAGGGCGGCATGACCGAAAGCCCAAGGCCACTCTCGCCAGGCCAGCAGGAGCAGCACCGTCTTGGTGCACCAGAAAACAGTCTGCCAGGCTCCCGTTCGCCGAGCCTGTCACATCACATTCATCAGCAAAATTACGCCCGTGGTCGAGGAACCCCTCCCATCGGCCTGGCCCCTCCTGGTGCAACTAACGGGCCCCATCTGCCCTCATTGCCTGGACTTAGCCCTATGCCCCCAAAGCAGGGTTCGCAAGGCGGCAAGAGCAATGGCCCCAGCATGCTCCAGCACCAGACCATGGCAGCCCCTGGAAGCAGCTCGCAACCTGGAAGCATGTCGAGTCACGGGGGTAGTGGCAGTAGCATGCGCGAGGTACTGAGCAATCAGGTTGATGTGTGGCAATATGTTCGTGAAATTGAGACTCGCATGGCAAGGATGGAGAAGGAGCATAATGAGAAGATCTCGACGTTGCAAAACGAGATCACGACGCTTCGTGCTCAGCTGGCTCAACAGCACGTCAACAACACGCAAGGCCAACAAGGGCACTAGTGGAGATTTCCGTTGCATGTTATTTTCAGCGGTCAGGCGCGTTTGTGCAATGTCGGTCTCTTCGGTCTTTTCGCTCTTGACGAGTAGCTTGGGCCGTGGGGAGAATGGCGTTGGACAAGTGCTTCATGGAGGCGTTAAAAGGAGTGAAAAACCAAGATTGAGCAACAGACGAGATTTCAGGCTTCTACATGGATCAACATACGTCAGGGACACGACGAGCATGTTACAATGATACCCCATGCTAAGATTGGTCGCAATATTCTTTTGGCATTCTTTGGCATTGCCCTGTGTCGGCTACATTCCCCTCTGTACATTAGACTATCTATCTATCACCTTTCGTTGCTAAGTGTTGTCGTGTGTAGAGCATGAGGTGTGATGTGTGGTTTGCGGTTGCCGCATGTGATGCCGCGCACGCCAGGCCGATGGTTGTTACCGGAAGCGCGGCTCGGGCAGCATCAAACACTGACATGATTAGACGGCTGCGGGAAAGCAGTGGCTTAGGCAAGGGTTGGCTGGAATAAATTTTCAAATTCTTGTTAATACAGCGATGCTGCGACGTCGCACAGGGGTGAGGGAGATACAAGAAGGTTGTCGTCGTCGCTGTTTGGGCCAAGGGCTGAGCTAGAGATCGCCAGTGCGCTCTGTGCCGAGCAGCCTCCACTCGACTGCATCAGCCTACCTTTACACGTCACAGTACAACCCCAAACTCACACCACCAACGCAGCGAGAACACCAGACCCCTCACCGCACCCAACCCCCAATTGCTGTAGATGCATGGCCAGGTGCTGTGCTGATAGGCGCAACCGCGCAGAGTGCCCGCCTTTGACGCCCAATCGAGTGAGGCCATAGCCGCGCTGGCCCTCTTGCCCGCACCAGGCCTGTCCAGCTTCCCGGCTCCCAGTCACACCGACGAGAAGCTCCACCACGCCGCTTCTTCAACATGCCCGAAACATCGTCGGACACGCACCGCCGTCGCAAAAAGGACCCGGACCGCGAGCGCAGCAGCCCGCGCACAAAAGACAAAGACAAGGATCGGGACCGCGATCGCGACCGTGACCGCGACCGCGACCGTGACCGCGAGCGCCATAAGAGCAGCCGCGCCCGCAAGACCCGCTCGTCGGCTTCCAAGGAGGAAGATAGTGACCGCCCGGCACTGCCCAAACGCCCTTCGGCTGAGCGAGTGCGCTCTTCGACGTCGACATCGACATTGGCCTCATCGCAGGCGTCCAAGTCGCACAAGATGGCCGTTGTGCCCGAGATGGGACGACGTGGTTCGTTGGGCTCGGAAAACACGTCGAGGATCAGCTTGCCGTACCCCTCGCACTCCAAGACATACGCAAAGGAGAGCATCTATGCCCGCGACCCCAACGAGAAGAGAAAGTCGGCATTTACGCCAGAACCCACCGATGTGGATGCCTCGCCTGGCAAGGACGACGAACAGCCACAGCAGCCCAGCCGCGCACCACCTCCACCGCCGCGCGCACCGCCGAGCCCGCCCCTCACAGCGACTACGAGCGCCGACTTGAGGAAGACGGCCAGTGTAAACAGCATGCGACGGCGGGACTCGGAGTCGGTTGCCCGGGAAATGGAGGATGGCCGCCGCAGTGTAGAGAGCGGCACGCACATGACATCGCATGCAGGTCCCCGCGTCGCATCGCGCTCCAGCATCAGAGAAGAGAGTGACGATTACGATGGCACTGACCTCACTTCCACCACTGGCTCTCAGCCCAGCACTATACGTGCAAAGTCGCCCCCAAGGACCAAGACGGCGAGCCCATCGAACACCCGACCATCAGGCAGGACATCAGCACCGAGCAGGTCGTCAACCCCCGGTCGAACTTCCACACCAGCCAGGACGTCGACACCAGTCAAGACCAAGACGAGGGCACCCTCAGAATACACATTGGACTCAGAGGCCACTTCAGTGCTCCAGGATCACCAACCCCATCGTCGAACTTCATCGCCCTCACATTCCGAAGCCTCGCCCTCGTCGGTTGTTGATTCATCACCGCGCACGCCAACTCAGCATTCCGTCCTGCCCTCGGTAGTATCCTCTGTCAAAGATGGACCGTCCATGATTGAGGTCATCACAGATCCCATGTCGCGCACGCACTCGGTGGATCCAAGCTATGCTCAATCACCCATGACTCCACCACCTCCGCCACCCCCTCCGGCCATGATGGACGCCCCTCGAGTCGACTATCTGCTGCAGAATGGTGGGCTTGCCAAAGCAATCCCTCGAAGTCTGCTAGCAGCCATTGATGGAGTCCCCGCGTCTACCTACTCCCAGTACACTACGCCACGACTATCTGGCGCACAAGCGCACGATGTCCGATCCTTTTTCAAGCCACTGCAAAATGTCCTCAATAGCTACAATACCGTCATGGACACGAGCGGTTCGTTGGCCGTGGCCACTGGCTATCGCTCGGTTGCACGTCGCCTCCTTGATCGCCTAGAGAATGTCTTTGCCCGCAACATATCTTCCGAGCATTGTGAGTGTATCATGTGCTTTGAAAACCCCGTCGTAGAGGATTCAGCGGGTGTGAATTGGGGAGAGATCCTGGAACTGGTTTCTGGACGCTGCGAATTGCCGACCTGGCCACCCTACGAAGAAGGCCTAGGGCCCGGCCTGGGCATATCATCGGACCTGGAAGCACCGTGCCAGCGGATCGACGTCGACGTACCAGAACAGTACCGCGAGCATTACGAAAAGCAATCCAAAAAGACCAAGGTCGCTGTGCAGTCTTGGCTATCAGATCAGCAAGAGACGGTCCCTGAAGATGCCGACGACGAGACTCTGACGTTCATAATGCTAACACGCCTGGAACAGCCACAACGGCCATTGTTCTATGCCCTACTGTGGGGCTTGGAAAAACTTCCTAATCCGCGCACACAGAAGCCTGATACTGGTACCCCACCATACTTGGCAAAGGCTGGACTCGCATTGCAGCGTCTTTACCGACTTTACAGTCCGCCACGAGACCAATTGGTAGTCATGTATCTCATCCGCCATCCAGACATGCACAACATGCTTGCTACGCTCGCAGCTGTTACCAAGCACGAATGGGAGATTCTCGTTTCGGGACGATTTGACGGTTTTCTGTGGTCTGGCGTCGAAGATCTGCCTGACATGAACGGGACCCCTTCCCGAACGGGTTCAAGGGCTGGTCAGAGACCCACAGATGGGCCACAGCGCTTTGCATCCCCGTTCGGCCCCAATCGATATGGTACCCCGAGCCCATACTCTCGACCCGGTTCCGTCCGTCCTCCAGGTGGTGCGCCAGTGCAGATCGACGAGGAGACGGAGATCGCCGTACTTGGCGAGATCGAGCGAGAAATCTATCTCGGAATGGAAGCAATGGAAGACGCGTTTGAGCAGCTCCATAACCAAGCCGAGGCGGTACGTCGACGCCTACGCGAGCGCGCTGCAGCGTTGTCAATGGTAGCACAGCAACGAAGGGGTGCCGGTATGGATGGCATTGAAGTCAGGACTGATACGCCTGCTAATCTCCGCGACCCCGACGAGGGGATTGATGATCTGAGAAGTGAGGTTGGGCCCGATGATTCGGCGAGTAATGTCAGCCACAATAGGAGAAGGAAGGCACATCGTGCGAGAGAGAGACGGACGCCAGCACCAGTCGAGGAGGAGAGTGAGGAAGAAATTGCGCTTGCGGAAAGGATACGTCGACGGTTCTAGGGGGTTAGTGAATGGTTGGGATTATTGCATTTGACAGGAGTTTGCTGGCGCGAGTCTAATGCTGTTCATGGCTCAGAAGCCATGACAGTCATGATTTATGGCTTTATAACGGCCGCGAGATATGGATACCCGGTTTGAGATGCAGGAGGATAGGTAAGACATTGCTTGTACTCTAGCTTGGCGACGCGGCGTCGGTGAATGTATACGTTTGCTTAATTTGATGACGTCACTCATGATACGCCCTAGGCATTTGGCTGAATGTGAGGTGAAGGTTCTCATAGTGTATACCAAAGGCGCCACTGTGATTTAGATGTTGTTACAAATGATGGTGCGACTTTAGCGTAGGCGCTGTGCTCCAATGATACCATGCCGGCGAATGGTTCTTGAGACGCACGGCGGCAACTGACCCCGCTCGTCCATGATGGAATGCCCCAGGAGTTCGTGTCTACTGTACATGCACCATTGGCGAGCAACACGTTGCATGTCGACTAATCGAAACAGCTCTTTTCTTGCCTGGCATAATTGTGTATAATAGTACATGAGAGGTCGCAGGGTCATGGGTGTATGGCAGCAAGGTCCATTTGTCCCTACGCGAACAACCCTGCAGCCTCACGCGCCGGACATGCATGTCCCTCAATGACAACAGAGGGTAGACCAGATAACAAAACAGGACAACAAACGTCGCCCGTGGCCAACACAGCGGCCTTAGCCTACCATCGCCGGTACCGAGGTGTTGTTGGGCCCAATTCAAAGCCTCTTGGTGCTCTGTCCTCTTTCAAACCTTCCGCTGCGCTCCCCCGCCATTCGCCGTTGCCCTCGCGATCTGTGTTTACGAAACAAGGCCCTCGTGGCAGGCGCATACCTGGGTTCCATACAGCGCTCGCCCTTGGTAGCCTTCTGCCACGGCTTGCAGTTGCTTCTCTCCTTTACGCAGCCAGTCACAAGGCGGCGAATAATTTTCTGCTCCATCCTCAGCCCGGACGCACTCGCAGTGACCGCTCTTTCCCCATATACCCGAGTCGCTCGCTGTGTCCCACGACCCATAACCGCGCATATCGCTGGCCGCACGCTGCACCCGCTACCCTCTCGCATATATACGAACCCGCCCCGCTCTGCGATACGCCGCCCATTGTCGGGACGGAACCGCACCCAACATGGCGACCGACGTGGGCGCGAACGAAGCCGTCGACCCGAATACGCTCTACACCAAACAGGAATGCATAGGCGGCGGCAGCTTTGGCAAAGTCTACAAGGGCCTTGACCGGCGGACTGGCCACACGGTCGCCATCAAAGTCATCGACGTAGAGAATGCCGAAGACGAGGTCGATGACATTATGGGCGAGATCATGATTCTCTCGGGCATGAACTCGCCATATGTCACAAAATACTTTGGATCGTACCTGGCCGGCTCCGACCTGTGGATTGTCATGGAGTTCTGCTCAGGCGGGAGCTGCGCCGACTTGATGAAGCCAGGCCCTATAGCAGAGGCCGAAATTGCTGTCATATTGAAGGAGCTGCTGATGGGACTGACATATCTGCACGACGACAACAAGCTGCACCGAGACATCAAGGGTACGTCTATAGAGTATGCACATGTCTAGTTGCTGACAGGTTGTAGCTGCAAATATCCTCGTTGGCGCGAGTGGGCAGGTCAAACTCGCAGATTTTGGCGTCTCAGGGCAACTCTCAGCGACCATGACCAAGAAGAACACATTCGTCGGCACACCGTTCTGGATGGCCCCGGAGGTCATTAAGCAGTCTGGATACGATGGAAAGGCCGACATCTGGTCTCTTGGAATCACTGCACTCGAGCTGGCCAACGGCGAGCCTCCGTATGCCGACATTCACCCTATGAAGGTCCTCTTTCTCATTCCCAAGAACCCGCCACCAGCCCTAAACGGCAACTTTTCGCCTGCGTTCAAGGAGTTTGTCGATCTTTGTCTTCGCAAAGACCCTAGAGAGAGACCAAATGCAAAGCAACTCCTCCAGACAAACTTTATCCGCAAAGCTGGCAAGCCAGCTCGCCTGCAAGAACTCATCTCAAGATACCAGGATTGGAAAGTTAGACATCCAAAGGAGGCTGCCGAATCAGACGATGAGGCTACTCCTGTAAAGAGGAAGGACCCAGTCAACGAAGATCTGTGGGATTTCGGTACAGTGCGACCTGTTGGGGGTGGTAGAGGGCCAGCTCTAGCCCCCATGAATGATTCTGGAGCAAATGCGAGAAACATCTCACCACAGCGGAAACCGGTTTCCCAACAAAGGAGTGGCTACGGCGATGAGAACGATGATACAATTAGGGAGAGCATGCCACCTTCTCCTACCAAACGCCTGACACCTCTCCAGACCCACGGTTCGCCAGGCGGCTCAGTAAAAACTGCTGCAAGAGTGCCGCTACCAGCATCTCCAGAAAAGAGGGCTGTCCCGTCCTTTCCACAGCCAGCAGCAGAGCTACCACGCAAATCGCCTGTTCCCGCCCTTTTTTCTCCACCACCAAACAGAGGACTGGTTACTCCAACCAAACTGCAGGGTCCCCAACAAGCGAGACGGCACACGCCGCTTCAACACACATATGATGAGTTTGTTCAACGAGAGATTGCTACAGATATAAAGAACCTAGAGATTACACCGCAACAACGAATCCCAACGCCGAGCCGAGCTTCAGTCCTGCCACAAATGTCCATACCCGAGATCCCCCCGTTTCGTGGGACTTCCACAAGTCCTGGACATAACAACTCACACAATAACCAGCCACCGAAAGCGCTCCAGAGTCCCATTAGATCACAACACCAGATCGCAATGCCCTCACAGGCACAAAAGCCTTTACCACCACTGACCGGCCAACAAGAACTACCTTCTTTAGCAGGACAGAAGCCTCTTCCTTCACCACAGGACAATTTCTCTCCCCTTGGCTCTAGTTCTAAGTTACGGCCTGACTCTGCATCTTCAAGCGATCCCTTTGGTGGTCCAACATCTGATCAGAGGTCACAACCCCGGCCACAGGCCGCGCAGGCATCCCCTCCTGCCCCACCGCCACACGGTGCTAAACCTACTGCCATGAGTCGTGGTTCGTTTGGCCGTCCCAAGCCTACATCAAACCACCCGAGTCTTCTTCAGTCTCTAGGCTCACCAACGGCACCTGTTGAGATTACGGCACTTACTGGTGTGGTTGTTCCAGCCCTGGAAGCTGCCCTTTCGCGCCGTATCTACCATCTTAATTTGAAGAACAAGCAAGAATCAGCACATTCGTTAGACGACCCACAAGGCTTCATCGAGCGTAGGCGTCAGCGGCAGGAATGCCACGATAAGGTTACGCGGCTGGTGAACGAGATCAGGGGGAAGTTTGAGGAGCTGGACCGGTGGGATGAGAAGGGTGAGGTAGGCATGGGCGGAGAGGTTGCGGGGTTTCTTGAAGGATTTCTTGAGGAGGTACTTGTTCGAGTCGAGCCAGCCGATGATTAGGATATTCGGTACTGATGAATCTGGCGCTCATGCATAAGTGCAGTGCATTGGATGGAGGTTTTTTGGATTGCCATGCAGTTTGGCAAGGCGTTTGATAGCGGCGTTGAAGCGGGCCTCCCACGCTGGATCGTCAGGTAGCTGTAACTGTGACGTGTCTCAATGATTATGATAGTTGCTGAACTCCAGCCTTGTGCAATCCATGTGTATGCATTTATGATGTTGTGGAAGGCGTGGCCAATGAGCGTCGAGGCAGCTCCGAAGACCGATTTAGTTTCGTCACTCGTCCAGGGATGCAGGGACAACCCAACCCACAGTCTCGCTGCTACACGCGTTGCAACATCACGCGCTCAGCGGAAACGGGAGTGGACGGCTTTCTTGAATATGGCGTGAGCATTGCTTTGTTTCTAGTTCTACAGACACTCGCAAGTCGCTAATTATAATCAGCAGGCGTGCAATTCGAAGCAATGCCCTCGAGAAGCTGGCTCGTCTGTCAGCGCAGTCGTCAGCAGAGGATGCCTCAACTTCAGACTTTGCGAGGTTCTTCAAGAGATGTCCGAATGTATCCAGTTCTATGAAGTTGCAAGAGCTGGAGGCAATCCTCGCCCTCTGCAAATCGGCGCCGTTCATCGAATCCATCCAAGTTGCCGATAAGTTGCTCGCTCGCCTCTCGCCATACCTCACCGCATCGTATGCTCAGACGCTCGCGCCGTCGCCCAGCCTCCGCACATTCGAACCTTCACCATACCAAGTCCTGACATACAATCTTACATCTGCTGTGCTCTCCCTAGGACTCAGACACGATCAACTCCGAGCACAGGCTGCGACTGCCCTTGAGAGCTATGTTGACGGTTGGGCTGCTGTAGCTGCCGAGCTCTCGGAGGAGCAATTCGTTGACGATGGAGCCGATGACTATTCTACACATGGCGAGTTGGCTCGCGTCATGACACATAGCCTGTCGCTCTTGGGTTTCCTGGGTGCTGCAGCCGAGCAGGCCGACTTCTGGAATGCCGACGATAGACTACGCCTCGTTGAAAAGGTGCGGTCAGCCCTGACGGAAAACTTCCTCGTCGCCTTTGAAACCGTCTTGTCTATTGTGCGTAATGCGCGCTCACACCAACACGGATTGAGAGAGTGGAAGCGATACACAAAGCACTATGCTGCTACTGGACGACCGCTTGGTGCCATGATCCTGCACGATTCATTCCTGAATGTCGTACTAGCTTCGGCCTCACAGCTCGTTGGAACCAGTCCGCGTCTCACTTCTCAAGTTTCCGTCCTGGACCATCTGCAGAGATACTTGGATTCAAAGGGTCATCGACATCTCAGGGCCAGTGCTGAAAACTCGCTGGCTGAAGGACTAGTTAGGATTGCGGAAGAGGAAATGGAGCGCTTGGAGAATGATCTTGACTACCTACAACGCGTGGGATCCGCATGGCAGCAACAACAGGCGTCTTCGGTCAAAGCCAAGGTGCTCGTCACATACCTCTGTTGCACAGTCTACGACGATGATACAGACATCACTGACGCCGAAGTGCTGACTACTTGGCTCGATAACGTGCTCAATGATCCAGCACAGAGTGCGGACCATGACTTGGCTTCAACGGTGCTGAAATCCATGGCCATCCTTGCGAGAGTCTCCCCGCATTTGGCGTCGACCCTGGGGCGCTCGCTTCCTCGAGTCATTGTACAGGCCAACTTTGACAATCGAACAACTTCAGTCGCAGCCGAATCGTTGGCTGCAGTTCTTAGCCTTCTTCCTCAGGATGCCATCATCACGACACTTTACAGTCTGGGAAATGTCATTAGTGTGGCGCCCATGCCTGAACGTACTGCACCTGCTTCTCCCACGTTGAACGGGAAGACACGTGGAAGCGGCATCTACAACAATCAAAATGGCAGTACCATCTCACTTACGCCGAGTGACGTTGAAGAACCACATCATGTGCATACGACTGTGGTCGAAACAATTGTATCTGTCGCAAGAAACTGCAAAGATCCCAAAATCACAGCATTGGCCTTATCAATGCTTATCCAAAAAGTTGGCCGCTCTGGCAAGGTGGTTGATGCGAAGATCATCACCGATTCGGCTCTCTTGGGCATACACAGCCCGCCTGGAGAGTTCAGATCTTTGCTCAAGGTTTACACGAAGCTTTCTCACGATGCGCTAGTTGCGGACGACAGGGCAAAACTAGAGGCTGTCATGGCTGCGCGTCTCAATCTGTCCAGAGAGATATGCGCCAACGAACCCAGCTTTGAGATCTATCTTACTCATCTTTTAGACACGATTGTTAGCAAGGGGGATGCTCAAGAAACATCTCATCGCCATCTTCGAGACACTGAGCTTGCAGCTCAGGAGATTGCGCAGTTATTGAAGCCTCTCGCACTCCTTCTTGGAAGAAATGCCGAACGAGCAGAATTTGCTGAGCTGGACGACTCTATCATCTGCCTGCAACGTGATGCATGGTTTAACATTGTCGTTCATGGCTTCGATCTGCAGTCTGACCTTGGAAAAGAATATCGAGAGGAGCTGCGTACTCTTGCACGCTTCAGTAAGCCTCTGATTGCTGAAGAGCGACCGTTTCTTTCGGAAAGCGACATTGAGCTCAACACAGTCCTGCGTCGTGGTAAATCGCCTGAGCATACAGTCGAGCAAAAGAAGCGGCTCGGAAGACTGCTGCCATCATGCGAAGCTGATACCAAGTCTCTGAGCTATCAGGAAGCAGTGTTCTTGAGCACTGCGTATCTGGTTGAAGACCTACGCGCGAGTACAGGAGATTGTACCAAAGCGCTTGCATACTTTCTCGACCCCAAACTACGTACTGGGGCAGTCGGCAATTGCATGACTGCTATCGCGACGACGGCTATTCGAACATACCTGACAAAATCCCTGTCAGGTCAATCACACAGCTTCTCAACGCCGTATCTGGCTCAGCAGCTCGCCAAGATATTCTCTGCATGCTGTCATCGCATTGCGCGCGTTCAGCAAGCGGCGGCGTCTTGTGCTGATGTCATTGTCCGCGAAGTGCCATCCACACTGTGCCAGAAGAGTGCGTTGTTCGCTCTTCTAGAACTTCTCTCAATAATGTGGTACAGCTGTCTTGAGGGCGAGACGGATGAGTACACTTGGAAGTCAACTTTCGCTTCGAAGCGATCCAACATCGTAGTTGAGCTTTCAGATGACTATACCTTCCGACGGGCAACTCTTGATGCGCTACACACTCGTGCAACGGTCTGGGTTAGAGGAGCGCTCGACATTGCTCCTCTCGACGTCAAGGGACTTCTTCAGTCATACCTTTCAGAATTCGACGACGAAACGAGTTTCGGGCACATCTCGCTGGGACGCTCGTTTGCCTTGGAAATGGGTTCCCTGATCCCGTCCACAGACCAGCGCCTCGGTGCTGTGGAACGTCAAGGTATCAACATCAACACTGCATCTGACTTCATTACGCAATACACGACAAGACAAGAATACAAATTCCTCGACGGGGTTGTTGATCAAGAAGAAGAATGGCTCAATGGTGCACCAACTACTAGACGAATGCCAACGTATCTCTCACGCAGCCTGCATGAAGCGACTAACCTTCTGGTAGACTTTGAGACCCGCACTCTAAACCACAAGCATGTAACTATTGCGGAACTTCGCGACATACTTCGAAGAGCTGCCGCGCTTCTCTGCAGAGTGAAGACAGATCAGTCACCTATCGTCCAACATTTGGTCGGTATTCCATTTGCAGTATTTTCGAAGCAGTCCATCAAGCTGGGAATCTCGCTTTGGACAAGCGTTGCCAAGGAAAACCCTCGCATGGAGTCTCGAATTCTTGTTGCCATTGCTGAGAACTGGGAGAACACGGTGCGCAAGCGTCGAGGTATCTTCAGTCCTGCTTTGAAGTACGTATCATCAAAATGAGCCCGTCAGCATTCACTAATACTTGGCAGACACGAAGATCCATTCTTCGGCAAGCAAGAGTTCGCCGCGACAGACAAGGAAGCGCTCTCGAAACGCCAACAACAGATATATAACCTCATAGCACCGCATTTCCGCCTGTTGCAATTCCTGTCCAGCCACTTTAGCGCATCACGGCTGGGCAAGGCAGACGTCGAGCGTGTCTACGTACGGATGATGAACATCACACTTGATGCAATGAGTGTGGGCTGTTCGCAACCGCTTGCCCGTGAATCGTACTTCCACATCATTTTGCTTGGATTACGTATCGCGCGTCATTGTACCACAATATCAGCCACCATCAGATGGCGGTTGTCGGACCGTATACTGACTGCCGCCCTGGCATGGTTCGCAAAGGCACCACAGTAAGTATTTGTGAAGAAAATTCTATATGCGTCGCTAACGAAACTAGATGGTCTTTTGGAGGTAACCGATTGCAGATCAAGGCCGAGACGCATATCCTGGCAGACGTGCAGGCGCAACTCGATATTATCGGGAAGTCCACTACTGCCGTTGATATTAGCGCAAAGTTGAAAGCAAGGCAAGACCTGCTATCTCTGCTTGTGGGGAATGAGCAGACTCGTCTGATGGTGTGGTTGTTTCCTCTTGACTATGGCAAGAAGCATCATTTCACCTCTGGACGCTACAACAACACACTTCCTGATGTAAGTATCTGCAATCATCAACATGATACAAACTAACGTTGCTAGGCCGCCGTTACTGCCCATCTCAAAACAGCCTGGGCCGAGAATCCTGCAATCGCCGTACACCTCATCAAACGCTTCCAGTCTCAACGCCTTAATAGCGAGGTCCGATGGCAGGTACTCAACTTCCCGCACAAGGTGTTGGACGAGCCAGATGCGCTTGAAATACTTCTAGGTAACTCACTACCGGCCGACGTCTCCTTCCAACTCAAGTACCTGCTTTACTGGGCGCCCGTTAACCCCATAACGGCCGTCACATACTTCCTTCCGGCGTACGGGAACCATCCTTTCATCATTCAGTACGCGATGAGAGCGCTTGAGAGTCACTCGGTAGACGTCATGTTCTTTTATGTCTACCAGATTGTGCAAACGCTTCGATACGATGTCTTGGGCTACGTTGAGCGGTATATTATCGAGACGGCCAAGTTTTCGCAGCTTTTTGCGCATCAAATCATCTGGAACATGAAGGCAAACGCCTACAAGGACGAGACTGCCGAGGTGCCCGATCCTGTTAAGCCCACGCTTGATAAAGTCATGGCTAGCCTGGAGTCAAGTTTTTCCAAAGAAGACCATGCTTTTTACGAGCGCGAGTTTGCCTTCTTCAACGAGGTTACTGGAATCTCAGGTACACTACGTTCTGTTCTTCACGAACCCAAGGAGGTGAAGAAACAGAAGATTGAGGAGGAGCTTCGCAAAATCAAAGTGGAGGTTGGCGTCTACCTCCCATCTAACCCCGATGGCCAGGTCATTGGCATCGACCGCAAGTCTGGCAAGCCGTTGCAGAGTCACGCAAAGACACCTTTCATGGCTACATTCCGTATCAGAAAGACGAGGCCTGTTGACCAGGGCTTGGAAGAGACTGAAGATGATGATCGCGATATCGCACGAGAGAAAGACCGCGGCTACGAAACATGGCTTTCTGCGATTTTCAAAGTCGGGGACGACTGCCGTCAAGACGTGCTCGCACTGCAGATGATTGCAGCATTCCGAGGCATCTTCAACACCGTGGGTCTAGACGTATGGGTCTTCCCCTACCGCGTCACAGCAACAGCACCGGGCTGTGGTGTAATCGACGTACTCCCCAACTCCATCTCCCGTGACATGCTCGGTCGCGAAGCCGTCAACCGCCTAGACGACTATTTTGTCTCTCGCTACGGCAACGAAGACTCGATCCGCTACCAAGAAGCTCGCTCAAACTTTGTCAAATCAATGGCCGCCTACTCCGTCATCAGCTTCCTCCTCCAATTCAAAGACCGCCACAACGGAAACATCATGATCGACGACGCTGGCCACATCATCCATATTGACTTTGGCTTCTGCTTCGATATCGCACCCGGTGGCATCAAATTCGAACGCGCGCCCTTTAAACTCACGGCTGAAATGATTGCTGTCATGTCGGGTAAAAACGCGGCTAATGCATATACCTCGCAGGCGTACCGCTGGTTCGAAGAGCTCACTGTAAAGGCCTTCTTGGCAAGTCGCCAGCACTGCGATCACCTCTGCCACGTTGTGCAAGTTATGCTGGATAGCGGTCTTCCGTGCTTCAAACCTGAGAGTATGAAGAACTTCCGTGATCGCTTCGTGTTGGAGAGGAGTGAGAGGGAGGCAGCGGATTATATGCGTGGGCTGATTGAGAAGAGTAGGGGAAGTTATTCGACGGGGACTTATGATAGGTTCCAGCTTATTACTAATGGAATTCCTTATTAGAGTTGTGGAATGAGGATTGGTTGGCGGAGAAAAGGGAGGTATAAGAAGTTGTTACATAATTCATTCATCATATACTAGACTTATGTTTAATATAGAGTATGCACATTTGCAACACTCGAAGACCTATTCAAATGCTCATTCTTCTGATAGTAGTGTTGTTTTATACGAAACTTACAAACTACCAATCGCTGAACTCTATGAGCTCGGCGTCGCCGTCCCAGACCCCGCCACGACCTCCTCCTCTTTCTTCCTCAACCCCGTCACCGTCTCCGTATGCTCCGTCCCCAAATGCGCCGCTTGAACAAACAAACTAGCCATGAACGCCAAAAAGGCAAACACGGTATATGTAATCCACATATTCCGCATCGCGTACGCAAAAGCCTGCTTAGCAGCGATTTCCCACGCACGCTCCTTCAGCATACCGGGTAACATGACATTAGCCATTGCACTGTCGCCGTCGAGCTGGTCGAATATATTCTTTGGGAGTCCAGCCTCGCGGAGGAAAGCAGCGCGGCCATTCATCGAGTTTTGGAATATTGTGCCACCGACAATAGTGGAGATGGAGACGCCAATGTTGCGGATGAAAGATAGGGTCGCTGTGGCGCTGGCGACGTTGTGTTGTTCGACTTGGCTTTGAATGGCGATGAGTGGTGCTTCGAATAAGATTCCTGAACCGAGACCGCCGACCATGAGAAAGCAGACGGCTTTTACAGTGGAAGTGTATGCGTCAAAGGTGATGAAGAGGCCGAAACCTATGGTGAGGAGTAACGCGCCGACCCAGATGATTTCACGGAATTTACCAGTCTTGTGCATAATGACGCCGCAGAAGACGCCAGCGATTGCGCCAGTGACGATGAAGGGGAGGAGTAAAAGTCCGGAGCGTAGCGGCGAGGCTTCGAGCACGGCCTGGAAGTACAGCGGCATGTAGTATTCACCCGAGATGAAGACGAAGCCGTGGAAGAAGACAACGGAGAATGCGGCGACGTTTGTGCGGCGCTTGAATAGGCTCATGGGCATGAGGGGGTATTTTGCTAGTTTGGCTTCACTGTAGATGAACGCAAAGATCATGACGAAGCCGACGACGAGGAGAGCGATGACTTTTGCGGAATCCCAGGGGAAGAGCACGCCGCCAAAGTCGAGACCGAAAAGAATCATGAGAGTGAAGCCGAGGAAGGTGAAGATGCCGAACCAGTCTAGGGCTTTCATGCCGTCAACGAAGGATGTGTGCTCATGCTTGATGTCCAGGAAGAGGAGGATCAGCAGGGCGGCTATTCCGCTGATAGGGAGGTTGATGTAGACTGTTCGAATCAAAAGTTAGTAAATGATCTCAAACAGTATGCCACTCGAGACGAAATGAAACACTGCACTCACAACACCACCTCCAAGTGACCAAACTTGCAAACAACCCTCCAAGCACCGGTCCTATCCCACCTGCTAACGCCCAAATCCCCTCCATAAATCCCATGAGTAAACTCCTCTGCCTCAAACTGAACAAATCACTAATACAAACATGCACCAGTAGAATTAGTCCACCACCCGCCGTGCCTTGGAAAGCTCGGCCGATAATGAGCTCCTGCATCGTCTTTGCAGTCGCACAAACCGCTGAACTGATGAAGAAGAGTAAAAGTGCACATAGCATGATAGGCTTTCGCCCCCAGATGTCGGAGAATTTGGCCCAGATGGGGCCTGAGGCGGCATTGGCGAGGAGGTAGGCGCCACCGATCCAGGTGTAGCCTGCGGCACTGGAGAGGTCGCGAGATATTGTCGGTGCGGCTGTTGCGACAATTGTCGCATCTAGGGCGGAGACGAATAAAGATAGCTGAGGATAGTGTCAGTAGTTGTGTATCTTTCCCTGTCTGTGTTGTTTCTGTTTGTTCGTTGACTTCTTTCTTCCCCATGTTCATTCTCAGCCTCACGGAGATGAGCACCCATCTCTTGAAAAAACAAGAATAAAAGAACTCACAAAAAGCGCCACGATGATCGCACCCATCCTCAATCGGCTCCTCTTGCCTGCGGCTATTCCAGCACCTGCTTCTTCCCCATCTTCCAGACCCTGGCCATCTCCCCCCCTACTCCCTATACCCCCATCTCGACTTCCTCCTCTACTCAAACCCCGAAAACTTCCAGTCTCTTTCCGAAATGACGCGCTATCCATACAGGTATATACCGGTACAGGTCTCCTTATCTCATCAACGACACCTTGGTGCTCCATGTCTCGTCTGGGCTCGCTGGGGATAAAAAGGTTCTGACTGATCTACCCGAACAACTGCCGAATGCCGAATGCGGATCCAAATTGCTGACACTGATGCCGAGAAGGAAATCGATAAAGACAATACTGCTTGATGGATACGAGAAATGAAATGAGATGAGACGGGACATGAAACCCCCCTCCAGAGATGGCAAAGTTGACGAGGAATGCTCAAACCCAACAATAACATGCAGAGATACACATATATACATGCACCCACACATTCATACACAAAATAGAGAAAGCCACATCAAGAAAAGCCCTAGAAAGGCTTGCAAAAACCACCAAGACCCTAGTCACATTCGCCTCATGGACACCGGTCATCACCCCACCAATCGGCCTTGCAGGTGGAGTGGAGACAGTAGGGAGGGGAAAGCGGACATATCCCGAACCAGGAAGCGAACTACTTTCCTAACGCGATCTAGCTTACCATATCTAGTGCATGCGTCTTCCATGCTGTATGCCGACCGACTGACATAAAGGCAAGGCGGCGGGCACATCCGTCCATTGCCTCTGTGATGAACGAGTGGATGCTGCTGCCCAAATAAAACAATATAGCCCAGGGTCCCCGTAGTGAAGTGTTTCATTTCCGCTGCAGGGACCGAACTCACGAATCATGAACCCCCGGGGGCTCCAACTGCAGGAACAGCGGTGTGAAAAGGTTGCCAAGATGGCCGAATGCTATGCAATGCAATGTTTATACGTAAACCATATTCCTTCTTTCTTTCCTTGCTTGCAGTAATGAGAATGCTTATTCCCAAGCGGGCGGTTTGCGCTGTTTTGGGTGCATCTGGTGTTGTTGCGCAATGCAAGCAGGTCGAGGTGGTGACGAGCAGCAGCGAACTCCTTTGAGGTGCAATGCTGTCTGAATATATAAATCGTACCAGGTAGGCTCCCTGTATACCTCTAGAGTGGAGTTCCAACAGGAATTGACGTCTGGGAATTCTCGCCCCGGCACGTCATCGTATGGTTGCTATGGTCGTGACGGGGCTGTTCCGCTGATTTACTAGTATACTCAAGGGCAGAACGGCACCGAAGCCGTTAGGGAACCTTATTCGTACGCTGAACGTCGCGCATACATAGTAGTATGCTGCGGTATAAGATTCGCCCGTAGAGGAAAGCGCAAGCTGTAAGAAGCATATTCACAGCTGTAAAGTAGTTTGGTTAGTAGCAGTACCCTAAGGTAGATTAATAGCAGGCTTACATTATAAACGGACATGCGAAAGCTTGTAAACAACTATGACTATCCTTACTCGCCGTGGACGTCCGAGACTGTTGCGGTTCGGCAGCAGCACTTTTGCCGGATACCATCTTCTGTAGGCCGGGTATTAACTTGGCTGTGATCTTCACCCTGGTAGTGATGATGGAGGATTGGTTGCGCGTGTACGTCTTGGCCCCTTATCGATTCTTTACAGCCATGTCCTAAGCTTGTCCAAGGCCATAGGAAGAGCTATGTTGTTAGCATCGTCTTCGACAAGGTACTTCTGCTTGTGCCATCGTGGCTGCACCGTCTTGGAGAGTTAGAGAAGGGGCTACTACTGGCATTCTGTAACTACATGTTTAGCACATGGACACCAGTTCTCGACCTGCTCTGGGAATCAAACGGTTTAAGCCTAAACCAATTGATCGATGACTCTGCAAATATTACACAGACAATCATGGCTAACTTACATCATGTATTGTTGTGCCTGGTATAGACGGTAAGAATCATACTCGTAAGAAGTTTGAACTTCAAAGCGTCATCACCAACACCTTCTGCAAACCAGAAAGCGGCCACACCTTCATGAAATTGAAGAGAAAGATAGAGCAAACCTTGAACCCCTGGGTCATTGCTGAGCCAAAGGAATTTCCAAAGCTAAAGGCTATACCGTTTGTTTTCGCCAATACATTGCCGGTAAGACCCGTAACTGCACTCACCTGTTTGGTAACAACTCACATCTAGTAGTCTTTCCTAACTATGAGTGACCTCTTATTTGGCCCATGGTATCATTTGGCCATGTCAAGCGGATCCGAAATGGGGAAAGCTTTCTAGCATGCTCTGCAACAACACGGCATCTCTGTGGGATGTTAGCTTACCCAGTTGTATGAAATTGATACTAACTCAATGCAAGGCATCTTTAGGTGTGGTGCATATCCGTCTTTCGAATATCGTAAGCCTTTGCGATAACCGGAATCTCTCAGAGACAACACGAGGTGCATTGCTTGAACGCGAGTTCCGTCGTTTGGCCTTCGTGAACAGGGACAAATTTTTGGGGCTAAGGAATTCGCACGTGGTCAAAACCTGGGAGAGAAAGACTGGCCTGGCGTGGTAGCGTTTCACGCATTGATCATTGCGATTCGAAGGACTGCCAGATGGGCTTGACGGGAGAATGGATTGCATGTATTGCAGAGATGTGTGAATACCGGGCTTTACTCCGTTGTGGGGGTTTTAGCCCGATGAGCAGCGCTAACTAGCGGTGTGCATGCTGGTGTGCGTTGCTAAAAGTGATTCATTGCGTTTGTAACTGCTGAATTATACAGACAGACTACGCAATCCACTCCTATTCTCGTATGTATCCTTAGCATCTTGAAGAGGAGAAGCCTGGCCCGGCATGTTGGAGAAGAGATGTGGGGTCTTTCTCCGCAATGTGGGGAAATGCACCTTCACGCGTGTCGCCTAGCGCCCGTACCCTACATAGCCGATGCCGACACGATCCTAAGTATGCAAGTGGATATAATATCATTTCACAGAGCCCCAGAACCACTTTTGAATCATACATGTGACTTTCATCATCTGTCGCAATGCCTTTTGTTCCAGCTTACGCCGACGCGGAATACCAGTCTACACACTACAATCTGTTCAAGGACAGCATCACTGTTCCATTGAAATCGGTTCTACCACCTGGAATCTCACGGAACGTCTTTGACACGGCAATCAAAAAATATAAGAGCGTTGTCGGTGACGAGCAGGTTTACCAGGACGATGCATTAGCAGAATACATTGATCCATATGAACTACATGAGGCGGAAGGAAAGCGCAGCATGCCTAGCGCAGCTGTACGACCGAAGAATGTAGAAGAACTAAGAAATGTCCTCAAAATCTCGAATGACTTTGGCATCCCAGTGTGGACATTTTCTAGAGGGAAGAACCTTGGGTCAGTCAAACCTCCATGTCCTTGTATGTGTAGACGCACAATCTGACACAATGGTACAGATATGGTGGACCTGCTCCTCGTGTAACTGGCTGCATAGCTCTCGACCTCCATCGTATGGACAAGATCATCGAAGTAAATGCTGAATTCGCATACGCCGTTGTCGAACCTGGTGTCACGTTTACTGACCTCTACGATTACTGCGTCAAGAACAAACTCAATGTTTGGCCCTCCGTACCATCTCTCGGCTGGGGCTCTGTCGTTGGAAATACTCTGGATCGCGGGACAGGTTTCACGCCTACAGCAGCACACCACCAGCACATTGCCGGGCTCGAGGCTATGCTTGCAAACGGCGAACTAGTACGAACGGGCCAATTTTCCATTTCAAACTCGCCCTCTGCCCATCTCTCGAAGTTTACCTTTGGTCCCAGCATTGAAGGCCTGTTCCTACAGTCGAATCTTGGCATAGTGACTAAGCTCGGCATCTGGCTTACACCTGCACCCCAAGCTTTCATGTCTTGCGCCTTCGACATGCCTGATCTAGAAGACGTAGAAACCATCGTCGATGTCTTCGGGCCACTACGGCGCGATGGTTTGCTCCCAAACACCGTCTACGTATCCAACGTTACCGAGTGGTTCGGTATGATGGGCCCACGAGAAGACTTCTGGCCACATGATACACCAATTCCCGACTGGCGCATCAAGGAACTCCAGAAGCAGTTCGGTCTCGGATACTGGAATGCCAAGTTCGGGTTATACGGTGCAAAGGATGTGATACAAGCACATTTTGACCAGCTCAAGAAGATCGTGGCCGAAAAGGCGCCCAAAGGTAGCCTCACAGGCAAGATTTACTCGGCGCCCGATGGACAAACCCTAGACCCTACTTCCATCCCAGAACAAGATGGCGGTTTCTTCGTCGGCATTCCGACGCTTTGGTCGCTTCCGATGGTGAAATTCCGACTCCCCAAGTCTGGCGGTGGCATCGGTGCGCACTACGACTACAGCCCCATCATCCCCGCCAGCGGCAAAGAAATTCTTTCTTGGATCAAGATTGCGAAGAAAATATGCGAGGCGGAGAAATTCGATCTCTTCTGCGACTTCTTCTTCCACGAGCGCCACGTTATCTTTGTGAATATGTTTACCTTCGACAAGACGAATGCTGTGCACAGGAAAGCTGTGCAGACAATATTTGACAACTTGTTTGAGGCAGGGAAGAAGAGGGGATACAGCAAGTATCGGAGCCATGTGAATACTATGGGTAAGTCCAAAAATACCCATCTCGCGGCTCTTGCTAGAGTTGCAGTTACTGACTCGAGATAGACCGTGTTGCTTCGCTTTACGACTTTAACAATCATGCATATCGCAGGTTTGTCGAGACGATCAAGGATGCTGTGGATCCGAATGGCATTCTCTCGCCAGGGAAGCAGGGGATATGGCCGAAGCGGTTCCGGGGGGATGACATTCCGAAGGCGAACTTGTAAGGTATTAGCAAACGTAATCAGAGGTGAATGTCTGCAGTAGATGCAAAGAATTTGATAGTGCTTATCCAAAAGTACTTTTTCGCGTCGTCTGAGTAATCTTGACCATGTCGCGAATCAGTTCCTCGCGTGCTGTCACATGATGGCGTCATTGACGACAGTTCAAAAATACCGCAGATGATGCGACAGCGTACAGCTCAATCGGTCCGCGATAGAAACGGGCCCTCCCGTTGCGAATACTGGAGTTGACAAGTGGTTGGAAGATCGCGCAGTCTGCATGGTCGTCTCCAGTGTTACGTGCATCTTTCCACCTGCAGATGCACCGGGTCGGGAGCTAGCAATTGTGATATTGAAACGCGTTGAGTTGTATAGAACGGAAAGTACGATGGCGCATATCTGAGGAATTGCAGGCGTTGCGCGGTAACCGCTATAAACGCATGCGTGGCCGCACTCACGAAAAGTAGAGTTGTTGTTCTGCTGCGGTCACCCACTCCCCAGCCATCTCCAGGTCCCCGCACCTCCGCACCTCCGCACCTTCTTCGTCAACCACGCCGACACGGCGGCAGCCATCCTTCAGAGTTTTCACTCCACGTCCCCAGAACTGCCGAAATTACGTCCTCCTCTTTCTGTGCGATGCGGATCCATACCAAGGCCAGCGAACCTTCTTGGTGTCTTCCATGAGCCTCATGTGGGTCGCCTTCGCCGATCCGACAACAAACCCGGTTTGCGTTGCATTCGATGGGACCGGATGGGACCTCATCTTAGTCATCGGTGTTGACAAGCGGTCGGAAATTGGGGCCCCATACTAGGTCGCTTGCAAAGCTTGTACCGGCTCACGCGGCATTTTGAAAGAGCTGGAGTGGTCGAAACAATAGTACACGTCTTGAGGCCTGTAGGAACCTGGAGGGTGTCCACTCATCCCCGTGCACCCCACTTGCCCAGAGTGCCCACGCATCTTGAGGTACCTTCACCGAGGTCCGACCTAGGAAGTTGTCGCGTGCATCCTAACATGTCACGTGGCACTCCTATCAAGTGTCTGCGTACACAACGGTTTCTCAAGGTCGTCACGCGGTGCCACCCGTCTGAATGCAGGGTTTGCATCAGAGGCGCTCGCGCCCAACGTCAAAGTGTAGCTATACAGAGCCCGTAAACATTTTTCCAGATGTACACGCGTAAACTCGATCCGATTCATGCGTCCTCACGGTGGTGGAGAACGACCATTGCGGCTCTCCGGAATTCTCGGGCGGATTTGTCTTGGCCATCGAATCGCGCACTGCTTCCCCACATGCTCACTCCCTGTGCGCCAGCGTCTGTATCGCACTGACAAGCCCGCTACTGCAGTTTCAAGGGCACAGGTGGAATTCAACTGGCTATCGCGGAGGTCAAGCCAAGAGCGCGAGGCCTTCCATCCTCGAGCAGGGCGCGAGTCGCGGTGCCAATGACGTAGAGCCCGGAGCTGGATGCTCGGCAGTATGCTGGGCATTACCACATAACCTAACGTGGGAAGAGATTGGCAATGCTACTTAAGGGTTCTTGTAGGAACAATAGGTTCATCAATCAAGCTCAGAACCCTTGAGTTTGTCACTGTGTTTGACCGAATATCACAATTATGGGTTTGGGAAGAGTGTGAGTTCACCACCATGGCCGTTATACGTACACATTTGACTGATTCTCAAAAGCTCCGTCCGCATTCGCGGTGCCGAATGTGGCATTGAAGCCATCATGCTCGGGGTCATCACATCGATAGGTGGTTTCCTCTTCGGCTACGACACGGTATGCATCCTCACAACAGCTTTGAGCGATAGGGGCTTATGAATTATAGGGACAAATCTCTGGCATGCTCATCTTCCCCGACTTCATCAGACGCTTCGGACAGGTTCAGGCCAATGGAGAGATTGCATTCGATCCCACCATCCAGTCCCTACTCGTCTCACTCATGTCTATTGGTACCCTAATCGGCGCACTGGCCGGTGCATACACTGCCGACTTTTTAGGACGCCGTCGCAATCTGACGGCGGGAGTCTTTGTATTCGTGATTGGAAACATCATTCAGGTCACTGCGATGGATAGTTGGGTACACATGACAATGGGCCGCATCGTTGCCGGTCTCGGTGTTGGTGTACTGTCAATCGGTGTACCCATGTATCAGTCCGAGGTCTGCCCACGAGAGATCCGTGGTGCTGTTGTCGCATCCTATCAGCTAATGATCACGGTTGGCATTCTCGGTAAGTCTACAGTCGACTCCTCTTCGGATCATACTTACATGTCCTGTAGTCTCCAACATCATCAACTACGGTGTTCGTGATAACCCAGGCGAAGAGTCTGACGCGGCCTGGAGGATCGTCATTGGTCTTGGAATTGCATTCTCGATACCTCTTGGTCTTGGTGTGCTCTTTACACCCGAGTCTCCTAGATGGTTGGCGGGTAAGGGACGTTGGGAAGACGCACGCATGGCGATGGCCCGTCTCCGAGGTTTGGCACATGACCCAACGCACGTCCTTGTCAACGAAGACTTCAACGAGATGCAGGATGCCATCAATGAGCAGAAGAGTGCTGGGCAGGGTACCTGGTTGGAGTGCTTCACTGGCCAGCCCTCCGGCATTCCGCGTCTGGCATACCGCACTCTCATGGGTTGCGCTATTCAATTTTTCCAGCAGTGGACTGGTGTCAACTACTTCTTCTACGTAAGTCCGCATCAGTTCGACAAGACGCTGCAGCAGCATTACTAACAATCGCAGTATGGCGCAACAATCTTCCGCTCTGCGGGTATCGAGGATCCTCTTCAAGTCCAGCTCATTCTTGGCGCTGTCAACGTGGCGATGACGGTTCCTGGATTATACTTGATTGAGCGAGTTGGTCGTCGTGTTCCCCTCGTTCTTGGTGGCCTTTGGCAAGCAGCTTGGCTTCTCATCTTCGCTATCATCGGTGTTGCGCTACCACCCCAGGACAACCCAACCGCAGGTGTGGTCATGATTGTCGCTGCTTGCATGTTCATTGCCAGTTTTGCTGCGACCTGGGGCCCATTCGTCTGGGTTATCATTGGAGAAAGCTTTCCCATCCGAACTAGGGCGAAACAAGCGTCCATGGCAACCGCATTCAACTGGCTTGGTAACTTTTTGATTGGTTTCCTCACACCTTACGCTGATGACGGCATCGGTTACGCCTTCGGATTCGTCTTCTTCGCCTGCAACTTTGCTGCTGCCGGTGTTGTGTACTTCTTCGTTTTCGAGACCAAGTCTTTGTCTCTTGAGAACGTTGATATCATGTACTCAGACTCCACTCTCTCGGCCAGGACTAGCAAGAAGTGGATTCCAGCTGGCTACATCACCCGCAACGAGCGTGATGACTCGTACTGGCAGCGACGCCACAGTGCCGTGGCTGCCGATGGCGCCATTGTAAATGAGAAGTACGATGGCAAGGATGCTGATAGTTCTCCTGAGCGGGGCATGTCGATGCATCAGGAGCGAGTTGACGAGGGACGCAGGGTCTAAATTATGAGTGGGGCTTGAACTGCATTGTTCCGTAATGCATTACTACCCAGACTAAGGAAATGGTGACGAATAGAGATGTTGAATGAATTAAACTACATATCGAATATTGAGTGCTTTAGAAGAACCATAATGCCTGGGTCTTGGTAAGTGAATCCTGTATGATAGGACTAGGCCGCATCACGCCCCAGCTCGCAATGGAGTCTTTGTCGAACAGAAAGATGTTGATTCTCTACATGTGGGGGGTGAAGCCCTGAAGAGAGGTAATGCTGGTAAGTAAATTGAGCGTTTGAAATCATGAACCAAAGTTATTAGTATTAATCCGTGTACTTCCAAGCATCACATTCTCACATCTTCACATTCAGCAGGCCTGTTCGCGTTACACCGACAATTTGTCAACGTTGCTGGTTTCGACCAGTCTACCGAGTACTCCTGTGGCGCTGCATCCCATTGCCACACTACAGACTTTCAGCTGTGCAGCTCATAAGAATGAACACAGCTTTCCTATAAGCCTCATAACTATACTCAAGCCAAGATTATGAACCCAAACCTGCAAACCGGACTTTATACCCCGTCGTCGCATCCCCACCCAAAGATGCCGACACAGCCACATCCCTGCCAATTTTAGCGTGGCGCACATCACAAACACAAGCCTTGACAACGCGTCAGCTCTCCACGTCTTCCCCTCCAGCCACAACAACAACTCCCCGTCTCACTCAGACATTCCAAACCACTTTTTTGTCCTTTACTCACTCGTTATTGCCTTATCTTTGGATTTCACTGGATTGCCAACAAAACCCTTGTTATTTTGCAGCTGCCTTGGGAAGCGGGAAACATATACCTACACAACAGTAACGGCGATGCCTGCTGTCGGCGAACTAGCGCATAGAGCCCTGGTCGAGGCGGGGCCGTCGTCGCTGGTTATGCGGCGCGAAGTTGTGCGTCGCGGGCTCTCTGTAAATCATACACAGGGTGTTACGCTTGGTGTGATTGGGGCGTATGTTGTTGTGATTGCTTTGCTGTGGAATCTGCCGTATGTGCGGTGGGTGTTGTGGCCGTTCAAGGTATGTTTTATTATGCATCTTATTTCGTTCCATCATATTCCTCCTTTTCCATTTCCCGGTTCGATTATTCTAGGTTTATTTCATGTCGTTGTTTCTTTATCGTGGTCATTTGTGGGTTCCATTAGTGGGATGATCTTAGAAAGGTGACACGATACGATGTGGTACGATATCACGTGATCTAGATACGTATGCTAACATCTGAACTCACTACAGATGCTGGTTATTGCCTTCCACGAGTTCTCCCATGCGATAACATCGTGCTGTACCGGCGGCCGTGTAGAATCCATCTCTCTCGACCCACACGAAGGCGGTGTAACTCATATGCGTGGAGGCAAGCAATTCATCACTCTGCCCGCCGGGTATCTTGGGTCTTCATTAATCGGCGCGCTTCTTACATTCTGCGGCTTTAACATTGTGGCCTCAAAAGTCGCTAGTATCGTTCTCGGCGTATGCTTTTTGCTTACACTGTGGTGGGCGCGCAAGGATTGGTTGACGATTGGCACTATCCTATTGAGCGTGGGCTTGCTGGTTGCATTTTGGTTTATCGAGCATGGTGAGGCGTTGAGGTTTTACGTGGTATGCTCTAAGCCCCCGTCACTCCACTTCTCTTAACAGATTCGCTGACGATAAACACAGCTCTTCATCGGCGTAATGTCCTCACTCTACAGCGTCTGGGATATCTGCGACGACTTGATCTTGCGGAAAGTAAACTCATCTGACGCCAGCGTCTTCGCCAAGCGTTATGGAGGATCCTCGCAGTGCTGGGGTGTCATTTGGTCGCTGGTTTCGCTCGTGTTTATGGTTTGTGGGATTTTGGCGGGTCTGGCGGCGTTCAAGCAGAGTTTTGAGCAGCAGGAGAAAGATAGTCAGGGGTTTATTCCTACGCGCTTTTAGGGCGGTGATGGGAAGATGATGTCATCTACGGCGTACTGATATAGCAAAGAGGCGGAAGTGGAAACAGGTTGGCATGGCGTTTTGGAATGACTTCTATGAAAGCACAAGAGATAGTGGGGAGAATGTTTGGGTATACCCTTTTTCTTATGGTTCGGGACGAGTATTTGTCATGATCTATAACTACGTTGTCAGATGCGTTAATGAAGGACTATAGAGATGTATCCGGTGGCTTTCGATTTTCATCAATAGTTGTCATGCATAAATTTTACAAGCAGGAATATCACTAGTTGTATGCAAATTATTTTCATAAAATAGGGCTAGTACCTGCTTCGTTACGATCACACTATAGCGTAAGAGCCCAATCTGTGAGCGAAATGCCATTGGACTAAGTGTTGTAATCAACATCAATATACTCGAACTCACGGCCCCAAAACAAAACTCTCACGTGCCAGGAAAAGGCAAAAGAATTAAGAGAGTATCAAGCCATTTCCATACGGCATACCGAAGTTACTAAGAATCAGGGTGAGAACTAGGCAAAAACAATAAACAACACACTCAGTACAGCGGCCAGACACAGGCACTACACAGCAGTCGACCGTTTCCTTCCCGCAAAATAATTTCCCTGTGGCCCACCTGCACTCACAGACGCTTCCATCTCCTCTGTCTTTGTCCTCTCAGGCGGAAATCTCCTCACAAAGCACTCGGCCACATGGTCACCTTCATCGCAAACAATTATCCACTTGCCCATACCCAAATCCTTGGGCGCGTGTCTAACGCCGCGGCCGCCACCCCCGACGATGAGGTTGCCAGGCCGGTAGGTAGGATCAGCGCGCATACGCTTAATAACGCTGCTGTGTATGACGGCGTTGGCGGGGATGTCGCGTGTTTCGCCTTTGGGAAGCGGCCAGCGAATGGCTTTCCAGGTACTATCTTCTTGAAGATCCATGCGTCGGAAGGGTAGATATTCCATAATATTCCAGGATATGACGCCCATGCGGGTGGCACCGTTGTTGAACTGCAGCACGTCGTGGATGCGGCCTTTGGTGGCGGCTTCATGGAGGTGGCGGTGGAAATGGGTATCTGGCCATTCTTGGTGATGGGAGAGGATGTTGTCGTCGTCGGTGTAGCCGGTCATACCGGATGACGCGGCGCCTGAGCTGGTGTTGGGCAGTGGTGACGCGGGGGCGACTTCGATGGTTGGGACGTTGATGTGTGTCTTTCCGCCGCTGATGTGGGACTCTTCGAGGTAACAACCTAGAGCTTCCAGCTTCTCTTCGTCGAATTCGAGGCCGGCTTTTTGCGCTTCGCGTACCATCCACACGAGGGGAACGTGGCTCAAAGCTGCGTCGTCGTCACCAAGTGGCCAGCCTCCACCAATGTCCTGCCCATGGTCAGTGTCTATCAATGATTGATGATGCGAGATAAACTTACAGCGTGGCACCCTGGAAACCAGACCTCTTGTATGTCTTGATCTTCCTCCTCTGAGTTGAACGTATGTGCACCTTCATACGAGCGCATAGAGGGTGTACCGGAACGATAATTTCCATCTGCAGAGTATCCCCTACTCTGACTGCGCACACCTGAAGTGTCATGCGGGTTTCTGAACACTTCAGGAGGAGCCAGTGTTTCCCGTCGACCTCTGTTACCCTGTTCCTCCTTGTCCGTCTCGTCCATGTACTGTTGTTCGGTACAGTCATGGGCCATTTCCTTCATGTGCTGTAGATGCTTACGACGGCGTTTGTAGTACATGGATCTGTCAGGCTTCTCTTGTGACACAAGATCTTGTCGAAACTTTGCTCGACGCTCGTCTATGGCGACTGCGTGTCGAATGACGACAGCGCTACTTCGCGCGGTGTAGGGGAATCTACTGCGCTGCATCCATGCATTTTCAAACGCTGGGACACTGTTAACTGTGTCGAAGAGACCAAGAAAGCGGATTGGCTTGACTGGGCGACTGAAAGTCTCCCTGAAAGCGCACATGAACTCTAGGAGTTTGTGCTTTTCCGACTTTTCGCCAGGCGTGCGGTCCTTACGCTTCTCGTCTGGTAGGCGGCATTGCCACTTCTGAAATGTTCTGGGGCGCTTGGTTAAAAAATTACGAACAGAAGTAAGCGGGTATACTCACTTCCATGCAAACTGGCACATTTCTTCATTGCCTGCCTGCAATAGTCAGAACCTTTCGTCAAAGAACGGTGATATCTTGCTTACCGACAAAAGGCCAACGTGATCGAGCATCTCAGCAAGAAAACGCGCCGTGTATGCGCCTCGCGAGAAACCGAAAAAGTATATGTCGTCACCAGGAGTGTAGTATCGCATGAGAAACTAGATAAGTTGTCAGTCCGATAGGAAGTCTTGGCGACCAGAAAATTGTCGGCCATGAGACTTGTTCGTTGCTTACTCTGTATCCTGCCATGACGTGCATGTCAAACGAAGTTCCTAGCCAGAGTTAGACTGCGTACATCAATACTCAAGTCTTGTGATATACCAATTGCACTGTCTTTGGCCTTGGCATACCAAGACTGGAACTTATCCCATCGTCCTGTTCGGGTCATGGAACCGTCTGCCTTGGTAACGTAGGTGCCGATTCCGGGCTGATAGTAATGAAACTGATCATCTCCATTGCGGTCAAGCATTCGATATATCTTGAGGATATTGCTGTCTGCATCTGTACCAGAGAACTTGTTGCCTGTGCCATCAAAGCACAACACAAACTTTTTGGTCACATGGCCCTGCTGGCGTGACACTGCTCCGTAGTCCATAGGGTTGTTATGAGGAGTAGGAACAAACACTTGTGGAGGAATATTGGACGATTTCGTCTGTTCAGTGTCTTTTGAAGCCATATTTACAACCTGTATCTTGGTAGGGAGGGGCACTTGGCTTCGAGGGGAAGCCGAGTCTTCAAATGTGGCGAGCGCGATGCGTGGAGCAACTAGGGCGAAGATCGCTCCGCCCTCTAAGCTTGCGCTTGGGATCAAAACACATGGGAATGTAGATCATGATGGCTAATGCGACACGGGATTCCCTTCGCCTATCGAGAAAGGCTGAGATTGCATATGGCGGACTCGGACTCCTCCCGTAGCTAGTCAGAGGTTAGTCATTGTTTTCACATGCCGTTTGCTGCACGATTCTGATTGATCCCTCACGAGACGAGCTAGCTACACTGTGCAACTCAGGCCCCCACATACTGCAACGATGAGGGTAGCGGCAGTGCACAAGCGTTGACTGACACGAGGCACATCAGCGATACACGGCAGACCGCTCTGCTGTCTTGTGGGACATGGCTGGGGAAAAGACGTGTTGCGCAGGGCACAAGAATATCGAACCAATGTCTCATCCGGGCCAGCCTCCCAGTGGACAGCATGGTGTAATGAGAGCACGCGAGTTAGTTGGGATCCATACGGAAAGCGCCGAGAGGTTGTCAAACAACGGAATCCACCAATGGACCATGTCGAATTGGCTACCTCTCGAAGCTATATGCAGCCACGCGTCGATCGATACAAGTGAGGTAGTGGTGTCGATGTGCTCGCCGAAGTCCACAGAGGAAAAGCACATCGCTTCTCCTTTGAGACGTGGGCAGGCGCTAACCTATCAGCGAGCATCATCTGTGGGGAACAGGCCCGTGCGGGCCGCCTTGATGTCCGTCGTCTCGTCTATCGCACTCCTCTCCGTGCCATCCACGAGCGCACGAACGCCTGCATCCCATACCGGCCCGGACAATATAGCGGACGTCTCCGGGACAGGCCGCAGCAGGTCGCCCACGCCGAGGCTAGCACCTCTGTAGAAAATGCTCCTGCACAGGACCTGAAACTTGTCTTCTCTTCACCGCCAACATGAGCTGAACGCCTTTCCACAGCATCTCACTAGCACCGCGAGGCGCAACTACTCGCCCGAAAACAATTCTGGTTAATTTCACTACCGCAAGGGCTAAGCTCCACATGCGAGCGACAATCTACCACCCGAGCATAGCTGGATCGGGATGACGATCGTCTCGTAGTTCAGTAGTTCAACACCGGGTACCGTTGACGTCTTTCCAGCTGGGACGTCCTTGATGCCCACTCCTAGTATCCATCCATAGCGGCTTGCCTCGGCAGGTCACACCACAACAAGTCTCAGGCAGCCCCATAATGGTGAACCTCAGCAATGGCCACTGTACTTGTGTGCCCGTCACACGTTTCTTTTGCGCCTACCCCATGGCATTGCGAAACATAAGTATTAAGCATTAAAAGCGGGCCAGGGTCATCGCCTACGTATGCACAGATATGACCTCGCTGGGTCATGTGCCTATCCGAACGATTGACCACGCTGCTCGCAGATCAGAATAGACTTGGCGCTGTTCAGCACTGTCTGTCAAATCTTAGCGACGGTAGCGCCGTAGCCATTTCGTGCTGCCCTGCAAAGTGACAACTAAATCCAATAAGCGTCAGCCAGGTCGTGACTAGCAACGCCATGATAATACCAAGTCCGAAAACGACGAAAACGACTTCATACCGCACCCAAGCGGGCATGATCCATGTGCAATCACTAAGTATCATTCGCGGCCTGCACATGCTGATCACAGCCTTGCTCCTGCTAGTGATCGTCGGGAGACGACTAGCTCGCTGCCAGGATGTAGCTCTACCAGGGACAGCATGACGCCCTTCAGTGTTCAATGCTCTTTCGTTAAGTTGCATCAAAATTCCCTGAGCAAGTTCGCCAACTACTTGAACTTGTTTTCTATTCCTTCTTCCTATCATCACATGTTCACACAACCAGATTCATCATGCCCGGTCAATTATCAACACTAATTGGGAAGATCAGGAGGAAGCCTACATTGGCGAGCGATGGCAGGACAGCAGAAGCTGCCAGTGGCGTCTCAAAGAGCAACCAGAAAACTAGCGTTGTTAGCGATCTCACAGGCTTAGGAGTCAAGAATGCCAAATTTGCACTCGATGCCATCACGACGCTTGCTTCTGGTGAGCCTCTGGATGACAAAGACCTCCTCCTCGAGCAGGGAGTTCAGATGCTCCAAGGCCTGCCACCAAACAGTGGTCTTGGCGCGAAGGTTGCAGATGGCTTCATTGCAATGCTTTGGAATGACCTGCCACATCCAACGCCGACACATGCCGGACCTTCAGCGCGATACCGGAAGCATGACGGCTCTGGGAACAACCCCCACAACCCTGAGATGGGCAAAGCAGGATCTCCGTACGCGCGAAACGTACCACCAATGAAACCAAAAGGTAAGCCATTCTAATATGGCATATTTGTGATTGGTATTGACAACAAACCGCAGGCCCCAACCTACCTGATGTTGAGGACGTATACGAGGCGCTTCTGAAGCGCAGTGGTCCTTTTCGCCCACATCCCTCAGGCCTCAACCGCCTGTTTTTCTCTTTCGCAACCATTGTGATCCACGAGTGTTTCCAGACGTCCAGGACGGACCCTTGGATCAACGAGACTTCCAGTTATGTTGACCTCAGCACTTTGTATGGCAACACCGAGAAGGAACAGAAGCGTGTGCGAACCTATAACAACGGCTTGATCTACCCAGACTCAATTGCTTCGGAGCGCATCATGATGATGCCACCTGGTGTAGTGGCAGTACTCTTGATGTTCTCCAGGAACCACAACCATGTCGCAGAGTCATTGTTTTCGGTGAACGAAGACGGCAAGTACAAGCCCTGGGACACATTGGACGACGAAGGCAAGAAATGGTAAGTCTCATTGTGAATCGCATCCTGGTGACTTAAGATACTTGATATACTAGTGTACAAAGGTCACGGTGTGCGCCAGACGCGCCTATTAGGTGCTTACCCACACTGTCAAGTATTTTATGTCACCCAGGTGCCCGTATGCAGATGAGTTCTAACTCTAATTTATAGGCAAGACGAAGACATCTTCCAAATTACACGCAACATTAATGTTGGGTTCTTCGCATCAGTCGTACTTCGCGACTATGTTGCGGCTATTCTCAACACGCCGCGCGCCAACTCAGAGTGGTCCCTCGATCTCGGCAAAGAGATCAAGCAGGGAGGCACGCGCGTGGAACGCGGAACTGGCAGTCACGTTTCCGTTGAATTCGCTGTCCTTTATCACTGGCACGCTGCGCTTAGCGCAGCAGACGATCAGTGGATGGAAGACATCATTCGTTCCGTCTACCCTGATTTGGAACACATCGATGATGTAACCATTGAGATGTTTCACCAAGTCATGAAAGTATACGGCCATGACCTTATGAAGAAAGAGCCTTGCCAGTGGACATTCGGAGGTCTTGAGCGAGGTCCTGATGGCAAGTTCGATGACGAGCAGCTAGCTGAGCTGATCAAAGATTGCATTGAAGAGCCTGCACACGCATTTGGTGCTCGCGGTACTCCGGCTAGTCTAAAGGTTGTTGATATCATGGGCCAATTGCAGGCGCGTGAGATGTTCAACGTGTGGTAAGATATTCTAGAAACACTACCTAGGGCTGGTCTCAAGAGTTTCGCTAACTATATTTAAAAGTACGCTTAATGAGTTCCGGGTGTACTTGAATTTGAAGCCGTACGACACGTTTGAAGACTGGTGCTCCGATAAGGAGACGGCGCGAGCAGCTGAGCTGTTGTACGGCCACATGAACAACATGGAACTGTATCCCGGTTTGATGGCCGAATGCACCAAGCCAGCCGGACCGGGAAGCGGAGTCTGCCCTGGACAAACAACTGGTAGAGGTATCTTGGATGATGCTGTCGCATTGGTTCGTGGTGATCGATTCCTGAGTTACGACTTCAACAGCAACACCCTGACGCAGTGGGGTGCGGCTCTCCTTTCGGAGACAACACCAGGGGCTTACGGTGGTGTTCTACCAAAGCTGCTCTTCCAAGGTCTTCCGGGTGGGTTCACTGGCACATCCACCTATGCGCTCCTGCCCTTCTATACGCCCAAGGCAGCTCAGGGCATCATCAAAGGCAACGGCGTCCTCGACAAGTACGACATCAAGCGTCCCCCTAGCGACTACGAAATCATCAGCGTACAGACGCAAGAGGGCTGCAAGGCGATCTTCAACGACCGCAAGGCCTTCGTCGTAATGTACCAAGCCGCTATCCGCAATTGCACGGCAGGACACGACTTCATGATTGGGTGGGACGAGCAACAAAAGCATGACGAGCGGTCCAAAATTCTGCACAAGGTCTTCTTCGAAGAAGGATTTGAGAAGAATATCAACGACTTCTTCACAACAAATGTTCGTAATCTGATCAAGAAGAATTCGCTCAAGGGTGCAAAGGGTAGGATGAGTATCGACATTGTCCGTGACGTGACAAATATCACGCCCATCCTCTGGCTTGCAGACCGCTTTGCCCTTCCTCTGAAGACGCAAGAGCAACCTAGAGGCTTGCTATCAGTCCATGAAGCCTTCCTCGCCTATCTGGTTCTTTGTAAGTTGACCTATCTACCCCCTCCTGTATTCTTCAACTAACAACATCAATAGTCATGTACCAATCCTTCAACATCATGCCGCACAACGAATGGAAGCTACGCGCTGGCGCCATGACTGCAGCAGCACCCCTCCGTTCCATCTTCGAAACCCATATCAAAACGCAAACCGGTCGTCTCGAAGGCCTAGTAGACTGGATGGCAAAGGGTTCTGCTTTTGAAGTTGGCAAACACGCAGACCGCATCTACCACGCTCTTGCAGACTCCAAACTGCCCATTGGCGACCTCGTCGGCGACTGTATCGGCATGGGCGCCCCTGTTGCCGGCAACTTAACGCAACAAGCCAGCCTCCTGATCGACCTATTCCTGCGGCCCGAGTACGCACAATACAAAGACCGCATTGTGGAGCTCGCACACATGGCACCCGAGGCCTCAGACCGCGAACTCCAAGGTTTCGTCTACGAAGGCATGCGTCACGTAGGCGTGGTGCCAGGCCTCCCCCGTATAGCCACCCGCGACATCACCGTCCAAGACGGCGTGCGAGGTCCCGTGTCCATCAAAGCCGGCCACACCATCCTCATCGCCACATCCAAAGCCGCCATGGACCCCATCGCCTTCCCCAACCCAGAAATCCTAGATCCCCACCGCCCATTCACATCCTACACATTGCTAGGCCACGGTCTCCACTTCTGCTTTGGCGCCCGCCTCGTCGGACCCAGTCTAGCCTCTACTCTCCGCGAAGTCTTCAAGCTACCAAACGTCCGCCGTGCACCCGGTAAACAGGGCCGCTTTACCGTCACAGAACATAAACTCGCGGGTATCACTATGCGGCACTACCTCGATGCTAGCTCCAAAGAAAGTCCCATCCCCACTTCGCTGCGTCTACACTATGATGCTGAGGAAGTTGCTCCAACACCCGTATTGCGTGCCATGAATGGAGGGGCGGCAGGTAAGAGGGCGAGTAGTGCAAGTATGATGACAAGTCTTACGAATGGACGGGCGGTTGCGGGACCGAGCGGCACAAAGAGACATTCCAGTGGGGGTGCGTTGGGTGGGCTGACCAACGGGCACACGAATGGTCTTCTCAATGGAGGACATGCCAATTTCCCGAGTAATGGACATGCTAATGCTGGGGGGAAGAATGAGTATGGGAATGCGTATACGATTGCGCCGTAAAGGGGAAGTGAGTGAGTTGGCGGGTGGATGGATGGATCGCAGTTTGATTTCGGGAGTTATTGTCGTTGTTATGTCACTTTCACTATCCTAGCTGCCGTTAATAACGATACCATATTTATTCCAAACTGATCGAAGCAAGCGGTACTCATACTTCATGCTCTCATCCACTTCTCCTTCAACATTCATTTACCACAAGCAAGACGATCTGAAATTCTAGCATGTTGAATATTGATACTACAAAATCTCCTCGATTCCCTACTCTCCTTGAAGAAGAGGAAAGAAGAGAAGTACGCAAAGATATGATAGTCTTCCTTGAAGCGCCATGTACCTCTTGCTAACCTCAAACAAATCCATACCCACTTTATAAAAATACACGCAACGCAGTTTGCCTCCTTTTGCAAACAAACATACCGATAGAGAAAAGAAAGAGAACACCACAAAAGCAATTCTGATGTTCATGCCTACGCCATCCTCGGCAAAGGAGGAAGCGTATGCGGATCCCAATCGCCATTCGCGCCACCCTCATCATCACTCTCGTCTTCGCTTGCATCCTCTGCCTCCCTCCGTTCAAGCTCATCTACATCCATGAGATCCTCATCTTCATCCTCATCACCGCTATCCATGACCGGTCTGACATCCGCGGCGCCCGCAGGGTTACTACTTCTCTCGCCCTTTGGCCTACCCCTCGGCGCCGACTTGCCACCCTCCCAGCGATCCAGACGACGTAGGGCTCTCGCCAGCATCTTAGCGCGGTAGTAAGATTCCTCGCCGTGGTCGTTTGTTTCGCCGCCAAAGTCTAGGGGAACGAGACCCGAGGGCATGGGAGGGGGAGTTCTAGTTCCGATCTCCATGTCGGGGAGTTGTGCGAATTGGGCGTAGGATTCTTCGTCAGTGTCGTAGCCGTCGCCCATGCCTTTGCAGCGGATCCAGGAGCGCATGAAGTTGTTGTTTTTTCGGCGCCGCTTGGCGGCTGAGGCATATTCGAGGCGGATGCCTCGGTCGAGGATTACGTCAACGCGGCGGCGGCGGTATTGCTCGACGGCTAGTTGGTGTTGTGTAAGTGGGCGGGTGCGCTTGTGCGAGGGGTCGGAGCCGTTTAGGGGGAGGTAGAAGCCGTGCGGGCCGTTGAAGGTGGGTGCTGACGTCGAGGGGGATTGGCCGTCTTGGGAGGTCGGGGCGTCGAGTTTGGTCTTGAAGCTGCGGGCTGCTGGGCCACCACTAGCACCTATGCCTGACGCACGATTGCGTGACCAGTTTCCACGGCCAGGGCCCTTGGGTGCAGGGGACGATGCGGGACCGTCCTCGTTAAGTAGGGTATTGATACGCATATTGGGTGTCGCGACCTTTTTAGCTGTATTGTATACGCTGTTCGGAGGAGACGCCGATCGAGTGCGATCGGTATCTGAAGGGTAATCTCGTTCGATGATGGATTTGGCAAGCTTTCCACGCCCTCGTGCAGAGCCTATCGTTGTTAGACTTGTTCATTCATATGCCATTAAGATTTACCATGCGATGGCGACTGCCTGTCTCGCCCCGGCGTTGAAGCACCGTCGTCGGCGGCTATAGAGAAAACTGGGTTCTGGTTGAAGCCTGTGGTAGGGTAAGATCAGGTAGTCTATGTGACGGAACGAACATGTTGCATACCCTTCTTGTTGGTCCGCTTAGGACCTGTCACGACAGGCGCCATATCACTTGCCAATATGGCCGTCCTCTCCTTGCGCTTGATCTCGCCAAATGCCTTCTCGTCAACTGAGTCGACGTTTTCCAGCGCCTCCTGCTCTGGAGTCAAGATCTCAAAGGGCGGGCACTTCATCGGAAACTCTGAGGTTGTCGGGTCGTCTGACGGCCCAAACTGGCCTGGTCCAAATGGGTTCTTCTCAGCGGCCTCCTTGGAGAAATCGCTTTCGAGGTACCACCACATGAGCCAGAGGAAGGCTGTAGCCCTGCTCTTACTGCTCAGGTTGGAGCGCATGACGAGGTCGAAGAAGTCGCGGGGCGGGAAGAAGTGCAGCTCGGAGATCTTGGGCGCGTACTGGGAGAGGACGAAGATGAGGTTTACGGGGTTTGTGCGCGGGATGGCAGCGGCCTGGATCTCCTCAATGGTGCTGGGCTGCTCCGAATCCTCGGTGGCACCTTTGAGGATAGACTTGAGGCGCGGCGCATCCTGCAGCTGCTTATAGGCATTGGGGTCTTGGTGGGCTTGGAGCGAGGGGATCGAGTGATAGGTCCGTAGCTGAGCGCGCATCTCGGGGAAGAAGTTGAGCGTCGTGTTCATACGGCCGACGTTGACCAGCAGACACACCATGGCCATGTTGATGGCGGCCGGGCGCTCGGTGAGCAGCTTGTCCTTGAGGATCTTGCTGCACTTGCTGCTCTTGGCCATGGCATCGAGGTAGATGTCGGCAAACGTATGGCCCCCTGTGCTGTCCGACTGCTTGGTGAAGACGCGGCGGTCATCCTCAAAGACAAGCTTGAGGAAGTCGAACTGAATATCCTTGCGCCACAGCGGGATACCGTCGTCCTTTTTGAGGTGCTTAATCTTATTGCCGCTGTAGACGGATGAGACGCTACCATTTGCGTTGCGGCGCGTCGTCGTCGTCGTGGCAGTATAGTAGGGCCTTGCAGCGTCGCTGTCGTTGGCCGGGCGCTGCGTGTCGGGCGCATCCAGGCCAGCTTCACTCTCGTCGGGCACAGGCGTGTTGGCGTGCGAGGGGTCGGGCTTCGCGTCGTCCATGGTGTGCGGCGGCTCAGCAGCCAGAATGTGTCGCAGGCTGTTGCGGGAGTCGGGCTCGTCGGCGCGAGGAGAAGGTAGAGGGCGAGGGTTTGCCATGACGAAGGCGCGACACTTGACACTGCTCGCACTAAGCCTGTGCTGGTTGCGCGCCCGGTTCGGATTGGCCCTGGGGCGTCTACAAGGTTTCAAAGAAGCAAGGATGCGTATCACAATTCACGATATTCTGGCGTCCCCATTCCACGGCCAAAAGTCACTTCGCCGATACGAACCCCCAGCAGCCTTGGACAACCCTCGCCGTGCTAGCGCCAAAGCACCCCCGTGTTCTAGAACATGGCTACCGTCAAACTGCACATGTGCAAACATTGCCAATTCACTCCAACTTGCACACTCTGGAATTTAACTCGAGTTTTATTGAAACTTGTACAAATCCAAAATCCCAGCACTGCATCCAGAACGTGCCCTGGACCGCTGGAATCCGACTTGCGCCGCGCTACGAAGCAAACCAAAACCCACTATAAAAATAAATAATCAGGATATCTCGGCAAAAGAAAACAAAAACATAAACGACGCCGCTGCAATGCTCAAGCCGAAACCATATACAGTTGCCTGCAGCGAGCAGGCGGGTATCCAGAACGCCAAATATCGTCCGCTCTTCTGTACATGGTCCATCCAAACAACCACACATCCAGTCCGTGGCCCTGAATTAAGAATCAAAAATTAGACAACGTGTCTGTAGATTGCGACACAATCCTGTGTCTAAAAGACCAGAGTCTTGCTCAGTCAAATGCCGTCTCTTCCCGTACCATTAAAGGGTTGTGTCGAGCGTTCATTCGCCCATCCATCCGTGCCTCTCCACGATAGTTGCTGGTGCCCGAACTGCTCGACCCTTTGCGGTGTCCACCCATGCCCATGTTCATGAGTAGCATGCCACTCTCGCGTTTCCGCTGCCGTTGCTCTCGGCTACTGCTACTCTGTACTGCACCATTTAGGCTACCATAGCCCTCTCCTTGACGGTATGGCTGCTCGTAAGGTGGCGCTTCATACGTCGGCCGCGTGGACACAAAACCGGATTCATAACCACTTTGTTGACTCTGGTGATACCGTTGCTGCTGCTGCTGCTGCTGCTGCTGTTGTTGTTGTTGTTGTTGTGGGGGTTGAGGGGGTGGGTAATTTGGAGCACTGCGTCCACCTTGAAACGAAGGGGGTGGTCGTTCCATACGCTGGTTGAATGTCGTCTCGTTGTATGAAGGCGTCGGGACTTCCGAGAACATTTGTCGACGAGGGGATCGAATTGCCACGTCGTCAGACACATACGAGTCATTCCGGATCTCGTGGATGGGTGAGCTGGCCTCGTCGAGTGCCATGCCAAAGATGTCCGTGAAATCGGTCAAGAAGAACGAGATCAGCGGTGCTGGAATGTTGAGCGTCGGCGCAAACACGATGCCGACATTTCGCACCGTCATCTTGTTCACCTCGGAGTTGTCAACAATCTCGATGAGAAACGACGACAGGTGACGTAGTAACTCAAAGTTGTTCTTAGGAAGCCTGTGCACAAGGACATTGAAGCTCTGAATCTTCTTGCTGCGCTCATCCATATCTGCAATACGTCAGTACATGAACCATTGAAGCTAGTTCCGAATAGGGACTCACCGAGAACCTTGAGAAAGTCAAGATGCAGTTCTCGAGTTAGGACAGAGGCGGGTAATTCTCGCAAGTACAGTTTGAGCAGCGAAGCCACGGCATGGACGTCGTAGTACTCTCCTTCCAAGAGCTTGATGTCACCTTCGTTGTTGAACCGGTCGCGCAATCCTTTGATAACAATGTTGGATCCACTGAGCCTAAAGATGCCCTCTTCGCTTCTCGCCTTCTTCGCTCGGAGATACTCCAAGCACCTGTACACGACGGCTGGCAACGCAACACGAGCGTCAGGCTGGGTATATTCCACGGCTTCCATGAGCGGAATGCCGAAAATGCTGCGATTAGCAGGCATGCGTTGCTCGACAGGGGGCTTCAGTGGCGCTTGCACTTGAACAGGCACGAGATCGTTTGAGCCGCGACCTCTAAATCCGAATATGCTTCGCTTTTTGTCCTTGACCGCCGTGGGGCCTGACGGCAATTTAGCACCCCAGCTTTCAGCGTCCTTGATAGGGGTTCCATTGCTAGGACCAGAAATGGAGGGATAATGTCCGGACATATCTTGCAAGAAGCCATTGTCTTTTGGTGACCCTCGCGAAGGCTTCTCCCTCAGTGTATCGCGATGGTTGGGGCCGTGGACTGGAGCTTGGGCTGCAACAGTGTCATCATAGCTGATGCCCTGTGTGCGGCTTTGCTCTGCTAAATCCGGGCTTTCCCTACGCTGGGACCGCGTCGAATCTTGGCTGGCCTGTTGTTTTTGAACGCGTGGCGCACTGGGAGCACGAACTTCTTGTGGGGAGCTTTCTTCTAGTATCTCAACATGGTGCAGAAGAGCTTCGACCCAAGCGTCTCGCTCTTCGTCGTTTTCGGCACATAGAACATGGCGAACTAAGCTTGAGGAGTCTTTGCGCTTCGGCTCTAGGATCAAGAAAGCATGTCGATACTGATTGTCCTCTGAATCGTCTTTTCGCTGGGGCGATGAGTTTGAAGACTGTTGTTGTGATTGTTTACCGATTTGTGCATTCTGCAGCTTGATCGTGCCCAGATGTGCACCGCCCTCCCCTTCAAAGTACTTGAATTCACTGCCGTCCAGCACAAAGAAGCGGGCCTTCCAGCCTCCAAAGTTCTTGCCGCGTTTGGTGAGGTAGCCTTCCTTTCGAGTTGTTTTCGGGTTTGGAATTGTCAATGCCGGTCCTGTGGGCTCTGGGGCTAACCTGTCACCAGCTTGCGCGCCAATTACGTCAGTAGACAGATATTCGCAAACAATCATGGCCGTCTTTTCGTTCATGGGTGTCTCCAAGACAGTGTCCATGTACTGGTTGAGGGCAACTCTTCGAGCATCGATCTTTGCAGGGGCATGTCCTCCGAAAAGAGCACGGTCAGGGAGTCGGCCTTGGAAATCACAATTAGATCTCAGTTGAGAGTCCAGAGTAGGCAATGTAGCAATCGTCTTCTCTACGCGCCACAGCTGCTTGTTGTCTGAGCGGGCATAGATTGCGAGGATGAAGACAGGGTCCTCGTCCTGAGGTTTCGGGGCTAAGAAGCTCAAACGCGATGGTCGGAGACGAGACGAGAAAACCTTGACTTGGATGGAAGGCAGTGCATTTGGCGGAAGCAAGAGTCCCGGGTACTGATCTGAAACAAGACCTCGATAAACATGCTCTGCGTCTGGGATATCATTCAATGTAGGGCTACTCGATGGTGAGTCGGGACTAGGGTGTGCACCAGGTACTGTCAAAAGGGCTGTAGCTGATTCCTTGTTTGACTGCGCAGTCTTTTGGCCCTGACTTGTTGGTGGTGACTGGTATGACTGTGGTGTGTTCGGCGGAATGGGTACCATCTGCTGGAGTGTCCGCGTTGCTGGATGATTCATGACGCTGGGCGACAGGGGTGGTGACGCCAACGACGACGGCTTGGGGTTTCTCGGCAGCGGTGATCCAAGTGGTCTGTCTGTGGGTCGGGGACTAGACGGAAGTCCGGGGCTCAAGAGGGGCGATGCAACGCTTCGGTTGGCCATCATGGAACTGTCAGAGTTTGCAGGGCTGAGCAGAGCATTCAGAGAGCTTGCAGGCGGGTGACGAGGAGAAAGTGGAAGGCCGGTAGGTTGATATGCTTCGAGCTGACGAGACGAAAGGGGTGGTGGCACTGCCTGATGTTGATCGTTGCCACGAGTTTCAGCAGGGGTAGCCTGTTTGCTGTGGTTTTCATTCTTCTTCTTCGACTTGCTCCGTGCCTCCTGGTCTTGCGAATACAAAGCCTCGCGCACCCTATCGTCCTCTTCACGCGTTTTCCTCCTTCCACGCTCCACTTGCGGTATCTCATCCACTTCTAGTGTGTCGTCGTAATCCGACTCGGCGTCGTCACCGTGCACAGCCTGGTGAAGGTGTGCGCTAGTCGTCATCGGCTTGGAGAGGTTGAGGGGAGCTGGCGGGGCTTTTCGCATAGGGTGCACAGGCTTTGGTGAGGGCGAGTCGAAGCCATCGCTGCCAACGATTGGGGTGGCATGGATGAGGGAGATCTGGGGAGGTTGGAGCTGGGATTCACCTGGAACTGGTGTCGCGTCAGCGGCAGTTGCGGGGGGCGTCGTTGGGTTCGGGGCGCGTTCAGGCGGTTCAGCAACAGTGGGAGGTTGTAGTAGTGTTGCCTCTAGACCAAGGCCTGCAATGCCAGTGTTTTGGGGCTGGGCGGAGTTGTCTGTAGGTGAGTTGAGGGCGGAAGTGTTGTTGGATGCGGTGGATTGAGAGGGCGATGTCGCTAGATGGGAGTCTGGTATGATATGAGGGGCGGGGTGTTCTTGGGTCAGGGGAGATGGCGATGTCTTGTGCTCTACAGTCCTCGAGTCGCCAAGCTTGGCTGAATCGTCAATGGGCTCACTAGGGGCTGGTGACGCGCTGTTCTCACGTTCCATGACAGAATCAAAGGTGTCGGACTTTTGTAATGCGCCAGGACCTGGTGGTGCCTGCTCGGCGTACTCTTTGAATTTCCTGCGATAGCGGTCCTTGTCCTTCAATGCGCGCTCCAGGTCTTTCTGCAGACCAATGACCATGGACCGTTGCTTTTCGACCAGCCGCCAAAGCTGGGCATTGTGGCTGGATGTGTTTTGCTTTTCCTTCCATAGAACGAGCATGGCAGCCTCTGGCGAGCCGGCCGTGGCTATCAAGGCGGCCATATCTGGTGGATTTGCGGTGCTCGTATCCTGGGACGGGCGGGGCGCATGGCCGCCAGGAGCAGCCGTGGACGAGAGCGAGGATGCTGCCGAGTCTATCGAAGGGTTGCGGACAGGCACCGTCGGCCTCGTCTCAGGCCGGTTAGGACGCGACGGTGGAGGCATGATGAAGGGCGAGGCTGGCGGGGAGAATCCAGCAGACGAGGAAAAAGAAAAGCCAGCGGACGAGAGAGCGGGAGACGAGACCTGGCGTAGCTGGGCATACGCAGACGGCCTCGTGGGCGTGCGGAAGCCGGTAGTGGAGAAACTAGTGGTGGAGAAGGTAGACGAGGGCAAGCTGGGAGGTGTTGGCGGATGCGCTGGTTTGGCCTGGCGAATGGGATCGGGCGTGGTGTGGTGGTCCTCTTCTGCAAGTAGGGCGTCGAGCTTCTCGCGTGGGCTGCGCGGTTCGTCGAAGCGTGGACTGTCGTGATAGGGCCGTGGGCGAAATGGGGATCCGCCGTTGAGAGGCGAAGATAGAGGGCTCGGGGCCTGTTTGCGACGGCCTCGAAAGTGGAGTTGCTCGTCCGCAGTGGCCGGCACGTTGTTGGAGCGCGTCTCGTCCTCGCGAAAGGTGCGAATGGTGCTCGCAAGTGACGGCGAGGACAATGAGAGAGAGATCGACGGGTGGTGGTGAGGGAGGTCTTGTGCCGTCGACCTTTCCTGAAGCATGTCTGTATCGGTCCTCATGCTTCTCAAACCAGCTTAGCCGGGCGACCAGGATTGCCCGACGGTACGTATAACAGATGCAGAGGATTAGTGGGGATTAGCCGTGTTTCGGTGACGGTTTGAGTGTGTGGTAAATGGATGCTGCCGCGCTCAGCAGTCTCGTCAGCACCTGGGCGTCCAGCGCAGCATGAGACAAATGCTCGTTAGAAGTGGCAGCCGGGGAAAGAGGGCGGCGACTGAAGAGACTTGTCGTCTGGTCTGGTAGCAGCACCACCAGCGCCGAGCCCTCATTCGGCGCCATAGGCGCCCTGGAGAGACGGGCCCTCGACGACGCCTCTGATTACCGAGCTAGCACGGTTCCTGCAGAAGCGAAGGCGCTTTGTCTCCATGATCGCCTCGGCCAGCATAGCGAGGGCCCTCAGTGCTGCGTCCCCTCACGTTTTGGATATGCCTAGAGCCGTGACCATCCTGGTCGACGGCTTGTCAGCGTGCACGCAAGAGATGGGCCTGCGCCGCCTGATTGGAGCATGTCTGTGGCTTGCTGCCCATCAGCAGCGACGACTTCCTCACCACTGGCCGCCCACGCCTGTAATGCAGACAGGCCATCACGCTGACGCTTCCAATGCAGATGAGCTGTACCACCCACTGGCCGTCTCATGCCCACCGACGAATGTCCGCGTGGTCAGCAGCTGTGTGTGCGTTGTGTGTGTGCGTGTGTGTGTGTGTGTGTGTGTGTGTGTGTGTGTGTGTGTTGGATGCTGGTCAGCAAACTCAACTGTGGGCCCACATTGATTGGCGATAGGCGGCACTCCCAGCAGACGGCGACATTATGCTGCTGGTGGTGGTGCGGAATCTGGCTGACTCGAACGTGTTTGCCGATTGCAGATTGCAGATATACTGGTATAGACCGCAGGCTGCAAGACTTCCAAGATTATCCTTCACCTCCCCCGCACGGACTGGGTTCCAACGTGTGCGAGAGAGAAGCTTTTCGCGTGCGGAAATGAAAAGGGACCCCCGCATGCGCGTCGAATCGCCGGCGATCTGCTGTGATTCGTCCCGTGTGTGCCTGACCATCTCCCCGCCGCAGCAACAAGACGAGACACAATCTAGTCCTCGTGCCGCCTCCTCTATCCGCCATGACACCGCGGCTGAATACCCTCCGCACACCTACAGTACTGGAAACACAGGCTGCTTGGACCCAGATGCTTGTCGTATGACTTTCGGTAGGAACCTACGACCTGCAGTGCTTCTGAAACCCCACCGTGGTCAAGCGAGTCTCCTGCAGGGAGCCGCCGATAGCTCTGGACTAGCACTCAACCGTCGACGCCACCTGCCACCACGAGAGACGCGGATGCATTCTTTTCGTCTGCATCAGGGGTAGTCAATTGTGAACATCCAGATGTCAGTCCGTCTCTCGCTTGTCTTCGCTGCCCGACTAGTATTCTCTGTCGCGATATAGTGTCAGAAAGAGCACATGAAGATTTTTTTTCCAACACGCCGTGTCCCGTCCCGTCTCCTCAGATCTCACTTCGTACATGACTTATAAGTACATCTCACCGGAACCTCCAAACACCCACGATTTAGCCGACGTATGCAGGGTCAAACTGAGGCAGGCGCGGCCCAGAGAGGCGGCCAGCATGACCGGCACTGTTGTTTCTACGCAATTCAACCCCACACCCCCAGCTTTTCACCCATCTAATTATATATCCAATTCATCTCGCATGTCTGACTTCCGAGAGGCCAAGCCACAGCATTGCGACTCTTGCCGTCACATGCACCTATTACCGTCTTTCGTAAAACAAACACTACCACTACACGTCATAGCATGCATCACAGCTTCCAAATCGCTGTCTTGGTGTCAATGCATACGTAGCACTCAATATGAACAATTTGTGCGGAACGAGATTTCCCGCTGAACAAAGCCCTGACCCATGGTTCTCCTCTTGGAAACGTGGAAATAGTCGACTTCGGAATATGCAAGCGGCATAGCTGCCAATAACGCCTCATCGGAGCTATGGAATTGGGGGCGCCATTGATGCTACATGGTGGAGGTAGGTCACTTGGCGTCCAGCGTAACGGGAAGAGCTGTTTATCATATTCCCAAACTCATTTAGGAACTGAATATAGAAAGTGCTCGGTCCGAAACATGACTTACTGAACGTCACACACTGTTCCAATCAGGCCCATGAATTCGATAATAAGATTAATCTCCCCCATGGCTGAAGATGCCAGGATGATTATGTAGTGATTGTACCGGTACATGCCTCATACGTCACACTACGTCCACACTCGAACACTGAGGCAGGTTGAAGCCACTAATGGCCAGTAACCGGCAGTCTACACAAATTTTGATACCAATGACCTCATTGCATGGATACACCATGTAGATGTAAGGAAAAGAAATATCATACGAGCTAAGATGCAGTCACCTGTAGTCTCAACGGTCATGTTTATTTGATGTGCCATGAGTTTCCTAAACCTGTATTGTAGACGCCGTCCAATGCATGCTGTACATTATGATACAGGCGTGTGCTCGCCTCAACCTCACATAGCCACTCGCCCAGTACCACCTCGTTCGACCTTGTTCAGTCGTCGTGCAGTTGTGATCTGTTGTCATTAGCATAACTTCAAGTGACATGCACTTCACATGCCCGAGGTTCCACATACCTGTGTCCTAGTCTTCTGACCCCTCACTGGCAGACCCATAGCATGTCGTCTTCCCCGGTATGTGCCCATGTCCCTCAACCTCCGTATGTCATCCTGAACTTGCCGCCGCAGATCGTTCTCGATCTTCATATTGGTCAATTCCGCTGACAGATCCAGCAGAGTGGAATTTTTCAAACTGCCGACCTTGGCCCACGGGTGAATGTAGAATTTGGCCATGATGCGCTGCGACACGGAGGGACCGATGCCGAAGAAGGACTCCAGCGAGCGTTTCACGAGAGTTGCTTCAGTGAAGCTGAAGCCGTTTATGAACACCTAGACAATGTCATCAGTATGCTGGGGAAACATTGGCACGTTTGGAGACATACCATGGTGTCGCGCGCTTCCGACAATGACTTTCCGCGTTGGAGTGTTTTGTCGGCAATGACATTTGGTGCATCTCGAACTCTCTCTTGGCACTAGCCCCTATTGGAAGGCGGTGTGGGAGCTGCGACAGTGCGCGCACCTAGTACTAAAACACCACGTTTCAACCCTCCCGAGGTCCCTCCACCATTGCACAGCTGCAAGGGGTTCCCGATCTATATAACCTTGCGCACTCCCTCGATACCTCGAGATACTCGCAGGCACCATGGCTTCCTTCCAGAAAGCCGTTGTTTCGCTACTCCTAATCCTCTCGATCGCTTTCCTCTTCTTTGCTGAGTCCGCCGAGGCTGCAAAGGGGCCATTTATTGGCAAACAGGTACGCATAACCCCTTTAAGAGACACAATTGAAGAATTTGTGCTAACTGATACAGGTCTTCTTTGACATTACCCACGGCGATGAGAAACTAGGCCGTATCGTTATCGGCTTGTACAGCAAGACCGTTCCCAAGACCGCCGAGAACTTCCGGTACAACAACCTGGACGACCAGATAGAGTACTACAAGCTAACACAATGACAGTGCTTTAGCTACCGGCGAGAAAGGTTACGGTTACCAAGACTCCACTTTCCACCGTGTCATCAAGGACTTCATGATCCAGGGCGGTATGTTGAACCTTTTAGCACACCCAGAAGGGACTCAGATTACTAACATCCTTCGAGGGGATTTTACAAATGGAGACGGGACCGGCGGCAAGTCTATTTACGGCGAGAAGTTCCCGGATGAAAACTTCAAGTTGAAGCATACACGCAAGGGTCTCCTTAGCATGGCCAACAGCGGAAAGGACACAAACGGCAGCCAGTTCTTCATCACCACTGCCATCACTAGCTGGCTCGACGGTCGCCACGTCGTCTTCGGAGAGGTCCTTGAGGGATACGACATTGTGGAGAAAATTGAGAACGTGCCCAAGGGCGCTGGAGACAAGCCGAGCAAGACTGTCAAGATTGCCAAGAGCGGAGAGCTCGAAGTGCCAGCGGAAGGTATTCACGCGGAACTCTAGACATCAGTATGCATTCTTTGCTATTGTGTCAACCCCTCATCTCGGAGAGCTGCTGATATTTCCCCTTTTTCAAGATTTATACGGAGTTGCTGAGCCTGCCATCCCTGGCGACAATCTCGATGTCACGACAACCACAGTCGGCGGTGATCAGGCTAGCATTGCAGAGTCTTCCAAGACTTCTTCCACCAAGTCCAAGATCTCTGGCCTGGCTGCCGCTGCTGTATCTTCCACTAGCTCCATTGATGGCCTTTCCATGGGTCAGAAGCTCTTCTTTGTCACCGCTATCGTTGGTGTTTGTGTGCTCTTTCTGAAGTCCAGGAATGGTGGTCAGGGCAGCTTTTCAGGAGGACTCAAGGAGAAAAGCATGGCTTAGATTATAAAGCAATGCGAAACGTTCATTTGGACATTCATCGTGATTGCTTTTTAATAATAATAGGCTAGGGGTTCTCCAACATAATCACATGTTCTTGCTGCATATACATGATGCATGTTTTGGTGTCTGTTTTCGTCATTGCTCTAGGGCCTTAGCAGTGCGTCTCGTATGTTATGCACGTGTTGAGCTGTGGTTCTACGGCTTCTCCGTGGAGATCGGTACGGAAGCGTACGTGATAAGGGACTGTCTTTCCACGGATACGTATGTATACTATGATTGTAAACGACGTCTTCTTCTTATCATGTAATCACGAGTTTCATGAGAGATTCCGATACATCATCTGTTCCAGGGGCCTCTACTTTGAAGGCTGGCAAAAGCAATATAGTTTTCTGTTGGGTGCATGTGATTCCTAATGAGCCGTGCAAACCCAGGCCTGGGCCATCTCAGGAACGAGCCAGCTTCGCCACCACGATTACCAGAACCACATCACACTGCATCCGAGCATGCAATCAGACATCATGCAGGGTGCGACAGCGTTTTGACGTTCACCGCTCCCCCCACTCGCCACATGAAGAACGCTTGGCTTGCGCTAGCGTACTTTGGGCCTAGCTCGAAGGCTCTTCGACGCTTGTTTTTTACTTACCTGGTTGCTCCCTCTCTCCTAATCACCCACTCTCAAATTTACTCTGTGTGTATTGCACAACTTTATCAACACATTCTCTGTGAAGTCCTTTCTTTTGGTCTTCACACTCCTTTATTCTCGTTTTCCAGGACAGAGGCGTTCCCTTCTTTCCTGACAGAACGAGTCTCAGGCACCCGCCTGCGAGTTACGAGTTTCGTCACATAGACTTGCCACTTTTCGTCTGTCGCTCACCGTCGAGCCAGCCGAAGTCATTTAGACAGTAATTTGCGACTTCGCACACGACACTTTCCGCAACCACGCGAGCATCCCCTTCAGCATCTCCATCATGGCTGAACAACTTGACATGGGTCGTTTGAACATCAACGACTCACAACACAACCCCCAGAACGGCTTCAACGGCGAGCGTTCTGCGTACATTCCTCCTCACCTTCGCGGTCGTCCTCAGGGAGGCCCCGGCGGCCCTGGTCCTGCGCCGATGGATGGCCCTCCCCCAATGATGAACGGAGGTGGCGGTCTTGGAGGTAGTGCCTGGGGACCAGCAGGGTCAGTAGATTATCAGAACACTATGGATGACAAGGTGCTAACAGCCGATAGTCACGGTCCCCCTCCGATGAACGGCGCTGGCGGCCAAGGTGGCGGCTGGGCCAACGCACCAAACTTCACTCCCCGCGGCCGCGACGGCCCTCAAGGTGGGGGTGGATGGGGCGGTGCTCCTCGCGGAAACTTCGACCCTAACGCCTATGGCAAGCCCGGTGGCGGTGGTTCAGGAGGAGCTCGTGGATCCGGTGATGGCGCCTGGAAGGATGGCAAGCACGTCCCTGGCCCTCCCAACCAGCGTGTCGAGCGCGATCTCTTCGGTGTTCCCAACGACCCCTCAAAGCAGCAAACCGGTATCAACTTTGAAAAGTACGATGATATCCCCGTTGAGGCTTCCGGCCAAGGTGTTCCCGAGCCCGTCACACGTTTCACGAACCCGCCCCTCGATGACCATCTGCTGAGCAACATCGAGCTTTCTGGATACAAGGTTCCTACTCCTGTACAAAAGTACTCTATTCCCATCGTCATGGGTGGACGCGATCTCATGGCTTGTGCCCAGACTGGTTCTGGAAAGACTGGTGGTTTCCTTTTCCCCATCCTCGCACAGGCCTTCCAGAATGGTCCTTCTCCCCCTCCTCAGCAGGCACAAGGCGGTTACGGCCGTCAGCGCAAGGCGTATCCCACCTCTCTCGTCCTCGCTCCCACACGTGAGTTGGTTTCGCAGATCTTCGACGAGGCCCGCAAGTTCGCCTACCGCTCATGGGTACGTCCTTGTGTCGTATACGGTGGTGCCGATATCGGTTCCCAGCTTCGCCAGATCGAGCGCGGATGTGATCTACTTGTTGCTACCCCCGGTCGTCTTGTCGACTTGATTGAGCGCGGCCGTATCTCTCTCGCTAGCATCAAGTACCTTGTTCTCGACGAGGCTGACCGCATGTTGGACATGGGTTTCGAGCCGCAAATCCGCCGCATTGTTGAGGGCGAGGACATGCCCCCTACCGCTGGTCGCCAGACTCTCATGTTTTCGGCTACTTTCCCCCGCGACATTCAGATGCTTGCCCGCGATTTCTTGAAGGACTACATCTTCCTTTCAGTCGGTCGTGTTGGTTCTACATCCGAGAACATTACTCAGAAGATTGAGTACGTTGAGGATGTTGACAAGCGCTCAGTTCTTCTGGACATTCTTCACACCCACGGTGCTGGTCTTTCCCTTATCTTTGTTGAAACTAAGCGCATGGCCGACTCTCTGTCCGACTTCCTCATCAACCAAGGATTCCCCGCCACTTCTATTCACGGAGACCGCACTCAGCGCGAACGTGAGAAGGCTCTGGAGATGTTCCGAACCGGACGATGCCCGATCCTTGTCGCCACTGCTGTTGCTGCTCGGTACGTATTCTCCCTTCCCTTGTATTCTCCCCCCTCTTGTGTAATCGCACCACCATCTTGACCACGACGATGCCTGGTGTATACATTCGATCAACAGGGTGTGCTGTAGCAGGCCCTGATTACATGTATACCTCCCGGGTTCGTCGTCGTGTGGCTGGGGGTGAGGCATCCTCTTAGGATTGCCTCCTACAATTTTTTTTATTTTTCAAAACTTTTACACCTTCACCAGTGCCTTTGCTAACGTATCAACAAAGTGGCTTGGATATACCGAATGTGACTCACGTCGTCAACTACGATCTGCCTACAGACATCGATGATTACGTCCATCGTATTGGACGTACTGGTCGTGCAGGAAACACTGGTATTGCCACTGCTTTCTTCAACCGCGGCAACCGCGGTGTTGTGCGCGACCTACTCGAACTACTGAAGGAAGCTAACCAGGAAGTTCCTGGGTTCCTCGAGTCCATCGCTCGTGAGGGCTCAGGCTTCGGTGGTGGTCGTGGTGGACGCGGTGGCGGTCGTGGCCGTGGCAACGCTGCTACTCGCGATGTTCGTCGCATGGGCGGCGGCGGTGGAGGCTTCGGTGGTGGTGGCGGTGGCCAATGGGGTGGAGCTCCTTCAGGCGGCTATGGAGGTGGCTACGGCGGCGCTCCTAGTGGTGGCTACGCTCCTCCTGCACCTGGAGGCTACAGCGGTGGTGGAGGCGGCGGCGGCTTTGGTGGAGGCTACGGCAACCCATCTGGCCCTGGCGGCAACTCTTGGTGGTAAATGCACACTGCATGGCTTCACGATACAGCCAGCCCGGGACTGATTTCCTTCTTTACGATACCCTGGGCCCTCGTGCAGCTACTACCGACGGCTTGCTTTCGATTTCCTACACTTTCAAATGTTTTCTGCGAATCTTTCCCGGTTACCGCGGATCGATGCGGAAATCCTGGAATCTCATACCCCAATCAGCATATAGACAGCGACTGTTTTTTTGCGGATCTGCCTATTTTCGAGCTCTTCTCGCATACGATACCCTTCGACGTACATCCGTCGAGCTCGAGCTTAAGCGGCAGGACCCTAGCCTTTCCCGGAGAGGCAATGCATTACGAACATTTTACGCCTTCGCTCTTCTGCAAGCATGCTGCTTGGGGAGCCATAGATTCTCGTTTTCCGAGTCGTCCACACGCGGATGACCTCACTCAGCATTTCCTTAACTTATGACAAAAGCGATTCCTTTTTTCCCGGTCATACCCTCGGAGACACTGTCTTTCTCGTCGTCCTTTTGTCTCTCGGTCTCTCCACATGCGGAGAGTAGCAGCATGGCTGCGTTTGGGACGACGGAAAAGTTTGCTGCATAGATGGCGTTCATGAAGGTTTAGCCACGACCCAAACCTTTTTACGAAGGAAGATACCCCGGTTCTCTGTGGTAACCATTATGGTGGCTGTCTGTTCCTGCCAGCTCGGCGGTGGGACTGGACTGTTAGTGTTGGTTTGCATCTACGCGCATGCGAACATGCGGACCTGACCCATGACTTGGGTGGAAGGAATCTCATAAAAGCACAATTTCGAGCAGATGATTAGTTACATAGACTAGTATAGACTGCCGACATGCGCAGTCTGTACAATACATGCTGTATGGCATTGCAACCTAGTATCTCATGGTGAACGTGATTTCGACGTGAAGAAGTAGTCTTATGTTTCGCCATGATGCAAGACACGAAAGCACCTTGAGGGCAGTCGGGATGCTCTTTCTCCATACTTTGCTCTTCGACCAATAGCCCCATCTCTCTTGTATTGTAACTATGTATTTGAAGATGGCAGAGGATGAAATGACGAGTGCCGGTGACTAGCGCCCCGCTAGTCTATCCCTACGAGAGGGGCGACAACTCGGGGCGATTACAACATACCAAGCTCTGAACAGTGCATCTGCACAAACTCCACTGCAACGACTAGTATCGACATCTTTCTCTTGATATTCTCTGACATGTGAACTGCAATGTAATGTGGTACGAGGAAACAAGCTTTTTCGCCGAGGTTACCAGTCCGGGTTCGCTTGCCAGCTCGGCACGTGTCGCTTCTCCACTTCATCTAAACATATTGCTTTCGATAGCTGCTATTCCTGAGACCTGGTCGAGTAGCCCGATGGCCCAAGTTTGCGGCCTGAGAAACGCCATGTCACAGCACTCGGTCGACGATGGAGGTTTGAAACTGCAAGCTGGGCTCATCGACTGCCATCATTCTTCAGTGTTGAGATTTCGACTACTCCCAACTTACCATCTCAAAGTTACTGCCCAGGATATCCCAAAAGACTTGTGGTAAGGTACGCTTATCTTGGTCTTAGTACCAGTCATCAGCCCAGTACACGGAAGCATTATCCGGTGGCACATATATGGCACACGAAATATACACAAGCAGCCCCGCAAGGAAGCAGAGCGGTCGAGAAAAACATCACAGAGCTTGATATTGAGGTCGCCGCCAACTGCAGGCAAGGCTTTTTAGGTTAGTTAATCTCCACACACCCCACAGGACATTACACAGGCAAGAGTGAACCCGGCACGCGGTGACGACAAGCTTTTCTTTAATATAACGGGAAGTCATGCGACGATACCTTGCTCAAGAGGCGTCATCTTCGGGTTATAGTGATACCAGACTACACAAAAGGCCGGATGTAGTCTGCAAGCGAGCAAACTGTATATTGCGTGGACCATGAGGGCCTAATCCAGGAAAGATATAAAGAGTCGTAGGCACAGTAACACCTTGCTATATGAACCTCGAGGAGCTTCTCGATCTATCAACTCCAATCAAAGCTTTATCATGAAGAACACCTTCATCTTGGTCGGCCTCATTGCCCTTGCTACACAAGTAGTCGCGCACGCAACCTTTCAGGACCTATGGGTCAATGGAAAAGATCAGATATGTAGCTCTCCGAATCTCTCTTCTCCCATTGCTAACATCGCTATACCAGTCTACCTGCGCTAGACTCCCAAACAGCAACAGCCCCGTTCAGTCAGTAACAAGTAACGACATTCGTTGCAATGCCAACCAGGGCCCCGCTGCCTCAAAATGCAGCGTCCCCGCCGGTGGCACCGTGACTATCGAGATGCACCAACAAAACGGCGACCGCTCCTGCTCCAACGAAGCCATCGGCGGCGCCCACTACGGCCCTGTCCTCGTTTACATGTCCAAAGTCGCCGACGCATCCACAGCCGAGGGCTCTGCACCTTTCTTCAAGATATTCCAGGATACATGGGCGAAGAACACGGGTGGTGGCGGTGGTTCAGACGATTACTGGGGAACCAAGGATTTGAACAAGAACTGCGGAAAAATGGATGTGAAGATCCCTGCCAACTTGGCTTCGGGAGACTACCTCTTGAGGGCTGAGGCTATTGCGCTCCATGCTGCGAGCGGCCTGGGTGGTGCGCAGTTCTACATGACATGCTACCAGATCACAGTTACTGGAGGCGGATCGTCGTCACCTGCTGGCGTCTCCTTCCCTGGAGCGTACAAGGCTGCTGACCCAGGTATTCAGATCAACATTTACCAGAACCTTGCCTCCTACGCCGCGCCAGGCCCGGCAGTCATTGCAGGTGGTACCGAGGCCATTGCTGGTCAAGCAGGATCTGCTGTCACTGCTACCGGTGGAGCGCCGGTGGCTACGCCTACTGCAACCACGATGAAGACATCAGCAGTTGCTTCATCTGCTGCGGCTGTGCCCACGAATGGAGGTGGCTCTGGCGGATGTACAGTTGCGAAGTTCGGTCAATGTGGTGGAAGTGGGTGGGCTGGATGTACTGCTTGTGAGTTGTGTGGAGGCGAAAGCTCAACAACAGACTTTTACTAACTGCATATAGGTGCTTCTGGCTCTACATGCAAGGCTTCGGGCAGTTACTACTCGCAGTGTGTCTGATCGGTCATGTAGATTGCTCTACACAAGTCGCAGTCCGATACCTCCAATGTACATACTTCAACTCTATCATCGATACAAACAGCATGTCTTTTATGCAAAGCTTTTCGTTTCTGAAATTTACAAAATCCCATAGTTTAAATTCCTTAATAAATTCATGCCGGCATATTAACCCTAATCCCGCAGTCGCACACACTCACCTGGGTGACATAGAATACCTGACAGTGTTGGCAAGTAGTGTCTGGCGCATACAGTGACCTTTATGCATTGGTACGTCGACTATCTCATGTCCTCGGGTGCACTTGTTATCGGTGTTCGAGACCCCTCAACCTTAAAACCCTCCCCCCTCGGAATAAGCACAGGTACATATCCCTGTCCACAACCCCTCCCCACTGCGCTACGGCATAAAAACCAATTCCGAAAGCTCTATCGCATGTCAGCCCACACTCACACACTAACAGAACTCACACGCCCTATCGGTACACCGACTAAGCAAGCTTTCCCCCCAAAACACCAGGAATGCTTATAACCGGCAGAGCCGCGATTCTAATTTAGCGTTCTGGACTCATGTCAACATCCAATCCGAGCGACTTGCGGCATTGGACGCCTGACGTTCGCTTGCTGTCGCTGCTGCCTGAAGATCAAGAAGAACAGGGAGGTGGGTTAGTCACATATGACATGTCATTAGGCCTGTGATGATCAAATTGGGTCACCGTTCGGCGATGTTGATGGGGAACTAGGTATTCCGATGAGCGGAGGGGTTGTAAGCGCGAGGATTGTCAGCCGAAGTGTCAGAGTCATAGTCATAGTGTTGAACTCCGGTAAACCTTTTTGGCAGCATGGCAGCATGGGGGCATGGGAGCATGGGAGCATGGGAGGGCGGTGACATGGAAGTCTTTTGGGAGGTCAGGGATGGGTATATAAGATGGATGGTTGTGAAGGGGAGGTGTACAGTATTCTCACGCATCTTCTCATCACGGCTACTGTATCTAAGAACCAGAGTGTTATATCAACATCTCTCCTTTCGCCAACCTATCAACACACAAAAGCCCTCACGCAATAATGTCGTCTTCTCCTGATAACACCAAAACCTCCACCACTACCTCTACAAACTCGCCACCACGCTATTCAACCACCGCGCCTCCTCCCTACAACACATCCGATGCGTGCTCCCTAGCATCCAAAAGCTCAACATCCAAGAGTTTCTTCTCGAAGATGTTGCCCCAGAAAAGTAAGTTCACGTTATTCTAGTAGTGAGGGAAAAACATGCTGAACATGCGTTGTAGCACCGAAAGTGGCGGCAGAGGGAAATAGCATAATGCAACAGAAGGTTGACGCGGAAGAGACGAAGCAGGCAGCAAGGGCATTTTATTTTTGTTAGATGGATTTTTTTGGGTAGGAGATAGGTTGCAGGTAGAGAGGGATCTAGGATTAATGATGTAGGATTGCATGTTTGAAATGCGGTAATAGCACTCATAACGGTTTTACTTATTTATGCTATACATGTAGAGTGATGTAAAAGAGAACTGATGCTAATTGGCTTCTAGTTATGTCTTTAGTGCTTAATATATATAAAGATCGATGAACCAACAAGCGCATAGCACGTCATCAGAACAGGTCCTGCATCATCGTCAGTACATCCATTCAGCGCATAATCCCCATAACTAAATATTCCAACAGCTCAACTTACCTTATTGTTCCATGTGGCATTATCCAGCCAATTCAGAAACTCTTCTGACACTGTCGGAATAGGTTCCAGGCCCTCGGTCATCGGCATATCGAAGAAACCCTGTCCAGCCATAAGGGTATCATTATCATCACTAGCTCCGGTATCTCCTCGATTCGCCTGTACACCATTGGCTGGAGGCTCATAATTGAGAACTTCATCCAAGACGAGAGCAAGCATCTTATTGAACTCAAGGCAAAGCTTATGATTCCCGTCGCCAGGCAGCACTATCCATTCCAGGCATGATGTCAAAACGGAGAGGTTTCTAATCACGTCTGCGCGAGAGATGGTACTTGGCAATGGTATGCCTTTGATTGTACAGCGACGCAGTTCTAGGGCTAGTACCCCGGCGGCTGGGGAACAGTAGAATAACATCACAGTCGGGAAATTACGACGTGTTTCGTAGACGCGATTGTTTGGTTTCGTGGATATGAGTGAAGTCACAAGGAGCTTCAATGACACTTCCAATAACAACGGAAGAGCTTGTTGCGTGATTCGATGTAGGAGGCGCTGGATTTGGAAATGCAGGTGCAGATAGTCGAGGTAGGCGGCGATGAGACGGACTGTCAAGCCGGGGCCTCGGCCATTCCAGGCTGCGTCTTCGGTATATGTCTCGTATCGCAGGTAGGCAGGAAGCGCATCCCACCGTTCTGTGCATTCCGCGGAGATTGCTCTATTACTGTTAGTGTGCTCGTGAAAGGAACCAGGGGTTGACTGACTCTACATTCCGCACCACGTCACTGTCTTTTTCACCCGCGAGACTCTGCTCCAGGAATCGTTCCTTGAATACAGCAAGCTGGCACCGAACCCTGTTGAACGTAGCAGGATGAAGACATCCTTCAGTATTCCAGCCCGCGCTGTCCAGCTTCGAAAGCTCGGCGTCCAGTAATGTTGCATCCTCTGCTTCCGAGGCTACAGCTTCGTCGCTGATATCCAACATCATCTTGCGGTCGCTGTACCGCCAACCCACCATTGGAGGTCTCCCATAGAACACTGCTAGCGTTTTATCGGACCGATATACAGAGGCATATAACCTTCTGCGGAATTCGCGCATGAAGAATGGTTCTTTGTTGTCGCCTTCCGAATTAGACTCTTCGCAATGTATGCCTGCAGCGTATAGAGCAGAGACGCAGTCGCCCATACGTCGCCATGTTCCGTGATCTGACTTATTAGCCTTTGCTGCCAATTGATCTTTCGGGGTTGCACCTACAATTATCCCCGTAGAAATTGCTGACCATCATCAAATCATAGTAAACAAGAGACACCATGACTAAACCTGTTAGCACGAACTAGGCCGAGGATTGCACAGCGAGTACGCACTTTCATTTACTGCCCCATGTGTTTGACAAATATTGATACAAGTGTTAGCCGCGTGCATTATGTCCTCGATGAATTCATCCCTGTTGATTTGCTTGCCATCCTCAAGAGTGAAGAGCGGATCATTGGGTGCTGTATACTGAGCTTTGCAACCGGCAATGACCAAGATCAGGCCTAGCGCCTCCCACCTCAAGTTCTTCCCTGTAAAAAGGGTATGGAAGTCACATGGACGCATATCTGACGACACCTTGAGGGGCCTTGCGGTATTTCTTGTCATATCCGCATATAGAGCATATGTGTCGTTACTGGCAGCATTGAGTAGTTCGAGGTCTTTGCGCAGCTGCGGTAATGCAGAAAGGATTAAAGGGGCAACAAGGGCAGTGGCCTTTTCAAGGGCGGTAGCCTTTTGGATCTCGAAACTTAGCTTGCAGGCTTTCTCAAAGAAGTCGAATGGCGAAAGTGTTGAGACTATCAAAGAGCCCAAGGCAAACTGGCAATGGCGATGTCCCATATTTCGAGTGGACCTTGGAAGTGTTTCACTCGTCCTTTCAGACGGTTGTTCATGCACAGTATCTGGCAATGGCTGCTCCTCCGTAAACACGGCGGCATAACTGGTGGACCCCAGGAAGAAATTTCTTGCTGGATCCGGTCCACCATGTGTTGGTCTGGTAAAAGAATCTGGCGGGGTTGGCCACGAGCTGCTCAACGAAACAGTACCTGCATCGTTCCTGAGTGTTGGGGGGCTTAGGATCAACGGTGTCAACCTTCCAGATGGGTTCACGTCTAGTTTCCCACGCCGTGGCTCTGGTTTCTTACGAGGAGTACCAGCGGGTTTAGTCATCGGGTTAGGATGGTAGAAACACTTGGAGTTGGTTAGCGCTCACGATTATCCTAGGTACGATGTCAGCTTGACTTACTTGCGCAGTTATGCCACGAGTGTGGCATTTTTGACATGTTGGAGTACCGTGATCGCACTTGATTTTTGATATACGGCATGGTTCGCACGATCTGCATATAGGTCAGCTAAGATGCACGAAATTGCATCTAGGCTCTCGCAGAATTCGGTGGCTGGTGTGGTACGCGCTATACAAGCAAATAACCGGCTAACTGTAACGCGAGGTGTGTCGGAATGATTACTGACCTCAGCTTCCCATTTCTCCGTAACATGACTGCGTATTGTCTACTTGGGTAGAGTTTCTGCTTGTGTAACGGCAATTGGTATATCTCTCCTGTGTCTTTTCATTCGGCGCATCATGGCCAGACGCGCTGTCGTGAGTCTCATGGATATTCCGAAGATAGCTAGTCAGAGTAGTTGTGGGTGTATCTAACCTTGGAAAACTCCGCTCTTGGCGTGGGCGCTAGCGAAGGCTGGGCCCTTTCGCCCTAGCCCTAAGATACATGTGATCTGCATTCCGTCTTCCCAGAAGAGTTGGGTCCAAGTTGCACGGAGTTTTCCGACTCGGACTGGAGCTGCGGCACCGTTACGATCATCTAGCGATAAACACTCAACACGCATTTCCGAATAGACTCGATTGTCACCTCGTGCGAGCACAAAGACCATGGATGTGCTAACGCAACTTGTGCCTCACACCAACCTGTACCTGCAGCAAGTGATAGCACTGCAAGGAGGGTGGCGTGCAGCGAGGCAGAATATCGAGGGTGGGGTTAGCGACGCGGAAGCCGCCATCGCTCCTACCAGCTCCATTTACCCAAGATCACTCAACTCAACACCACAAAACCAGGTCATCTGACACAGACCCATCACCACCTCCTGTGGCGTACTCCACTTTACCTCACTCTTGCCGATCACATATGATGCTCGCAAATCCGAGGCCGAGGTTCAAATCGGTATAGCAAAGGTATTTGGATTGAAAACGAGCGTCTCCGAGCCTAAGCGCACACCACACATGTAGCCGCTGGCCTACGCGAGACTACAGTGTATTTAAAGTTACATCTCCAAGGAAGTGTGGCGATCTCATTCACGGTCATGTGCCCGGCCTGCGAAGCCGCAGCTCTATTGGGATATCCGGGATGCGCTATATCCGTTCTCCTACTGCCGGGCTTTCCCTACACGGAACTCCACCCCATGATTCCCATGGACGCGCGCACCCAGATAGAAGCAATCGCACAACGCATTGTTGGGGTGGGTTGATTGGACTTAGCTCCCGCGCAAATGTCAGCCCCCGCGACTGAGTTGGCAGCTCATGATCCGGTGAGCACAGCAGAGCCGCACTAGAACATAACTCGCAGTTGCTCTACCCTCCACCGTCCTCTGTACCACGACCTATTCGTTTCACCAAGGCAAATTTTTGATGAAGCAGGGCTTGGCAAACATGGCGCAGCTGTGCAGCGCACAATCCTGTGCCTGAGGCCTGCTCGAGGCTACCAAGAACGCCAAATGTTCTAGCCATGAGCTTAAAAAACGAGCAAAAGTCGCGACGTTAGATGGGCTTGATCGATATGGCCCGTCAGTCATGACCTTCACCTCAAACAATCGGTCCTTTGCAGCGAAGCGCAAAGACAGCGCGAATATCAATTGCGGTTTGGTGCCATCTGAATCCTGGGCATAGGTATGCAGCTAAGCCAATAGCCTGCATGTGCCGGCTGGCCTTCACCGGTCGTCGCGGGGCAGCGTAAGATGCTCGAATGCCGCGAGACTAATCGCCAGCCTTCTGAACTTCTGGCAGTCAGCCGCTCTGAGACAGTTTCTCTTCCTGCGCCTCCTCTCTCGAGTCGTGCTGAACGTCCCTCATACTGGTCCGCCCCTCCCGCATTTTGGTCCCTGTTGCGCATCGCTGTTCTGCGCGCGTTCAACCCGTTCGCCTCTGCATTCTCATCTTCTTCGCTTCGTGGGTCGAGCGCTGGAGTATTGTTCCAAAGACAATCTCATCAGCCGTTGCATGCGCAAGATCTAGAAAGACCCTAATTCCCGTTCGGCCCCCAGTGGCCGCTTGCGCATCATGGCGACATACACGCAGCACTATCAGTCGTACCCAGAGCAACCGCTCTTCATTGATCCGCATGCCTTCTTCTATGCCGCTCAGTATGACAACCGTCGATCAAAGACACCAACCGACTCTCTGGTCAACCATTCCGGACTCTCTCCCGGTCCGCTTGCTACCCCACCACCTCAAAGTCGCCGTCAATCGCAGCAACCAGACCCATCACTGGACCAAATTCCTGAGCATATGCTATGGGACAACAGCAGTTCATCCACCTCCCCTACGTCGGTGAGGACACCGGATGGCGAATCATTTGAGGTGGATATGCTCGATTCGGATTCAATCCGTAACTACTACAACCATGGCAACACTATGACAACCCAAAGCCCTCACAATGCCATGCCAACCATGGACTCAAGCATGCTATTTACCGCTCAGGGTACCTTGAGCGACCAAGGTTTGTCATCTTTGTAATCTCACGCCCGTCTCTGCTAACGTCCACGCAGCAGTCCAGGCGGCCTTCAATGCTACAATGGCTGAATCCCACCGTTTTCAGCAACAACTTGGTATGCAGCCTCAACATGCACATCAGATGCCAGCTCTACACACCCAGAACAACATGTTTGATCAAAACTACACTACACAGCCATCTCGCCATGATCCATGGAACGGGCAAGGCCCTTCACGCTCCTCCATGGTGCCTCGGTCTGGCCATGTCGTTTTCGATCCCCAGTCAGACCAGACGGTCAACTACTCGGACTATTTGGTAGATGTGGACTCATGGACGGCGGCTTTTACCGACCCTACTGCTTTGATCTCGCCCAGCGAACCCACCATTCCACCACACGAGAACATGTTCTTTGCAACGGCACAAAATCTCGCACAACGCCAGTTTGAGCAAATATCACAAACGCAATTACCGAACCATAACTCCATGGACATGCAGATGAGGTCAACATCGCCGCCCCCCGACCAGCACAACTTTGTCAACTACAATGCTTCATCCGATCTATTCACAGAGAGCTACATCACCGGTAATCAGTTCCCGGCCCCTCCTTCCACAGCGTCCTCAACACACCAACCTAGCTCGCCATACCAGCCAGGCATCAGCCCGTCTGCACCTAGTCCTGGCAGCTCGGACGGCATGTTCTCATCGTACCAGCACTCTGATCCGGGTATGATGTTCGACCAGTACCAGACGCAGCAGTTCACACAATTGCAACAACCGCCAATGTCTGCAATCAAGGTGGACTACTCCATGATGGGAGATGTAGCTGAAATGAGTTTCGATGCATCTCCTGAGCCAGAGTCGTCTCGAAGTGCCGCGCAAAAGGCACTGGCAGCGAAGTCTGGGGGCCGAGCGCTGGGAACCCATTTGGAGCCCACGGTGGCCAAAGCAGCGCACGACATGCGCAAGATTGTCGCATGTTGGCACTGCGTGTTGCAGAGAGACAAGTGTGGTCCAGGCGACACTTGTGAGCGCTGCTTCAAGCGCTCGCAACGTCCCAATGCTGACTGCGGTCTTGGATGCAACCGAATGAAGCTTATTGACCTGTCGCCATACTTCCTGCCGTCGCTGGTTACCCAGATGCACGAGGACTCAAACCTCACCCACTTTGTCACGCAATACATCCAGCAATGGGGCAACGTAGAGTTGACAGTCTGGATGACGTGCGGTCAGATCAACATGCCCCGGATACCCGTCAAAGTATACGAGTTCATCCCCCGTGGCGATGCTCTACTTGTCCAAATCCAATACAAGACGGACCCCAATACGCATGCGCGCATCGCGATCCAAAAGCAGAGTCCCGCTCTCGGTATGGTTCACATCAACCACAATGAGGAGAAGAAGTACGACAAGTACATCAGCGACATTGTCGACAATCACCTCGATGCCTTTGGCGAGCTATGCTGGATGGAAGATGACAACGACTTCCAGCAAAAGCTCTTCAAACTGATGACACGTGTGAACCCCAAATCCGACGACGAGCGCAAGCTCCTCCGCGAAATCTTCCGCCTCATCGTCGTAACATTTATCATGTCGCACACGCTCACCATTGCCGAAGAGACAAAAGCCGCAACTCTCTCTCGCATGCACTCGTACAAGGGCCAAAGCTCCTACGTCGACAACTACACCTCCCCCCGCATGACGAACCGCCAACTCAAGTACTTCTTCTCGCGCCTACAGCGCTCCATCCAAAATACAGTGCTCAATAAGCTGCAGCAGATCTTCAAGTCGTCAAAGGGCTGCGACAAGTGGCTCGCTGCTTTCGTCGCCGTCCTCGGCATGTGCATGGCGCTCGAGGATCAGCAGAAAACCATCCACCTCGTCATGTCTACCAAGGCCGCAACAGAGGGCCTCGACAGCCGCGACGCACAGGGCCAGGCGGACATTGCGTGTCGCGAAATCGACCAGCGCATGCACTTTGTACAGCAAATTTTCCGCTGGAAGTACAACCGCAAGTGTAATCCCATGCGCGATGCGGATCACGATTGGGATAAGGAAGTGGGCTTTGGGGACGCAAGTAGTGTTAATTTTGTGCGTCAGGTTGCACAGTTGGTTAAGGAGAATAGTGAGTTTCCCCACTTCCCCTCCCTTTGCTTACGTTGGTCTCGGAAGAGTAAAACGCTAACAGAGTCAATAGTCGATTTCCTCCAACAGCGACAAGCAGTCAGCATATCGCCTGCAAACCAAACAAAGTACACAAGTCGTCTTGTAGGGCAATTTTTGCTTTCGTTTTGGCTGCCGAGCGTATAACCTTTTGTCTCTGCTTTGCTCTACCTCTGCTTGTCTTTGTTTTGCTTCATTTTGTTTTGCTCCCCGCTACAGTGCTGGTTGAGCATACATCGTCGCGCTTTCACCTCGACGTTTCTCCCGCATCGTGGTCACGAAAAATCTATGCATTCGCATATCATGTATCTCTCACGACCGCTATGTCTATTTCCTTTCTCTTTATCAACACCGCGATGTATTTAGACATCTGTCATGAGGACCTTCTTTTTGAGTACGGTAAAATACGTTGGATGGCGGGGTACTGGACGGTGGACGATGGATGACGGATGGTGGATCATGGAACGGAGGATATCTATGTTACGACCGGAACGCTCTTTTTATTTTCCTTGATGGGACGACGGCATCTCTGTTATTTTCTAACTGTATACTTATACCCTTTTGATTGTTTTTTATGGAGGGGAAAATGGGGGGTGGGGAGATGGTGACAAAGACCAAGTAGTCTAATGGTTATTCTTATTCTTTGAATACGTGTGTCGTAGTTTACCTGATTGTGTGAGTGATATTTTACACCAACTCCTCACGTTCATTTCTACACTTTATCTGAGATAAACGAGTAATCCATTTCGCCATCCACACACATATATATATCATCCTAAAATACGCCGATCCCGGGGTATATCAACAATCCATCACATGCACATCCCTCACTATATTCTCCCAACCCCTGCAAAACCCTACAACCTCACTTCATCATCCCACCTCGCACCCACAATGGGAATCGCACCCGCCGCGCCACCACTGCTCCCAGGCAGACCCACCATCTCCACATCCCCATCGTCAGCATCCCCAGCCGTTGCCGCTGCGGGCCCCGCATTCGCCAACCTAGCCTCTGCAGCCCCAGCCCTAAGCTCCCTCGCCACCACGCTCTCCAATACAGGTTGGGGTTCCTTCTTCGGCTTGCCAAAGAGACAGTGCCACAGGTCGTCTTCCTGGACGACTTCGCCATCACCCTTTTTACGCAGGAGCTGCTTAAGAGGTGCAGATTGCAATTCAGCAGAGTTCGCAGCATCGAGGTTTTGCTCCTTGAGGCCTGGAGCTGCGGAGCCAGAGCGCGAGGGCGCTTTCGAGCGGTCGTTGCTGCTCATGTGTTCTAAGCGGCGGGTAACACTAATGTCGTAGATGGCTTCCTCGACGGTATCACTGATGAGGTACATGAATACTGTTGTGGGACGTTGCTGGCCGATGCGGTGGACGCGGTTGATGGCTTGCAGTTCGATGGCGGGGTTTATCAGGGGTTCGCAGAGGAAGACATATGTTGCATTTACCAGCGTCAAGCCCGAGGAGTCTGTTTTTGCGTCTAAGAGTAGACATTCTACGCTTTGGTCTGTTTTGAACTTGCGGATTCCGTTTCTATCGGCGATGCTGCTGGCGCCGATTTTCCACTTGTCGAGGGCGTCGCGTAGGACGCCGAGGAAGTCGCCGAATTGGGAGAAGATGATGGACTTTGCTCCTGGGTCGTTTTTGCGGATCCAGATTAAGTGGCGGGCGATCATATCGACTTTTGTGCCGTAGGAGCCGTCAAGGTCGATCATTTTGATTTCTCGCATTGTTGAATCGGAAATATCGGAGTAGATTGAGGCCGTGGAAGAGGAGCCTGGGGTTGAGGCTTGTGTTAGGCTACCGGACTCATGGATCTCCTCTTTGGCCCTAATCTCGCTTGGCTTAAAACTTATGTCCGTAAAATCGGACGAGCCGAGCTTTTGTTTACATGTTGGGCAGGTGCGATGCACACGCCACCATGTATTGATGCAATCTTTACAGTACTTATGTCCGCAAGATGTTAGGACGCCGAGCTCAATATCTTCTCTACAGATGATGCATTCGGCCGTCGCCTCGTTCTGGTTCTCGGTTCGGAGATGCCTGAGGTAGGTGTACCTTGCCTTGTGAGTAGTAGCATCCTCTTTCTTCAAATCCCGCGCATGCTGCGTCTTTTCAAACTCGCGCTTGTTGAAAAACTCATCAAGGTCCTCCTGGTACTTTGCGACAGTGTCAGAAATATGCTGAACCTGTCGATAGTATTCTAGTCGCTGATTCATGGTGCCTCTGAACATTTCTTGTTCTTTCTCCAGCTCTGTGATAGCCTTTGCTTGTTCGGAAGTGACCGTTTGAATCCTGGTGATGTGCTTCTGGAGAATACTCAGCTCTGTAGAAGCACGAGAGTCACCATTATCTGCTCTCCATTGCAAGCCGTTGATCAGGGAGCGTACGCCAGATACGACACCCTTCAAAGACCCAGGTTGTAGCGTAGCCTGTAGCATCCGTCGTGTGTTGACGACTTCTATCACGAGCTCGGGAGCGTGACCCCGATCCTCTTGGCCGTCCTTGTTCTTGGCTTGTTTTTCGGCAGCCTTCAGCTCGTGCTCGATCAAAGTATCCTGTAGGCCATTTACAGCAGCATTGCGATCTGCAACAAGAGTTCGGAGAGCCATAATGTAGACATAGAGTTCATCTTGAGCCTTCAATGAGTCATCGTATTCCTCACCAGTGGTTTCCTGATCGTCGTCGTCATCGTCCACCAAGCGGGTAAGGAGAATGTCGACAATCTTTGTACGCCAAGCTTGTATCTGTTCGGCTTGAGCGTTCAGGAAATCGCTTATATTGTCCATCGCATCGAGAATTTTTCGCGCTTCAATGCCACCCAGGTCTGGAAGGTCTTCGATTTTAGGTATTTGATGGAAGGGCTTCTTTGCGTCAACCTTTTCCATCTGACGCTTAGCTCTGATCTTCGAATGCTTCAAGAGCTCACGTCGGACTACTTTGGCTTTCTCGTAGTACGAAGTTTCAGATCTATCCTTTTCGTGCCAGAGCCTGGAGCCTGGCTCAGTGAGTTCGGGGTTCTCTTTGATCTGATGAATCGTCGTAGCGGTGAAGAAATGGGCGGCATGATCGAGCTCTAGGAATGTTCGTAGCGACTTGCGTAAGACGGGAATGCGACCCAAGTTACCACTATCCGCTTCCTCATCATCGTCGCCCTCACCAAGTCCAACTGAAGCACTTCGTCCCAGTTTTTGCTCCTCTTCTGCCAGGTCTTCCCTACATATCTCAATATACTCCGACGCCTCTATATGCGCAGCGAGATAATATGGAAGTGCTGACTCAGCTCGGGTGACAAACTCGCCGGCATACGCATGTATGTGGCCCATCTTGATCATGCACAGAATCATTTCGCGTGCAGAGGACTTCCATTTCGTGTCGGTTTGCTCTATCATGACCTCCAGAACTTCATGCACAGTGCGTAAAGCACCATTCTTTGCACCCAGAGCTCGTCGATTCCTCCGTCCGACATTGACATGAAGACATGTCTGGCGTAATCTGACTAGCCACTCTCGCATTCTCTCAATCACATCCGGATGGGTCAAGTCACGATCCTCTGCTATAGGTTTCCCGTCAGACGTGAGCCAACAAGAATCGCACATTTGGCGCATCAATTCGGTGTAATGTTGCTCCTCTATTGTGGTGAAGGGAACCGTGATGACAATGCGTTTTTGTGGCGGTAGCTGGAGCTCATTACGAACGTTATATTTGGTATTTCTCAGGGCAATCTCGTTGAAGATACCCCTGAAAGACGCTTTGTCCAAGCGGCCCCAGACTGCTTTGTTATTTGCAAAGGCATCGCAGCGGAGAAAAACCAATAGACCGCGCAAATCCTGAATGTCTTTGCGAAGTGGAGTTCCAGACACTGCCCATGCATTACACCGGGGTATGATGCGAGCCACTTTAGCAGCCTGACTGACGCCACTCTCTACCATCTGTGCCTCGTCGAGGCAGACTCTCCACCAGGAGATACCAACAAGAGGACTGGTTCGGCGCTCACAAGTTTTGGCACGCCGGGAGCTACGGTCGGGAGGGGGTACGGCGTGATGAATTTCCTTGGCAAGAACTTGGTACGTCGTCAAGACTACATCATATTGCATAAGATGGTCAATGGTAGATGCAGCATGATCTTCCTTGGGTGCATTTAGAGATGGAATTCCCTTGTAATGACAGACTTTGAGTTCAGGCGCATGGTTGTACAGTTCGGTCACCCACTGGTCCAATATAGAAGACGGAGTGATGATTAGTGTAGCACCGGATGGTTTGACGTCAATCCCGGTGTAATCGTCGTGGATTTTGTCCTCTCGAACAACACGCGGGTGGTGAGATATCAGAGCGATCAGCTCCAGCGTTTTGCCAAGACCCATTTCTTCAGCGAGTATGCCACCTCTCAGTGTCTGTAAAGCGTCGCCCTTGGCCGCATCCAGATCTGTTACTACAGCGCCCCTAAGTTGACTTGCGTAGCATGGCACGCCTATTGCGTCATTTGTCGGTCGGAACGATGCCGGCGGGGAAGTGTTGACGAAAGGCTCCAGCGTACCCGAAGGCGAAAATGCGACACCCTCTCGCCGCAGAAGCCAATCCACCGTTCTCTCTTGAAATGGCAACAGCGAGGTAGCATTCAGGGCTTGTTTGATGCGTGGCGAAACCTTCAGGTCTGCTGGTGGTACGTGGACGGAGTCGTAGAAATCAGACAAAGTCCAGGTCTTTTCGCCTTCTGTGGCGGCGTCGCTTAGGTAGGTAGAAAGGAGCTTCAGGTCCTCATTCATGTAGTGACCTCGTATACTTGGATCTTCAACAACTGATATACCCAAAGTCCACCGTATTTCCACGTCCAATCTGTATGACGTTTGTCCATCTGCAGGCTGGTACAGCTGACAGCGACAGAAAGCAGCCCGAGACACAGGCTTGGACTTCTTCCCGGCACGAGTGGTCGCAAGTGTGGCGGCGGTTCGCATGTGGGTTACTATCGAGTCTAGGAAAGGAGTAGGAGTTGTGGCAACAATATCTACACCCGTGCTGTTGGCTACGTTCCAGAGTGCAACCTGAAAGGCCTGCCTTGTGTTGCGTTCTCTATATATCGATTCCAGCTCTACGAGTATAGGTTCCTGTGATTCGGTCGTGGTATACGCCATATCCATAGAGCCGTGCGATGCAACGGGCATATTCTGGCAGAATGTCAGTCAAACACTACAACTACAAGGGCTGCCATGAACACCTACTAAATCTATAGATATCTTGGTCAAAACAATGCTCTTCTTCTCGTCAAATTTTGCCTGTGGTTTTATGGCGATAGCTCCACCGCCACCAACCTTACGCCGCTTGGACGATGGGCCTTCTTCCCTAGAGGCATCGGGCGCGGCAAACAGACGGTGTATGGTACTGATGCAGGTAGGGGCATCTTGCGCGGAAAGAGATATAAATGCCCCCGCTGGGCCAGACTTGGTCAGTAAGGAGGGATTCGTGCTCAAGACATCAGCACTACCATGTAAGGAGACCATGGTGGCGATGCACTGTTCGGGTTGGAAAATGAAAAGTCGTGATATGTGATGGACCAGGCAGACGCGGAAGTGTGAGCGCATGTCCGCATCCTCGACGCGCTAAGATAAGTGATAAGCCAGGGTCACCCCACAGTCTCACGCGTGCTACCATGGATGTCTCGGACTCGAGGGCAGCACAAGCGTTACGCCTCCACTTTCACTTCTAAGACATGTAGTTCCGCTCAAACATTGTTAATATTTTTCTAAAAGCATAAGATTCTTGAAACGGCCGTTATAGAGAATTTGACATCGTGTTCACGTTGAAGGTTCTACCATTGCTAGCTACCGCACTTGCATTACTAGCTGCTACGTGACGTGACGCCTAGAGCCTGTGCTTCTGCACACCTGATCTGCCTTGGAATAACCAGCACGATCCTTGATGAACCCCATGGCTCTCCTCTGCTAACCGTAGGGTGCGGCTATATCCATCTTCCTTCCGCAGGTTGAGCGCACCCTCCAAAATAAGTCCCTCGTAAACACATCAGGCGCTGATAGCGCATATCACTCAAAGATGAAGCCTAAGCTTTAGTCGATAGCATAACTCGTCTGCCTGTGGATCCACTGGTTTTAATCTAGGCATCCATTTATGCTCATGCTTCCACATTGCCTAGAATGACGAGGACTTGATGTGCATGTCTATGTGCCTAGAAGGCGACTTCGAAAGCAGTACTTCAATGATCAGAGGCGCGAACGAGCGAGCCCTCCCACGGTTTCGCTGGCCAAATACATCGACATACCTAAACAAAGATAAGCATACGTCTAGTAGTAACTTTCCATACGACTCCAAGCTTCCAGTAGTGCTCATTTACTCTGCAGCCAGAACTTTCTTGATTGGTTCTGCAGCCTCGATGAACTTTTCTACCATTGTGTCCAGCTTGGTAAGATCGTCCTTGCCCTTCTTGACTTCGGCAATGAGCTTCTGCTTCTGCTTGAGCTTCTCCTGCCGTCGCTCTTCTAGCTTGAGACGGACTTGATGTTCGTGTTCGATGCGCGCCGTCATAAGTTCGTGCTCGTTGGACTCCTTGTGTTCGGGGAACTGCTCGAGGAACTCTTCGACGGAGATGAGGGGAAGCTTCATGTACTTGTGACTGGGCAAATGTTAGCTACGAAACACGCAATCCATACAGAACACATACTCATAGTTTTCTGCAGCGGAGATCTCAGATCGCAACGACTGCTCTTCGTACTTGAGGTTATGAAGGCCCAGGATGAGCGCATCGTTGACAGCCCTGTCATCCGAAGTCTTGGCCTTTTCCTCGCGGACTTTCAAGATGCTCTGCCTGTACAGAGTCTTGATGACGGATAGCTGGGCGCGAATGTACTTCTCCCTCCTCTCGATTTCTCGCGTCGCCTCCTTCTCCCTGTCAATATCTTCACGCGACACTGGCTTAGGATTCTTTGGATGCGCAACCTGGTAGTCTACGAGCTCGTTGATGAGCTTCTTGAGGTTTTGCACTTCCTTGTGCAGTCGCGCATTGTGCGGCGTCTTGATGAGATCGGCGACGTTGAAAGTGGACAGATCCGTAGGCAATGCATCTTCGGCCGACGCCAGAGGAAGCTGTTGTTCGCTCATGTTACCGTTTTATCACTGCGCTTGCGATTGTGGAATAGTTTCGCGGTTGTCGCAATGCATGTGGTTACTGATCCGCAGTCGCAAAGTCGTACCGAGTTTCGCGACGGAGATCCGTGCGCAGAGGCCACGTGACAGCTTCTCCTTCATAGACACCCTCTCCTTGACACGGGTACAGTAAATGTTGCCAAGTGGCCGTTTGGTCCAACGTGTAATGGACAAAGCAACATGTCAATATGCCTGTAAAACTCTACGAGCTATTTATGCCCTATCAGCCCTCTGACGAGAGGCATAAGTAAGGATAGTGGTACGCCAATATATCCGTATTGAGTATTCTCCGATCATTGTCTTGCTCTGCGAGAGATTCAACGTCACACGTCATCAGCGGGGGAGATGCGATATTTTTGTTGTTCTGATCCTACCTCGCTAAGGAATCTGTCGCTTTCCCCCGTCGAGGACATGGTCGAGCGAAACTTTGTAATATACATCCCGCCCAACAGTACTGTTGCATTTTGCAGAGTACCTCCAGGGGTAAGCACAGCATGGTTGGTCCTGCCTGACCGTTATCGCATCCACCGTACATCCACACAGCCGCCAAATGGAGATACTGACAGGTTGCAAACTTTTGACTTTCGGCTGACTGTTTGCTTTTCCCCGTTATCAAACGTTCATCTCCGACCGTGCATACAAGTGCCCCTCTCTGCGGCGCTCCGCCTTCTCCAAAATGGTATGCGGCACTTCAAGCCACGAACGGAATGTGCTGCAATCCTTGGGCGACCCATAAAGATGCAGATCGACGACGAACACAAAACATAAACCTGACGTCGATCTATCCGTCCGTAGGATTGGCCCGAAATTTCTCATCACTCTGCAGGCCGACCCTGGCGACGAATGTCGACTACCACAAGCGCAGACGCGGCAAGTGCTATGGCGTGCTAGCGCCGTGTCAGCCGACCCAGGGATCTAACATGGCCCACCCGACGAGAGATTGCGGAGGATTTACACGCAACCCATCATAGACGCCAACCTCATGTTTCCCGGAATCCTCGTGGCTGTGCGCCACCACAAGGATCACGTCCTGCCAACGTCAACTCTGCAGACACGAGTCCTGCGGAAAGTAACAGTTCGCTGGGATTTCCTAGTCGCGGAGCAAAGTTTGCGTCCTCGGCAAGCATATGCAGGTGCTTGGTTAAAAGAACCGACATACCCAGTGGACCAGTCCTTCTCGGTCTCGCAACATGACTCGTTTGAGGTGTGTGCCGAAACTTTACTTCAAGGCCACTTCGAGCCCAATCATATCGATATCTCTGAAGATGCATGGTGACAGTTTTAAAACCCACATGAGTTGGCTAGAACACTCGCTATGCTGACAACTACAATTCTTAGCCTACTCTTAGCTTTTCAAATCATGAAGCAGCCAGACTGTTCGAACTTGTCGGAGCTAAGACCAGAGGGTTGTTCGTCCTGTGGCTGTTCACGATAGATCGTTCTTTGGGCGGCAGCGTGCTGCATGACACAAAAGCAAGGGGTATACGAGAATCTAAAACTGCTTCGGCGACCCTTCTGGAAATGTTTAGGGTACCAAAGCACCTCTACAAACGGCTGACGGCCTCCGATTATTTGGATATTAACTCAAGCTAGTGGAACGGCGTGGTTTGAGCATCCAGTTCCAACGCGTGCTCGACTGCGTACACACCTCTAGCGTAGAGATCTCGCCAGACTAGACGGTGCGGAAGAAGACGACCGAGGGGAACCAGATCAGAAACGCCATGTGTGGCTGATGGGCGTTTGATCATTTGTTTTTCCCGCTCATAGTCGGCCACTATATCATGCGGATAGTTGATACTCCCACCAGCTGGTCAGCGGGGTCTATTGTTAGAGACCGATCTCGATCATAGCTACATGGCGTGGCGTTTGTTCCCCATGCCATCTTGATATGTCACTTTAAATCATCCCGACGCACCATCTCCAAGATGCCCATACCCCTGGGTTATCATTGCCTAGTTTGCCAGGCACGTACCACAAAGCGGCTCTGTAAGCTCGTACTAGATCCTTACCGACAATCAAGCCGCACGACGCTCGTTTAGCTATACTTAATGCGATACAAGGTAGATCCCTTGGGCGGTTGTTACATTTCTGAGCTTCAGCTGGAATGGGGCTGCGGGTAGGGATTCGAAATTTCGGTATTGGATGGTGGCGAACTTGCATTGCGCTTGACCACGTCGTTTCTCGACCCACAGCACCGGCTGCATGTTGCTAACCTCCTTATGCACGCTTGGTCTCACGTGGCGGGGCAACTGTCACGGCTAGGATCTCCCTGGGTCTGTTTCCGGGCTTCGTGCTCTGCCTGATGGGGACGCCACGCCCGGAGAACATACTACGAATTGAGAGCCGAGATACGACATAATTCGTCTACCGGTGTCTTCTTGACTCACTAACCATGTGAGCTAGAGCAGGCACACGTCTGGCTTACCAAGGGATTCGTGGTCGGCCGCAGAGTATCTCTAGCCAAGGGGCTTGAGTGCACTGTAAAGAAGCCTCGTTGACCCGCTCGTTTGTGTGCCTTCATTCTCCCCAGATTTCGTTCTTCTTCACTGTCTTCGTTATGGCTCCGGCAAAGGAAACATCGGTGGAACTGTGTAAGCGAGTGAATGCACAGGGTAACACCATCGCCATTCGAATGCTCGAGTACCTGAGCACGGCAAAGAATCCTATCCATGGCTTCGAAGCACTATCAAGAGACTTTATTGAGCTGTGCCAGGTAACATGCCCAACAAGCAACCGGCCAGGAATCATACTTACAGTATCTCCAGGAACTATGGTCCATCGAAGCTGGCGTCACTGAAGCTAGCAAATCACGTAATGCATTCCCAGTTGAGGTATCTCAGGAGCTTGACAGGCGGCTACGTCAGGTCACCGAGGAGTTTTTGGTTCTCAGCCAAATGGTCAACAAATGTAAGTTTAGGCTGTGACTTCAAACTTTCAGGAAAAGCAACTAACCACGTTGATCACTTTAGTCGTCGACAAAGAAAATCACAAGGGCGGCTTCGGCATGAAGTTCCGGATGATGTTCGCCGACACTGACGTAGACAAGATGCGACACACATTAGCACGGAGCCGAGACGCATTAAAAGTCAGTTCTGCCATGTTCAGATGGTCCCTTGGGGACGCCAAAGCGGATGCTTCTATGGGAATCGGCTACGCAGGACTAATCGCAGCGCTGGAGCGTCTAAGTCCGACCAAAGCTGCAAGCCTTCCATCTATCCACTCGGCTCCATCACCGAGCCTCCCACCTACGCCACCTACGAAAGCCGGTAGCCATCATGGAACTCAAGCTTCAGCACCGATTTCACAGAGTCTACAGAGACCATATGTGAACGAGCTTCGGTATGGCGAGGGACACGCGTACGAGAGTGAGATTTCGCAGTACCGACCGGTTGAGATGGGATTGTCACCAGGAATTGTGGATCTCCACAAGAACTGGCGAGCACCGGCTAGTGCTCGTTCAAACGAATCAACAAGGGAAACGCAGTATCACCATAATGTCAACTATCACGAAGATCCGTTATACGAGGAAGTCGCATCATCACATTCTGGTCGCTCACCGACCATGGAGGAGAAGTTGCACGGCCTTACTGTTCACGAGCGCTACTTGGACGAGCATCACCCTCCCCACAAGGTTGACTCTCCCATAACATCACCACACTGGGCACCGCGTCAGAGCGGTGCTTCAAAGCATGCTGGCGGTAAAGCTGCAGTATTCCTCGCTGTTGAGCAAGGCAGGCATCGTACGCTCGAGCAACTGCTTGAGGGTGGTGCACGAGCTGAGCCACACATGGAGTCTGCTATGCTCCGAGTTGCCGCAGAGAAGGAGGACGTGGAGAGCGTTGCAATTCTTCTGAAATACGGGGCAGATGCTAACGGCTTCGACCGCGAGGGTATCACTCCCTTGTTCGCTTCCACTCGTGCTCAGTGCATCGAATGCGCCAAGAGGCTGCTCAAGCACGGCGCTGATCCCAATTTGTCGGCTGGTCCCGATTCAGAGTCGCCGTTATCGCTGGCTGCGTCTCAGAGTTATATTGAGTTTGTGAAGTTATTCCTTGCTCATGGCGGCGATGCCGGCTTTATTATGGAGAATGGCTCCACGGCACTTATCTCAGCGATGAACAAGACCACTTCACCGAAGTGTGTCGAGGTGCTTCTTAGCGCAGAAGGCGATGCCGACGCAAAGAATGGAGAAGGAACAACTGCCTTGTTCCAGGCTATACAGGTAAACCGTGTTGATTTGATGACGGTACTGCTCGATCATGGAGCGAACCCTAACCTTCCCGGTCCCAAGCACCCACTTTGGCCATCAACATACAAACCCAAGGCCCTCCAACTGCTTCTACAGCGCGGCGCCGACCACAAGAAGACTCCAGGTGTCATGGAACTGGCATCTAGTCTGAAAAAGCTCGAGTCCATCAAGATTCTCATGAATGCCGGTGTATCACCCAACATACGAAAGGATAATGTCTACACGCCACTGTGCTCAGCGATCCGCGACAACAGCGCTGAAATCGTCACCTACCTGCTTGAAAACGGTGCCGACCCAAACTTCAACGCAGCAGAGTACCCAGCCTTCAAGTGCATCACACACAAGCGCACGCAGTTCCTCCCCCAACTCGTTGCCGCCGGCGCCGACCTCCACAAGCCCAAGGGCATAATTGAGACAGCCGTCAAATTCAACAACAAAGACGTGATCGTCTACCTCCTCGACCAAGGAGTCAACCCCAATGACCGCACCCCAGACGGCTGCACCGCCCTCACAACTGCCATCCGCGAGAACCACCTGGAGCTCGTCGACCTCCTCCTCACACGAGGCGCCGACCCCTCCATCCGCGGGCAAGACTGGCCCCTCTGTATGGCCGTCCAACGCCCACCTATCCTCAAACGCCTACTAGCCGCAACCACCAATCCACGCGCCTTCCGCGGCGTTGTAGAAATGGCTGTCGTAGCCAACCAACTTGAAAGCATCAAGCTCCTCCTCGCTGCCGGCGTCAGCGTTGAAGACAAAAACTGCGGCGTCTTCTCCCCTCTCACAACCGCCATCCGCGAGGAGCGCAAGACAATCGTCCGCTACCTCCTCGACGTCGCAAACGCCGACCCCAATGCCCCTGGCGAACACCTCCCCATTGTCAAAGCTCTTCGCCGCTACTCGGGCGACCCCGAAATCATCCAGATGCTGCTTACTCGTGGCGCTGACATCAACAAAATGCACCGTGGCTGGAACGCTATACTGCAGGCGGTGGAGAATGGCGACGCTGAGATTCTCAAGCTGCTGATTGATATGGGTGGAGAGGCGGATCTACAGGCTGTGGATGAGAGTGGCAGGGCGGTTGTGGATATCGTGACGGAGAGGGGGTGGGAGGAGGGCCTCAGATTGCTTTTCCCGGATCCGAGGGCTGGTTCACCGAAGGGTATGGCTGCGGCGGCGTCGGCGAAGAAGGTGGGGGAGAAGGGTGGGGAGGAATGGTCGAGGTAGTAGGTTTCTTTTTTTGTTCATGTTTCCTGCCCTGCTGTCTTTTTATCGTTGTCGACGTTGGTCGACCGCTCAATACCCCTCGCCTCCTCTTTCTCCCCATCATCATCCATGTCTCTTCTTTGTTTTCTTCCTTCGTCCGTTTGTCTGTTTTTTCCTATCTTATTGGTAAAGAAACAACAACAACGAATTAATGTCACATCGAGTTTTACGAAGACGTTTATTCATCACACCACACATACATATGAGCGAGGCTGACGTTTGTGGCCCATCTGCAGCGATAACAAAAAAAGTTTCTCCGTCAGCGATTGGAAGTGGATGAGTTGTGAAGAGATGGATGATGCGCACACTTACAATGAGCTGGATGAGGAGGATAATTGTAGTCAGGCGAGTAGTGAGTTGCTACATGCTTGATATCTTCTTTCTAACGGCCGGTTTCTTATTTATCTTTACAAGGTCTCGATTGCTGGACAGGGTATGCTGTGGGTGATGAGGGCGTTTGAAGAGCTTTTCTTTTCTTTTCTCTGTTTTTTTTTCTCTTTTGGTATACCACTATCTGTTGTGTCGGGTTTCTTTCGTCTCTCTGTTGGCTTAGATTATGAGGATCTTGTCTAATGATTAGTGTTAATTGAGTATAGAGATGAGCTTATGGTAGCATGTAGCTTTGCATCATATGGAACTTTGGATGTTTGGATGATTGTGATTGATATTATCGTGTGCTCAAAGAGAGAGAGAGAGATGAAAGAAACTCGTCGAGAGTAGATGTGGTCCTGCCTGGTGGTATCATAGAAAGGAAAGAACAACGCCAACAATGCAGCAGTGAGTTTTACGCGCCGGTAATGCAAGAAAAGAGGAAGAGTCGAGAGACCAGACCAAAACGCCGGCGCTAAGAAGAATCGAAGGAATAAACGGAAATGCAAATATATACTCATGGAAAGCTCAACCCTCGCCCAAAGCGGTTCGCTTCAGGCAAAGGGAACTTACACCCTCCCCGACCCCCAATTCCTTACCTCCTGTCGGCCAGGCTCATCAAAGCCCGCCCTCTCCATCAACTTTGTAAACGTTGTATGCGCCGAATCTGCGGTATCGCGATTCTGTCCCCTCTTCATCCCCGGTGCCTGCGGGGGCGCAAGAAACCCATTCACTCCAGCCGCTCCACCTCCCATTGTCTGAGGAGGCACACCAGACTGGTGCGGCATAAGTATGTCGATGGTTTCTGAGCTACCTGAATGGGGATGAGGTTGTTGAGGCTTATACTTTGGTGCACCACTACGGGAGCGAGTGGAGTTTGAGCGGGACGAAGCAGAATACGAGTGTATTCTCTTTGGTTTCTGGGGCGGGGTTTGGTAGGGGTTTGTGTAGGGGTTTCCGGCGCGAATGATGGGGGCGGCCGGGTTGGGGGGAAGGCCACCTGAGAAGCCAAAGTTTAGCTTGGGGGTACGGTCCCACATGCTCTTTATTCTGGGGGTGAAGCCGTGGACAACATTGTTCGAGTTATTGTTGGTGTAGGCATTGTTTTCCTTCATGCCTTGTATGATCCTGTCCGTAGAGTTGGGAGAGCCGACGGAGTGGCTACCCCTGCGCATGAAATCTGTACGTGCTGCGTGCTGCGGATCGTAGATAGGATCACTTATTTGGCGGGCGACGTGACCAAAGTCGCCAGAGTAGCGTGGTTTGTTGAAGTGGGTTTCGCGGCGGCGCTTTAGCAGCCAAAGGAAAAGAAGGGTAAGGAGGGCCCCAATGATGATACCTGGAATGAAGCCTGCCGCGAAAGAACGGCCGGAGAAGGAATTGCTTGTTGGGACAGGTTCAGAAGGACAGTTTGAGGTTTGAGAGGCAGATGCCGGAGATGTGGGGGATGGTGTTGCAGGGGAAGTGGAGGAAGGTGACGGTGCTTTGTCTTTGGCACACATGCTGCCTTGACATGTGTAGCCCAGTGAGCAGCACTTGTCACCACATTTTGGGAGCTCGATGCCTTCCGTCTCGGAGAGATGCAGCTGGTTGTCCGGGTGGAGGGTGGCGTTTAGCTGTGTGGTGTCGCACGTCGTGGGCTGGATGTAGGCGCAGTCCGAGCCGGCTGGACAGCAGATGACCGACTTTACAGAGCCGCTGTTCAGATCGATGCAAGTAGAGTCTTTGGGACAGCAAAAGCTAGATGGGAAATCGCTTCCGCATTGCTGAAGAGCAGTGTTTCCTCCACATGTTTCTGCCCGTGGAAACAAGATGCTAGATGCTTGTGCGGTTGTAAAGAGCAAAACGAAGAGGCAGAGGATCGATAACCTCGTAAGTCTCGGTGATAGTGTGATGGTCGCCATTATAGAAGATGGGAATGATATGCCCAGGATTATGTTGGAGAGGCCGGGCCTGCGTACCTCGAAAGTGAGACTGAAGGAAACGAAACAAGACTGATGGGATGAAAGAGCAATACTCGAAACAAAAGAGATAGACTTGAAAGCGTAGACACGCTAAGACAACGGCCCAAGTTGAATATTTACCTGCAAGACACTAGAGACCCGAGAGCCGCAATCATGGTTGCCAGCGAGCATATCGGGCACTTCGGGCGCTGCCGTGTCCACCCATGTGGTCGCTAAGTTCTGAGAATAGAGGCAGCCGAGGCGCGCGAGTGGACAATAGGCATTGTATGGCAGCTGTACACTCTTGCTAGCATGGTAGCAGTGGCAGGTGACGTTGCTGTCTGTGTGGCTATGCCGTGTCGAGCGCTCCAGTGGATGAAACGTGATGCCAGCGCTTGCAGTTTTGGACTTTTCTGCGTAGCTGGGGTGCACGCGTCGTGATTGGGCCGTGGGGTTAGCGCGATGTTCGCAGGGCTCGGGAAAAAGATGAGCAACGAGAAACGAGTTGGCGACAGCAATTCGATCGCTTGCCCGGTCACTCGACACATATGATGATTACACGGTGTCTGGCCCGACGGCCGGCTACTATTCAGTCTGCTGTTGGGGCTTGGAGGGTATGTGGTGTCGTGATGACGTGGTGGTGGTTGCCGCATGCGAGACTGACGCTGCATAGAGAATACCATCACGGCTCTCCCGCAGCCTGTACACGGTCCCCACGCTCGACAATCATGCGGAGCTGGAGCAAAACGGTGTCAAGGGGTTGTTGTCTGCAAAAGCCTTTCAGATTGCGTATACCGACTACCAGAAGTACATGGTTGACGAACTAAATGTCTCGACTGCCCGTATGACACCTGCCATTGACAGACGGGGAAACGACCGAGGCTAATACTGCTGTGCCAGAAACACCCTACGAGGGCCAAGAAACAAAGTCACTGGTCATAGACTTTGCCCGCGATCCGACCAAGGCGTATGCCTTCAACATCGCCAGCATGGCCTGGAACAACCACTTCTTCTTCCATGGCCTCAACACAACCCCCAATGTGGAGTCGAGACCTTCGACCAACCTCCAGATGCAGATCGACAAGGACTTCTCGTCGACCGACACATTGCGCGAGACATTCCTGGCGACAGCAGAGGTCATGTTCGGCCCCGGCTTCGTCTGGCTCGTGCAAGTCAACGGCGAATTTGGCAGCCTGCGCATTCTGCCTACCTACCTCGCTGGATCACCACTATCGGGCGCCCACTACAGGCGGCAATCGCACGACCTCAACACACACAACGCCGACTCGTACCAGGCTTTGAACAAGGTGGGCCAGTTTGGAGCGGCGTCGGGTCAGGACCAGAGGCCCAAGGCGCCATTGGGTGGCGTGGATGTAGTACCACTGATGTGTGTAAATACGTGGGAACACGTCTGGCTGCACGACTACGGCATCCGTGGGAAGAGGGAGTACCTCGAAAAGTGGTGGAATAAGATCAACTGGAGCTTGGTGGAGCAGAACGCCACCATAACAAGTCGGGGCTCGTATTCTTTCCAAGCATGAGCGACTGTACATTACATGTAGACATATGTGTACAAGAAACGTCGAAACGACACTTTGCATGGCATGGTAATTTTTATGTGACTAGAATCAATCGCGCCTCACAAGCCCCTCTCTGGCATCTTTCTTCCATGTACTTGCTTGGTCAGCTGGGCTGCCTGGGTCGTGGTTGCCCAAAGCCTTACATCGGCTATTACGACCCGCCTCACTCATCTAATATCATCAGCACCCGGCATCCGATCAGCCTACTTGGCAATTTTGCCTTGACACCAGATCTCATCTTGTCAAACATCAAACATACAGCGAGCGATACGTGGTGCGGCTACGGACTGAACTCTGCGGACCTCTTCAACTCTCCCGGCATTCCGCTAGTCTGTGTCACACCACCGGCAGAGCGCATCGCGTACAAGGTTCGAGGCAGATTCCATTACGCTCACCACCATGGTTCGGTGTACATTCTACTCCGTCTGCGTCCTAGGAACTCATCAGGTGGACAACCTACGTCCGCATAGCCGGCCGTCATCCTCCGCCACAGCATTGGTGCGCCTCATCCAAACCGTTGACGCGCAATGCTCTGCTCGAATATTCTACTCGCACATGGTTTGATGTAGTCAATCTAGAAGGATGTATGGATTTTTGACAAGTTAGCAAGATGAGGGCTTGTGTTCTACATAGTTGCCTCGTCTTTGAAGAAAAGTCTCCGGCGCATCGAGACACGAGACCTTCGCCAGAGACAATGTGCACACCGCACAGCCTCCTGCACCCTCGCATGCCATCATCGCTGATTTTCGCCCGGCTTTGCAGCAACATCTGCATGGAATCAACCCGTTCGCGTGCAGGTGGCCAATCATCGAGCCCTGATCTCCGCCGGATTTAGTCGTCGGTCAACGCAGGCCCTGCCGTAAATCCTACACTATGACCTCACTCACATGGACTAATGCTAGACTTAGCTAGCTAACGAACACACATGGAAGTATCTCGATATTCCAGTGACTCCCCAGGTCTCTTTTCTTCTCCACATCACATCGATCATTCGCCATTCTGACTCGCAATCGGAGAGTTTCATGTATTGAGAAAGAGACATGGCTGTGCTTGCAGCTATATTGCCAGTGGTCTCAAGGAGTTCCAGTCTTGCGCTTCAATTATTTGGGATCGCTGCTGCGTCGCCTGATGCTGCGAAAGATTTTGTGGCGGTCGCAAACAAGATCAATGGGTTTGCGGCAATACTCAAGCAGGTGGGGACTATTATCAAAGAAGATGATCGCTTGCCATCACTGGAGGTATGTTTCTTCGACACTATCAGGAGCATAGCAAGACTTGGTCATGTCTCCGATTGCCGGTAGAAGCATGAATGGTGGCAACATTGGCAGAATTTGAGCACTTGGTCGAGTACGGGTTTTGAAGTACAGTTTCTAACACGACATGTAGGCTTTCGAGGCTTTGGACGACGTGATAGAACAAGCACAGAATATCCTTGGCAGTTTCGAATTGGCAACGTCCCCAGATGACGTCCAACAATATGCGAGGAGGGACAGTGCTCGCTTCACAGGAACTAGCCAGTCGCAACTAGACTTTCCCACCAAAGCGAAGCTAGAGTACCTTATGGCTCACCTCGAAGCTTTGAGTATGGCCTTGTCTGTGTTATTGCAGACATTGTATACATCGCAAAGTATCATGTGGTCAAAGTAAGTCAAGCCCCTGGCTTCAAGATATGGCCTACAGTGGCTGTTCGAAAAGTACCGTTCGCATGACGAAGCCTGATGACGAGGGATGACTTTAATAAAGAGAATGGCTGACATTGCTATAGAATGCGCCCGACGGTATCCCCACAGCAATCCGCCAAACTCGTCGAAAACGAGAAGATCCAATTAGAGACACTGGTCATCCAACAACAGATGTCGATTCTTTCTGCATCCAATACATATGAACGATGGCCACATTCCGACACGCATCTTTTGATGGAGACAGATAGCTCGCAGAGTTTGGTTCCCGTGGATCGTGAAAAGACCCCCAAGCCATCCACCCTCCACTTATACCTAGAAAAAGACTTGACTAGTCTGGATACATCGGTATTTACCGAGGCAAACTCTTTACCAGTAGTTTGCAGCGTCTCAGGCAAGCATGCTGATCACTTGCTCCAACAATGGACGACTTTGCCTCAGTTTGAGAGCAGGCTGCGGGACCAAGAACGCGAACTGGAAAGACAAAGAAAGGATACACAGCAAGCCACGGTAGAATCGGACAGTGAGGAAGAGGAAGTTCATTCTTCGAAGCTCTCAGGCGATGGTACTCAGCGAGTGCATAGATCAGGCAGCCTTGAACCGCTCATTATTGAAGCCAATACACCTGGAGTAACTTCGGAGAAGCACTACGGGCCTTCAGCACCACCGACACCCGCTGCTACTCCCCGTACTTCACATACAAGTGTCATGCCCACAGCCGATCAGTATGCATCTACTTCGCCCCGTTCAAGTCTAGGAAGCCTCCCGGTCGATGCAAATGCTGCAGTGGAAGCCAAAGAGGAGGACAGTGAGGTTGACCTTGAGATACCATGGGTATTATGCACTCGCAAGTACTATTGGAAGTACATTGACGCTAGACAAATCAGCTCAAACACTGATCAAGGTCCTTCGCTAGCTTTCTCAGAACGCCACAGCTGGACAGAGATCAGAGCCAGCTGGGTATGCAAGGAGGCCATACAAGAACCAGGATACTATTTTACAGAGTTCCAGAAAGAGAAAAAAGACAACAGGAGAACCAAATCTGAAACTTACTTCCGAATTGAACGACCTTTGCAGTTTGATCAAGTCAAGCGTCTCGTTGAACGAACGGTTGAAATCTATCGGAGAAAAGCACCGCTCGATCATCATCAGCAACCCTCGCCTAGAAGATCTTCATTCCATCGCTCGCCGCCATCGGGGAATTTTGCAAAAGGAAGCACGTTTGATCGCGATCGCACACCAATGCCTCGCAATACACATCCTCCTCTCGGTCACACAAACGCGCCGGGGTATTTTCCCCCACCACCAGGACCACCCTCACTGGACCGACCCTTTTCAACACCTAGATCGGGTCCCATGTCCCAACCTCCTCAAACAAATGTCAATCCTCGCGCTTCGAATCTACAGTTGCCGCCCCAGCAGCCGCCCCCTCCACAATCTCCACGACTGCCTTCTTACTCGGCTCAAGCCGGCGGATACCCAACATCGTCAACGCAACCTATGAATATAGCGTCCGCTTCGCCAATGTACTTTCCTCCTCCACCAGCATCAAACGGCACTTTACCACCTCCCTACTCACAACAGACCAACCAAGGTTATCCAGCCTCGCCCCTCCGACATTCATACATGAACCCACCGCAGCAGAATCGTCGCTACGATGACGATTTCACGTCGACAGAAGAAGAGGACAGGGATCGGACGAGACGGAGGAGAGACAAGGATAGAAGGGGTGGTGGTGACAGGGAACGGGAGAGGGAGAGAGACAGGGGAAGAGATCGATACAGCAAAAAGAGCCATACAGGAAGGAAAGCCGCCGCTGGTGCATTGCTAGGCGTGGGTGGGCTGACTGCATTGTTGGATGGCCTGAGCGGGCTGTAGGTGATTTCTGTAAAAAGAAGAAAATTTTAGGGCAGGTCGTTCCTATATACGGTGGAGATGGTAAGATACTTCGTAGTATACTAACGACATTACGTAAGGGTACACAGAGGGCGTGAGTAATTATATACGTCAGATCAGCCTTGTAGAGAGTGAGATAGTAAACGTTGTGTTGGTGTAGTTGTCTTTGCCATTAGAAGACCAACCACTAATCAGTCATCTCACTACCTATAGATGCTGTTGATGCTGACAAGTCCGGCATAAGTGGATCTAATGTATTCAACCGTCCCTGAAGCTTCGCCATATCATCGCGAATCCACTGTTTATTAGCTTCCATGACCCAGTCCACTGCGTTGCGGATCTTATGAACCATAACGCGGAAAGGTTCTACGCCGTTGTTCGTCCACGAAAAAGCGATAGGCTTGGAGAAGAACTGAAGCTGGCCATCTTCGGCGACTGCTGACCAGCAACAGTAGATGGCGCTTGTGGTTTGTGTGAAAGAAATGGTAATGACATGTGCGATGCCATCGAATTTTGTCCTGAGTTCTTCCTCTTCCATGCCTGCTAGCTGGCGCAGTTTGCGGAGATTTCGCAACATAATCGCGGCGTTGTGCATGTTCTGACGCTCGGCATACGCATCGCCTGTGATATGCTTGATCTCGGCGGTAGCTACAGGAAATGCCAGTAAGCCGTCTCCTTTTATTGGTGTGCAATATTCGCCTAGATATTCGATTGCCTCATCACAGCCTGTGATCTCATCTCTGTTGTAACCGATGGTCATGTCAGGGTTCGGGGCAGCGATCTGCAGGGTTGAACCGCCGGATGGGAGAGGATGGCCATATCTCCACTGGCCGGCGAGGTTCGACCGTACGTCTCGACCCGTTTGACATAAGATCTCGTAATCGAGAACTTTTGCCGTGAAGACGAAAGTAACTCCAGCTTTGCTGTTGGTGTTCCTTGTTAGGTCCCATGTCATTGCATAGCTCTGAGGTGGCGTCTGTTCTTCTCGTGTGACTTCTAGTGCTTTTGTTATGGTTTCGCAGTTTGAGGGCCTGCGTTTCTCGACTGTTGGGACTAAGATGCAACCGCGTCTCTTAAGAAGCGCCGGATATTGGTCGTTCGTGGAAATGATGTTCTTCGCAGAAGGCTTTCGGTAGTTTTGAGGAAGAAACTGCTCTTGGAGCTTTCGTAGGTTTTCTTCTTTCAACAGACTGCTCCCGGAGTCTTCGCTGTGATTGGAGGTATTGAAACAAGGATATTGAGTATTTGGATCGAGTGTAGGCTCCTTTACGCTCGGATAGCCGAAGAAGGTCTGCAAGTGGTGTGGATCCATGCTGATGTTCTGTTGAATTGTTGGAGTTTTTGTAATCATCGGTGCTGTGCGCGTCGCGGTGCACGACTTCCTGGGAAGAAAGGCCCCTAATAGCTCCAAGGTTGCTGTTGCAACGAAAAAAGCAAGAAGCTAGTGGTAATGGGAGTTGCGCACGGCGGCAGGGGCTAATGCGCTAATGCATATCATGTGATATTTACTTTCACCTCCACTCCACTACATGTACACCTCAAACTCGCATTGCAGAAGGGCATTGGAGCCTGGAATACTCCTTTTGGAACTATAAACTGTAGATCTGAGCGCAAAGCGAAATCAATAGGGAGCAGGTGGCGGTTTGACACAGTACCATCTACCAGACCTTGGGAGATAGCGTAGAGCCTCTTCTCTATATTATGACGATGCTTAGATGCCCGCTCCACAGGGCTCTGGTTACTCAGGCAATTACTCTGAAATAGTCTATTGATTGTACTGTATTATCCCTCGTATATAGTAATCAGGTTTGTACCGGGATACCATACCTAGCTGATTCTGTATATTGCGAAGGATTGTGAGTGACAAAAATTACGAAAGATGCGTCGATAACGTCGCTAAGGCGCGTGGTATGATTTTCAGCTATATGCTGATGAGTTGAGGCTGGGTCTGCATTCGTGTTTCCTTCTTCCAAAGCTTGGCGCTAACGCTGGGAATTCGCAACCCAAGCCCCCTGACTACATCGACTACAACCCTTGTTCATCATGATCTCAACATATGGGGCAATCCCACCCTAGGTCCGCCGTATCGCTTGATACGGCCCGCTATGCCTTTAGGCACCGGGAACAAGGTGGAGAGCAAAAGTGGGGTTGAGATGAGCTGCTCTGCCCGAAATTCGGTGGCTGTCATGACGTTGGAGATGTGCAGCTACAAAACGTCAACGACTTGACGCTGCCAAGTGCTTCTTGTTTTCGATATACACACAATTCACTAGAAGCTTAGTATACAATCTACGAGACCACAATTACAATGTCGTCACCAAAGACTGTACGCTGGGGTATCCTCGCGACTGGAGGCATTGCCCTGACCTTGTAACTACCCCGCTACCCCGCCGAAGCTGTCTACTAACATTTATGTAGCACTCGGGATCTTCTCTGCGATCCTACCACGCGTGGTGTCAAGCATCTCAAGCACACTGTCGTCGCAGCTGCTTCCTCGTCCTCAGAATCCCGCGCAAAGGATTTCCTAAAGGAAGTCGGCGCGCCGTCCGATGCAAAGGCATATGGCTCCTACGAGGAGTTTGTGAAGAACCCTGATATCGACATCGTATACATTGCTACACCACACTCGCACCACTACCAGAATGCTATGCTCTGCTTGGAGGCCGGAAAGAATGTGCTTTGCGAGAAGGCCTTCACTGTGAACGCTGCACAAGCGCGCAAGCTGGCGGAGGTTGCCAAGTCAAAGAACCTCTTCTTGATGGAGGCTGTATGGACGCGCTACTTTCCACTGTCCATCTACGTGCGCGAACAAATCACCGCCGGTCGCATTGGTCCCGTTGCACGCGTCGTTTCGGACAACAGCATGGCGCTTGACCCCGAGAACAACTTCCCGGATGGCAAGAACCGCATGGTGAACCCCGACCTAGCCGGTGGCGCTCTACTCGACCTGGGTATCTACGCTCTCACTTGGGTCTTCCAAACCATGTACCACACGCAGCCTGAAGGGTCGCGCCAGCCACCCAAGCTGAAAGCCTTTGTCAAGAGCTACGAGCCTACCGGCAAAGCCGACGAGCACAGCACTATGATTTTGAGTTTCCCTCGCTCAAAAGAGCAAGGCGGTGAAGCACATGCCGTAGCTACAACCTCGCTCCGCATTGCCACTGCCCCAGGAGGGAACATGGACCAGCCTTTTGTCCGCATCCAAGGTCCCAAGGGTGAGATCCAAGTCTTTGGGCACTCGTTCCGTCCCCTCTCCACCAAGATCATTGGTTTAGACGGCAAGGTCGAGTCGAAAGAGTTTCCCATTCCGGGCCCAGGTAAGGGAAGTGGATGGTACAACGGCTTCGGTGGCTCACTCCAATCAGAAGGCGAAGGCCAGGGCATGTTCTGGGAAGCTGATGAGGCGGCGGATGCGATTATCAATGGCAGGAAAGAGGGACGATTTTTGGGTCTGGATGAGAGCGTGCTTATCATGGAGGTCATGGATGAGGTGAGGAAGCAGGGTGGTCTCGAGTACCCTGAGAAGATTGAGACGTTGGATTATCCGACGAAGTTGTAGATGGTGTGATACGTTTTTTATGAGCCTGATGGATCGTCTTACTTTGGCATTGATGTAGATACTACAGAGCATATTCAGTCAATTGTTAGTTGGGTTCCTGGCTCATACCTTCTTGTGTTGCTAATGGACAGGTCCTGAAGCTGAATGTATACAGTAATACTACCACTTCTACAACAAAAATATCAAGCTGATAGGGTAACAACATCTACACCTCCTTATTCTAATCAGTGTAATTTTAGAGAACAAGTCAGGTATGACTTCCTATGTATAGTATCTTAGTACGGAATAATCGCCGTTTCGAGTAAAAAGGGACAACATATAATAAGTGCCTACATCAGTCAGTTTTTTTGTAGAAACGGTACATGCTTACTGTAATACTACTAGCATATACTCGCTTGTCCCTACAGCTACTGAATTAGAAATATCTATGCGTGTTGGAAGGTCTATAGCACTAGTGCTGAAAGGAAATAACGATAACTAGGAATGCATTCTGTTCGGTGATGGTGATTGATTGTCTACGAACATAGCTGCTACGAAGGTATACCTAAGCTCTGCGCAAGGTGGGCCGAAGTCGGGCCGAAGTGTCCAGCAGCCGACGTCTCTACCGATACTCACGATCCGACAATGCGCAAAAAAAGAAAATATGTTTTTGAAATCGACTTTAGTGACCATAGCGTGTAGAGCTCGTTCTCCTTATCAAATTTCTTAGGCGCTTCCTTGGCTTATATTTTTGTCATCTGATCATACATTTATTAGCATGACGCTCTTCTACAACCGGCAAGGGAGCTGCGAACGACTTACGTGCGCGTAGCGGGAGGCATTTTTCAAATCGGAGGTACCGCACGATTGATCGCAATATCGGCGAAGTCGATTTCAAAGCAGAGGGCGTACAGCGGTTTCATGAAATGTAGAGGTACTAAAAGACCAGGAGAAAACAGGGACATAGTGAATGTCACGAGTACAGGCGTAAGCGACGAGGGCCATTCATCCGGACGAACTGACAAGCAGCACACGACCACCCACAACTAACAACAGACTTCTTTTGATGTGAGCTGTCGATGCGAGATGCCGGTATCAACCCGGGACCTAGTGTTGAACTCCCGACTGACGTGAATTCGAACGCAGGGACATTTCTTCATCCACCACGTGTTGCAACCAAAGTTCCGGGAAAGCATAAACCACGTGGTATAGACGGCTACTGTGGAATAATCCAGCTCCTCTGGGATATTTGACAGTAGGCTCCCAAGGTTTCCAAGGTGTTACCTCTACATTATGACAGCACCGGCTGGGTCGCTAGTCCATTAGTTTATACGGTTTATATACCTGGCCAAGGCTCTTTTGTAGATGGAATAATAGCATTGTTGGAGGGTTTACACAATTTTCAGGGCTTTCGGTGTTTTCTTCAGAGAATTAGGGACATAGCGGTGTGAAGATAGCTTACGTATGGTCTGGGATTAGGTTTAAGTTGGCTATGTAGGGTGTTTTGCAGGGGGAGGGGGAGGTAAACTACCAGGGGTATAGAGATAGAAATGAATAGGAATGCGTACAGAGGTTGGAAGAATGGGGTGATAGGACGTGTGGACAGCAATAGCTACCTGTTGTCCCCGCTCCCTGTAGGCTTAAGGAAGAAAAGAAGGACACAAAAAGATAGTAAATACTGCTATTCGCATCTCTTCCCAACTATCAAATGCACTATAGTGCGTTTTAGATCGTCTGAATAGTCAGATGAGAGTAGCAAATAGCAGAAACGGCGCACAGCAGGTTCGTCGTGCTGTCGTGATCTTGTTGAAAGCGATGAAGGTAGGATAAGACTTCTTTTTTTGGTTCGCTTCAAGTGGTATTCGAACGTGTGATGCAATATTTCCCACAAAGTCCCACGTGATATTGGGGGCCTAGGGCACTCCACTCTCGAATAGGTTGAAGGAAATACTTTGTTTTCGCGGTTGTCGTTGTTGTCGTTCGACTGACAGTGATAGCGATAGCGGCACCAGCTGTGGTCAGAATTAATGCTGTAGTAATGGGTTGATATAGTAGACTTGTTATTAGAGATGACAAGTGAGATTTGCTGTAACCACTGCTCTGTAGTTTGATCTCATTTTCGTTTTGAATGATGGGGTGAATATGATGTCTGTGTCGTACAGTGCTTGCATTGGCGACGTCACACGAGCGTCAACATGCTGTGCCATTGTCGTGCATACTACATATCCACATTGAGTTCAGCCAGATTTCTGTGTCTCCCAGGGATGTCCTCCTTTTCTGAATTTCGCATTACAGAACGCCAGTTTAATGAGCCCTTTGTCTAAAATTTCCTCCTTATGCTCTTCCATCTCTTCATAATTCCAATTCACACTCACCATCCCTCCTCTCATCCACTCCGCCCTCGGCGTACTCAAGAATAAGGTTAATCCAACAGTTAGCATGGGGTCGTCTAATGCAAAGTCCCAGTACTTTCTTGGAAGCATGTCTGTGGCGACGAGGCCGGGAAAGACGCTAAATGTGCGGATCTGTGGTTGTTCAGAATGTAGGAATTCCATGAATCTGGTTTGTGCGAGTTTGCTGGGAGTGTAGGACGAAAAGTTTGGATATGTGTCGGAAATGGACCCGGTGGATGTTGTGGTGATGGTGCCGTGAGGCTCTGGGAATTGGGCGAGGAAGTGATGGACGTTGAGGTAGACGCCTTTGACGTTGACCTCCTGATAGGTGTTAGTCTGCCGATGACCGCGCGATGATGGAGAGAACTTTGGAGGCTCACAAAGTCCTGCCATCACTTTGATGGCTCGTTCTTGCCAACCATGGCTTGTGTTAGTGACCCGGCGTCGTTGATGAGCACGTCTATACGTCCAAGCTCCTCTTTTGCTTTCACCCATAGTATCTTAACATCGTCTTCTTTGGTGACGTCAGTGGCTGTGACGACAATCTTCGTCCTTCCTTGAGCTATATTCTCCAATTTCTGCGCCACTTCCTGTAGTACTTCCATCTTTCTCTCCGTAATGACTATTCCTTCGGCGCCGGCAATTGTCCATGCTTCAGCAATAGCTCGGCCAATGCCTCCAGATACACCGGTTATCAGGACAGTTTTGCCTACGGCTGAGAGGGCAGGGTTTTTGGGCTCCAGGAAAGGGTAGAGCGATCGATGCACTTTGCTAGTGAGTTGGACGGGCCAAGTGATGGCATCGTAGTCTGTTTATTCGGGCATATCTTGGAGCCAAAATGTGGGTAGTGAACAGAGTGCGGGGTGATTATGCTGGTGATGATTTTGCGAGGGCAAGCATGTTACTTATCCAATGGCCATCCTGCCTGCAAAGCTGGCATCTTGGAAAAGATATAAGCGCGCGCGTCGCTACCGATCAGACCCGCTGTGGAACCAAGTACTACCGCAGTATGCTTTGCGTCCATTTGTAGAGCGGGGTGCGGGTGTCAATACCAAGCTATTGAGGGTCCAATTTGATTACAGTTTGTCTCCACAGAGATCTGATTCAATGATCGTGTCATCAGCGATACTCCTCCAATATGCAGCCTGGGAGGCTCCGAGTGGGGAAGTAGCTGTGCCGCGAGTAGCGTAGGATGCGTGGCCAATTGATCCAAGCATGACGTCCACATCCTCGGTATCCTGTTGAACATTATTGAACATTAATATTGTTCCATTATTGAACCCCGAAGTCATCAAAACTGTATGTAGGTTATGTGAGGTGTGTCTTGGAGAAACTCGTCGCGGCCCCTCTTTGCATTATTCTGTACCTCCTTTCATTCTTCTCCAGGCCATTTTTCCCTGGAGACACAATATCGTCTCGTGATCACATCAACATACTGAAGTTTCTGCCTGAAGATGAACTTGGGTGTATCCAAACCCTGTGCCCATCACCATTGCATATTCCATTTATCACTTTTATGCATATCCTTAGTCTATCCCCTCTCTTTGATTGTAAACACAATTTCTTTGACACCGCAGTGCTATTTTTGTAGTTAACATGCTGACTGAGACAGAAATTTTAATGTTTACCGGTAAGGGAAGGTGTGTCGAATGGAAGAGGTCGAACATTAGCATTCGCACGTTGATGTTGTGATATAAAGCGTATGTGACATCAGTTTGGGTGATATGGCTCCTATGGACTTGACAGGAACAGAAGATTGTAAGCCCGATGGTCTTTGGTGTAGGTATCCCCCAACTTCGCGATCGCAGGACCGCCATCACCCTGGTGTAGGTGCCGCGTATGTCTCGTATCGTATATTACAGTAGATATGGCTGATCCTAAGTAATGCCGTCGCGATCGGCTTAATTGGATACTATGTACCATCGTGTCCTTTTGCATCAGTTTGAATTTTCCTAGTTGCTGACCCAAGTGGGCGCGGTATGATATGTAAGGGCTTTCTAATCACACTCGGCCAAGGTTGACGCTGCTTACTGCAGTATGGCCGAAGTTGCTATGGTGAAGATTTCCGGGTACTGCTGTTATCTTCCCCGCATCAAACATGAACCTGGAGCCAAATCAACATTTGTGATTTGTGAAGATATGCAGTAGCTACAAGCAGCAGCGTAAGCGGAGTTGAGGTTACACTCGGTTGACAAATGCTTGGATACGTATGCCAGCAGCCAGTGTGTGTCGGATAGGGCCAGGGTGTCAGAAGAGGTTCTGGAACGAAGCAAATAAGCGGTGAAAGCCGAAGCGAACAAATCGGGGGGAAGCCGCAACCGCAACAGTGTCATTGGTGAGTCAATGGTGAGCTGGGCCATGGGTGTGAGATGTGTGGTTGGTGATAATATTCGTACTATAGAAGGCGGGCAGGCTTAGTTTGCATGTGATGTGAGGGGATTTCGGATACGAACAGAAACGAGAGCAACAAAGGAGGCGACTTTGGCAGCGAAGAAGCAGTTGAAGCATGTTTCCCGAACAGCTTGCTACGCGATTCATGTAATGACTGGCATGACGCGTGCTGATAGCCACGAGATGTGGTGGAGACGATGTGGGCGTGGTGGTCGGGGAATATGCAGCCTCGCCGGTCCTAGGCCCACCAGGGGGGAGACGACTTGCACTCAATTACCGACGGGCCGGAGATTCGCGAAGATAGCGCTGGCCTTGTCAGTTCCCTGCATCACCATCTTGGACTTGGGCGCATTCGTCGCATCTCCTACCGGCGAAAAGCGTCTCAATGAATTCGCAGCGTTCTCGAGAGGTGCGCGCCATGCTTCTTCTCCCTGCGCCCTGAACACCCGCCGCACCAGCCAGCTCACGCCCATGTCCGCTTCGACTCCCGCACCGAATAGCAGCAATGCGAGCAGCTCGCGCAGAGTTCCGCTCGACAAGCGGAAACGTACCGAGACAAGCTGCGACAAGTGCAAGTCGCGCAAGCAAAAATGCAGAAAAGAGCCGGGCCAGGACGCATGTCGCTATTGCATTGTCCACAACATTGAGTGCCTGACGACGCAGCCGCGCAAGAAGCGCCTGTATGGCAGCGTCGAGGGTTTGGGCACCCGACTGGCCCTGCTTGAGTCGCTGGTCAAAGGGCTGCTGCCCGAAGCCGACGTGTCGAGCACAGAGTCTTTGCGACAGCTGGCGGTGACGCACGGCATCCCTCTGCCAGATGCGGCCGGGAGCGACGGTAACGGCGACAATGACGAGAGCGGCGAGGGTGAAGGCGACGACACCGTGTCGCTCCTGCCCGACCAGCAAGGGCAGGTGCAGTACATTGGTCCTGGGAGCTCTCTCTCCTTCCATTTCAAGCTGCGCGCCCTGGTCGGCAGGAGCGCCCCGCACGAATTCGTCCTGTTCGGCAAGAACGCAGCTGCCCAAGCATCACCAACGGGAAGCGACGATAGCCTCTCCAACTCCCAGTCCAACCCCACGTCCATCCCGCGCGCCAACGCCTCCCGCAGCCACCAACGCCGCCCGACGCCCAGCGAGAGCCCCAACCACGAGCTGCTGATACGTACCTTCTTCGACCACATCCAGCCCGACTTCCCCGTCCTGCATGAGCCCTCGTTCCGCGAGGCCTACGATGCCTGGCTGGTCAATCCCAAGCAGGCCGACCCCTCATGGCTGTGCAGCTTCATGTGCATGTTGCTGCTCGCCCGCCGTGTCGCCCGCATACCCCTCCATGAAGACCAGGAGCAGTTCTGGTGGCAAAGGGTGCAGAAGCTCCTTCCGCTTGTCATCTTCACCTCAAGCATCACCGCCGTTCAGGCCCTTTTGCTCACGGCCCTCCACCTCCACAACACCAACCACCGAGATGCATGCTGGAACCTGACGGGCACCGCCGTCCGAATAGCCCACGCAATTGGCCTGCACCAAGATAAAATCAACGCTGGATCGACCCCGCTCGGCCGTGAGGTGCGCAAGATCTTATGGTGGACCCTGTACGGCTTTGAAACCTTGCAGGTATCCTCTTACGACCGCCCAAGTGCAATCGAACATCCAGGCCTCAGGATCAGTTATGCCAACGAACGGATTATCGGCGGTCCTCCTGACTTCATTGCATTCTCTACCCGCCTGTTTATGTTACTGGGGTCCGCGTGCCGTGCGCCCAGAACTGTCAAATTCAACGCCAGCGACGAGTCGTATGTGGGCCCGTTGTCTCCCGCTGCAGGGGTACTGCGTGACCTGGTCCGATGGAAGGATACCCTACCCCAGCATCTGCGTGTGGAAGCCGTCGACACCTCGGCGTCCGTCTTTCAGCGAGCGCTCATGCTAATGCATGCCTCATACCACTACACCATCATCGTCCTCTGTCGTTCAGCACTCCTCGCACGTGCCTCCATCTTGACCAAAACTGGCCAAGATTCCACAAACTCAGCCCTGACGTCAATGGCAGATGCCTGCTCCGAGTCTGGTCGCGAGCTGGCCCAAGTACTACTCAAAGTCGACGCCCTCGGTAAATTTGACGCCGTTTTTTCCTCCGACACCTGGTACATGCTCGCGTCTAGCTCGGCCCTGGTCCTTGATCTTGTTTGCCTGAATAAGTTAGGTGGTACCAATATGTCGGAGTCACGTATCCTGCTATCCCAGCTTGCCGACTTGGCGCAGCGGCACAGGCGTAATCCCTACATGCCCGGAACAATCGAAAAGTTCGCCTCTCTCGTCCCCGAGTTACACTCCATGGCCGACTCCTTGGCTTCCCCCGTCCGCTTCACAGAGCCCAAACTGGAAACCCACGACTCCGGGCCGCAGACCTCACTTCCACCACCCCAGCTATCACAAGCAGATACCGTACCGCACATCTACCATCAATCACCCCCCGGAACAGGAGCATACATGTTTGCAGATCATATACCAGGTCGCATGTACCCAGATCAACCGTACATGGGAACAGCAACGACTATGACTCCCAACACTCGTTTTGATAGGGCGACACAAATGCAATTCATGGACTTTACCATTAACAACATCAACGATTGGAACTGGGGCGATATCGGGGGCTTACTGGGGTCGGAAGACGTTCCGACTATGCATGGGAATCCTCATGTGCATGGGCCGCAGCCAACAGGCCCAAACTGAGCTTGTTAGATGGACACAGATGAGAAGAAGATTAGAACATCTGCGGATGAACACGAAGGAAGCTTGAGCGAACGAGGCTCAATATTATAGCATTTGACTCATCCACTGCCCATATGCTGACACCCGCCAGAGTAGCCATGACCAGACACATGTATATAGGCGAGGTCAAGGCGGGTAAAGCTGAAGGCAGCATGTCAGCAAGAAGTTGGCATGACAAAGGATCAATCACACATACATGTAGTGACATGCGACAAACCCTTTTCGGGGACAACATCGCGCTCGTACTCTGTCGCAGCCGCTTTCATGCGGATGTCAGTTTACTCAAACCACTCCAGCAGGCGCAATGACACATGAGCAGGCGGAGCTCATAGAATCAACACGCCATATTCCAGGTTAATAGCTTGGCAAAGTACCCTTCGTGGTATCATACATCCGGAATACGGATATCCACTGTTTTTTTAGACATGATACAATAATTTCAACACCTTTCATTTAGTTCGAACATTTCCCCTCTGTTCGTCATGACTATCTTCTTCACTAATGCTTTCAAACCCCTTCCTGTCGGCTGGGTGATTCCGCACTTCGTCCTCGCTATGTCGGTGTCCTTGAAAAAGGAACTCGAGTCTATCAGCTGGCGTGATGAGTGTAATGTTTAGGTATAGCACGCGTCCCGCGCTGAACACGGTCGCTCATGCTGACCTCATCGCTCCATCATGATCCCTACTTGGATGCCCTCGCGCAAGCTGCCTCGGTCCTGCCAAAACTACTGCCGCCTATACTACCTTCCTCACTCCCCCAGCAAGCCCTCCCACTCCTCCCTCAACTCTCTGAACTCCTCATCTTCCAACATCCCCCTGAATGCCACCTCAGCCTCCACAACACTTGCACCTCCATCCATCTCTTCATCCTCACACTCATCATCTTCCTGCCTCTCCAACGCATCAAGCAGCGCTGAACCCCTCCCCTCTAACTCTTCGATTCGCTCACAAGCCGCGGCCAGCGCCTCCCTTAGTGCAGATTCAGTATCAGCATCCGCTTTTGCCTCTGCCGCTACACCCTTCTCTGAGTACCGATTTAACAAAGCCTTCAGTGTCAGGTTGCGCTGCTGCATTTTTCCTTTTGCGCGGTCGCTCTTCTGGAGGCGCAGAAGACTGCGTGTTGCATCATCGACCCTGGAAAGCAGAGCATCGTTTTTGCCGGCTACATTTCGTAGGGTAGATGTTAGAGTTGCGATGGCTGCGAGGTGTATCTCAGTTCGCGCTTGCAGCTGCGCATTTTCTGCTGATAGCGTGGCTGTGGCGATTTGCAGGTTTTGCAGCGACTGGCCCAGGGTGGAGATTGAGGTCGCTTGCTTTTGGGCGAGATGGCGCCAGCGGTCCCGGTCTAGACGGAGGCGGGAAATGAGGGACTGGGGCAAGTTGAGGATGCTGCTGCATTGTTTGGATAGCTGGTGGGGTTTTGGCGTGCTTGACATTTCTTTGTTGCTGACGTCCATGTCAAGGTGCGCAGACTCGAGTCGAGAGAGACTGAGAGGCGCCGAGACGGTGCGTGCAAGTGACTTTAATCGCAGTCGCGCATCGGATTTGGATGCTGGTGGTGGTAGTGTTGGTACGACGTCCATTTCCTCGGTAACGACGACAGCCATGATGAATTTAATAGCCGATATTATCAGCACTGTACTGTATCGTTCGTCTTTGTACGGCAAAAGTTGTTTGTAGAATAATGTTGTGTTGTTGGTTGAACAAAGTCGCAAGTAAGTGAGAGAGGGAGAGAGAGAGAGAGAGAGAGACAAAGACCTAGTCTAGCGAGGTAGTGTTAGGGCGTGAGACGCTAAGTTTGGTAACGAATACATTGCATAGTACGTTTGCGTGAATTTGTGGGGTCCTGTTGTCAAGAAAATAAAAATTTGCGGGACAATGGGGTGAAAGTGAGAGGGTCTACAAAATCGCGCTTCTGTGGTACAGTCGAGCTGTCACGTGGGGTTTGTGCGACGTTAGGATCTCTAGTTCCACAAATAGAATACGGAGAAAAAAAGGAGACCCTGACATGCGCCCGAAATCGCACGTGAAAACAAAAAATCAAAAGGGTCTAAATTCGAAAGCTTGTTCCCGGCCTTGGAGGCATGATCCATGGTAGTCAGTCGTACTTGCAGGTACCATGGTTACAGGCGGATATTGTACCACAAAACGACAAAGACAGGGGTCCGCAGTTCAAGTCGGGTCACATGAAGGAATGAACAAGGTGGAATTATTGATTGAATTTGTTCAAACACAACTCGCAAATAACGCAAACTACAAACGGCATGCATGCACATATAGCGGATGCTAACCACCAACTCACCCCATTTGCCACGTGATCTATGTGAAGGCCATGCTCTTCTTGATCTCAGCAATGGCCAGGGCAGGGTTGAGGCCCTTGGGGCATGTCCTTGAGCAGTTGAGAATGGTGTGGCATCGGTACAAACTCATGCTGTTGTTGAGGGCATCCTGTCGCTCAGCCTTCTTCTCATCTCGCGAGTCGGCGATCCATCGGTATGATTGGAGGAGAACAGCGGGGCCAAGGTACTCTTCTTGGTTCCACCAGTAGGACGGGCACGAGGTTGAGCAGCAGGCACAGAGGATGCATTCGTAGAGACCGTCTAGCTTTTTGCGATCTTCCTTGGATTGACGGAACTCACGACCCTGGTAGACTGTTAGTTCTGGTCGCTTGGCTGACACCAAGATAGATACGTACATCTGGTGCGGCAGTAGTGCGCTGCAGATATGGCTTGACGGAGCGGTATTGCTTGTAGAAAAGAGTCATATCCGGTACAAGGTCCTTGACAACGTACATGTGGGGGAGCGGGTAGATGCGAGATTCCTTGGTTGTGTCTGTGGGGATACGGCCTGTGACCTCGTTAGCGTCTCAGCTACAACCTGCGCTCCGTCACTACATACAAAGGCAGGCCAATGTGTTGACTCCGTCAATATTCATGGCGCAACTTCCGCAAATTCCCTCGCGACAACTCCTCCTGAAGGTCAAGGTCGGGTCCACCTCGTTTTTGATCCTGATGAGCGCATCCAGCATCATGGGTCCAGTCTTGTTCAGGTCGAGCGTGTAGGACTGCATCTTGGGTTTGGATGTAGGCTCATCTGGGTTCCAGCGGTAGATGTGGAAGGTCTTGGTCTTCGCATCTTTACTGGGTGAGGGCTCCGGGACTGTCGATGTCTTGCTCTCTGGGGTGGTCGATCGCGAGGCGTCGGGGACAATCTTTTCGGCGGTCTTGGAGATGGGATCGCGGGCGTGTACATCGTTTACCGAGGCGAAGCCGCGAGAGAAAACTGCCGACCGTACAGCTGGTGGACAGTTAGCGATGCTGACTTGCTGATGCGATACAATGGGGACATGTGTACCAGTTCGCTTCGTAGCCAGACGAGTGAGAGCGCGTGTGCAAGCCATGGCGTGTCGTGTGGAGTGGAGAGTGCGGGACGTCCTTGGAGTTACAAGTGTTGGTATCATCGAAGTTCGAGCGCTAGGGCGCCACTCAAGCTTCCTCGGTTATGACAACTGCCCGCGTCTGATTGGTGATAGCGGTTGATCGGACGATCCCGGCTTCTTCGACGCCACTACATCATCGTCGAAAACGTCAACACTCGACGTTCGAATCTCATTATAACATGGAACGGAAAAAAGTTTAAGCTCGGCTATATACTCACCATAAACGCCTTTTTCCCGTAGTAACCCAAGAAAAAGCCTATGGCATGCCACCCACCTTGAGCATACATATGTACGAAAACTTCCGCTCGTTGCGGTGTTTTTGCGGTCGCGTGACCCCAGACATAGCCAGTTTCATATCCGATACTTTTCCCGTCAAGACACATCACATCCATAGCTACTTAGAGTGTCTCTTTATATGCCTTAGTGAGTTCAGTGAGTAAAAATACCATTTTTCGGGTCGCAAAGGAAATTCTTGCCTCAACACTCGGCACGGTTCCCTGAGAGTGAAGGTGGTCTTGCGATCGTAAAGCTGGGGTGCTGCTGTAATCGTTTAGAGAGTTCGCTCCCTAAAGGACATCACATCTTAACAAACTCAACGAGTATCTCCGTTCTTACTTCACAGTCTTCCTTGCATCCCATTCCCGCCATTCTCTCCAGTCTCTGTAATCTCTTTACTTTCCTCGTCTGTTACTGTTCATTTCGCTCGCAGTACGGCTCGACTCTCACTGTGTAGCCGAGAGGCAGCATACAGCTGTTTTTCCATGCACTTTTTTTCATCTTTCCATAAGCAACATCTATGCTCTCTCGCTATATATTGCTGAAACTGGCGCTGCGATCTGTGTCTTTACATGAACCATTATCTTCAAGCACACACTCCCGCCACTTCCATGTTTTCTGGATATCTTGTCAGGACATCCACTATTACCATACAGCCTCACGCATCGTACGAAAGAATGTGTTCAAAAAATGTGCACGAAGCTGGCCGCTCTTGCCCTGTTATAGCTCAACTCGCCTTCACTTCGCTTTCATCTAGAATGGAAGGCACGACCAAGTGCTGGACCCTGGACCCACTTTGCGCACCCCTTTCGCCCTATAGCAAGGCAGCGCATCGTGAGTCTCACAAGTCCGTTTGCTGTTGCTGTGGGCGTCGGCTTGGCGGGATACTCTGTTACCAAAACAACGCGTCTGTCCTGATTTCCTCCACCAGCGCAATTTCTCCACAAGCTCACCCCCCGCATTCGTATCTACTCGACCGCTAATCGCTCATCATCGTTTCTTCAAGTACATAAGCTATGTCATCATCTCAGGTTGGTCACAATGTACTTGCACTTGCTTTGGAATATCTATATTAACAAACCTACAGATGTATACGCAGGACAGAGACGGAGGGCGTCGTAGCGACCTCACTGTCCGCGTACCAGCTAATACTTCGTTCGAAGTTCCTGCAACTCAAGGCCCGACTGGAGGACCTACTGGATCTGCCGGAAGTGCTCAGACTGATTCGCCTTGCTCATCTGGAAGCTCGTTGTCGCAACTCGGTCGCCAGCCTGCACCTGGACAAGATCACGCGGCGCAGCAGCCGGTACGTGTTCACAGGCTCTGAGATATGCGACTGAGAATCTGCTAACATGAGCGCAGCCAACAACCCCTTGTCGAGCCCATGTCACCTCTTCGGCTTCGCAGTTCACTTCTCCACCGTTCTCTCGCGGCCAGGCTGCGCAGAACTATGGCGGCTCTCCCCATATGCTAACCCCGAAGAGAGTCAGCGAGCTTCAGTCTCCTCACAGGCAACGCAGCAGTTCTAATGCCAGTCAGATGTCCAATAGCCCTCGTCGCCCGTCCTTCACTTCAAGTCTGCGTTCGCCAAGCATGGTCAACCAGATTGATCCGTTCAACACGACCTCTTTGAGCGGTGTACCCGAGCATCTCGCTGTGTCAGGCCTCGCTTTCCGTCAGGGTCAACACGATCACGGCAGTTCGCGCAATAGGATCCCACCCAACCCCTTCGCGAGTCAATTCGACCAGCTCTGGGCTGAGTACTATAGGCTTGGTGCAGTCCAAGGAGGACCACCTGCCGCTTTGCCGTCGTCAACATCCCCCTCCCACGAAAACTTTGCTTGGACAGTTCTCATTAACACAGAAACTCAGGATCTTGAGCACCCCAACGGCTCTTACGACATGGACTATGCTCGCAGCATCTGCATCATGGGACTGAAGTGCATGAGAGAGCTTATCCAGGTCGTCTGCAAGCGCAACAACGATTGGCGCAAGATTGTGTGCGATGTACCTGCCCCCCTCCAGCAGGCTATCACTCACTTCCCCGATCTTTGTGCCAAGTATAAGGATCTCAAGCAAGAAGCTCGTGAAGCACTTGGTGGCGGAATCCCTCTGGGCTACAACGCTGATAGGTAAGCATTACCAGCATCTTCATCGGCCAATGCGCTAATAAGCTCGTTATAGTTGCTACTATAGTTGAAGATAGCTAGCCTTTGCCCGCATCTGCTTCCTGTTTCGGAGATTGGATTATGTTTCGATGGTCTGTTGATGACGGACTTGAAATACCAATACGGCTTGAATGTTCATCGGAGCAATGTTTTCTGTGGAATTCGAGGCTCGCTCAGGTGTAACGGTGACGATGGGTTGATTTCCTTTCTTTGTTGCCATGGCGTTCGATGGGCAAGACGTGTGGGTACTTGGGCGTTTCGGCACGATCTCAAAGGATCGCCGCAGGGATTCCCTTGATGCTTTCCATGTACACGCCTACCCATTTCACAACGTCAGGTAAAACCCATCTCACAGCAGTTTCAAGCTGGCTAGAGGGTATACAATGTATCGTAGTCTATCTACGTGTTCGCCTTCGTAGCAGCAGGAATTTTAAACGATTCAAACGATGAGACCTATCCCATTTGTCAGCTTCTAGTGCTCGAAAAAGGAATCGCGGTCACAACGCCACGCGCAGCGCCCTCGATATGCCCGGCTCAAAAGACCAGCTCGCTATAAGGTTGCGCAGCCCATGAAAAGCTTCGTAACCGTAGGTCACAAAATACACGGTAATAACACGGCATCACATGACTCCGTGAAATACGAGATCATCGCCAGGGCTCCGGCGTTTCCAAGATTTGCGAATATCCGCGTCATGCACATGATATAAACTTTCCATCCTCATTTAACACCTCTTTTGCGTCCTCTTCCTGGATCCCAGAACATATATAAGCGCATATTCTAATAGAAATGGCCGCGACCACGGCACCTGCCCGACAACTGTACGGGGGCGGCGGCTTCGACCGCCAGCACAGGCTTCTGCAGCTCGACTGTAGTGCGGACCTGCGACACTATTCGCGCAACCTCGGGCCCGGCGTCCAAGAACGCATCTTCCAGACCACGAGCGACGCATTGAGATCACAGCTAGATGAGCATCGCGACTTCCTACTCCGGCATCAGGGACAGCAGCAGCAACAACAGCCGCAGCTGGCGCCGGCGCCGGTAGTCAGTGGACCACCGGTAACCAGCATACCTCGACCCTACAATTCGCACCCAAACCCGCCGCCTCGTCTGCAGTCGGCTGCTCCGCGACCCATCCCGCCGCGTAAACCCATACCCGGCGATGTGAGCACGTACCCGAAAGCCCTGAGCGAGGCTGTCTACTCGCAGAAAGCCAGGGCAGCCATGGGTCAGCCACACGACGCGAGGACGGTATACCACATTGTGTGTCGCACCGAGAAGCGCTACTCAAAGGAAGAGACGGTCGTCGTGGGCTCGTGCAGGAGTATGCTGGCTGCCAACGAAGTCGCAGCGAGGTACTTTCTCGAGAAATGCCTTGGCGACGGCGATGAAGCCAAATACAAACAGCTGATTACTGGGGCCGTGAGCTGTGAGGTGCCGATTGACAATGGACGCAGGACAGTGTATACGCAGGAGGGACGGCTGGAGTGATGGAAGTTTGTAGCGTGGTCCCTTCCTGCCTTTTACGAGCAGGTGGGTCTTGCTGATTGGGACTCCCGTACCCTTTTACACTACTAAGCTTAGCACATTGAGTCGGTTCCTTTGTCTTGGATGTTTTGGATAAAGAGGAGAGAAGGGATGCGGGTATGGTTGCAGTTTGATCTACAGTCCCAGGACGAAACGCGCAGGCCGCGTCACCCGATGTATTAGCGAGCATACGAGGAGCCCCACGAAGTTGCATACTCGGCCCCAGTTTATACGATATCGTAACATGGAGATACTCGGAGCACCGGACAGTGTGTGGAGATGGGGAAGAAAGGGCATTGAAGCATTGATCTCATGGCGTACATTACTGGAATATTTGTGCATTGGTTTGCTGCACTGCGAGTATTGATAACAGTCAAGAGGAGGAAATATGAGAGCTATATTATCACAGTTTCGCTGCTTGTACATGGGCATTCGTTAGCGATCCTTTTTTCCTCTGGTAGCATGTCTTAAGTTTTTTTAATTACACGTCGTTTGCACACCACCTATACCCGTGGTTCACTCGTCGTATCTCTCCGGCATTGTCATGTTCGTATCTCGCCACTCTAGCACCTATGTTTCAGACTCTATTCATTGTGCGTCTGCTGTGGGCTCCATATCTTCTAACGAGTTTCTTGTGTAATTCATAGTTCTCGTCTACGACGGCATCACTAAAGCATCATCTCGTCACCCTGACATCAGTATGTTGTTGCACTTGTCAGGTGGAATCAAGTAAAACCCGAGCTTTCAAGAAACATGGTGTCATTACTACTCAGCTTGATTTCATCATATCCAAGGCAGAGCCTGAGTTACAGTATGAGGTCGCTGTTCAACTGAAGAAAGTCCCATCTACCAACCCTAGTTGATTCCACTCAGGTACCATCGTTGCCTTGTGGGAACGCTTGACCTAATGCCCTACGTCACCTGCTTTTTAGAAGCCTGTCCGTCATTGTGTTCTCGCTTCTTGACATTCGGCCACTTCTTCTCGAGTTCTTTCGAGAGAGGACCTGCGACGTTCATCTCAGCAACAAACACTCCATGCTGTGCCACTGCAGCAGTGAAGACGCTGGTTTGAGATACAGTCCAGAATTTGAGCTTCACGTATCTCAGGACGCAAGCCACCGCTAGATTCCCAAGCTCTCGCTTCTCGTCCCGGCAAATCTTCTCTTTGGTCCCGTACACCCAGCCCACGATTTGTGTAACTAGAAGGAGCGGCATTGGGCTCTCGCATAGCAGGTCCTCAGCCATCTTGGCGTGGGCTATATCCATCAAGCCTTCATCCTGCAGCCGCTCGCCCATGCCGTACATGATGAGATAGAAATGCACTGCGGTCTCTATGGCCATGGCAAAGTCGGTCTCCGTCTTGCCGGGCGGCAGCTTCGTGATGTGATGCAGGTATGATGCCTGGCCATTCTTGTCCATAGTGAAGGAGCCGATGTAGATGAAGGCGACGTAGCGGTCCACCATTATAGGGCTGAAGAATGTCCCATCGAATTCGTAGCTAGAACGGAGAGACGATATAGTGTCCTAGATAGGTACTGTCAACAACAGAATAAATGAGTTGAGAGAATTGCTCACGATGATGTAGTCATGGAGTACCTTGGAGCCACAGAGGAGAAAGACGGCGTGGACGCTAAATTTAATACCGTCTACGATGAGCTGAAAGTCACGTCTAGCGTCAATCAACGAGATAGCAGCGCATCGCCTTTGGTGCATTCAGTAAGATATTACCTTCTTTACCGCTTGCGATTAGACTCACTAGGCGATCATCTGACGAGGGGAAGAGAACACTGTGCCTTTGGCAGTGAGTGTGCGACGAACGATTTTCTCAAAGCTTTTAGGGTTGACATCTCCATTTCCGTCGCTAAAGATCTGGGTGAGCAAAAGTGGCTGTTCTGTTTAAGACATTGTGGCGCGTTGTTGTTAATGGTAAACAGTAGATTCCCATGAAAGGCGCTTGCAGATAGAGAAAATCACGAGAGGAGCGTTTGTAATGACTAAGCAACAAAATACCTGTGAGGCCTTGTACTATGTGGTAGTGAAAGAATTTACGCGTTAGCTACGTGATAGCTTTAGGCTTGTTTACGGGCGGGTGTCTTTCACTTACGCTAGGAGTCCAAGCCTTCATATACTTTCCTCAACAATACAAAAAAGAAGAAAAATAGTCGAAGCTGATAATCGAACTATAGGTGCAAAAATATGTGTTTCCCTGTTCTACCTACAAGCGGTGGGAAGACAACATCAACCGAGTTCACCGAAGGAGCAAGGAGATAAATATTTCATGGAATTAATCATTTATATACAGAAACATAATACGCTCTAGCACAGCCCAACAAGACTGGTCTCCGCTGCCACGTTATGTCACTGTGTTTGTTTGCATGACGTGACGTACAGACAAGCAAACACTCATCGCCAATCAGCGCACTGATTGGCGGCTCGTGCGCCCGGACACTCGCTTTCACCTGACCATAAATATTTGATATTCTGGAGAAGGACTCTTCCACCAACCTATCGGAAAGCGACCCCTCGACTAGGTATCATGGAGGACTCAGTATGTGGTGCACATGGCGCACACAGTGTTCTTGACATATGAGACATTCACAGGCGGTTCTTCCAGCCATGGTAGCCTCGGGCATAATACCCATGTAGGATATCCTAATGAGATATCTTGAATATTGTCACAATTCCTTTGCAATCCTCATGTTCCCTCAATCACTATCTGTATGCTTCGGAATTACCATGTCCAGGCATCGCATACCGTATTTGTGTCATGCCCTCACTCCTTCTCTAGCCTCTCTACACATGCTTTCAATAGAGCCATGAACCGTACTTGTATGCTTCGTCCTGCAGGCGTATCCACATGCTTCCCCGCACCCCAACCAACCGGCAACACCAATCTCCTCCTCCCTTTTCCATCTAGCACGACCAGCGCATCCAATGGGAACTTTCCTCCGCCAAGAGGGTGTAGAAGACCTAGGCGGACAAAGTGGTTGTTCGAAGGCGTCGCGGCTTGTATGAGGGGGAGCGAGAAGGGCGCGGATGGAGAAAGTCTGTGAGTCGAGGGATCGTGGCATAGGACGGATGCTTGGAGGGAGGGCGAGAGGGTAAGGAGGTCTGGTAGTGCGGCACTAGGACTGTCAGTAATGATGGGTTGTTGTGGGGCATATGCAGTACCAGAGTAATTCATAGTGTACCTGGACATTACCCTGTATACAGAGGACCACTATAGACTCATCCTTCCTATATCTGGCCCAATTGTCATACGGCACCAATCTACTATCTGTCGGCGTCGCGAGCGTGTTGCTGGCCAGAATGGCCTGCACGTCCACATTCCAGGCTTCTGCAGCGTCTATCACATCTAGCTCTTCCAATTCGCAGTGAGTCCTTGATCTCTTCAACACATCCCCGAGTGCAGGCGCAGGCGACGGCTCTCTCCGCAGCTGTTCTCTACCCTCTTCTTCGGCGTCGTCGAGCGTGAGGCGCGACCGTTTGCGGCTAAGTGCCACGTCCATGGTCCAGCTATCACGGGTAAGAAGGTCTCCCATCTAAGTCAATCGTCTCGCCGCACGTCGTCGTCGTCGTCAAAGGAAAGGAATCATGACTGGGATGGTACGTACAGCACAGGAGAAAACTACATAGTGGTCCAACTTCTACGCGCGTTGTCCAAGAGACGCCACGAGCAGACCAAGGGTTCGGTGTTTGCCAAGCTCTCCCCATGTTCCTGGCCTGCCCCACTTTTTGATTACCTTACCCCACCATCGCTGAGCTGCGCCTCTAGGCTACAAGCACGCGTGGCTGGCCGCCGACGTGCGTTTTAGATTTCCTCTTTTGCCTGCACTGCCCTGCCATATGGGTTCCAAAGACGTCGCGACTAGATTGCGGCAGAGCACGTGGAATGGGAGTATTCCACTTGAGATACGGTTGCACAAGGGAGATTGTAGGACGTATGATGAGTCGGATCCTTACTTGGTATGTTGGAGCCTGTTATCATGTTGGCTACCTCGCATACTGACAGGAATCATGTAGGTACAATTCCCTCGGATTTCATACCTGGGACTGCTGGTGAAAAAACTGCATGGCTTCTTTGCGAGAAGTCTGATTTATCCAGATGTAACGCCGAAAGATGCATGGCTCTCGTACGAAGGAGTGCCACTGAAATGGCACTATCCGCTGGGCCTTCTTTACGACCTTTATTCTGGCGCCGAACCTGCGTATCCACCAGATATAGACACGGATGCAGATGCGACAGCACAAAGCCAGAAACTCGAAACCACAGAGGAAGAGCGCCGGCGTCTACCATGGCGACTAACGATTCACTTCTCTGACTACCCCATGGATCAGCTTGTGCAGCTTGACAATGAAGACAAGCATCTGCAGGACATGTTCATTCACAGTGTCAAAGAGGCCGACTACCTACGGACGGGTACAGGAAAGACAGTCATGTTTTTGAGCAAAGAGGATAGCACACAGCTTTGGGACGGGGTCAGAAATCATGACTTTGCACTATACAATCCCATCAACCAGAAGCTACTGAACCCGCAAGGCGTCAACCTGAGACATCTGCCCGTCAGACTGTATCTTCCGCACGCGGCGTCGGACGGTGTACAGGAGGAGACTGCGCCGGGAAGCTTAAGAATTGTGCAACGACTGGTGACGCCGAATTTATCTTCAAGTGAGTATGTATGCTGTGTTGGCGGTGAAGGAAGCTGACAGTAACCCAGGGCAACCGCAGACCGTGGGGACAGCGTTGAACCAGATACTACCGACATTATTCCCGAGCAGGCGAAGTCCACTTCTCGCACAGGCGGTTCTGCATGGTGCTGTTTTACCGTTGAGCGCGAGTGTGGAGGAGTTGGTTCGGGCGACGGCCTATCTTGATGGCTGGCTGCACATTGCTGTGGTCATGATGGGATAAGCGTATGTCGGTGTGTTGATGGGATGAATAAGCGGTTCACGGCTTTGGTCACATTGCTATCTCCGAGTCATGAGCGACGCTACACCGACACGGTTGATTCGAAGGCTAATGTCTGTGTGGTGATATAGTTGGAGGCGCAGTGACCGACGGTATCAAGGTTGGAGACATTGGAAGCGTGAGAGAATGAAGCTTGTGGCCGTTTCGAAACATGAGGTGTGACATGGTGCTTTGGATGTACGCAGTCATGTGCCAAGAACGCGGGGGCATAGGCACAGGCACAGCAGAAGCTTGGTCGAGGATCCCGGGCAGAACTAAACCCACTCCACGCAGCTCCGTTTGCACTTGGGCCCTCTCGGCGTAGCGCATCGTCTTGTTGACAGCCAAGGGAGCGTCAGGAAATGAGGCATTTCTAAGCTGAGTTGTTTTGTTTCCGGTGCGCTAGCCGGCTTGTCACCATCCAGGCCACAAGTGCCTCGTCTTGACCGCCGAGTCGCGCGGTCGGAGGGTGGGTTGGCGGCCGTCGCGGCATCCAGAGGAGATAAGCACTGGCCGATGACATAAGGCTTGCAGTTGCTGTACGAGGACGGTTAATAAGTCGCAGGGGCTTCATAACAAAGTGGAGCCGGCAGAGTAGCGTCGGCGGCGGCTTGCAGCTATGAGATGTGGATGCAACGCGTGTGGAGGCGCGCGAGTGCGAGAGTGAGAGAGCTTACGAGCTTCCAAGCTTCCAGTGAGCGCAACGAGAGCTGCTATGAACAAAGATTCATATGTGTGCATATGTTAGTCTCGTGATATGTCCCGTGACGTACTTCCTACCAACATCAATCAAACCTTGGAAGCTCTGCATCGTGTGTGCCGAAGATGAGGCTGCCGATCACCGGCTCAACCACGACAAGATGATGGCATGTCGCGCCATTGGCTGGCCTCAGTAGCTCGTCTAGCTTTGGTCCCACGGTTGCTCGACCCCGGCCCTATTCCCAGCCTTCTTCAACTCTTAATTAACGTTGCTCCCTCCCCGAATTCCTCATCCCATCGTCGAATCTCACTCAACACATTCCAGACCAAAGAGCTCCCGCGCCTCACAAGTAAGTCCACTATTTCCACACTTATCATCCACATCCCCGGCCGCGTCCACAACCCTTGCAAGCTTGGAGCCTCCGGACTGCCCGCTAGGACCCGAGGCCAAACAAAATGCCTCAATCGGTGCAGAAATTTTCGGCCAACCGGGCGCGTTCAAAAGCGGACTATTGAGCGTCTTGCTTAAGAGCTTGCCTTGACCTCTACTCTTTGATGCTGCATCGTTGTCGACCTGCGCCCTTCAATCCCATCGCCGAGTCCCTCTGTACCGTCGCGATTGTCCCGTGGGTGTCATCTCCGATCGCCGCTGACCAGCTTCCGTTTCCTTCGAACAGCTACCTAAGCTTCCTCCAACTTGCCAACTTTCAAAAGACCGATTCACTTCGTTCAATGTAAGCTTCGCCTCGCCTTTTCTGGAGCTTGGGCTTCCTTTGCGCCGCGTCATGGCATCTGCGCTGTTGACGTTAGTCTTGCGCCAGAGCTTGGCTTTTCCACCCTTTTTGGAAGGAACAAAACATATCCATCGCCCTCTTTGTCGCGCCCCTTGAGCTCCGGAAGCCTTTCACCAATTTCTTCAACCCCCTTTTCTAACATTTTCCATCAGTACACTCCAACATACACAATGGCCGCCATCAGCATGCCCCTCGCCGCTCGCGCCGAGCACGCTCTCCTCCACCTCGCCAAGCGCAACAAGAACTGGGCTCAGCGTGAGCCCGGTGTTATTGTCGTCTTCGTTATTGTTTTCCTTGTCGCCATCTTGGTTATTGCCATGTTCATCAACAAGAGGGTACGTCATCATGCCAGTACCACATATCTCCAGTTCGCTTTTCTAACAAATATCACAGAGGCAAGCCGCCAAGGGCGTCGCCGTCTAAGATACCCCCGCAATCGCGTTGATTTAAAGTCGAGATGATGGAAACAAGGAAATGACGACGATATCAAAGTCGTAAAGATGTATGACGTTGCATGGTCAACAGTACAGTTGAATAATGTGTTTGGATATCCTCATGTAGTGTCTGCTTTGATGCTTTTTCCTTAGTGGAATCGCAACCATGAGATGGAAGTGCGAATGCCTACATTCTAAGGGTTCGCGGTAATAATGATCAAGTCAAATTATTGAAATCTGTTTGCACTTGTGCGTGAATGTAAGACGAGTGTCATCATCTTGCATTCTAAGAGATTATTCGTCCGTAGTTCTCAACAAAACTACACCAGCAAATCTCGCAAGACGCAGTACCAACTGTCGCATTCTTACCGTCAACCCACCTATATTCCAACATCTATACGTTCTCCAATGCACTTCTCCAGCACAACTTACGCACAAAAATCACCTTCACCGCCCACGTCGAGGCCTAGATTTAGGCCCAAATAACATAAAACACAAGACCCGTTTCACAACAAGCCAACGCCACACCCTATCACATTTCCTACCACCACCACCATGTTTCCACGCCAACCCACACACGCACACCCAACGGCACATATGAAACATACCGCAACCTACTCCGTAGCATAGCGTAGCAGCGGCAGTAGCACTTAGCCAGCGAACTCCGACACTCTCCACTAACGCATCCTAGTCCTTTTAACCCGCTCCCGCCGTTCTAGGCCCTGATTTTCCTTGAGCCTCCTGTTTGTCCAAAGTGCCGGACAAGCCGGACCTAGACCCAGACCACAGACGTCTGATGTCGCTTCCCACTCTGAGTTCTAGTAGTGATCAAGAAATCTCTGTCTCGGGCCATACCTTGAAATTGCCAGTCAGAGCTCTGGTGAACCATTGCGAGCCACTGCACAAGATTACTTTGTGGGCATAGTACTTCTTTGTGACCGCATTATTAGTCTGGCGGATGGTGACGTCCGAGAAGACTTTTTTTTGTTGAAGAGGCTGCTGTATTCATTAGTGAAGTTTGCGGCTCACAGACATGCATTTACTCACGAGGACTCAGCGGGTACCTGGCTGCTGCCCATGGCGAGTCTCGAATTTTCCGCCGCGATTGGATTGAGAGAGTACGCAAGTGGCAGTAGGATGGAGCTGGGGGTTACACAACTTATCTAGTCTCAAAGTGTTGCAATCTCACCGCTGAGTGATGGCAGTGAAGGTGAATGTCAGTGTACGGGTAGTACTCATTCCGTGCTATACAATTTCGTCCTACACGATCTCAGGCGCGTCGCTTCTGCCTACAGTCAGTACCTGTCTATGTCTTCCCTCTCCAACGTACTCCATATTCGCGTCTATCACCGCGCGCCGGTTCGAGATCATTCAAATCAGCGATCCGCCTCTCATTTGCCAATTCCATCATTCTCTCAGCTTCACGTGCCGGGATAGGAATCGTCGATCCCCATTCGTCTACTGCATCGCAGAAGTCGATAATGTCGAGTCGCTCGACTACAACATTATTAATCTCATCACGCAAACGCATCACGTCAAAACTTACGATCAGTCATCTCCCTAGAGGCTGTTTCGCGCCTCGCATGCCCCTGCTGCTGTGAGCAATCGGGGTTCATCTACATGAAGCGCATAGGGTAACGTAGTTGTCTCTTCGTCCGCGACACTATATCCTGATAGGAAGCGATGTAATCGTCCTTTCGTAACCCCGACACTTTGGCCAAAGCGTAATCGCGCGGGTAGAGTGCAAGGAATTCAGTAAGCCAGGCTCTATCAGCGTTGCGCTCGGGGTAATTCGCCAGACCGTCAATCATCCGCTGTGTGAGTCAAAGAGCGAACAAGCCGATGATCAGAAACTCGGGCTCACCTGGCAACTGGGCTGGCTGTCGAGACAGAGCCGGAGGCGCATCCGTTGGAGCACGAAGGCCGTCAGGTGGCGGTGTGCGCCTCAAAGGTATGTTCCGGTGGTGGTGCATGCTGCAGATAGGCGCTATTCTCGGCAGAATTAGGTCGAAATAAATATTATTCAGTTACCTGAAGGTGAGTAGGCGAGGTCGGCAAGGTTGACCTTTCGCAGCGTGTTTGGAGTGGGTATGACTGGTGGCAGAGCTACAAACAAACGCAACTCGCAAGTTGAATTCATGGCCCATTCTCAGGGGTGAAACAATCACATATCAGGATTTAATCCGTGCATTTTACTGATTCCTGAACCAGTGTAGCTTTTGAACCAGATTGTGTCGATCGATCAGATTTGCGGCTACACCATCATGGTTAAGCATAGTATCTTAAGTTTGACAGATGCACACCGGTATGATGGCGCAGAAAAGGTTTCGTATACATGCCACTCATTACGTAATGTTCATACGTGGACTTACAGTAAGCTGACATGCCCCCGCCCAGGAGTGAAGTATGAATAGTTTCCTGCTCCGTCTGCTTGCCTTTTTAACATCTGGCGCTTGTGTAACCTCAACTCCATTTCTGTATGGGCCTGAGTGCTGAAAGCAACCCATACCATCGACTACCCCAGCATTCCAGGAACGACGTTGTCAACATCACCGGCATCAGAGTCTCAGCTGTTGCACCTGCCAACCCCGCAACCGCCTACACCGGGATCCAAGTCCATCTTTGCATTCTGGCACGCGGGACTAGGTGCATTGCCACCATGTTCGATACGCAACGTGGTTAATTGGCATCGCCGCTTCTCCCCTCTTGGTTGGACAATCTATGTCCTGGACACCGTACCAGGATCTCCTCTCAATGTTTCCAACTTCATCGACACTTCTTCGCCATCCGTGGTCCCAGAAGCCTTTACCAACGGCACGGTCAAAGGTACATACGCTGCCCAGCATACTTCTGACCTGATTCGCTTCCCACTGCTACTCAAGTACGGCGGCATATACCTTGACGTCGGAGTGTTACAGTTCGGCGACCTGGACTGGCTATGGACCGAGCACATCGCCAATCCCGCATCACCCTACGACCTCGCTGGCTTCACAATGTGGGATCCACCGGAAGGGATTTCTATCGCCAACTTCTTCTTCATGTGTGGAGCTGACAACCCACTTGTTCGACGTTCTCACCATCTTTTACTCAAAGTGTGGGAAGGCAGGACAGATACGACTGGAGCGCATCAACATCCACTCGTCAATCACGTGCCTTTGATACCCGTTCCCGAACAAATGGTCAACAAAGCAGCTCTGACGGATTACGCGATCCAGATTCAGTGCATGGGAGCTGCGCAGCGCTGGAAAGACGATGATGATAGCTGGGACGGGCCAAAATACGTTCGCGAGCATTGCTGGCTCTACAACATGGTTACCAGTGCTTTTTCTCATGAGTTAGCGACGGATTGGAGTGGCCCGCGACAATGGGAGCTGCTGCAGCAGAAGCTACCACAGTCAGGTGAGGAGGAGACCAAAGATCAGGCACTCGCAAGAAGTATCGTTGAAAACACGGTCGCGAACACTTGGTGCTTGAAGCTTGGCCATGGCTTCCTAGCGGAGCTGTTCGGATCAGATTCCTTAGGCATGCTTTGGCGGAAAAGAGAAGGCAGTGACTGCGAGGATGGAACGTATGCAGGGTGGCTGAGATGGGCAGAGGTGAATCTTAAGCAGGATCACCCGCCTAAGCCGTTGGATGTCCCGGTGTATGAGCCAACGATGAAGGCTAAGTTCTTGGCATAGCATAATCTAAAAGAAGGATGGCATATGATCTAGAGCAAGATAACCACAAAGTGAAAAAAGACGCAAAGAAAATCGTTTCCTTGATCTGATCTGTCATGGCTGTTCTGTAGGATTGGGTTGGCGTCGAATGGACCTCCAGCTGTATGATTGATGCCTCTACACTTGATGTTAGCTTTCATCATGACGTTTCCAAGATACTGGTCAGCCTTCCTGAGCTGTCGGAAGTGACCACGGCCAGAGAAAAGCTTCCCTTCCGTCGTGCAAATTGCCTGCAAGCCGAACTCACGATCGGCCATGTCTTTGAAGGCTGGGTAGGTGACTCTGTATCGGTCTGGAAGCACCAGCAACACAAGCTTGATACGCCTGTCGCAGACCGTTTCCTTCACTCTGCTTAGTGCTTCTCGTAGCCCATTAGTGCCATAGGTTCTGAAGGGAAGTTCTCGTGACGACGACCTGCTTATTTGCACTGCCAACAATGTAATCCTTCAGAGTTTTTGCGATCTCTACTCGTAAATCTTCGGGGCAGATGTGCTGTTCCTTGAGTAAGAAACATGCAACTAACCAGGCCTTTTGAATTTGCTAGGTGGGTCCTTGCTAGCCGGTAGGTAACGCGGCGAGCTAGGGAAGACGTCTAGAGCTCTTTTTGGTTTGGACTGGTGCCATGGGGTTTGGATAGCTGCGAACTTGCATGGATGGATGATTTTGTGCGTGGTTCATGTGGTGTGGGTGGCGAACGCCTGTTCGATGGAGCAGCTAGGGCACCGGTGTATGTACGGTAGGTAGATGTAGTTGCGGAACATAACGCTAGGTTGGTTGGAGTTAGTGTGGTGTGGTGGTGAAGTGATTGGCTAAGGATAGTGATAAGTCGTGGTCGGCTTTCCGGTGTGTTTGACGGTGGGAAAATGTGGGATGTGGATGTAGGTGTGGTGGGGTTAAACTGTGTGTGTGGATTATTATTTTCTAGGTCATTTGAAGTGAGAGTAAGTAGGTAGTAGTGGCTATTCTTCTGTTGGTTGATGAACGTACCTTCTTACGTTATTGTTTAATAGTCATGCTGATATGGTTGGAGTAGAAAAGAGAAGGAAGAAGGCATCAAGGTGGGTATTTGAGTTCTAGGCATTGTAGAATTGAAAAAAGACTAGAGATGACTTACGTTTGTGCTATCAAAGTACAGAAACGACGTGGACACTTAGCACTTGGACATCGTGAACGTGACAAGTGGGACAGCAACGGCACAAGTGGTCCTAGAGGAATTAATACTAGAATGTGCTGTAGCAACTGCACTGATTAGCTGGCGGATATTCTTGTAGTTTGTATATGTCCCTGAAACAACGGACGTAGACAAGGGAGTAGAGACATAACTTATCGAGGTTTATGTAAGTAGAGTACAATAGAGACACATCGTGATCAGAGCGCTTGGTGACATGATGGAATATTTCAGGAACCAAGCAATTAAATATATCCTGTTGTGACTAAACCTATGAGTTAGTCATATCAAACGCGGAAGCAAGAGTACCAGACCTGTGCATGGATACTATACACAGATAGTAACAAGACGTGGAAGGTTTTACCGACATTGCACAGCTGAGAATGCACCACACATAATAGATCTCATATCAGAGCTGTGTTTTAGGTACTTCATTACTCCTACTAGAGGATGTCATGGATATCATGTCTGGGTCATGGTTCTATATACCCCTTCCCTTCTGCTCAATGGCCTCTCAATATCATGCTTGGTGCCTTCACCGTGTGAAAAGCATAGATGCTGATGAGCTTCTGGCTAGCTACGCGTCAATTGACATCAGCGAGTAGACCGGGTGTTACGTATCCTCGTCGTCAAATCGAGGCTTCTTGTTTTTGAGCTGACAGGCTTGCAGTTTTCCTGGGATTTCCTTCATTGCGCCGTCGTGGTACCAGACAAGATAGGGTGCCTTCGTGTAAAGATGAAAGTACTCTCGATGATGGTTGGTGATCCAGATGTCGTGCTGTGTGGCGGCATATGTACCTAGCTCTGATAACGCACGCCGGACATGTACGTCGCTGCAGATAGCAGGTACTCCACAGGTAACTGCCGTGAAGATCTTCGTATGGATGCACAGCCTCTCGAACTCGGCAAAGGTAAGACCCTTGCTTGAAAGAGCGTTGTACAGTCCTTGGGCGGCCAGTTGTTTGAGGTAAACTATGTCCCACGCAATGCCTATTTTCAGGACCTCAACGTGGACTTCTACAGCCGTAGGGTCTTTCGGAATGATGCATTTTTTCGAAGGAGCGGACGTAGTATGGCTTAGCTCCTGCTTCTCGAGGATACGGTTGACGCGATAGTCGCTGATGTGCGTCAGTTGTGCGACTAAGCAATCAACCGCGAAAACGGGATGACTGGTCATCTTGAGCGTCTTCTTCGTCGGGCTCTGTGCTATAATTAGTCCTGAACTGCGGCCTTGAAACGTAACCTGTTGGGCTATGCATCACTTACCAAGATTGCGGCTACACGCTGAGAGAACAATTAGATAGCCTTGCTCGATACCTTCCAAACGCACCCATGGAGACCGATAATGGTGAGGTCGTGATCATATTCATCGGCGATGGTCTTCAAAACGCTACTCGGATTAGCGTGGGCTGGAGACTTTATGTGTTAGTGTACATACCGACGTAGCGAAGTATTGGTTTCCTTCTCATCGCTCGCAGTGTCGCCTCCTCCGTACATGGCCTTGAGCAAGGGTGTATGCGCACCATGCAGACTTGAAAGGTTACGTCGTGGGCACCTGGGCTCTCAACAGTGTACTCGACCGCTTCATCTTCAAACTCGCGCTTTCACGTACCGCTTCTCGTCTTGCTTTCGCTAACTGCTTGTGCGCTACTTCCAGACGGTGTCATCTCCATCATGTAACCTCCCGCAATTTCGCTGTGATGAAGACCCTGTCGAGTGTTGGGTAATGGGCTGTGCCGTGCAGTGAGCGGGATAGTAGGCAGACGAGGTGCTGTTTGTAGGCAGCCTCGTTTGGGGCTAGGCTAGGCTGCGACCTTGGCGCGCTGGGAAGTGAAGGTCTCACGCCACGTGCCGGATAACACGGGAAGCTTCGCGCAATATACTAGACCAATGAACTAATGTTAGAGTAACAGTGTATCAGATATATAGTTAGTAAACAAGAATTATTTCATCAAAGACTGAGGGGCGGCCTGGTTGGGACAACGTTGCGGGCAAATTGGTCTTTCATTATGTCGTCTCACAGTAATGTGTATCATGGAAGGGTGTTATGGTTGGAACAACGTTGCGGGCAAATTGGTTCTTCATCGGACCACCTGAAAGTGATATGCAGTCTTTTTTTAGCTTTCGTTCGAACCTCGTATATTATTATTATTATTATTAACTGTTGAGAATATCTGGGTTCAGTCCAGGGTAGAAGGTGCTTGAGAGTCACATGATGTGCTGGTGTGGCAGGCACTGCCCGGTGGGCAATAGCACCCACCACAACAGCCAAAGTCTGTGAGACCGGACAACACGACAGAATACAATACGTTGCAGCCACCCCGCCTTGTCCCTCTCACTCGGTTATCCACAGTAGTCATACTACTAGAGGGACCTTGTTCCAATATTAACTTATTATTTATATAGATTTCCCCTTATGTGCGGAAACTTTATAGAGTGTATGTTTAACTTAGTCGCTGTTGGAAGGCCTTGTACGATCGTACGGTGAATAACAGTAGCTAAGGTAATCTTGTGTATTGGTATTCTGGTGTATGATGATTCTACGAATGTGGGGGCTACGAAGGTATACATAGCGTTGGGTCCGAGTTGGGCCGAAGTAGGATCGAGGCGGTACATTAGGCCTCATTAGGCGACACACCGTGTGTATGCCGACAGTCGCCTTATATCTATATAATTAGACTTCGTAGTTATCTTACAACAAATAAAAATACTCTACGAGACTACAGAATCTGCCTCTGGATTTTCCTATGGCTAGCTTCTATAGCTTTGTGGCAGACTTGCACACAGGACCGAACCGAACTGAATGCACATAGACAAGACGGGCACATACAGCTAGGTAAGGGATTCTGCATGTAAATGAAATGCGGGGATTTGAGAAATACATGTACGTAGAAGGAATTGTGGTGTTTGAGAGTGATAATCTAATAAGCAGACTCCGCAACAATCAATCGGATCGGCATGATTGATTCCTATCTAGGTTAAAGGCTGCCTAATGAAGTAATTCTTTAACCTATATAGGAATCAATCATGTCAATCGATTGATTGTTGCGGAGTCTGCTAATAAGGGAGGGTATCGTCGATCCTATCTTCTTTGCGCTCGCGCTTCCTAGCGCCACTGTTATTCGACCTAGGTATTCCTGGGAGTTAGTGAGCCATTTTAAGATATGATGATTAGTATTAACAGTCGGCTAGTGCTGCGTCTGTTCTATAACCATGAAGCAATTGACTAGTAGGGGTTTACATGAGCGACTAGGCACTGAATCAATAGGGTAGAGGCGGGGTGACGACGAGTCACACTCGCACCCTTTGCTGCCTAATCCGTGATACAACCATAGCAACCCTTGTAACCTATAAGAGGATATCTAGAAGTCAGTTTATGTACTTGTTAATTCCAGATTTTTCAATATCCCTTGTTGACCGACCAAAGTGGTAGACCGCGGTAGTATCCCCGCCTGCTGTGGAGACCGCTAATAGTTATATGTTTTTTTGATAAGTTCGATTCCTCGTGAATAGTCTTCGTTTTGCCCTTCTCTGCTCATCTGATCTTACCCGAAGGAGTGTTTTATCAGCTAGGCTAGCGATGGTCACTCACCCGCTTAGAAGCCCCCACCCTCTGCCTTTATCTGTCATTTGCGACAAATTCTCAAGAATAAACACCGCCCAATCTATTACTAATATCTAACAGCTTCGCAGACAGTGGCGGACCGCGCTCTTGTCAAGTACTTCCTAGCGCCTGTCGGCCACCTGAGTTAGCGGACATTATCACCACAAATGAACCGGAAGGTGATACGGCAGATGACATCGACTCTAGTAGTTCCGGCTATCCATGCAGCGATTTGCAAGGTGAAGCTCGACGAAGAGCGTTGGAAAGCAGCTACTTCTGATATAAGCATCCAAGTCTTTGGAGAATGCGGAGAAGACACCAATATCATAAAGCTTGAGCGAGAGCCGGAGAATACTAGGTTTCAGCGGATATTATTATACAAGGGTATATGCGAGAAAGAAACTGGGGGTAGTCTTGGTGAGCATGGTCCTATTAGCCAAGAGCAAGTTGCGCAGGATCCACAAGTAAACGTCACTCAGCCCTGCTCCCTGAGGGATCTGTTGGGAAAAGAGTTCTTGGGTCGGGGGATGTCACCTCTAACTCCTCGGCAAATGATCTAAAAGTAAGTAATAGGCCTTGAGCTCGTTGTCGTTGAAACCCAAACTAACGGTGTCTTAGTCAAGGCTATGCCATTCTTACCATGCACACTTGATGTGACTTAACTTTGATCGTAGGCGATGCAAAACTTGGCGTATATTCGTCGTTTCTCTTTGCGGGTTCGGATCGATTCAAGAAGCTTCTATATCCTGAAGGGGTGAGTGCGCAAAGTCCTGTGGTCTAGACTTTGACTTACATACATATAGCTGCAATCATGCCTAGAAGCCTCTGAAAAGGAGTTTTCAAAGCATCTCATTCATTCTATCACTGTTGACCGCATGGTAAAATTCATGTACACCGGGTCATACCAGCTCGACCATGACGACAAAGTGACCACGGTGCACCATGCAACACAGTTCCCCAATGATAAAACGAAGGGTAGTCTCTACATAGATCTAAGGAACCCGGTGTATCTACATTCAAAGGTGTATCAGCTTGGTGTGATGCAGTACCAAACGCTGTTAATGACTGCCACACTACGATGGTGGAAGTCCTGCTTTGCGATAGCCCGCTCGTACCGGAAAATTTGACGATAGTAGTAGCATGGTATCTGGTCTGACTAGAGATGGCGAAGATCTTACATGCAAGGACGTTGACGGTGCGCTCAAATACATAGTGACCGCATCGGTCTTGTAGTACGAAAAGAAGTATTGGCTGAAAGAGCTGACCGCAGCGTTCCGCACTTCCGTTCAAGCACGTGGAGACTTTGTAGATTTCTGGGAGAAATCCAAAGTCCAGTCCAGTCAGATACTGAAGACACCTTAGGCAGTCAAGAAGCGTAAACTTGAGCTGGAAGGTCGCCGAGCCGGAAGAGGGCCGTCGGCCAAGACTTTCGGAGATTAAAGAGAATACGCTGAGTAGGAAGATGAAGCTCTTAAAGGAACACAGTGATTTGCAAAGCAGTGAGAGATGGTATTCATGGGATTACTCTTACGATGCGCAAGGGAAGTGACGTTGAAGTTTGGAGATGGCGTGTCGTGCTAACCGAACCCCACTCGCGGTCCCGGCTTTCGACGCGTACCATATAGACCCTTACCACCCCTATAGCCAGAGTTCAATTTCCAACGAGCGCTGAGAGTGATACTCTGTGTAATCGTGGCTGAAGGTGTGCAGACGATGTCTGAGATGATGGGTGTTGCTTCTGGATCGAGTCCTTAGCAAGTGCCGCCTTGATTTCGCCCACCACTGCAATTGCCCTTCGCGTACCAAGCACCTGAGCTCGCACCGTAAACCCTTCCCCGAGACTACATTTGTAAGATATTATACTAGCATGCGCAATAAGACTACGGTGCAAGTCCGGAGTCAGGAGCATTGGCAACGTTTCTCAATAGTCTAGCGGGGTTCTGGCAACCCCACTTCTCAAGCTTTACCGGTAGATAGATAACATGTGCTGACGTCTTACCCCTCGCCATAGACGACACGCACGATTAATTATCAAGAACCAACTTAAATCGAAGCCTAAGTTGTAACTGAAACTCTGATAACTGTATAGATATTCATGATGCCTGAATTCATCAAACTGAAGGCACCAAATGGTCAAGAGTGGGAGCAGCCAACAGGGCTTTTCATTGACAACGAGTTCGTCGACTCCTCATCGCCGACAAACACCATTTCTTCGATAGATCCCGCTACGGAAAAGGAGATTGCTGTGGTACAGGCTGCCACTACAGAAGACGTTGACCGTGCTGTGCAAGCAGCAAAGAGGGCCTTGAAGAATCCAGAATGGAAGAACATGTGTGTTACTCAACGCGGAAGGCTGATGGCCAAACTGGCGGACTTGATGGAGGATAACAAGGAGCTTCTTGCAACCATTGATGCCTGGGACAATGGTAAGTATCTCCCGAACAAGTCAATTCAAGGCACGCACTAAGAATCGCCAGGCAAGCCTTACAGTGCAGCTCTCAACGAAGATATTCCCGAGTCCTTCTCAGCAATCCGCTACTATGCGGGCTGGGCCGATAAGATTTCTGGCCAGACAATCAACACCACGCCTCAGAAATTTGCATACACACTACGCCAGCCCATTGGAGTCGTCGCTCAAATCATCCCTTGGAACTACCCCTTGTCCATGGCTTGCTGGAAACTCGGACCTGCTTTGGCGTGTGGTAACGCTATCGTACTAAAAGCTGCAGAGCAAACGCCATTGTCCATCCTCGTCTTGGCCAAACTTATCAAGCAAGCGGGCTTTCCCGCTGGCGTTGTCAATATTCTGAATGGCCTTGGAAGGGAGGCAGGCGCTGCATTAGTGCAACATGCACTTGTCGACAAGGTGGCATTCACTGGATCGACAACTACCGCTACCCAGATTATGAAGATGGCTGCGATAGGGTTGAGGAACATCACCCTAGAGACTGGAGGCAAATCGCCGCTGATCGTCTTCGAAGACTGCGATATAGAACAAGCAGTGCGATGGTCGCACATTGGCATCATGTCGAACCAGGGTCAGATCTGCACAGCTACGTCGCGTATCCTCGTCCAGGAGTCGGTGTTTGAGACCTTCATCTCCCAGTTCCGCCAACAGATCAAGAGCGTGTCCGTCATCGGTGATCAATGGAGCGAAGATACGTTCCACGGTCCTCAAGTCACCAGACAGCAATATGAACGCGTGCTGTCGTATGTGGACATCGGCAAGTCCGAAGGCGCTGAGCTAATCGAAGGAGGAGAGGCATGCGAGGGCAATGGCTACTTCGTCAAGCCCACCGTATTCACAAAGGTCAGCCCCAATATGCGCATCTACCGGGAAGAGATTTTCGGGCCTTTTGTGGTGATTGCCACATTTTCCACTGAAGAAGAGGCGGTAGCCCTAGCCAATGACTCCATCTACGGCCTTGGTAGCGCAATCTTCACAAAGGATCTTGAGAGAGCCCACAGGGTGGCTGCAGAGATCGAGGCGGGCATGGTGTGGGTGAACAGCAGCCAGGATTGTGACTACCGGATACCGTTTGGTGGTGTCAAGCAAAGTGGGATTGGTCGTGAGCTTGGAGAGGCTGGCTTGGAAGCCTACTCCCAAGTCAAGGCTGTGCATATCAACATGGGCAATAAACTATAATGCCGCTACCTGGGTTTAACATGACGAGAACTTTGGTCGGAGGCTGGAGTGAGGCTAGATCGATCGGGAAAAACAAAACACTTCATCTTGCCTACCGATCCTGCAAGCAGGAAGGGACATGGTGTAGCGAGCCTGAATTTTTGCAACATGTATGTATATCTTAGCCAATCCTTGTGGTGGTTGCAGGCAACTTGGCATCAGCTAGATAATATCTTGCATTTAGTGCATTGCTATTCGATGCCTTCCCGTGTTCAGCTGGTATTCCATTCGTGCAGTGGTGACGCACACTACCATCTCGATACGATTGGATTCTGCTGATCGACTCCACCTGTTTCTCGTGTCGAGACTTTCTTTTCTTTTTTTCTTATCTCTCCAACGGTCACACGGGAAGCATCAATATTGCTAGGGGTTTCCCGTGCTGGTCGGATTCGGTATTCGCAATGGGTAATCATTGACTGCAATTCGCGCCATAACGGTTCAAGGGGTAATGAAAAAGCAAAACTTAAGGCGTCTTAAGGTCCTTGTAGATCTTGCGCTATCACAGCATTGAAGCGACGAACTTGGCCAAGAGCCGGACGGGAACCAGCGCAATCAAAGAAAGTCCCGATGCGCTGGGTCACTAGATCTAGATCTAGATCTACCACGCGATATGACTCGCTGCGAGATGATATTGCAGCTGACAGGTATGGATGTGTGGGTTGTGCCCTCTATCGTTAATCACGATGACGCTGCAGACTGGGATGCCATTCCTTCGACACTGCGAAACAGCTCCCAGCGCTTAATGTTTGATCTACGAGAAGATTGGGCGAGGCTGTGCCACTTGGGCAGTGTTCTGATACCAGAGATTGTCGAAGATGGTGGTTCTAGGGTATGCTTGTGAGGTTGAAGGTGCGTGGGATGTGTGGGTACTATTCCAATCAAGACAGGGTATGGGGTCTTTTGTGCACAGCTTGATGGTGCTTACAACGAATTACTCTGGTAATAATTGTAATTAATAATACTGCATCCAACAGTCAGAGTAGACATGCTAAGCACGAGTTTAGTGACATGTTCTCCACAGCCCTGATTTCGCACAATACCGACACGTTGAGATGACCGGACAACCACAGACAAATACTCACAAGCAAAACCTGAGAGATATTAGGCAGCGCTATAGCAAGCGCGGTACAGGGTTGCAGATAGAGGTAGCCTCTACTGCAAACGCCGATTCGTTAAGCGTGCTGGTTAGCCGTTATCCATGCCACACATATATGACAAGGGCATTGTGAAGCACAACAGCCCGAATCTCGGAGGCCTTCCGGAGTCACGAGCGACTGCGCCTCCTAGATCTGCTCCACATTAGAGTTTGCGCTTCCCATGTATGACGCCTTGAAGAAAAGACATGTAGTAGGGATAGGTACATGTTCGCCACTCGACATGTTTGAGTCTTGTGTAACGGTTGCACAAAAACCCTATGCTGGCATAATACTGCGCATGAGTCACATTACAGAACAGGCCCGATCAGAGGCCGGAGTGGGGTCCAAATTCAACGGTGTTGCAGGAGTGGGAGTGAGGTGTGTAGGACTAGTGGGGAGGAGATGACTTCGCCACTGTGATCGATGACGAAGGGCGGAGAGGAAAGCCAGCCATGACAAGCAATTGCCCCACTACGCCATCGTTTGTCGCGGCGCGTGGCGCGTCGCCTTTCACTTTCGTTCTGACGGTAAACTCGGTATTAGCAATGAAGGGCTTTCGGCATCACGTGCAAAAAGCATTGCGACTTCCTTTGCACATGCACACACGGGCGCAGGGCGGCTAACAGCGCCACCACAACCTCCACCCCATGATCCCCTTCATCCCAGCTTCTTACCTGTGACCTAGCTTGCTATTCTTTCGCGCTCCCGCATCGCCTTGTCGCATCGCTCCAACCAAACTCGCACACTTGCACATGGCACACGGCATGCAGACTCGCCCAGCGGCTTCGCACTCCACGCTCACATTTGGAATTATCCGGCAACGGAGGCATCCCTCTCGTTGCCTTGTTGATCCCACCAGGGGCCCACACTATCTCTCAGCCGCGCTTACTCGCCATTAGTCCGCCAATTCCTGCTCCATGTCGCGTAATTCGCTGGACCCTTTTGGTGTCAAGAGCTGTGCGGGACACGACAGATGATGCAACCCCCCAAAGGGTAAATAACAAAGTTTCGGGGAAAAAACAAACTATGCTTTTTCGTGATTGCGATATGACCCCTATTGAGACGCCACGACGCTTACAGTAAGACAGCGAAAGCCCCTGACTCGTACCCCGCTCCCTTCCCCCTCTGACGATGACACGATGTGTAAGACGTGTAAGATATATATTCTTGGGCGCGGAGAAGTGATACCGCCGATCAGTGTAACAAAACCGCGTAGCATTTTCTTCTTCCGCGCCGTAATGTGCTACACACCGCCACGCGGCCAGGTGTACCGAAGCGCTTTGAACATGCACGGCTTCCTCTCATGCAATCGACGTACATTTCGCCAGCAGGTTTTCACGAAGGTGCTTGCCAATAGCCACCCCTTTGAAGACCGTCAGTCGGTCGTTGTTATGCATAACCAAAATCTCACCCATAGTCCGGTTAACTTGTCCTGGCCAATGAGAACATAACAAGCCGGCATAAAGGACCGGAACCAAACGCTGCAATGCCTCTATCGTTTTATCGTATTTTACTCTTGGGGGATGGGCAGGACGGTTTGCTGTATATTTTAGGTCTAAGCGAGAGAAAGGGAGGGAGGGAGAGAGTCGGAAAGGACGGGCCATGGACCGTTGGCGACGAATCTAGATGCAAATCTGAGGGAAACGGGAATCTTGATCGACGCACGCGTGGTTGCGGTTCGCGTGGCCGGGCGTGATTTGCATTGCATTTGGCGACTTTGTTGGGTTGATGGAATGGAAAGGCTTTGCTTCCAATTACGTTCTCTGCACCGCTTGCGGGCCGGCATTAGCGGGTGTTGGCGATGACATGCGCAATGACATTACGGCTTTCATCGCTGGCTAGATTTGGTGTTTCAAAGACATGCAAGCGCGGACCCAGGAACCGGACCTGTTATTGACACGAGACGGGGATGAAGAGGCGAGTACGGACAGGATGCCGTTGCGCAACGTCTGGAATTGGGTACGTGTACGTTGTACAAGATTCTTGTAGGTCTATGTGTTATGTGTATGGGACGCAGGGCGTAGTCGCAAACATGCAGGGTGCCCACTTCATCTCACATCTTGTGCAAGGTGATACAAGGCACATCTCGGACTCGAGATCCAACCAGTCAAATGGTAAGACAGGCTTGACTCAGTCGAGATCTCAACGGCATCTCAACGGCACAACACACGTATGCACAACCTAGTCGTAATATCTACCACATGCAGAAAGTCCCTTGCATGAGTTTGTGACCCCGTGACTTACCGGTATACTCGCATGCCCTGTTCTATATCGAGATATTGTAGAATTCAATCTCAATTGTGGAACCGTAATTGTTGGGCTGCAGCGATTGCCGTTTGGGTCATGCTTGTCGGATGTGCCGTCTTCCGTCGCAAGGACGCGGATGCGGGCTGCCGTCTAAGTACATGTCCCTGTGGCTCTGTGGAAAAGATGTCATAGCGGCTGAAGATGAGGTGTTCGGAGCCGGGTGCGGGGACGGGGAACATGTCACAAGCAGTAAGTATCGTGACGGGCCTAAGATGCTTATCTCCCAAGTCTTCCCGTGGTTTCTGGTGCGTGTCTAGGCTTGTCACTGACCCCATACGGGTGAAGGTACGAGCCAGCCAATGAGTAAGGCTTGCAGCGCAGGTGCGAATGCTGAAGCTCAGTGGTGAGGGAGGACAGTAGTCAGAATGCCAGTCGGTTCACCGTTGGCGAGCAATTTTTGGGATCATTAGCCGTGGTGATGATCAAGGCTAGAAGGTCCAGAAGTTCCATGCTCTTATTACCAACCCAAGGAAGAATGCGCTGTCTACCGGCCTTTCCGATTCGCTGTGCACCCCTCGTTTCGACAGCATTTCACTCATCCCTGCCCTGGCTTGGTTCCTCGAGTAGATGCTGCAATGAGTAGCCGTAGGCGGTACATCGCGCCAATTAACGGCAAGATTGACGGAAACCTGTAGCATACTGCACCTGACGTATAGGTAATATATCGATGATAATGATCGTGCCGTGCCTTGCTCCACCTGTCAAGCCAGTCGGCCCAATGTAACCGCAATCCGTCTCCTGCCTTTTACGAATAGGCTGCATAGCAGGCCCTGTTAGTTGACAGCTGTCACTGCCACGGCGGTGATGGGCCTCACCCTCATGCAGAGGCAACACGGCTCGTAAAGTGATCTGGGCAGGGGGTGTTCTTTCTGAATGAGGTCAAGGAGTCGCTCAACCACGTTGCCCTGTCTGTTTTGGGCAGCGAGTCATTGCACGTGCCCGCAACGGGGGAAACTCCGCCGGCATCCCAGCGGCATTCCAGCGGCATTTTCTGGCCAAGGGCAAAATGGGCCGATGATTACATGATGATTACACGATGCGGATGGTCAGGACCGCCGAAGTGCGCGCGAAGCGAAAGAACCACACGACTCCTAGAGTGGTTAGTGGGCAAGTCAGAGAGGGTAAGCTCGTGACTCGAAGACATGTTGGTTGCAGCGACGGTCCGACGTCTCCACTCTGATCTAGACTATAACGGCTAGTGTTTTGCTGGAGCAGAGTGCAGTGACTCGCTGACGGGGACGGGTGCTGTCTGTGCCCTCCCGCTCGATGATGTATCGCCAAGCTGGGGAAGCGGATGTTGAGATGAATTATACTATAGACAGCCGCTGTAACAGGAAGGAATTGATGCATGGTGATGCATCTAGAGCACAAGAGTTCATGCATAGGAGATTAAAACGTGCAGCAGAATGCTGACCTGAAGATTCGTCTTTTCGGCTTAGATCCAGCTGCTGGCTACGTGGCTGTTCGATTCGTAACTTTGGGAGCGTCTGGCCGGCGGCACTAAGGGCGCTGTCAAAGACCCCCCAGAGAGCTGTAGCAAAAGACGTCGTTATTTTGAAGCAATCTGTTTAGCAACCTCACTTAGCTCACGTCACAAGTGTCATTGCGTACTCACCCCACGCAACTAATCTCGAGAGACGAGACCTTCGTGGGTACCGCCGCAGTTTACCCAGGTCGCGGCACTTGAGCGGTATTTTCGGCATTCTGCATATGACCTCATAGCTCCGAATACACCAGGTTTGCAATCACGTTACGGACCGATTCCGCTCCCACAATCTCACTCTCTGTACTGTACGTCCAGGCGTTACGAGTCGATGAGGGTTCCCGTAGCCTCGCATCGCCAGCCAACGACACAAGACGTTAGTATGAACCGAGAAGGTTTTGCCTGCGCTAAAGCTTAGATCTGCAATCGACACCCAGTGTTGCCTGAAGGCGCTTCCTGCTCCGAGTGATCGACACTAACTATTTATACCAGAACGTTGAAATCGCGGTTCCAACATCGAAAAAAACCCAGTGAGGCGGAACTGGTCAAAAACTTGAAAGCTCGATTCGAGTGGTCAAGATTAAGCCTTCGGGCGGACTTTGTATGGGCAAATTCGGTGAGTGAACGTGGCAGATCGGCAGACAATCGCGTGAGATTCGTGGCGAAACCAGCGAGAACGGTTTCCGAAATGTTTCATGTTTGGCGAGCCCGAAGCCGCTACGGCTATCTGCCTTGATGCTGACAATGAGGTCATTGTCAACTGATGCTCGCATTGTGGTGTCCTGCGGAGAGCAGCATGAACCTCATTTGGATCCCCATCCGCGCGCCCCGCGCCAGTAGAATCCATGCGCCCTATGCCATCCAATCACAGACACCACTACCTACTAGCCATACATCTGCAGCTTATGAAACCTCATACTTTGCCACTCTTGTGCTGCGCATCTGCAGATCTGCTACTTCTCTCACATCCATTTTTCATACCCCCAATTACCCCGGCCAAACTCCCTAATCGCCTGAAAAATCACAACACCGGAATAGGGAACTTGCGCGATGGAGCTCTGATTCATGCTAGGTCTCTGCAGCGTTGCCGACTCGGGAAGCCCCGCTCGGCAGCCGTCAGCCGTGTCACTCTATACCATTTTTGCTGGTTGCAAATGTAAGGGCGTGGCTAGTCATGCAGGTGATCGCATAGCGTAAGCTGGACAAATCATACGCCTGTGATTCGCCGCTTCGCCAAGTGTGAGGCGTCGAGTGATGCCGATACGCTAGAGCTTTTGTTGAGGCTGTGGTGACATGTTGGTGTGAATGTCGAATATCTTGGGGGGTTTGAAAAATGCTCCAGATCAACGATTGCTGAGCACGCAAGGGTAATCCAAGAGTTGTCCGTGATATCTGAAGTTTGTTTTAGCAGTTGCTTTCTCAATAACAGCCTTTGAGTTTCGTACCGAACCGCTCTGACGCTGGGCGCTTGTGCGGGGCTGGTGCCGGCCAGCAGTACCCTGGCCCTGGCACCACATGCTGGGCCCCTAATACTGGTTAAGGTTTGTGAGCTTCGCGCTTTGGTAACAGGGTCGTTAGTGGAGACGCGTGCAACAACCCAACAATTGTGAAGATGAGATCAGATTGGGGTATAGTAGCAATACTGTCGAGTGATAGCTGATGGAATAGGTACATGCTGCCGACGCTACGGAAGAGGAGCGTGCGAACAAAGTTGCAATGCGAAACGTCAAGGAGGCGTATTGCGTACATCGTCTGATACATCGCATCGTGGAGCGTGCGGGCTAAAAGGAGAAGCCCGCCGACGCTGCTCAGAATCGGGAGCCACATGGCAGTGGAAGAACCCTCCACCACACGGCAGTGGGAGAACTATGGCCACATGGCAGTGGGAAAATGACATCCACATGGAAGTGGGAAACGACGGCCACATGGCAGTGGGGATGTTAACGCCAGGGAAAGGGAGAAACAATCGAAAATAAAACGCCAGTCTTTTCCTATCCGTCTCTTTCTTTCAAGTCCTCCATAGCAATATACCTGGCAGTATACCCGGACCTAAAAATAAATGCCAGTAACAAAGTTCGCAGAGCAAGAGTGAAACCGACCGGATGGGGGTATAGCGGGGGTCCATTGCTGTGCTGTCATGAACACGAACACCAACCCAAATGCAGATACGGATGCGAATCGAAGAAAGCCTTTGGCCCGACAGATACGGTCGTGGAATTTGCGATACTAGCAGCTACGCTCACGCCGGAGCGGTTGGGCGGACAGGGTGGGTGGGGTTCGAAGGAGGGTCGAAACTGACGATCTTTCGGATCTTGGATGATGCGTCATGGGGAATCTCCGACTTGCGTTTTCCAGAAACAGGAAGTGCTGGAGCAGCTGTGGGAGAAGACTCGTCTGCACTTTTGCTACGCGGGTCAGCTGGTGGTAGTGGTGGTGGTGGTGGATTGGCGTCAGTTGAAGGCGGACTGTTTAGACACCACCGATGTCGTCGTTGCCAGGCCGCATATGCTTCGTCAGCAAACTTGGTGTGATTTTCGAGACGTTTGATCAAGTCTTCGGTGAGTTTTATTTGTTCTCCCATGTTTTGGGCGGGTGAGCTCAGGCGATACTGTTCCTCTCCTGGCAATGGTCGCCTCCAGGGCTCTAGGCAGCCTTTGCACCTCTCCAGTTTCGGCTCGTTTTGCTGGTCGGGATTATTTTGGTCGTCTATTGATGGCGGTGCAGAGTTGGCGGGCGAAGCAGCTGGCTCGACTGAAGGTGTGATGGTCTGCTCCAAGGCCGGGCTTTGTTCTTCGTTAGTCTCTGTTGCCATGGGCGCCGTGGGTACTGGGTCATGTCGAGGCTTCTGATTTGGTGGCATGTTTTCCGATGTGTAGACGGTGTTGAATCTGACGTTGTAGCGTTGATGTCGGCCACTGCCGTTTACGTGGTCTGAAGTGGGAGATGGCAGGGGGTTCCGGAATCCAGTGTCCGGGCCTCGGAGTTGCTCAGGTGAAGTTGCTGGTTCTGGCTGAGCGGGAATTCCTGGAGGAGTTGATTGAGAAGTTGCAACACGCTTTACACTGGGTGCGGCCGTCTCTAGGGCTTGCTGGTTTGAGCGGGAGTCGGGTGGGGGAGAATGGGGTGAAGATGGGCCAGCTGGATGGGAAATGGGACGAGACGTGTCGGACTGACGACGGCTGCCCACAGCAGGGTGAAAGTAAGAAAAGGCAAAGACAGAGGATGGAAGGGTGGACTCTGAGTCTTTGGGGGCGTCGTAACGCAGATGCGAGAAGGCAGAGTCTTGGCGGGTCGTCGCGATTGAGGTTTGCGACGAATTGGTGTCGTGCAGACTCTGAGTAGGGGCCGACGACAAGGGCGGAGTGAAAGGCGCAACAGTGGTCTGGGGCAATGAAAGCGCAAACCTCTGGTGGTCCTGTGCAGGTGGAGGGACTCTGGTGTTGGTGGGGCTGGGCAACAAGTCAGCACGGGTGCGGTCAGGTCTCACACAGACAACGACGACTTACCTAACGTGAGGGCTCGCGTGATGGTTGATGGCAGTAAAAGAGGCTCGCTCAGGATTGGGTGGAGGGTTTGCAAAGTCGGGCTGAGGCAGAGCAGAGGGAGGAGTAAGACGCTCGACAGGTCGTCCTGGGTGCGCAGGCGGCGGCACAGAATCGCGAGGGCGGTGCAAGACTGAGTCGGTGGATGAGGACGTCAGCTCTGCAAAACTGGGAAGAGTTCGGGCGGCAAAGTGGGAGGGGTCTGGCTGCGGGTGCCTGCGTGAATGCCAGTCGCTCCCCATCATGGCATTCGGTGGTTATATGGTATGGTCTGGCGGTCAGCGACGGCGACGGTGATATGAAGCAGAGGAGGGAGAGCTGGGTTGCACAAGGAGTACTACGGTCTCACGGGAAAGGTGGAAAGGGTCTAGCATTCCATTGATGCAGCTCCGCTCACGGCACAGGCGAAGGATGAACCGGCTGGCGGCCCTAGTTGAGGGGCTTGCAAGCAGCCATGTCACTGGTTTGCGTTGGCTGCGGGGGAACGCGCTGCTGCAATGTGAACAACAGAGGGCCCACTGGGAATGGCATGCAGCGGGGACCTGATCCCGTCTCTGCACCAGCCATGGCCCCCCCCATGTCGCCAGCAAGGACCTGGCACGGCGGAAGGCCAGACGCGGCTGCGTGGGACGGCGCCAAGGGGCCGGGGCAGCCGGCAAGAGATCCGCGGGCGGCCTGAGTCTGTTGGACGTGTGCACACGCAATCTGCGCCCAGTGCGACAGACTCGACCTCGAGCAGCACCACCAGCACCACCACCACTAACCCAGGAGCGAACACACGACGCCCACCATGCCCACACACCCAGACACGGCCTGGCCACCACTCAACAGCCCTGTGGGAGCCTGCATATGGCCGGAGGCTCCTGGTCGGCCCGATCCATGTCACCGTCGGTGTTAAAACTGTGTTTGCCTCCTCTCCGTCCTGGACATGTCTCGGGAGGTTTTTGTGCCAGCAAGCCGCCTGGTCATGGCAAGCGCTGCTGGTGGGCTGGTGGGTTAGTATGGGTTAATGGGTTTGGGTTAGCAGTGGTGGGTTGTTGGCGAATCTTTCGCTCTCGCATTCGACATTTTTGGCGCTGGCCGCGGCAAGCGACCGACCGGGCGGACTTTGTTTGGGGCCATTGCGGATCCACACGTGATTCGATGATTGGCTGCAATAATCACGTGACTTTACATCTGCTGCTATCTGCACGTGACGACATGTCGGCATACCTGGAGTGTGCTGCACCAGTTGACTTGCCGTCCGGCCGCCGCCGCCACATCTGCTGCACGTGACCTATCCACATCACAACATCCTTACCAGCATCCTCCTCTCCACTACTGTACATGCCATGCCCGAGACGAGGCCACCTTTGAGGCCCGTCCCCTTTTGGCCACACCCACGCCCATGCCCACACCATTGTACCATACGTACCTCAGTATCCGCAGTACGCCTTCCATACGCCGAGCCGCCCCACTCGCAACTGCTCCTTCCAGGGCATCCCTTTGCTTCTTTGATGAGCACGGCTGTAGCCGGGTGAACCCAACTGCAGCTGTGGGCTTCCCGCGACGGGGACGCGCCGCGAAAACGACAAAATTGGAACGCGGCCGACAAGGAACCTGACGACGGCAAACAACGAATTGGAATTGCGACGCACACGGCAAAGTCGAAATTGTGGAAATCCCAGCGCGGAAGCTTGCGACTGTGCCGCGCACGCTTGCTGCAATCTCTCTCGCGCCTTATCACCCACCGTCCGTCCTCACCCACTATCCATCCACCAACCGAGGCTCTCTCCCGCATGTAATGCGCATATCAAAATACCTTTCTCGGACCCCCCAACGCCGTTAGCATACCTACTGATTCATGTTTCGGCTAGCATGCAACGGTGCTGGTGGCGCCAGACGACAGCCTTCAGCTGCACCCTCCTGGCGCCTTCAACGGGCGTCTAGTGCACTGCAGCCAAACTCGCGCCCTAGCCTTCACCGATGGGAAATGCGCGGCCCTCATTTACCGAACCGAATAGGAAACATGCCGCGCTCGCGTCTTCATGGAACCTTGTGGCTCGGTATCCCGACTGCCGTCTGATTGGCTTGTGCCCATACCCTGTTTGACCGATGACAACCCTTTTGAAGGACCTCGTCTACAAGAAACACTACCTGGACACTCTCCGAGAGACACCAAGCGGTGTGCAAGAGTTGGAAAGGCCGTCAAGGCCTTGTATTCTTCGTATTCTCGCTCATCACACCGGCCACGCATCACAAGCTTCACATGAGTGACATGTTTGCACCGATCAGATCTTGACCAGTGTCTGACAATCATAGTGGCTCTTCGGGTACTTGCATGATGATCCTACCTTGCTGGCAGCCTGGTACGCCCCAGGCCACCCTTCATTCGCTGCTAGCATCAACATGTTTTTGCTTTTGGCTAATCTTTCACCGAACATAATACCAAGTCGCTTATTTCTAGACCACATAGCCAACATGTCTCCTTTCGGCCATGGAACCAGATATGCAACCTTCTTAGGGTTCCGCCGTCTTTCACTATTCCGCCTTTTTCAGTATCTGCCTACTGTTTAAAATGCATGCCCTCCGTCTGCCGAAAACTCGGGAGCCACTACCAACGCCTTGACTAAGCAACGGGCCGGCCGAAGCTGAGCTCGTTGTCCGTCTGGTGGCCTTCTCACCGAGTTTCACGAGTGTTTTCTGCGGTGGTACAGACTCATTATCTTGACGAGTTACACCGCCAGCCAAGGCCTTTTGCAGAGACCCCGTGCCAAAGCTGAGCTCCAACACTTGGTGTCATGCGATTCCTATGTTGTCCACACTCGCCACAGGCATCTGTTCCCTGTCCACATCCTGCAATGGCAACCTTGAGGCATATCCAATCTCGGACGTCGCCTCCTGAACTCACATCAGCCGTCCATCACAAGCATCCGGGATGCTACAGAGCCCGCATGGCACGTCAGAACTAGCGAGTCCACCAAAGTGGTTGAGCCATGTGAGTGCTAAACCCTAGACTTTGCTGTCGCGTTACATCCCTGCTATCGGGAGCAGTTCCCCGGCTCGCGTGCATCATCAAAATTACGCTAAATGCAATCCAGGGATCGACGTTGAAGAAACGTCGCGCCGATCAATTGGACCTCGATACTGCAGCATCAATGTTTAGCTCACAGCGGCACCTTAGACCCACCCGTCTCTAGCAATCTTGTCCTGATACTGTCTGTGGCGATTCTGACCGATAGGTACCACTTCGCTTAGGCATGTATGCGCGACTGCACGACATCGAAACATCGAAGCCTAAACCATGCACAACATTCCCGTCCGGGTTAGCTCGATGCTGCAGCAAGCAATCCGCGAAACCTCAGGTGCAGTACGCTAGATCCAAAATCCCATTACCGTCGAAATAGGACAAGTGGCCCTCGGCTTTTGAGTTGATGGATTGACGCTTCAACCATCACCCAAACGTCTCGAGCTAGGGCAGAATAACTGTGCTCAACATGACGCTCTCTCGGTCCCGGTCATGGTGCGAAGTCGCATTGATAGACATATCGGAGCGGTCAAGCCGATCGACACGACACGGTTGTTGATACCTTTTTTGCCGGTAGCCAGTATCTGTGGTGTTATTGCCAACGCTTGCATACACGCGTGCTCCGTCCGTAGTTAGGAAATGTCGTTGCGGCTCCCCTGTTGCGCTACACAGGCTATGACCCAAAAGACTCTGGCGACGTGTTCGGATTTGGTCAAAATTGGCCCGTCCAGCCTTAAAACTGTAAGCATCGCAGCTGGAAGACTGCTAATCTGCAGTCCTTTCGGCCCTAATTTCGGGCGTGCCATGTCAAGCGGCACATGATGGAGCCTCGGCTTTGTTCTATGCATGAGGAAGACGGTTCGAAACACCTGTTGTGCTGTACCACTGACGCAGCGTGCCAAAAACCGCTTACTCCCAACCGTGATCTGCAGCGTCATGCAGCAACAACATAACCACATTTTTTCACTTCAATCAGACATGTATCCACCGGACACAATCCTAGTGGAACGGCAACCTCAACACGAAGGTCACTTTGTCACGCCCTCAAACAATTTATGATTCATCTGAGCATGGACCAAGCGTTTCAACAAATTTAGCCCTGACTGTGGGGACTCACACCTCCGGGCCGTATCCGCACCTTAAACCAACATCGAAACTTCATGTGATTGAGGCACGCAACGTCGTCCCTGAGACCTCAGAGTGGCTCGTGGGAGACAGGCGTAAGGGCATGTGATTCGCAATTCGGTTGTTTTGACTCAAACATTGCCGTGTAGGCCCCAGCTGATGGATGCAGCCACAGCGCCGTAGCACGAAGAACAAACACCTTGTGGGGATGATAAGCCCTTTTAGACTGGGGTTACATGTTAACGGCCACTGCCTGACTCGCCGAATGAGACAGTCAAGACAACCTCCCAAAGAGGTAATTTGGGAGAGACTACTGAGCATTCCAATACTTTCATTTCTTCGTCCCCGTTTGCCGGGTTAGCCTCTCCCAAGACCTGACTGGAACCGCTATCACGCGCCGCCACTCACATAGCCTCAAAACCTCGTAGATCCAGGCGCAAGCACGCGGGTTAACTCAAGAAAACAAGGCCCACAAAGTGGCCAACAGCCCTAACGTCTTAGCTCAGAACGTATCCGTGTGTCGCGCACAAGATGTCGTGCATATTTTGACAGGCATGCGGCTTGCTTTGCCATAGTCAAAGGGTCAATGGCGCAACCTAGACCCCTTTTTTGCTCAGAAGGGGAAAACCTGACGAGATCATCACGCGCTAGATCATCGCCAAAACAAATCATAACGATCATTTGGCCTGGGGCTGGGCGGGGGAGCGAGGGGGAGAGGAGGAGAGGAGGAAAGACCCCTGGTACGTATTGTGTGCTACCACAGCATGACATGCATGAGCAAAAGGTAAAGATGCCCGCCAACCGTACCGTCTAGCTTTGAATAGACAGCTAGAGGCGCGAGGGTTTTGGCTAACAGGCCAACCGACCAACCAGCAACGCCCCAAGAACAACAGTCTACCGTGCTTCAATATAAACTAACTACTCTCGACGAGCACGCTCTAACAGGCGCGTGGATATCTAATCATCAATACGACATATTGCTCAAAACATCCCAGGAATGACCCTGTCTCTCTAGAACACGGACACGATAACGCCATTTAGTAAAGACCAGGAGCAGCAGTAGTAGCCAACAATTAGCTAGGCAACCACGGATCGCCTGATCTTCCCTCCACAGCTATCTTTCTGTCTTTTTGGCAGGTCCGTCCCGCGCTTCCCAGGATGCTCGGATGACGAAACTGCCGTATCGACGATCCTTCTAGCACCGTATTCCGTGTAAGCTACCATCTACCACTACCATCTACCACTACCCACTACCACACTAGCCGAATCACATTTTATCGCATGACATGCATAAGCGTGAGAAGCCGAAAGTGGATAGCGACACGAACACTAACGCCAACCGCGCACATCGTCGCCAGCCGCTATCTATGCAGTCATCCAGTTAAGGCGCCTCTTTGCGCTTGAAGTGATGAGATGATGCCATGTGGGTGGCACGATAAACCTTCCTGGACACTCGGTCGCCGGCGAGTTATCGCCGTGGGTGTGTGGGTGAGCAATGTGTGCCGTGCTTGAAGCCATCAAGTGCGCTATAGTGACCGTTTTACGTCCATTGTCTTCTTTTCCCGGTTGCGCAAGCTGTTTAAGCGCTGGGGATCTCAATGTGGTGGCAGGTTGAGTGATAGGCTGGACCGTAGTTGTAGATGGAGTAGCACCCCTTTTCGATATACTGATGCAGACGATCCTAAATTATGGGGACTCTCTTCTCTCCCACTCATCTTTTTACTTGTCGAGTGAAACGGCATGTTGTTCATGTGTATTGTCTTGGGGGAGAAGGCGTGTTCATGTACATTTGCTATACATGAACAATCAAACAACTAGTTGGACACCTTCCCACCTTTTGTTGCACACTCGATGCGTGTCGCTGACTACCTAAGTGGACTCCCCCAGCAAGACCACAAAGTTACACGTATATTATAGACCACTGACTTGCAAGAAGTACACCCCTACATATACCTATCCTACAAACACCTAGTTGTTGACACCGCCCGTCCACTGGACCACCTACCTCCTCCGCAAAAACCTCTCCCTCGTCTTACCTCAAACTACCGCGAAGTCCATACATCTACATAGCTTCCCTTACTCCTTACTGTCCACCTAGCGGTACTTATCTCCAAATGAACCTACAGTACACGTATCCATGCTGTCCATCATACCCTACCGCTCCTCCGTCACATCCATAACACACATGTATTCAGCCTATCTGCTACCTCTATGCGCTGAAGCTCGTTGCGTGAAGCTGATGATGATGAGATAGCTGGGTGATACGCGAAAGCAGAGGAACATACTTTGAACCTGCACCGGGTATTTAGAATTAACAAGTTTACCTGGCCGATCATCGTGCTATGATTTACAAGTACGGTGATTGTACACAGGGAAACTCCCGGACCTATCTGCATGAGAAAAACGGTCATATTCAAGTGGCTGATGTACTGCACATATCATCGCGGACAGTGAGACGGATGATCAAGCTGGGTAAGAAGGTTTGAATGAAGAATGTATCATGGTCGAATTTATCGTCAGTTCTAGGTATCTACAACAGTCTAGTCACTCTACTACTCCACACCACCCCATGCCTGAACGAACAATCCCAGTCACAAACGCTTTGTCTCCAGCTTAGGCAACAGAAACTTTACGTTTTCGCCAAGCACACCAGTCTATGATGAGGACTCCTTCTTGCTGGCCCCGGTACCCGAACCTTCCATCTCGTACTCGCGCGCATCCTGGAACAAGTCGATAATGCAGCTAGCACTCCAACTCTGCGTTGGGCATGAGTCGCCACAGAAGGCACCGTCCTTGTTGGTCAACTCCGTGAGGCCAGCCCAAGGAGACTCTTGAATCGCCTTCATGCAACCAGCGAGACGACGAGTGACTTGTTGGTAGCTCTCGATGCGCTCTTCGGGGGTCTTGCGGCGCTGGAGATCGAACTTGAGTAGGGCTCGGAGGAAGAAGCCCGTGGGCCACACCCATTCTGGTCCTTGGTGGTAGTTGCGGCCCTTTGAGGTATGGAAGTCGGTCGAGTCTTCGCTGTTGATGTAGTACCCGCGGTAGTTGAGGTCGGAGGGATCCAGGGTCTTCATGCCCTGAGGTCCGAGCAGGACCCTGTCGGCCATCTGCAGAGCGTACAGAGCATGTTCTGGTTCGAAGAGGTCTGGCGCAACCGTCATGGTAACAGGGAAGTTGGGCCTCAGCTGGTAGTCCTCGTACTCTTTGCCTGAGCGGTACAAATCCTTGTAAATGCCCCGGCGGTTGACAATAGCCGAGTTGACATCGTACTTGCTGTCTTCCTCGGCAGACCGGGGAACATAGAAGCATCGCTCGAAGTTGGCTTTGATCAAATCGGCCCACTCCTTGTATGTGACCGTCTTCTTGCCGTCATCGAGTGTTACACCTTCATACTTGAACTGGCCAGCTTCGTACATGTTGGCGCACCAGCGTACTGTGCTGTAGAGCATGCCGATGATCTCGACCGGGGCACCGTCTCGCGGTGTTCCAGGAACGCCCTTGCTGCCCGCCTTCTCACTTTCACCCATCTTGTCCATCCATGTACCGCAGTTCCACTGGTTGCCTCCAAAGATTAGACCAGTCTCCCAGTCAGTCCAGATCTTGATGTTGAAGCCTTCTGATTTCATTTGGCTGTCGATGTTCGGGCCCGCATCGTACTCGCGAAATTCTATGCCGGAAGCATGTCGCTGGAGGGCCTCCTGGATGACGTCTTCGATCGAAGAAGACTTGGAGTAGGCCTGCTTGTCGGTATGGGCGAACCAAGTGTCATCGTAGGGGAGGAACCGTCGCTTGACCTGTTCCTTCAGGAGCTCCATGCCGTTTGGTACAATCTTGGTGTAGTCTTGAATGTTCTGGAGGAACCACCAGACCGAGTCGCGAGAGTTGTAGCGCGGGTTTTTGCCGCCACCAAGAAGATTAGGAACCATGCCATGCTTGAGAACACTGGCAAAGGCAAAGATGTGCTCCTTGGCATCAGCATACCTGCCGGTTCCCATGTAGAGACCGCGGGCTGAGATGGTGATGTCACGACCCCAGCATCGCGCCCAATCGTATGCAAAGTGAGGAAGACCGGCAGCCATGCTGGGAACACTCTTTTCTGGCCACAGCGAGGCGCTGTTCATGTAACCCGTAACTTGACAGCTTACAAGTGCCAGACTCTTCAGGAACTGGTTGCCCTCGCGGACGTTCTCACCCATCAACTCAATTGCTCGATCAACTGCGGCGTTGTACGCAGTCTGGATGACTAGAGCAAAGTATCGCGGAAGCATGTAGCTAGGGACCTTGCGGATGGCATCGAACTTGGACTTGAGCCACTTGGCAGGACCCTTGATGTTGGCGTACTTCTCCTTCTGCGAGATGTGCTCAAGACGGCCAAGACAGTAATCGAGTGCCCATTGACCCTCACGGAGATGGTTGCAGAGTGGGTGTCCAAGGTTGTTGTCGTTGACAATGTCGCGGAGTACACTCCACCAGCCTTGCAGACCAGCGTATACAAGGTTGCCGTGGCCGGGGATGTTGTAGGTTCCGTCCTTGTGATCGGTAGCGTCCCTCTCTTCTTCTTCACATCTATACAGGATATAGTTCAGATCGGTCAGGTTGACACCGCTGAAAGCCGCACGCCCACCGCTGGTAACAAATTTGTCGAGACCATCGGCGTGCTCAGCACTCGGCACCCAGGTTTCGAATAGCGCGATACTGCCGGGGGGAAACTTGTCAGGGATAGTGATGGTGGTATCGTCACCAGATGACTCGATGTTCACACCCTGGAGATTGTTCGTTTTGCTGGGCAAACCGCGCAAGGTCGTCTTGTCGCCGATGATACGGGCTTTCGTCTCTGGGCTATCATCGACCTCCAAGTTCCAAGCGCCGATGAGCTTTGCCTGGGTACCCGGGAGGTTGGTCTTTCCGAAGCCTCCGTTACCGTTACCGTAACCAGGGAATGCGGTATGGGCGATGAGGAAGTATCCCTTCCTGGTGTGAGGGTTGACGCGGTGGACTGTGATGTACTCGTTGTCGTGGTGGATGTACGTCTCATTGTACTCCTCCTTGCCCATCTTCACATGGATCTCATTGATGATCTTGCGGATACCACCAATTCCGCCCTCTCCAGCCTGTGGTTTGATCGGGCCGCCAGTGGAGTTGGCCGAGGAGTAAAGTCGCTTCTCGTGCACAAGCTCAATCAGCTCTGGGTAAACTTCATCGAATCCGAAAACGCTGCCAGTTGCGCAGTCGCACATGGCAACAAGGGCAGCACTTGGAAGAGTGTCGCGAGCATCCCGCTTCTGAGCTGGTGTTTCGTTGTCGTGTGTACAGTCCATGAAAAGCGCATGGACAGGACTGCGCTTGATCTTCTTGATGATTGGTTTAGTTTGGTCTGCTCCATCGGTTGCCTGAGCTGCGTTCATGACCTCATCAGTTTCAAAGCTGCCGATAGGAACACCACCGTGACGGTGAACAAGCCTGCTCATCTCTTGGGTGCTCCACGACTGCATGGCCTCTCGAATGAGCGCACAGATGCCGAGCTTCATGCAAAACTTGTAGTCCATCTCTTCTGAGCCAGTGAAGAGTTCGGCACAAACCATTATGTTTGAGTTGACGCTTCGTGCTTGGTCCAGCATGTATTCTGCGAGATGTATAGGAGTGGAATGGCAGTTGTCGATTCGGAAGCCTTGGAAGTACTTGGCCATCAGCCGCGTGTACTTGGCCATGTGTTCCCAGAGGAAGGGATTATCCTCTGGGCCATTTCCGTAGCGAAGCTTGACGCAGTCGCCCCAGACAATGACCTCTCGCCTCAGGTAAGCGCGAGACTTGGGTCCGGCGTTATCCCGCATAGCATCCGCAGCCCAGACCCAACCATTGTTTACCAACGCGAGAGCCTCTGGGTTGTGCTTCTTTGTGGTGTCATTGAGCGGCAGCCGTGTGAAGTAGGTCTCGATGAGTGGGTTTGCGTCGTTGACCTCTCCAAGCTTAGGACCGTGGGCATCTATCCGCACATACTTGATGCGGTTGAAGAGCTGTTCAAGAATCTCTGATTGGTCTCCGTCATACTCGCGGTAAAACGGAAGGTTGACCTCGTTGAAGATGGCAGTCATTGTACCTTGAGCTGCACGCTCATCTGGTTTGTCGCTGGTGCGAGTATCGAAGCGGCCGAAGAGAGCACAGAGAAGGCTAGCACTGATGTTTGGGTCCATTGTGCGGCGGAATCGTTCGCCCATGCGGTCACCGCCGCGCAGAGCATGCTCAACCAGCCAGTCTGCCTTTTGCTTCAACGGCCAGTCCTTGACAGCATCGAGCCCGCGAAGACCTGCTTCACTAAAGCTGCCATCAACGAAGTTGACTTGGCCAGATATCCAAGCCTCCATGGTGGCTTTTGTGTCTCGTTCAACGTCGAGGACGTAGAATTCCCATAGCTTGACCTTGCTAAGGACGTGTGCCTTGATGCCTTGCATGACCTTCAGGAGGTCCGCTTCATTGTTGAAGGTTGTGGGTAGGCCGCGCTCGCCAAGCTCTTGGCCAAACTGCAGTAGTGCCGTATCGAGCTCGAAAGCTGGTCGGAGGTGGGGAGCAGTGTCGACATTGTAGCCCGCTTCGGGATGTTCCTCGAGCCATGGGCTGTTGTTGGCCGTGTGGTTCCAGACAACATCGGTCATGGCCAGCAGATTGAACTCGCTGTGCATCTTCTGGACCATGTCGGCGATGTCCTGCTCGCCATTCTTGAAGATAGCATCGTCGAACTTCAGCTGGTCATATATGCTGTACGGCGAGTTTGAAGAACCCCGCATCATAAGCGGTGTGAAATGCACCATGTTGTAACCACGCTGGCCGATACCGCGAAGGTGATTATCCCAGTCGGTGGGGTAGTTGCCCATGAACTTGGACAAGGTGGAGAAGATGCAGACAGCCTCGACCGGCAAGTGCTCGCCCTTCAGCCGGAGGCTTGGACATACGTCAATGTAGTATGTGTCTGTCCGCGTGGGCTTCGGCGAGGCAACGTCTGTGAAGGACCACTGGGGCAGCGGCGAATAGGTTGTATAAAAGGAGAAGGCATTGGCTTCGTATATCGGGATCTCAATCTCGCACAAGCCCGTGAAGTTTGGCTGCAGTCTTCGGCATGTGTCAGCGATGAAGAGCAGATTGAGGGTTGGTACTCCTGGGTGACATGGAATTTTTGAAACCCAAGTATACAAAAGCTACTGTAGGTGCCAGTCACCCAGGTGGGTAGGAGTTGCAACGTACTTGTACTCGCGGTAGTTGCTGCGCTCAAACTTCTTGCCTTTGGCGGGAATGTTCACCCAAAGACTGCCCTCGCGACATATCGAGCTGGTACCCTGGATCTGGAAGCAGATTGAGTATGCTGGGTCGGTGGGCGGGGGCATGTAGATGTAGGTGCCGGCCACGTCTGGGCAGCCATAGTCGGTTAGTGGCAGCAGGTAGACGACCTTGCGCGGCGAGGACGACTTGGAGTGGTGTGGTAGTGCTACGGCCATTGTGAATTTGATGATTGGACTGGTAGTAAAAAAAAATGGGAATGTGTTGTGCTAGGATATCTGAGTAGAGGTAAAAGTGGTATTGCTGACTCTGAAGATGCTGGTTGTGAGAGAGAGAGCGTTGTGGAGGATGCTGGAGGAAGAATGGAGGAAAAACAGGCTCGAGCGATGTTTTATAATCAACAGACCGCTGACAGAGTGCGCAAGAGCTTCTGAGGGTCAATTGCCCTCGTGGTGTGTTGGAGGAAGCAGCGCCTGGCGACGGGCGACGTGTGCGATCGGCGGTGGGCGGTCGCGAACTACATGAGCCGCAAGCGCAACCCGCGGGAAACGTCATTGCCCCAAGCTCCACATAGTCGACCATGGGCAACCCCAGCCCGCCCCGTTCCTGACATGCAGCAATCCAATAGCGCGGGGTCTGGGCAAACTTCCCAACTGCATCCAGTTGGTACGGGGAATTTGTTGAACACATTTGCTGGAAGTGAAACTTGAAATCCCATCGAAAACGCTCATTTCTGCCACCTGCCACCTGCCGTCTGGCATCTGCCATCAGACACCGCATTCATCTATATGGTACAAGTCAAGTCGCTCAGATGCCCACCACGAATGCCATCTTCTTCAAGACCTATGGCTTCCAAAACCCATGTGCAACATAATGTAAGAATAAGCAGCTAATGGATATGCAGCCCAAACTCCAGCGCTGGCTACTAAACAAATATCGGGCAATTGCTGCTGCCACGAGTGAAGACTGATCACAAGACGGGTATCGCGACCCGTGGCAGCCCACACACGACGAAGCGAAGATGCCAAAATCAACCAGTCAAATCCAACTACCCCTTGCATCGTCGCCTCGTACATGCACTGATGGATTAATATGCGGTCCCTGCTCAAACAGCCGCTCAAAACTTGATATTGAAAGGTGACCCGGGGGGATCGCGGAGGTCCAATCGAAATTGCGTCGATTCCGATGGCCCACGACTATGCTGTGCCTGCGTTGGTGTAGCATTTTCGTCGTAGTCAATCGAGGACGTCTCAGTGTTTACAGACGGCGGTGCACGTGGAGCGAGCCGTTTTGGTCCGCCACCACTACCTTCTTTGCTATCTGAAGATGAAATCATCCGTTCAGGCGAACTTGTACGCTCGCTGTAGCCACCGCGCATGCGTAAAATAGGATTACTTGAAGGTTCCGACAAAACCAGCGAAGGATTTGGGGGCGTGGCGCGTCCACTCCTGTCAGATGAGAGTCCTCGTGTTGATGGTTTGATATGGTCAGTCGAATGACTTCGTGTCGTAGAAGGCTTCCCAACGTGTGGTGATGAATGCGCCTTGTTCTTGGTAGAGTTTTGAAGTGGACCACCTCGAGAAGGTGTCGGCTGCTGCTGCTGTTGTTGCTGTTGTTGCTGCTGCTGCTGCTGCTGCATGTGTTGCTGCTGTAGATGCTCGCTTTCCACGGCATTGAGAAAATTGATCTCATCCGTTAGAAAATCCTTCTCGGTCCAGCAGCCCTGCCAACAGTTTCGCCAATCCAGGATAAGGAACTGGAAACAAAAAGCGTCAATCTTGATTGCGGGTTGGAAACAGATGCACAAGTTGTTGTAGTTCATCTTGTTGAACTCGGAGCACGAGTGCAACAAGCTGATGTGGCAGGTGATTGCGAATAAAAGATAATAGTTAAATGGGGGCAATTTTGATAGCTCATCCTTGAGCATTTGTGGTGTCGTTTTGGCGCCCTGACATTGTTGTTGGATCGCTGCTTGTATTTGTTTGGGGAAGATTTCATCTGGTAGTTGCCGTAGCCAGTTCTTGAATAGTGAACCGATGACATTGGGATCGTTGAGGTTCGGGTCGCTGATCAAGTCGATATCTCGGTCTGGGTTTCTGTTAGTATGTGGCAGCACAAAAGTCCGAGGTAACCATACCCTCGTCAAACTTGCGTTCGTAGTACCGTACTTGTTGGGCGGAACCTGGAACGCGATATAATCCTTCTTCTTCACAACCCCGCATGTTCAAGTAGCTATATAAGTGGTTAGCACGTGTATACGTTTTGGTTGGCAGCATCACCTACTCAATGCACCGCCATGGTAGAGCCGGCATCCAAAATTCCGTCTTGTCGCGTGACTGCTCCAAGCGCGTTGATATTCGCGTCAATCTTGTTTGCTCGATCAAGGGCTTATGTATAATCTTGCAAACATATGGCTCGTTCGTTACCGGCGTTTGGCTCTCGTGGTTGCTTGAGCTTCGTCCCAGTTTTCCAAACACGCCCTTGCGTGCAGAATCCATTTTCTCTCCCATGTTGCGAGCCCCTGAACCGAGCTTCGAAATGAAATTGTGTCCTTTACTTTCGTTGTAGGAATTGTACGAGTTGGAGGCTAGGGATATTTGTTCAGCTTTGTCCCTTCTCTGGTCGTCGTCGCGTGGAATTTGCTTCGACCCATCCTGACGGTCTGCTGAGTGAGTTCGAAGCCTGCCCTTGCCCGCATGGCGCCATGACTGACCTTTGTCCATTGGTGCCGACTTCATAGGCATCCCATTCCCCTCGCCATTCGTGGCCCACGAGGCTGCAATGTCGGGGGATAGCTGCCCCGGGGGAGCCTTGTTGAGCTTGGTACGGGACCCTGCGGCCTCGCCTTCTTTGATAGATTTCGACCTTGGCAAGAGGCCCTGCTTCTTTGGTTTGATTGTGGTGCGTTTGGAGGAGTCTGGGTGGGGGTCGGATGAGTCGTTTGACAGGCCTGAACCTGTGCGCTGGTCTAGGCGTACAACTTCTGAGCGGTTGTCTGTTCTCGTTAGCGAAACCATGGTTGTTTGGGTTGGTAGGACCATACCGTCGGAGTTGGGAGTGCGCACAGGACGGCCGAGGTCTGGTGTTGAGGCACCGCCGCGGCCATTCGAGTACAGGCTAGGCGTGGGTTGTTCGGAATTTTGGCGTGCAGAGTTCCCCTGGCTGTTCAGGCGCGAGGACGACTTGTTAGCGGAGAAGTTGGCAAAGATGCTTTTGGAGTCTTTGCGAGGCTTGGGCGAGGCGGGCGACTGTGGCATGTTGTGAAACGCGGCATTGGGTGTCGCAAAGTCCTGGTCCTCAGGCATGTCGGGTGAACGTGGGCTCTTTGGGCTCATGGGGGTGCTGGCGCTACCGCTGTCTTTGGTCTTGCCCCTCATGGCTAGCGACAACGTCGACGACTTGGGCATCTTCCTTAGTCTCTTGCGGGGCGGATCCCAGGGCTATGGGTGGCTTAGTGGAGCTCTTTCAAAAAGCAGCGGCTGACTGTATCCCGCATCCAACTGTTGCTGAGGGCGCAAATACCTCGCAGAGGGCGTGGGAGAGAAGCGCGCCGAGGTGCGGACAATGCAGCGAATGTGCAAAGAGACGATGCGGCGCGTGTAAAGGAGGAGCCTGTGTTTGTGTTGGTGGTGGTGGTGGTGGTGGTGGTAACGGCGGATTTAGCGGATGCGGCACATGGGCGGTTGCGGTTGCGGTTGCGCGGTCAACAAGCCTGTGTTTGCCCATGGCTGGTCAGCGGCGCGTTCAACAATCATGACAGCAAGACTAAGGAGGGGGGTTCGAGGCAAAGAGGCTCTGCTCGGTGCCTGTGTAAAGGCGGGAAGAGGGAGGGTTGAGATTGGGCATCTTTTGCGCGCGGGGTAGTACGCACTCAGCAAGAGGTGCTCTGTGCCTGGGGTGAGGTGTTGTGTGCCCTGGCCAGCGCTCTCTGCAGGCGGACCTCGATGCGTCGGCTGCGAGGTGTCGAGTCTATATCACCGGCAGCAGGGCGTGGCTTCCCTGCAGGAACCCGGGACGACGGCTGATGCCGAGCGCGTGACAGATGTGTCGTTGTTTTGCAATCTTCCGCTTGCTGCGATCCCAACTCGCTTCCCGACGCCTTCAACTGCTGGGCGCTGCTCGATGTTTTGCTTGGTAAAGGGCGTCGACGTCGATGGCGGCGAGGAGGCTAAGGCGGGCATGCAGCGTCTGGGATACAGTCAGCAAGCGTTGCGGAACGTCAAAGGGGCCGGCGCTATGGCGAGGGTTGCACGCCATGGGAGCGGGCACGAGTGGAAACAAAGGGAGGTGGACACGCAGCAAGCATCACTTACCCACACGCAGCACAGGGAGACAGACGGATGGACAGACAGACAGACAGGCAGACGACAAAGACACGGAAAGGGCACGTCGCTAAAGGGGGGCGCAGAAAAGGGTTCAGCTTTCTTGGGCGTGTGTGTGTGTGTGTGTGTGTGTGTGGTGTGTGTGGTGTGTGTTCCTGAGCTACTACTACAGCAGGCCTAGGCGGCCGTTGTAAGAGGGCAGATGGCAGCTGTATGTGGGAGTGTGTGGGAGTGTGTGTGGTCGATGCTCCCTCTCTCTGACACTGACTGTTCTTGATTCCTCTCCTGCAGCTGCAACGAGGCTCGAGCAGGCAAAGCAAAGGCGACGCAAAGACAGCAAAAGATGGGCAAGCGGCGGCAACGACGTCGCATGCGCACGGCCCCAGGTACGAGGGAGAGGGCGCGACGCTGCTAAATAATGCCCTTGGGCCCATTCCCAGTTGGGCGGCGTAAGACGCTATGGAGCGCTATGGTGCGCAAACGGGTGTCCACAGCGGTCTGTAGTCGACGTCTGGCGGTGAGGGCTCGCAACGGGCGACAGGTGCACTACCCCAACGCCCGCTGTCGCCATGGGAGCCGGTGCCCGCTGTAGCATGTAGCACCCAGTTCTGCAACGAGGGCTCTGCACTATGGGCTTGTCGCGGCAAAACAAGACCAGCTGCTACATCAGGACAACACCTATCCCGGCCACAGTCGCCGTGACATGCCAAGCCGCGTTTCAGATGAGCTGGGCTCCCTCAGGCGTTGCGTCAGGCCCGGCCTCGCCCCGGCCCAAGCCAAGTGCAGACGTCCAGATGCGGCGTGCAGCACAGGTTGTAGCATGTACCGGTAGCATATCCGTAGTAGTGCAGCTTGCATGCCAGACATCAATGCACTAGTTAGTAGACCCTCCCACCACCACCACTACCACCACTTCTCCAACCTGACATGTCTCTTGTTTCTGGTCCGGGGCGGGCGGGTGCTGGTGCTGGTGCTGGTGCGGCCAACATGCCCGCCGAAATGCACCTCACTGTCGACAGGCACGTCGCCTACATCCAGAGCCTTGACACTGTGCGTACTCCCAAAGCCGACCATGGCCGCGCAACCCCAGCGAGCGTGGTCAATGTCCAATGTCCACGGTCGACAATCAAATCAAATCCCGCGCTGACCCGCTGCAGCGCAAAGACGAGCTCGAGTACTGGCTCACCGAACACTTGCGCCTCAACGGCCTTTATTGGGGCCTAACCGCCTTGCACCTGCTTGGCCGCCCCGACGCCCTCCCGCGCAGTCAAGTACTCAATTTCCTCTTCTCGTGTTTACACGAAAATGGCGGCTTCGGCGCTGCTCCCGGACATGACGCTCACATGCTGTATACCGTTAGCGCCGTCCAGATACTCGCTACTCTCGACGCCTTTGCCGACCTGGAGGACCGTGTCCCTGGTGGACGGCAGAAGATCGGAAACTGTAAGTCATCATCACCTGGATCGCCCTTGTGGCCCTGGTTCTCATAGATGCAGTCATCGCATCCTTGCAGCACTCTGAAACCGGCACCTTTGCGGGCGACGAGTGGGGAGAGCAAGACACGCGCTTTCTGTACGGCGCCCTGAACGCCCTGTCGCTTATGGGCCTGCTCGAGTTGGTTGACGTAGAAAAGGCGGCTCAGTACGTCCACGCCTGTGCCAACTTTGACGGCGGCTACGGCACGAGCCCGGGCGCTGAATCACACTCGGGTCAGGTGTTTACATGCCTCGCCGCTCTGACCATCGCGGGGAGGCTTGATTTGGTCAACCAAGAAAAACTGGGCGCCTGGTTAAGCGAACGTCAACTCAAGAACGGGGGCTTGAACGGCCGGCCAGAGAAGAAGGAAGACGTATGTTACAGCTGGTGGGTCATGAGCAGCATGGCCATGCTGAACAGGCTGCACTGGATAGACGGTGAAAAGTTGACGTCCTTCATTCTGCAATGCCAGGTGGGTAGCTTGACATGTTCACCACGCTCGCTTTCTAACGGTGGCAGGATCCGGAATTAGGTGGCCTTGCAGACCGGCCAGGTGACATGGTAGACGTCTTCCATACCGTCTTTGGTATTGCTGGGCTCAGTCTTCTCAAATACCCAGGCCTCGAAGAAGTAGACCCCGTATAGTATGTGACCACCGCCCTCCCCTTATACTCACACTGACCATGGGCCAGCTGCATGCCTCGATCCGTCACTCGTAGATGCCTTGGTAAGTAATGGCCTCATGTGTAGAACAAGTGTGCAGTATTTCCTTTGCTGCCAGTTTCTTCCATATCTGATGCTTCACTCTTCGACACATGAATTCGTGTATGTGGATATCCTGTGATATGCCTCATGACACCATATCCTTTGCTCTGTCCCGAGGTCGTAGCTCTAACAGTACATACTTTGTCTCCCACTATCTAATACCTCCCGCCTGCCTCATAGACGTCGAGACACAAAGTGGGAGAAAAGTGAGCGTGGCTGCCTCTTTTGTCAGTGCCGAGCTTCCCACGTGCTCTGCCTGCTAGATGACCACCGACAAAACCTCTTCCTGCTTTGCTGACGCAGCACCTTCCTCCATCTCCCTATTACCAGTGTCTGCATCTCTCCTGCTTTGCATTTCTCCGCTCAGACAATGGGCTAGGAGCTACCGCGGTGCCTGGCAGCCATCTCTGCATCAGATCTCTTATGAGCACGTCTCCACCGCCGCTTCACCTTCTTCCTCATTCGCCCGCTCCTTTCGCAACGCTCTTTTCTTTCACCATTGCGCTGCACTTGTGCTTGTTCCACTTCCGCTCCTTACAAACGCCGTGCTCCACGCTGCAGCTTCACTCGCATCCATTGCAGCCTCCAGGCCTGCGGCATGGCCAACATACCGCTTCACTGCAACATTTGCCCCAAGAAGCCAAACTTCAGCGATGTCTCACATCTGCTCACACACATTGCCAGCAAGGGTCACTTGTCCAACTACTACAAGGTCAAGGTCCGCTCGACAAACGAGGAAGCATCCCGTCGGCTCATTGAGACATATGACCAATGGTATGCCGAGTGGGCCGTCGAAGAGCTCATGTCGGAACGGATGAATCAAAAGGACAAGCGCCGCACCCGCGCAAGACCCGCTGGTACAGCCTTGATCCGTACCTGACCGCATATGACACTGTGGCTAACCTCGCCCGCTGCAGCCCGGCCTGCTCCCGCTCCTGCTCCCAGGATAGAGGCCCCCGTACCACGTCCTATCCGTCGCGCCGCGGTAGGCAACCTCCTAGACCCGCGTCTATCTGAGCAGCAGCATCCGATGATCAAGATGGAGCAATCTCTCTCCCCGACACCGCAGCCTACCGGTCCGGTCCTCCGTAATCGCAATACATTTGCGCCCCACATGCAATACTGGTCTACCGAATCGCGTGCCAGCTCTCACAGCTATACGAATCAGGACTATGACACATCCAGTGAGTATTCTGACCCGAGCGAGCGGCGGCGGACATACCGATACCCAGCTGCGTCATGCGCCATCGAGGATGAGCCTGCCGATTTGGCGGATCCAATGGCAGTCAGCGAGTCGACCAAACTCAAAGGCGTATACTGGCCCGGTATGGATATATTTGACTCCGCCACACCAGAAATGCGGCGCAAGAGGAACCAGAAGAAGGATAGTTCTGTTGTCGAGCAACTCGAACTCAATTCCCTAGAGGTCGAGGCCACTGAGCTCATCTTCACTCCACTTGGTTCTTTCAAACGACAGCGAAGAATCTCTTGCTCCGAGTCTGACGATGATGATGACATTGATATCAAAGCTGAAAGCCCTCTACCTGTTCGCAGACGCCCTGCCCTCGCCAATCTCGATACTAACACAACCCGCCGTACAAGACAGTCAACCCGACCTGTGTTTCCATTCCTGAGTCGCAACCAATACGACGAAGATCGTAGCCGTTCTAGCTACGACCATACTCACAGCAGCCGTGTCTCGAAGCGGAAGCGCTTCAACGTCTTTCAAGACGACGAAGACACCCCATTTTCGCAGCCTAATGGCATGACCTACCTCACATCTGGTTTTACTCGCCAGCCTTCGCCATCCCCCACACCTGCATTCACATCTTACAAGCCGTTCAATGATACATTCCCGTACGAGAACAAGGAGAACGTCCTCCCTTCCTTTAATCCGACAGCCTATGGCAACTTTCACGGCCATCAAAACACTGCCTACCAGTACCCCAATTACAGTTATGGACTGGGCCCTGAACACCACGGCTTTCAGTACAATAGCCACTTGTACAATGAAGCTAGTGTATACCAACAAAACGATCAAGATGACGATGACCAACGTACAATCACTGCCCCGCCTTCGCCATCTACAAGCTGAGTGCTTACCATATCATGTCGACCTACTCTTGAACTCTTTCATGCGACACTTATCGTGCGGCGTTAGCGTTTCGCATCATATATCCAACTGATCCACCCTCGCTTCATTCACGGACGTATGTCTGCGAGTTCTTTTCCTATGTTGTTTTGGTGCTCGGTTCCTGCAAAATCCACGCGATATGACTTATGGCTAATGCAAGATGATATTTTGATATGGATTACCAAGAGAGGCGCGCTATCGGGATCGCTGGACAGATATCCAGGCATGTTCTTCTCACATTTTTACGCTGCCCCCTACTGTTCAGTTTCTTCGCAAGCATGGGTTGCTGGTGAAAAGCTGGCAGGTATGTACAATAGTGGCTGCTGTTCCTACCTGCATCTTAATATACAAGTCGTGGTAGAAAATCGAGTGTGCTGTCTTCCATGGCAGATTCTATAGAACGATGATGCCGTGCTCGTCTCCACCTGCTTATGGCATTCCATTCTATATCTATATTCATTTATGTTGTAGACCATAAATTCTTTCGGCGTGCAATACATTTCTTACTCGTTTCTTCTCCCCTTTTCTTTCTTTGCTGAGAATCTCTTACTCCCACTTCCCACTCCCTCCCATAACCTTGTTCCGCCTCACCTTTTCCAACTGCTCCACACTCTCGTACCCGTTTACCCTGGCATATACCACTCGCAACAAGCCTCCCACAACCCACATAATGACGCCACTCACAACGAACAATCCGATGCGCTGGTTGGTGGTAAGCAGCGCGAAGATGGGGTAAGGGTAAAAGCCGTTCTGAGAAAAGCAGATCTCAATCCAGATCCAATACGTAAACGCGATAACAGTAGATATAGTGAGCGTAATCAGCGGCGCAGACCCGTTCATAGGCGTGGAGGGCCACGGCGGGGAGAGGAGGAGGTAATCCAGAGTCAGAACCACAGCGGGGACAAGGTGAAAGCCGAGGTCATAGATGACTGGTGGGAGGGGGAGGTCAGGCGTAACAAGCAGGTTTCCATCAATCACCTTGAGCGTCCAGTACAGCAGTGAGATCGTGATTTCAATAGGTGCCGCGACTAATGCCAGGTAGTTCTTGATGCGGAATAGTTGATCCGAGAGCTCCGCGGCGGGTGGTGAGGAAGGGTGATCTGGAGAAGCGGAGAGGGCGGTTGAGGTTAGGTCGGCAAAGAGGCCGAAGATGAATGTCAAAGTGGAGATGGAGAGGCCGATTATGGTGAGGAATTGGAGGTGCCATCCGAATGAGGAGTTCTGCGTGGATTAGGATGGGGATGGTTTGGGGTATGTGTGGAGTATTTCATCAAAGGGCGACGTACAAAGTGATTTGGGTTGTCTGATAGACTGTGTGGATATCAGTTTTTGTTCTCTTCTTGGACGAGATTGTGAGTGGGCAGACTCCGCAACAATCAATCGATTGACATGATTGATTCCTATATAGGTTAAAGAATTACTTCATTAGGCAGCCTTTAACCTAGATAGGAATCAATCATGCCGATCCGATTGATTGTTGCGGAGTCTGTGAGTGGGGGAGGGCGTACAATTTGAAGGTCAAGTAGAAACTGAGCAGTCCGGCAACCTGGGGGAATGGGCTTGGTCAGTCAATGGTTCTGTTATACATCCTCGATTTCTATATGCTAATAAGTGGTCGCCATATGATCCTTCACACCCTTTGACGGGCCAATAGGACTCAGGTGTAGTCCAGGAAGGTTGCGGAAGCCATCTGCCTTAGCAAAAACAATATATACCCCTGCCAAGGCTACGTATAGATACTCACATGCAACGCCCCCGATAATCCCTTGGATGGTGAGTCAAACCGCTGCAGCGGATGTCGCCGGCTGAGCGTGGACAGTGTGTCCGAATTTTTGGATGGAGCAGCCATTGCGCAGGTAGTACAACGAAACGGAAGACGATGACGAGTTATTCAACTTTTGAAAAAGTGTCAGATGCTAGAATATATTCAATGTGTGATATACAGGACGTGAAATTTTAGTCTGCAGATATCACAAACATGACGTGTGGTTTGAAAAGGTAGCTTGCTTGAACCCTCCAGCCAAGCCACAAACGTGGGTCCCACGGTCCGTTTCTGAGCCTCGGAAGTGGAAGTGTGCCACGTCCGAACAAGACATTGATCCTTCCTCTCCACCACCAGCAACGACAAGAAGACAGAGAATGAAAAACTTTCTCCAAATGTAACCTTATTTTGGTCCCCAGGTTCTCCGACCGTATTCCAACTCGTATTTCATACCCCACGGCTTACCGCCTAGAGCTTCCGCATTCAACCCGGTTACGCGTGACAGCCGACACCGGCAAAGGCTGATCTTCGGCTTTAGATGTCTGACGTGCGTCGCACTTGTAGACAAAGTAGGTAGGTTTCGTGCGGCAAAACTTCGGCTCGCGGGGGTAGGCACGACGGCAACTCTGTGCAGCTCCGTGTGGGCGAATCATCTTGCCGGTTCATGATCCACATCAGCCTTCGTGCGATGAAAGGACCATAGAGACATCGTGGCAGTTTTTCCGGAGAGACGGCCACCTTGCTGCTTGGCTGTTGGAGAAGCGCGAAGGGGCCGGATGGGCGGTGCGGGTGCTACATATAGTAACAGGTAGGTGCGCCTGTGGGTAGAAGAATGAGAGCGCTGACCGTCCATCTTTACGATTCATCGTTTGTTTTCCTCTCCAGTTACAGATCCTTGAATCAAAGGAGTCGTCAAAAGCCGATTTGGGCAGTGCTTACGTGGGTTGCTATTTCGTTGCACAACCGCAACCATGGGATCGAGGGTTGAAAACGTTCTTCAGTCTTTGACGCTGGAAGAGAAGATCTCGCTGCTTTCTGGGAACGACTTTTGGGCGACGACGCCGATTCCGGAGAAGGGTATCCCTAGTATCAAGGTATGAAAGCTGGCTACGCCTATCGTGGAGCAATCTGATTGAAACCCCACAGACGAGCGATGGGCCCAACGGCGCGCGTGGCGAAGTATTCACAGGAGGGACAAGAGCAGCATGTTTCCCCGCTGCAGTATGCTCGGCTGCAACATGGGATCCGACAAACGCCATGCGCATAGGTCATGCTCTGGCAGAGGAGACCAAGACCAAGGGTGCAAAGGTGATGTGCGTAGATCGTTCCAGGCACATGAGTGGCATAGCTAAATCAGTCCAGTCTCGCACCCACAATGTGCAATCACAGACATCCCCTTGGTGGCCGAAACTTTGAGTCCTTCTCCGAAGATCCTTATCTTGCCGGCAAGATGGCCGCCAATGTTGTCAAAGGGCTGCAAGACAAGGGAATCGCGGCAACCATTAAGCACTTTGCAGCCAACGAGCAGGAGACAGACCGTATGAGCGTTAATGAAATCGTATCGGAGCGTGCACTGCGGGAAATCTACATGAAGCCTTTTGAGATTACCGTCAAAGAGGCAAAACCTCTCGCTGTGATGACGTCGTACAATAAGATCAACGGAACGCATGCGGACTCCAACTCCTTCCTCCTCCAGCGAGTCCTACGAGGCGAATGGGGGTTTAGCGGCCTGGTTATGAGCGATTGGGGTGGTGTAAACTCCACCGCTGACTCACTGAACGCCGGACTAGACCTAGAGATGCCGGGACCAACGAGATGGCGGAAGATTGATGACATCAAAGAGGCTGTGAAGAAGGGTGATGTGACCGAGGCGACCATCACCGAGAGGGCAAGGAACGTCTTGAACCTGATTGAGCAGGTTGGTGCGTTTGAAAATCCGGAGATTCCACCAGAGCAGTCCATCGTCGACCCCAAGCATTGCAAGCTCATCCGTAGTGTTGCAGGACAGGGCATTACTTTGCTCAAGAATGACGGCATTTTGCCACTAAGGAAGGACAATGTTAAAGGAAAGAAGATTGGTCTGTTTGGGTTCGCAAAGGAGGCTCTCATCCATGGCGGTGGAAGTGCGTCGCTGAATGCTCACTACCGCATCACTCCTGAAGAAGGTCTCAAATCCGCGTACGGTGATGATGTCGAGTTCAAGTTCGCAAAGGGAGCAGCGACATACCGCCTCCTCCCACCGCTATCGGAAGGCTGCAATGATGTCACAGGCAAAGGCGGCTGGACAATGGAGCTTTTCAACAAGGGTAACACGTTGAAGCCTATCAAGACAGCCAACGGCGTTAAGGAAGCTGCCTTCAGCGCGCTAGTCGACGCAGAGGCTAGGGATTGCAACGTCCATTTCACGACTACTTTTACACCCAGCAAGTCTGGCTCGCACTACCTAGGATGCTCAGGCATAGGACCCACTGCCGTGCGTATCGATGGCAAACTCGTCTTTGAGCAAACGGGAAACTCGCCGGATTACATGGGCTTCCTATTCGGCGGCAATCCCGAGAAAGAATTCCAGGTTTCCTTTACCGCAGGCACGCAATACAAGATCCAGATCATCTCCAAGCCACAGCCCGACAACGATGGAAGCATACTTGCAGACCTACCGGGCTTCAGACTAGGCTTCATGTACGAAGACGAGCACGACAGGGACCTCGCGGCCGAAGCAGCCGCAATCGCAAAAGAATGCGATATCGCCATTGTCTTCACAGGCCACACGCCCCCCTGGGAAACCGAAGGCCAGGACCAAGTCAGTTTCAATCTGCCTCGAGAGGGATCGCAGGACAAACTTGTCGAGAGAGTTGCGTCCGCCAACCCGCACACCATAGTAGTTAACTCCACTGGTGTGGCCATCAACTTGCCCTGGATCAACAAGGTCTCTGCCCTGATACAAGCTTGGTTCCCAGGACAAGAAGCCGGCAACGCCATCGCGGACGTGATTTCCGGCGCCGTGAACCCTTCCGGTCGTCTACCGATTTCCTGGCCCCGCCGCATCGAAGACGCGCCTGCGCATGGGAACTTTCCTGGTATCCGCGACGAGAAAACAGGACAGCTCACTGTACGGTACGAGGAAGGTATTTTTGTGGGATACAGACATTATGACCGTCTTGATGCTGATATTGTACACTTCCCCTTTGGCTTCGGTCTCTCATATACTTCTTTTGCGTTGAGCAGTGCGAGCGTTGAACAGCGGTCACCCGGCTCCTTTGTGGCCAAGGTCGAGGTGAAGAATACAGGAGCTATTGATGGAGCTGTGGTAGTGCAATTGTATGCCGGGAAGAAACAGAAGGATCTGGTTAAACATCCAGTAAAGACGCTAGTGGCTTTCAAGAAAGTCTTCGTAAGCCAAGGGGCGCAGGGAACAGTAGAGATGTGCTATCGGGACACAGACTTTGCGTGGTTCGATGAGGATGCGGGCATGTGGGTGGTAGATACAGGGTTGTATGAGTTCTCGTTTGGGCAGAGTGCAGGGCATATCGACCAGGTTGTAACGGTAGATGTAAAGGGGTTGAGGGCATTGAAGATTTAGCATGTGGAGGCTATAATACACTTCTTCTTTCTGTTCATTCAGGTCCTTGCTCTATCGTATCACTGTGATTGGGTAAGCCGTTTCGTGAGCGGGGAACTCTCGTGGGAATGCTACAAGGAGGTCTCGGATCATTCAAAGTGGCCGAGCTGTGTCTTACGCTACTACGTCTGGGCCGTCTTACGAGAGCGACCTCCAGATCTAGACCGTTCCACGCTGGAATGTCGACGAAGAAAGACGAAGAAAGACGAAGAAAGACGAAGAAAGACGAAGAAAGACGAAGAAAGACGAAGAAAGACGAAGAAAGACGAAGAAAGACGAAGAAAGACGAAGAAAGACGAAGAAAGACGAAGAAAGACGAAGAAAGACGAAGAAAGACGAAGAAAGACGAAGAAAGACGAAGACCAAGACAAAAGGCCACGAAAGCATCATTCCTGATGCATCCACGCAATGCAGCGGCATCCTAAGAGAGTTATCTGCTGAAATGGGGGAATTTCTCCCGCCAAAGCCCCAGCTGTAGTTTAAGCTTACCATGCAGGCCAGACCAAGTCGCATGGAAAGTCCCGTATACTCTTTAGTCATATCATCCAGCTCAGCACGAACAAATTCGGTCGGAGAACGGGCCCATGTCAAGCATGTCAAGGAGTGTTCAGCTCATCTATAACTTACGTCAAAAATTGTATAGCCACATTTTAGTTCACACAGCCAACCCTAGCCCAGCCCAGCGAGCTGAAGCTTCCCAACTCAACATCCACCCACGGGTACACCTTCCCCGTCACCGCCATCATACCGGTACTTACACACAAACGCCCGGCACATTCTCGGCACCAATATTCGGGCATTAAGAGAATGGGGAGAAAAAAAATATGTTTTCACGGGTACCGTACCCAGAGGTAGAGAGTGAAGCAACCGAACCACGTGTCTCCATCCCTAACCTATCCTTTCCACTGCCTACCATATCCTCGCCCACCGTAACAGCACGCAATGGTCGCACGCCCACCCGCTTCACCGCCTCAAAACTCCATTACCCCACCGCAACACGCGTCTCCCGCAAAAACGCATCAAGCAAACCCCCATCAGCATAGGGTAATCTACTAAAGCCCCATTCGCATGCCATTACTCATGACAAGCGATTTGTGCGTGTGCGCTTCAAGTTTCCTTGTCGTTGTCTACGTATTGCCCAGGATCCCTGGCGCGCAGCAACCGCAATCCGCACCGCCACACCGGCTCACACTAATTACCGTGAGTCGTGAGTCGTGAGTCGTAAGTCGCGACTCGCGGAACAGGCCGGTCCGGGGGGCGCGCATGACCATTTTGTAATTTACGCATCCATGGGCGCACAGTCCCTCATGGACAAATGTGCAGGAAGTGCATGATTTGGCGAATGCTTGCAGATGGGACTTTTGGGATGCATGGGTTGGCATGTGATGCGATATATTGCGCGGTCTCCGTCGGGAGATGGATAGAGAGAGCATGGGTTGGGAGAGGGGTGATTTCTGGAGCGTTCTAGATTTATTTTTTTCTGTTGTAATCTGGGGATTGATAATCGAGTGGAGAGAAGCTTGGGGGTTCTAGAATTATTGGATCTTAGTGTTGTAGTTTACTACATTTTCCCATAGGGCATGTGACTCGGGGGTAAGGAGGGGAGAGTGGTTTACTGCTTAATAAGGAAGGAGATAGCGAGGGAAGAGGACAGCAAGCAACATGTCTTCTCTAGACTATTGGGCTGCACGGATTTGACATGGTCACCCAACTTGTGACGCAATACATCTCAGCTGCTCCGATAGACCGCCCGACATACCTCGGGATCTCTTCATTCTTTTCTGCTGCAGCACTTGCAACTCACGGCACATATGTTCGGCATGCCGCAGACCGGGCTGGGGTGGAGATGAAACCTTGGATTCAAGATGGACACGTGGAAAGTAAAGGACAGAAAAAAAAGAGTCGACGTTGCCATACCCAGCCCGGACAAGAAAAAAAGGAATAGTGTAGATAGTGTAGGAAAAGCGCGTTATGGGGGCCTAACAGTAAACACGTGTATGTGTCTGCCGTGCCTCATGAGACACGTGTTTGTGTCCCGCGCAAGCAACGACCAGAGAAAAAGTTTGAAAATGAGGCCAGCGGTTAGGAGAAGAAAAAAGAGCAACAACAACATCCGCTGATCAGATCCGATGCCCCTGATCCATGCCATATGCACACATACTTACATGGACCACACAAACGACTTCCCTCAATCAGCATAGCGTAGACGTCCAACAGTAGCGGTTTTCATGGCATTTTTCAACATTCACACACATTTTCCAGTGCTTTGCTCCACATGTGGGAAATTTCGCCATCCGGGCGTCTTTGGTCGCAGTTTGCTCCGGGCCCGGATGATTGGTCGCGGTTCGCATGGCCGAGGCGAGCACAAGTTCGGAGATGGTAAATGTTGTGTTGTACCCGCTTTCCCTCCTTCCTTTCCTTCCTTCCCTCTGGCAGATGCCGGGCCGGTGAGTGACACACAGCGATGTGGGACTAGGGTTAGACTAAACGCGCTTTGCTGCATCATGCGATATAAGGAAAGGCTTGCTGCAGGCTTCGAGAGGCACGATGTCGTTAATCTTTGTGCGACGCCGATCAGCCCGTCCGGTCAGTTGCAAAAGTAACGCGGTCAATGTTGAGAAGAAGACGTTGTGGAAATTGGGTGGGTTACACGTGGGACAGGGGAAAAGAAGGCGTGAGGTGCTTCAATGTTTAGGGGCTGGTGCAGCAGTAGGGTCTCGGCTTTGGTTGTGAGGCTCGGGACGAGAGAAGAAAATATGGTACATTTGAGCGGACGTAAACAAAGCAAAGAAAAGATAACAATAATCTTCGTGAAAGACAAAGACCTCCCGACTAAAGTAGCAAAACAACCATTGCGAGGGGAACAGGCAGAGAAGAGTAGAGATACTCGATTCCACATGTACACTTATCCCAATGCGTCGTCCCATCATGAATGCCCATCCCTTGCCCATTACAGATCATCTCATCGTCGCATCTTCGCCCTCTCTATCCAAAGAGGAAAACAAAAAAGATGACAAAAAACTAATGTGACCCATCCACGGTTTTTCATCTAGCGCCCCTACCCGGCAGGCACACTAGACAAGGCTCACACCGTATTCAAAACAAATACATCTTAACCATCTCATTCCCCATTTTACCAGTCATAGCGACAATCTACCGTGCGTGTACAACGTGATGTGCTGACAAAGCCCCCGACTCGTGTAATCCACGACGCTAGAAAGATCGCATCTGAGGGATCATGCCGACCGGCCCACCGGGCATTACTGGTGCAGCAACAGTGGCGGCAGAAGGGCCTCGGTGGAACATCTGCACCAAACGCTCTCCAACGCTAGGTTCAAGCTCAGTGCCATCCCTAGCAATCTTGACTTCGCGGTTGGCGTTCCACGGATTGCGAAGGCCCCTTGTGCGGTAGAAGGGCAGGCGGTTCGTTGAGACCCACTCAATCTTGAATGGCTTGCCCCAGCTTTGCGCGACGGCTGGGGACTCCCCATCGACCTGCTGGGAAGCTTCGTCTTTGTCTGTTTTTGTGACAGCCTCTTCTTCGTCTCCTTCTTCGGCGTCGGAGAGTTCTGCCTCCCAAAAGATGGTGCCACGCGCGGAGTCGTCAATAATCCTTCCTCGGGGTGCCCATTCTGTCGCGGGCGTTGCGATGGATTTGGGCACGTCAGGCGCGTCAATATTGGTTTCGGGCTTTGGCACCGAGCTTATGATGAGGGCACCATCTTCAAGAATCGGTGACGCCATGCGGGCGTAGCCGAAGTATTCGCCCGACTTATTCGCGGAGAAGATGAGATAGACATTCTCTGCAGACTGTATCATGTCAGACAGACGTCATATATGTAGTTGATCATTACTCACTCGGAATGCCTTGTTGAGAACATCTTCGTTGTGGGACTGTGTAGCCCATATGCCGTTTCGAACACTGAGCTCCAAGTCCTGCAGGGTGAGACTTTTGACAATAAAGTACTTGCTAGCAGGGTCACCAGATGTTTTAGGTTCTTCCGTGCTCTTGTGTGACGGGGACTCTACGGCGCCTCCAGAAAGATCGTCAGCAGCGCCGTCTTGCGTTGGTGTCGCTGGCCGAGAAGCATTCTTCTGCTGGCCTATCATAGCTGAAGGCGCCGTGGGTACACCAGATGCCGGTGCAGAGCTGCGTCGGAGACGGCAGACCAGGCGCACGCCATTGAAGCGCGAGTCGTGGAATCTATGCATTGCAGCTGTGCATGACGCCTCAGTGCGATAGTTGACAAAAGCACAGTTGCTCTTTGAGATGAGAAACAAGCTCTCGATTTCTTTTGTGGCATCGCGGGAGAAGTGGTCTTTCAGAGCAACAACGGTAGTACCAGGAGGAAGGTTTCCAACCCAGAGTGCATGTCCGGACTGCTTGGGCTTGCGCGGTGGCCCACGGGGGATTGAACTGACAGGGCCTGGACGAGGCATACCTAACAGTACAATTAGTGGCTGTGCATCTGTATCGCATTGGAAGTGTTCGAATGCTGACTGACTCTTCACTTACCAGGAGTCGGTGCGAATTGCGCATTGTAAGGTGCTGGATCCCCTGAGAAGTTTCCATGAGCCATGCGGGCGCCTGGGAAGTTTCCGTCCATGTGCGAGTAATCAGCAATCTGTCTTTGCATACCAGTGTTCGTCAAGCTCGCTCTTCTTCCATACATCGGCTGGCCGTGTGAAGCTTGTACGGCGTATCCATGGTTGTACTGTCCCTGAGGTGCGTAAGGTGTCGGGTAGTACATGTACTGTGACGCCTGTTGGTAGTTCTGGTATGGTGCTTGCATTGGTGTTGCTCCAGCTAGGCGGGGCTGGTTCGGTGCGAAAGAGGGATAAGCACCGTATTGCGAGCCATGTTGAGGCATGAACGGCTGCTGGTGCATACCTACAGCGAAACCGGGCCCGTACGAAGGATGCGAAGACATCTGTAGATTCTGGCCCAGCTGATATGCTACCGCAGATGTCGATGCGCCAGATAGTGACCGTGGGACGTTTTGCTGATTGAGTGAAGCATCGTCGTCGGCACCAAACTCAGGTAATGCACCGGCCATTGCGCCCATATTCAAGGAAGACGCACCATGGTCTTGGGACTGATAATGCCCGTTCGGATGTGCGGGGGAGCGGAAGTCGGGTCGAAGCTGGCCCTGTGGTAAGGCGCTGAGCTGAGAGTAGAAGGGAGCATTGCTGTCTGGGGATTTGAGAGCTGCTGGAGCAAAAGTAGATGTCGCGTGGTCCATGGCTTGAGGCCGAGGGCCAGGAGGTAGGTCGCCCATTTGACGGTGGTAAACGACAGGAAGAGGCACCCACTGCTGGACCCAAAAGAATGCCATGTTAGTCCATGTTAGACTTGATAAAGCGAAGACTAGAAAAACGAATGTGTAAAGGCCCGATAGTTTCCCAACGCGCACAGATAGAAGAGTGCAACATACCTAATTGTATGTCAAGGTATCCTGGACGAAATGTGGCAAGCCGGAAACGAAAGGTACCGAAGGTAGGTCGTTTGCTAGGAGAGATGACGATCAAATCATGCCAATAGAAAAGGGAGGCTGTGAGGTGATCGCATGTAAAAAAAGGACACGGACAGTAGATGAAACCGCTTAAGGGAAGGTGAACGACTTGGGATGATGTATCACCTGGAGAATGAGCTCGCTTAAGGCGGAACGAAGACGATGGTCAGAATTACACGACCACTCAGACGACAGAAGCGAACTTGCAACGCCTTATGAGGTCTGACGGCGCAACGGCAGGGACCGCAATGAGGGCGTGCGGCAGATGTTAGGAGCCAGGGTTATGAGCAAGAGCCCACTGGTTGGTCTGGCAGGAACGGGAAAGCCGCACGAGGGTTTTCGCGAGTTCTCTGCCTCAGTCGCCGCTGGTCGCAGTAAGTCTACCCCGGCCTGATTGGTGGTCGAGAAGCAGGCTGTGGTTGACAGGGTAGTTTGTGGAGCGACAGGGCCTGAACTGATACTCTGGAGGCGAAAAGATGACCAGAGCCCAGCAAGGGAAAGATAATTGGACAGCGGAGTCAAGGAAAGGTAGAGAACAAGTGATATGGAAGTGGTATATCGTCGAATGTGGCGAGTAATGCCGTTTCTAGATTGCCATGGGCCGATGACGCTGATCATGGACTATCTTATGAAAGCTTAGCGGGTCCTTCCTAGCATTCTTCGGCGGGCGGGAAAGCTAAATTTGTTATGTACTTGTGCCAAAAAGCAGGACGTGTGTCAGGGAGTGCCCGCTCGGAGCCGGTCATGGTATGCCATTCTGGAACGTCGGAGAAAGGCTTGGACTACAAAAACGAAGCCAGCACCACGTTGCCAGGCCTCTGTACCGGAGTGGCTTTGTAGCAGTCATGCTTAGTTCAAGATGATGCAGTAATTCGACACCATCCATGGATGGGCGCCCGAGATGCATGCAACGTGGGCCGACCAATCGCGGAAAAGACGACGACTATGAACAGATGCGATATGCACCAACTGAGGCGCCCAAATGTCCCCGGCCGCGTGTAGAGAGCAGGGAGAAGGCCCTTGGGCGCCGCGTGGATGCGTTAGGGCATCACGATAATGACCAGGCAGGGAGCGTGCATGAGAAGCTGACAAGGGGGCCGGCAAAAGCTTCTCCGATTTGTTTTTTTGATCGGGCTGAGTAGAAAAGCTCGGCGTTAGTGCTCCCTTTGTGACCCTGCGGCGGGAGTCGAGACGAGATAGAGAAAGGATGGAGCGTGCAGGTATGCACTCTGGAGGCTCACCGAGGCTTAGCGGCATAGCGAGACTGCGTAACAGTGGGCCGGCAGATGTCAGCAAATTCGCATCGACGAGACCGACTGAGGCCTAACAAGCGCGACTACTGTGGACCGCTGAACTGGACAGCCCGCAACCGTTTCCTCAGACATGGGAACTGGCATCGGTCCGCCAATCGAACAGCACACGACTATAGTTTGCCACGCCATCGGCGTGACCGCACCATGACAGGCCTGTGTAGAGATCTACGCGCCACAGCACAGCCACCCCGGTACTCGATCCCGCTGGGATATGATCGCCACCGGTCGAGCAGCGTGCGAACGAAGCGTCTATCCCGTCCGCCAGGATTCAAATAATGACGATGGTGTTACAAGAATAGACATGTGTGTAGATCATTTGCTAGACGTGGACCATGCGCGATATCGTTGCTTTGCGCAAAAACCGAGCGCACCACACTGGCGCAGAAGCAATGCATAAAATTCAGCGTCGGGCTGCAAGGCTAACATTCCCATGTTTTGGAAGCCGAATGCGGGCTTTCTGGGTCCCTAGCGACATGGGAAAAAAACCTCGAGCTTTTTGTCCGGGTGGCGTTGCTGCATCCACTTCAGGGTCCAACAAGATAATTTTCTTGGTCGAATCAGCACCCAGACCTGAACGCAAACGTTGGCACTACGATAGAGCTCGTATCCAGGCGGCCAGACTGGAGCCCTGCGGGGATCTCCACATGTGTAAAGAGGTGGATACATCGCGACCTTTCATGGAGATGCTCCGGCGCAACCGATAGAGTCTACATACCTTTGATGCAGCCGAGCCGTCATCCCTCAGCCAGAGCACACGTGTCGCGTGCAGTTCGATAGTGAGGCGATTGGGGCTGTGAAGCTGATCGCTCCCAATACTGCAGACTGCATCTTATTCTCACCATCACCAAGCTCTTCTACCGATAAGCGGCAAGCGCAAGGAAATATGTGCATGTATGTACTTATGTACGTCGCCCCTGGCGATCCGTCGTCATCCCACACCTCGGGCTCTGCACGTGTTCGCCAAGCATAGATCCTTGCAAACTGGACAGACATACACGACTTCCGACATGTCATCGGAACCGTGGTTCTCACAGGCATGGTGGATGTGCTTTGCAAGTACAGTACACTTCACAGCTCGGCTCGTCGAGTTTTAAGAGTCATGCGTAGCATCGACATCTGTGCATTTGCACTTGCTGCAGGGCGACGCAAGCCTGGCGGTCTACACTGTGCCACTTTGCCACACAAGCTACAGCCTACATTGTTGGAGCTCGTGTTGGCGCCCTCTCTGAGTGGACGCCGCTTCACTTGTTGGCTTCAGGAGATATATTCCCGTTTCGAGTCCCTGAAAGACTGAAAAGCACACGCCGGTAGCTCCGGAGCGGACAGCCTTCTCACGTCGTCCCTGTGACATGTGCTTCGGACATGCTGTCTACTTACCACGTACTATCAGATATCGCTGCGACCAAACGTGAACCAATAGGACAAGTCCAACAATACAAAAGGTCCGGTGACCTATCGAACGCCCACTTTCGGGCCTTTTGTTTTCGACTATCGGGCTCCCCCCCTCCCCCCTGGTTCATACTACCCAAGACCACGGGCGGAGATGGTACATAGTCCAGGGCGTCTTTGGCGTACTTGGCAATTATATCCGCCCACTAGTATTCGTACTTCTCAACGAGCCACGTACTCGGTCAGGAATTCCTCGATGTATTGGAAGTAGCGGGGCTCTGCAACTGTGTCGTTGTGACTGCCATTCGGCAATTCTCTCCATACTTTGGGCGCTTTGCAGACATCGAACAGCCGCGTCATGTGAGACGGCCTGGTGATAAGAGTTAGCATGGGGGGCTGCGTGGCAGATTACTTAATTCGCAACCAAGACTATTACTCACGGAATTATCTCATCCTTCAGACCACTGAGAAACAAAATGGGTATCCTTGTGATTTTGGGAATCGTCTCTTCAGTCGGCCAAATCTGGTGGCAAAGCGGGGTTAGAAAACGAGCTGGAGGGAAAGCACTACTCGAGGTTAGTCATGTCTTGGAGCATGTGCAAGAAACTTACGTTGGTATGAGTTTTTTAATCGATGTGAAGGTGTTCTCCAAGATGATGGCAGCAATATCACCCTCCTTTTGGTTGCGAGCGGCCAGACCTATTGCAACTGCGCCTCCAATACTTTGTCCATAGACGACAACCTTGGTGTCTCGAAGTTCATATCGCTGGCGAATGTAATCCAGGCCGGTCTGCGCATCAATCATCAAACCTTTTTCGTTTGGGTTGCCAGACGATAGACCATAGCCGCGATATTGTAACATGAGAACATTACATCTCAATTCGCTCTCGAGTATCTTGGCGATGGGAAGTCGGTAGCCAATGTTGCCAGCGTTACCATGGAACATGAGGACTGTCACGTTGCGCGCATGTTGCTTGTTGGCGCGTATAAAGAAGGCGCTGAGTGACTCGCCATCTGGCGTCGGGATAAACAGCTCTTCATAGTCGGTGATGGCGAATTGTGAGGGTCTGGGTACGTTTGTTCGAGCGTCTGGTGGGAAAGCGCGTGGATATATGATTTCACTGGGTCGGTTAGCAGACTGCAGCAGCGGCTCAGCCATGTACTGTACTTTTGCTTGAAATATAAAAGACCACTGAGCAGAGCTGCAACTCCAGAAGAGGCAAGCAATGGTATGCGCAGGTAGGACACGAAAGTATCAAATGCCGAGGACATGCTGCTCGGCCGTACTTCAGGACCGGTGGGGCGTCTCGAAGGTGTAATCTCAGGTGCTGACCGGCTCCTTGGGAATAGCGGCGGCCTAAGTGAAGATGAAGGCGGGGGCGAAGGAGTAGGTGAAGGTATGGATAAGGGAACCATTCGGATTTCGGCACAAAGCAGGAAGCGTAGGTGAGACTCGGATGCGCGACCGCATGGGGGCGTGAGGGTCGCACGCTGCGGCGCATCATTCTGGCCAATCGTGCAATGCCAAGACCTGGAGCTGCGTAGCTCAGGTTGCCTGCTAACACCACCAGCGCCAACAACAGCGACAACAACACACCCCGCTGTCCCTCCCATCTGCTCACTTACGCCGTTTCAATTGCGGACCTTGCCGATATACTCCTCTTCAGTTCCCACCAGCTCAAACCGCAATGATGATGTCTACTGGTATGCTGGGAGAAGGTATGTTTGCCGCTACATGCTCAGAGTCCGAAGCTCATGTTGCTCAGATGGCATCCATGTCGATATGAACCACCTCAAGAAGGGCGAGGTCAAGTAGGTTTGGTCTACACTAATGGGTTATCAGATAACTAACGAGAGAAATAGCCTAGGAACATCCATGTTTGTGTATCACGAATCGCTTCCCCACAGCCTCTGACAAGATATAGCATGGCCATCAACTTCAAGGACGGTGTCATATTAGCTGCCGACAGCAGAACCACAACTGGAGCCTACATCGCAAACCGAGTCACAGACAAGCTCACACAAGTGCACGATACCATCTGGTGTTGCAGGTCTGGGTCAGCAGCGGATACACAGGCTGTAGCAGACATTGTCCACTACCACCTGGGCATGTACGGCACCACCAATGACGAGCCCCCAACGACACAAACGGCAGCAGCCATATTCCAAGAGCTCTGCTACTCCAACAAGGACCAGCTCTCGTGAGTGCTACAGGTGCCCTGGAATGGACTTTTACTGACACATACACAGCGCTGGACTCATCATTGCCGGATGGGACCACCGACACGGCGGCCAGGTATACTCAATTCCACTCGGAGGTTCGCTACACAAGCAGTCGTACGCAATTGGCGGTTCAGGATCAACGTACATCTACGGTTACTGCGACGCAAACTGGAAAGAGGGAATGACGGAAGAAGAGGGCATCAAATTCGTCAAGGGCGCGCTCTCGGAGGCCATCAAGTGGGACGGCAGCTCAGGCGGTGTGATTCGCATGGTGGTGCTTACAGGCAAGGGCGCACAGAGGCATCTGTACTTGCCAGACCAGAACTACGAGGGGCCAGGAAAGCAGTAGGACAGGGCGCAGAAAGGATGGTAGATAGACACAAGGCCATGGCTGAGATAACATGACATGACCATGATGCCGGAACGAGGTTTACGAGAATAGAAGACATGTACTGGCAGGGTTTGGACGAAGATCCCGACATGGTGGCCCATGGGGGCCGCTCTAAATAGCACGTTTGGCTAGCATGATTTAGAGGGGGGCAGTCAAGCAATAGGAGTGGGAGCGTGGGAGGGGGCCGGCCGTAGCTACGGTCCAATCAACTTTCAGCATGAAGCCACTGCCATACGTCGCAGCGCTCCCCTCGTGCTCGTCGCAACTCGCAACCCATGTGGGCGGGGAACATGATTTTTTTTCAGAAACTGAATTAAGGCCGAGAAGAAAAAATTGGAGTGCAAATGGGGGTTGGATGTGCAGCGTGCTAATCAGGAGTCGAGTCGAGCTGCACAGTGTCGTCACATGCGTGCTGGACTGTGCAGGTGAAGGACGGCCAGGGTCTCGCTGGGAGCCAGTGGCCGGTCTGTGACGTTCCGTTCGTTCCCCACGCCATTCTCTAACAAGACGCCGTCACTCTCAACACGCCAGGTCGCTATCGTTGGGCGGAAAGCAGCTTGATCGTGACCAGACGCGTGCCGTTCAATTTACTTTGGCTACGGCAGACAAGAGCAGGCTCGCATGTGGCTTTGACGCGCCCCTTTTACGCTGCGTCTGACTTTGGGCTCTCCACGATAAGCCTCAACAACAACACGACCGACAGCAGCACCAACACCGACACCGACACCGCCTACCCGCACCAAACCCTCTCGACCCACGCTCCTTCCCCGCCAACTTCCCCCGACACGTCCGTTGTGTCGCAGCTTCCTCGCACTCACCACCGCTACCTCTCTAGATTCTTTCGCGCCCTGCTTTTGCGGAATGGGATCGCTTTTGGTGAGCGACTTCGGTGGGAACCACTTTCACACCAACATGTTTGGCGGCGGCAGCACCCATCAGCCGCCACAGGATTCGCCTGCCGTGCATCACACTCCCGTGCGGCCATCGTCTACATCGAGCGCCAATGCGCGTGTCGTAGTTCCGCCTTCTGATGTTGCCATGGCCGATTCGGGAGCCCCGCAGTCGAGCTCAACACCAGGCCAGCCATCACAGCAACACAGCAGCCCCCACAACACCACCACGGGCACTCCCGCTTCCCAGCACCCAGTTCCAACCCCTCCCAGCCCTCGCTTCCGCCCGCATTCACAGCCTGATAACGCGAACCCCGCCTCGGGCACCCTGACAAACTCTCGAACTGTCTCGGCCTGTGTTCCAGCTCCGCTCCAGCCCTCACCAGCACAGTCTTTGCGTTCTCCTGCAGCCTCGCCCACTCGTATCAAGGTCAAGAGCCTGTCGCATATCCAGAGCTTTGCAATCGACGACTCCAGTCCATTCTCTCAGACCCGATCGCTGGCCCGGCGCCAGCGAAGAGACCCGGCAGATGTCGGTCCTCAATACGAGATTAGCGAAATGCCCGTGTCGGACATCATTGAGATGGTGGCTGGCTTGCTGACCAAGATCACGACGACCAACGATCGCCAACACGACCACCTACACCGCCAGATCCCACCACCAGAGGGCACATCAGGCCTGAGCCAGCAGACCACCAGCGTGCTGGCCTTCCACGGCAAGAACGTCCCCAGCATCTCCATTCTCAGCTATCTCAGCAGGATCCACAAGTATTGCCCTACCACGTACGAAGTCTTCCTAAGTCTTCTCGTCTACTTCGACAGAATGACAGAGAGGGTAAATGCAGGCCCAATGTCTGGTCTTCGCAAGGCTAACCAACAGTCTGTCGAACAATCGAAAAGCACAGTGTCAGCAAATTCTACTTCAGAAGCATCGCGGCCAGCGTCCACTTCGGCTCAAGCAGCCACACCTCCCCCATCAGGATCTCTGGGCAAGCCCTCTGAAGCACCAAGCCAAGGTCCCCAACCGCCTTCTCCACCTCAACAGGATCTGGAGACAGACGCACTTAATCTTTCTCACTTCTTCGTTGTCGATAGCTTCAATATTCATCGTCTCGTCATAGCTGGTGTCACATGTGCGAGCAAATTCTTCTCCGATGTGTTTTACACAAACTCGAGATATGCAAAGGTTCGTGCAATCAAGTATCAGGCATAGCTTCCGCTAACGTACCACAGGTCGGCGGTTTACCGTTGGTGGAACTCAATCATTTGGAATTACAATTTCTCTTGTTAAATGACTTCCGCCTTGCAGTACCGCTAGAAGAGATGGAGGCCTATGGGACCATGCTGGTCGAATTTTACGCACGCGAGGTGGCAGAGCAACACGAACGAGAGAATGCTGGGAAATACTAATCACGTAACCGACTTCACGTTCGCACACCACAAAATCAACTAGACTGAAGTCGCAGACACAGAAGGGAGAGACAGTCCATGCTGAACCAGTAGGGGAATCTGATACACCATTCCAAAGGTGTCAGGCGATACCGATTTTGTGCGACATATACGCAGTTTTCAAGCTGCACATGCTACGGCATATTATTCATTACCGAGGACTTTTGCATTCGTGACTAGGATGAGAGGGTGGAAGCGGCACCCCAGAGTTGAGTGTACGAAATTGGTTCACTCGAGTCTTTCTGTGAGCGCATGTATCTCCTTGAACATGTTTAGATTTGGGGATACCAATTATTTTTCCATTGAAGAGAGAGATTCATGAGATTATGACCTAGCCTCATTTACTTGAGCTTCGTTGGCTTGTCTGTTTTTCCTTTTTGATACCTTTTGAATCATTAGGGTGGCGTTTCTAGAGGTGTCAATGGAAGGAAATGGATATTTAAATATGTGGTCTAGTGTAAATGAGTGATGTCGTTGACTGAGTTGATCTGCCAAAGCGAAGCCGATGAAGCCTAGAACCAGGATGAGGAGGCTCTGGTGCGAAACTGACAATCCAAACAAACGATACAGTGCGTCACCCACCCTCCTCTAACCCCTCCATTCCAGATCTCTTAACCCCTACTCACTCCCCTTGACATATGATGTGACCAGGGGGTTGTTCCGAACACTTATGCACCCGAGAATCCAGCACATGAGCAACGAGCTGCGCAGCATTACCACAACCAACATCAAACTAAACCCACACTTACCACCACGCTGAAACTACCGTCGTAGATGGGACATGAGCTACGCTGCGCCGCCCTCTCCGCGACAGTCTCCACTTCTCTTTCCGGTAATAAGCCCCAAAGGTCGCACATGGGCATGCGCCATGTGCCATATGCCATGTATGGTAAGCGGTGCGGTTTAGCCCGACGGCCGTCCCGAGCCCGCCGCCCACGGCCTGGCGGTATACCTGCCCAGCCCAGGTACGGTGCAGTTTGGTTATGTAAGCCAGGGGTAACAATCGGTAAAAACAGTAATCTCAGCCCAAAAGACGTGGGTTGGCGGACGGAACCCAGGACCACATACCAAGACATGGGAGGAAATTAGCAGAGGATATGGCTGCCTGCCTGCTGCGGCTGCGGATGCATGGATCCGGTGGTGGAAGCTTTTCTGCCTTGTGTGTGTGTTGTGTGGTTTACACCGCTGTTTGAGCTTTTCTATACTTGTACATGCTGTGTACTGTAGGTATAGGTACGGCTTGTTATACAGTAGTATTGCCAGTATATATTGATATGTACCTAGATAGACGCACAGTGCAGCATCGCGACCGTGTTTTGGGGTGGAAAGGGGGCCCGCAATTTTGGAAGGGGGAGGGGGCGGGAATCTTGGTTATCTATCGTCATACTATGAGGCGGATGTGACACGCAGGGTCCCTTTTTTTTTTGTTCGGCGTTGGCGTGGCGGGCGGGCGGTCTTGGACTGAGGGGCCGGGGCCCTTAATTTCTTTCTTGGGGTGGGTTTGAGAGGGTTCTGTGTCGGTTTTATTGACTTTGAGATATTTTTCTCTCTTTTTCTTTCTCTCTCTCTTTCTCCCCTTCTTTTGTAGCTGTCAGGGTACTGCTATTGCTGTGTGGTTTCGGGCGCCGTCGATATTCGTTTGTTCCACGCAGGGTTTCTGGCTTAACCGTCTGTCTTTTTTTGCCTTGTGTGTGTGTGTGTTGTGTTTTCGAGAAGCTTGCATGCATACAAAAAGTATATCGGTGAACAGCCTAATCAACAAACAGCAATAAACGACGAAGTATAGAACCTTCCACAGTCACATTTACTCCCACGACCGTCGTTTCTGTTCCGGTACCACTTATCATTTTATCATATCTCTTACACATACGCAATGCATTCCACGTCGTCAGCCTCGTCTTCATCAGCGTCATCGTCGTCCTTATCCAAAATATCAATATCCTCATTATTTCAATATACCGTCCTGGCCGCTCTCGCCTATATCCTCGCCGGCGCTCCGCTATCTTCGCTACTCAGCAGTCCTTCTAGCACATCAAAGAACAACAACACAGCAAGACCAGGCGCAGGGCAAAATAGCCATAATGGTCCTGAATTAGAGAACTTGGTGATTCCAGAGAAAGGACTCGAGTGCGGTGGGCATCAGTTCAAGGGTGTTTATCTGATGAGCCGGGAGCCATTGGTGGTGTATATCGAGGGGTTTTTGGGTGAAGGGGAGGGATATGAGGTTGTGAGGCTAAGGTGAGTTTTTTGTCGTGTCTATCTTGTTCGGGGGGAGGGAAAGAGTAAAGAACTTCTTTTCCGAAGTCTGTTGTGCTGAGCAGTGGGGAAAAAAGGGAAAGAACATGGAAGTTTGCGGCTCCCCAAAAGAGAACGTCCATCAATATCACTACATTTGGAAGCAACAACCAAAAGAGCCAAAGCTAACATCAGCTATTTTTAGTGAACCCCACTTCACCCCCAGTACAGTCTGGACCTCTGGCCGCGAATCGCTCAACCCCTCAATCCGGCAATCGGAAAAAGCGCCCCTCCCACGCTCGCAAACCGTAAAATGCATCGAAGAGCGCGCTCGCACCTTCCAGGGCTGGCGCCCGTACACCTTCATTGAGAAACTCTGGGCCCAGCGCTACAACCAGGGCGGCCACTACACATACCACTATGACTGGAGCACCGCAACCAAATCTAGCGGCCGCGTGAGTAGCTTCATGGTTTATGTCGCTGGCGAGTGCAGAGGTGGTGGCACTCATTTCCCGCGGTTGGAGAAGCCTGTGGGGAATGAGTGGTGTAGGTTTATTGAGTGCGATGTTGAGGGTGTGTATGGGAATCGTACTAGTACTGCATCAACGACGGCGAACAGCAGTAATGCAAGTGGCAAGGAGGATCTCACCAAGGGCGTTATCTTCAAGCCTATTCCGGGAAATGCTGTGTATTGGGAGAATATGCGGAATGACGGGTCTGGGTATGCGGAGAGTTGGCATGCAGGGTTGCCGGTGCTGGAGGGAAGTAAGGTTGGACTCAATATTTGGAGTTGGTTCGCTGAGGGGTATGTTCCGCCTGTGAAGCAGGGGAGTGTGGGCGAGGATGATATGGACGGGAAGTAAGAAGAGATGTTGAATGAGATTGGCGAAGCGTTGTGTTTCTAAGAAGTTGTGGCCAACGACTAGGAAGGTCATTGAGAGCGAAGGAATATATGTATATCTTGCTAAGGACGTAGAGTAAAGCTATGCATGCATACTCAGATATGAAACATGGGATAAGAGACATGCGTGTATTATAGTAAGAGAACATAAACATAGGATAGCAAGTAAACATGCCAATAAACACAGATCAACATATGTGCACATTGGTCAGCTTCTCTGATGCTCTATGGACTATTACAGCTCTTGGTGAGCCCTTCCTGCTATCAGCAATAAATATAGAACACAAACCGGCAACAGCACCTTGTGCAGGAAGCAAACGTAAACGGGGGAGAGTAAACTCAATGAACAGCAGAAACGCACTCTTCGAATCAGTCTAAAAACAACCAAAACTAACTATATTACAGTTTCCCATACTCGAACAAACCTAACCCAAAACCCTACCTGCAGTAGAAGCCGTACTCCTATCTTTGGTCTCGACCTTCCTCAAACCCTTTCCGGCAGTGATCTCACCAAGCAATGCTCCTCGGTTGGGTAGTCCACCCGGAGCCTTCATGCCGAGCATGGGCGGTGGTGGCGGAGCACTGCCGCCTGGGGGAGGTGGTGGACCAGGTGGAGGTGGAGGGGCAGAGCCTGAGGGTATTGGCGGTGGAGGAGGAATGCCTGTGGGAGGCGATGCTACAGCTGGACTTTCAGCACGGGGGCTCTTGTTGTCCATTGATGACAAGGGGCGTGGCGGCGCCATGGTTCCGAAGAGCATGGATGCTAGCTGCTTAGCTCCACCTTGAGTAGGCGCTTCGTCGTCGTCAGATGACGAGTCGTCCGAATCAACGACAGACCAGTCATCATCGTCCTGTCTTCCTAATCTGCGTGCCGAGGGACCAGATGGTTCGTTGAACGTGGGAATGGAAGCCTTATTGGCATTTTCCTGCGTCAGGCGGTGGAATGGGTTCGTAGATACTTCACTGGTATTGCTAGGAGGAGGCGGCGGGGTCGAAACTGTGTTGTTCTCCTGGTTCGACATGGCCATTTTCTTCAGGAACGGATTCTTGGTCTCAGTGTCACCGAGCCCAGGGTGGGGACTAGTCACCGAGGATGCCGGCGGGCTAGCGATGGAGGATGGTGGCGTGTTGTGATTCGTTTGCGGCATTGGCGGTGCTGGTGGTGGCGCTGTATCGCGCGGCAACTCTTGACTAGCGATCGGTGTATTGTCTTGAGGCGTAATGTTCTGCGGGCCGTCATCATCGGAGGATTCATCATCATCGAGCGCCTCAAGCTGCATTTGTAGCTGGCGTTCACGCTCACGAGCGGCTTCGATCTCAGCACGCTGTGCGGCCAATCGAGACTCTTTCTCCTTGGCGTCCTTGGAAGCAGCTTCCCGACGCTTCTTTTCCTCGGCCTTCTTCATCTTGCCTTGCTGAACTTGCTGTTCAAGAGCACGAAGTCTAGCCTGAGCGGCTTCCCTTTCTTGGGCCAGTTCACCTTCTTGTCTGCGCTCTTCTTCCCTAGTAATTGTTAGTGAACGCACAGTACTAGAATAGGTGTATACATACTCCATGCGCCTCGTCTCTGCTTCTTGGGCCTCTTGTTGCTCACGGAGAGCTCTCTCGGCCATATCGTTCTCAGCCTTCTTCGATTCTGCTTCCGCTTGGTCATTCTTGTTTTTGCGTGAAACTGGTGGGGGCGGTGCTGGCTTCTTGCCACTGCTCTTGATTGGAGCAGGTGGCGCAGGGGACTCGTCTTCAAGACGTCTTTGGCGCTCCTCCTCGCGGCGTGCATCCTCTTCGTCGGCCTGCCGTAACTTCTCCTCGCGTTCCTTCCTCTCACGATCAGCGCGTTGTTGCGCTGTTTCACCAGCTTTTACTGGAGCCTTGATGCCCAACGCAGCCAGACGCTCAGCCATGCGTTGCTCAGCCTGCTGCTTGATGAAAGCCGCACGTTCTTCTGGAGTCTTGTATGCAGAGCCGCTGGGAGCGGCACTTGCTGCACGAACAGGAGGCTCCACGCGAGCAGCGGGGCTATCATACCGATTTGCTGTGGAAGGCCGGTTGTCTTCTGAGCGAACAGATGATGATCTATAGTTGTCGCGCGAGTGACTGTCTTATGTGAGCAAGTGTACTGCATAATGAACACGTGATACTTACTCTTCTTTGCGGATGCGTGAAGCTCGGCTGCTGCGCTGGAGATCAAAGATGAAATCCTTAACTTCGTCCTCCACACCAAGAGCCTCCTCCCACCTGCGTCGCTCGTGCTCACTTGTGTTATCATGACCGCCTTCCTTGAGACTCGATTCGAGGCCTTTGGTGTACTCGTTAACACTATCCTCAACGTCACGGATCATGCGCTCGTTGTTTTCTCTCTCAGCTCGGATACGTGAATTCTCCTTTTCTAGGCGTTCTGTTGCAGCACCAGTGTCATCGCTGGCAGGAGCAGGTCTTCCAGTCAATGCGGCAGATCGAGCTTGCATCATAGCCTTAGCACGAGCTTTCAGACGATCTGATTCTGTTACAGCACCGCCAGGACCAGTACCGACAATGGTCGATGCGGATCCAGGATGCGCTTTGGCATCTCTGAGTCTGAAAAGCTCTAGCTGGGCATCTGCAATTTCACGCTCTGTTCTGCGCACATTGGAGGCAAGTTCAGGCAAGCGGTCGGTGAGATTCTGAAGCTGGCGCTTGAGGGCACGACGTTCTGCGTCTGAATCAGAAGACCTCATTGCGCCCTTGGGATGAGCGTCGATGTCTTCCTGTATCCTGCGAATACGGCGGTAGAGATCCTCAGCTTCGCGACGGTCACGGCGGTCGAGTGCATCATCCTCATCTGCCGCATTCTCATCTCGGGAATCCATGGCATCCAAAAGAATCTGCTTCTCCTTCACAGACTTTCGGAGCTGATCGAGAGACATCTCGTCTGATCGATCTGAAGCAGGAGAACCAGGCTGTGCTGGTGAAGGCGAGCGACCACCGCCACCAAGTCGATGTCTTGCACTAGACTTGTATCCTACATTGTCATCATTATTACGGAAAACAGTTGCATCTTTGCGTCCACCAGCTTGTGGACTTGCGGCACGGAAGGAGTGTGACTTCAGGTAGCTAACGCCAGTACGTTGTGGCTGAAGGAAAGCACCCGAGTTCTTCCTGTCTTCGGCGTCTCCGCGAAGGAGGTTCTTCATTGCACCGATAGAGTCATTGATGTTGCGTGTTGAGGGTGGCACCAACTCAGGGGGTAGACGAGCAGGGATGGGGTAGCCGTTGAGCTTGCGATAGATCAAATGCATGGCTACCGCAAACTGGTCCAGGTCGAGACGGCCTCGGTCAGCAGAATCGGCAAGAGTCCAAACGCGCTCGAGGTCTGGCTTGGGTAGTCCACTTTGGCCGAAGATCTCAAGAGCTTGCGCACCGCTAATGTAGCCTTTTCCCATACCGTCCCAAGCCCTAAAAGTATCATCATACAGTTTCTTCTCGCCCTTTGTAATAGCCCAGGGGATAGTTGCATTACCCGTCAACCCAGCAGTGGTGTGAGTACCACCTTCACGGCCAGTTTGAGGCATCATCCTTTGCGCCAGAGCTTCGATGTTTGGCAGTCCAGTGGCTGGAGTGTTTGCAAGGCCCCATTGGCCAGGCATACCTGTGGGCTGCGCATTCAACGGAGCCATACCCGTCTGGTTGGGCGCCAGGTTTGAGCCGAACCCAGTGGGCATTGGAGGCATCGGCGGACGTGGTCCATTGTAGCCGCCTGGGGACTGACCGAAGCCAGTAGGCTGGGGCTGCATTCCTGTCGGTTGTTGCCCAAAGCCTGTAGGTTGCGGCTGCATGCCCATTGGTTGTTGCCCGAATCCAGTCGGTTGTGAGACCAAAGTGGTCAGTAGCTGGCTGTTTGTAGCCTGCGGCTGCGGCTGCTGAATCGTGGGGACCTCGTTGAACTTGGGCGCATTGCTAGACGGCGTGGGGCGTTTCGAGGACTCTTCGCTGATACCGAACGAGATGATGTCGACCATGCTGGAAACCTCGTTCTTGACTCTTTCGGGCAAAGAGTTGGGTAGATCCTTTCCGGTCAGCTTGATGTTGCACAGGTACATGGCAAGCGCGAATTCGGGGAAGAGAAGCTGGCCGGACTTGGTCGTGTCTGAAAGCGTCCTAGGTTTGTTAGACGTGGGTTGGTTGTACGCTGTGTTATACCTACCAAATGTGAGACAGATCGTCTCCAGACAACTTGGATCGCATCAACAGATCCCGCGCTTGGTCTCCCGACAAAGCGTGTGAGGTTCCCACGGCTGTCTTGAACAGCTGCTCGAACTTGGCCTGGTCTTGCGCCGTGATGAACGAGAGCCTAATGTTCGGGATCTTGGTCGTCTTCGCGGGAACAGGTGGTGGAACCGATGAAGCAGAGTTGCCGCGAAACGAATCAGCCATCTGCGCCGAAGTCATGCCCGTTGGCTGCGGCCGTTGAGGTTGAGCTGGAGCCTGTTGCTGCTGTTGTTGCGGTGGCGCACCCGTCTGAAAGGGCATCTGCTGTGGAGCCTGCTGCTGTTGAAATTGTTGGCCCTGCTGCCCTGGGTAGCCTGTGAACTGCGGCTGCTGAGGTTGCGGCTGCTGTCCAAAGCCCTGCGGCTGGCCCGGGAAGCCAGTGAACTGTTGCTGCATTGGCTGCATTGGACCTCCTCCGAAACCAGTCGGTTGAGGAGCCAATCCACCCTGGAAGCCTCCGGGCTGTTGGAACTGCTGCTGTTGTTGTTGCTGTCCATACTGGGGCTGCCCAGGTCGGGCACTGTTGCCGCCCCCTAAGTACGAGTTGGACCCAGAGAACATGGCGGGCGGGTTGTCGCGGGTCGGCTAGAGGTTTGGAGATGTGCGCATGTGGACAAGAAATTAGAGCTATATACGAAGCGCGCACGAGTGGTAATGGAAGGAGGGATGGCGAGGCCGGCAGCAAGCTTGTGGCTGTTACAGGTCCCGAAGGCCGGGGTGAGAGTTCGCGCTAGTGAGAGGTTCAGTCGTCATCTTCGAGATGATCGCGCTCGTCCCTTAGGCACCAACCACCACGACTCGTCACACCATTACACAATGTCCAACGAGCAAAACGGAACAAGCGCTGCGTCGCCTTCGGGAAACGACCTCGCCCAGGTAGGTTTCGCAGCGGGCCATGTTCTGCCTAGACTGACAGCTGCGAAAGGCGTTCCAGGAACTGCAGCGAGGCGAACAGACGGCAGCTGCTCTGGAAAACCATCTGGATTCGATTGAAAAGAAGATTGAAGCCCTTCTTGCCCAGGCGCAGAAAGCCGAAGAGGAGCTGCAAAATATGCCGGCAGAGACGGACAAGTCTTCAGGAAGCGACGCGAAGGACTCGTCATGAGGCCTGTTCAGCCATATAATGAGCATAACTGTCTTAAATGAACGCTCATGCTGGACCAGCTACATAGTTACAGGCTCCACATAAGTTCACGAATCACAACTCCGATGTCAGTAAATCGTTGGGTGGACAACGCAGGACATGAGCATGTTACGTGTCTGTTTCCCATGGGCTGCGCCTCGAAAAAACTATTGATTATGGGTGGCATATCCGACATGTACCGGTGACTCGGAGTACATGGATAAGGCATTCTTCTCATAGACCACCAATGGTTGACGGCTTTACTTCCGAACCTTCCGCCTTGAAGACGGTATCCAAATGGAATACTCCATTGCTGTCTTTTTCAACTACACCCACTTCGGTGATGATGCCATCAATGAGTTCCGCAGGCGTGACGTCGAAAGCAGGGTTCCAAACTCCGATACCGTTCGCCGCAATACTGATCGTCTCGATGACGCCCAGGTCGAGCGTGACCCCGTCGTGCCTGGGTCCTTTTACGAGCGTTACCTCCTTTCCAGATCGCTCTTCGATAACGATATCTGCACCTGACTTGGTCTTTAGATCAATTGTCGTCCTGGGTGCTGCTACAAGGAACTTGACGCCGTGATGCTTAGCAAGGATAGCCAAGGAGTATGTTCCAATCTTGTTTGCTGTGTCACCGTTTGCTGCTACGCGGTCGGCACCAACGACAATACCGGCAATGTTCTCGCTCTCGCCCCGTAGTCGAAGCAAAGCTGCAGCCATGGAATCGGTTATGAGAGTTGCTGGTATCTTGTCATGAACCAACTCAAAGGCTGTTAGTCGCGAGCCTTGGTTGTATGGACGTGTTTCAGAGCAAAAGGCATGCTTCAGTGAACCGGCAGAGTGCAGTGACCGTATGACACCAAGCGCTGTACCATATCCTGCAGTCGCCAGAGACCTGAGGGATTAGCGATCCGGCTTGTTGAATCACAACTGTACATACCCAGTGTTGCAATGTGTCATCATGCTCACAGGCCCTTTCTTTCCTGCCTCGGTGTTCTTCATGATCCACTCGGCGCCGTGCTTTCCGATGCTCTCGTTGTCGCTCACATCGTCGACTAGCATCTTCTCTGCAGCACTCACATACGCTTCTCGCACACTGTCGCCGTCGGCACCTTCCGAAGCGGCGGCACTTTCTGTGATTCTCTGAAGTTTGCCTGCTGCATCGGCAAGATTGACGGCCGTCGGTCGGCTGGTCACTAGATAGTCTAGCTTTTCTGTGATGAAGACCTTGACTTCTTCCGCTACAGAGGGGAGCTTCATGTTACTCAACTCGACTGCCAGAGCGAGTGCAGCAACAATGGCGATGGCTGGTGCTCCTCGCGTCCGCATCTCCTTGATGGCATGCCATGCATCAGTGCTAGAGTAGATGTGATCATATTCTTCAGCGTGCGGCAACTTTAGTTGGTCGAGGATTTCGAGCTGGCCTCGCGAGTACTTGATCGCCTGGAGCACCATGTTGAAAGATTGGTTGTCGTATGTGTCACGGTTTTCACAGGTTCACAGGTCGCAAGAAATTTCAAGATGACGAGCGTTGGGTTGCAATTGCCGCAAGGCGGGACCCTGCCACTAACACGTGCAAACTCTTGCACAAACGAATCGGGTGAAAGTACATTTCAAAATGAATCCAATAAAACGCATACAGTCAGCACTTGACATTCAAGATTGCTGCAACTACACGACTCGAATTTGTCCATTCCGGAAATTGCGGCATATGGCGTCACAAGACTAGCCACGTGTGGCTGCATACCGAGGATGCCCAGTTCCTTCAGCCACAAATCAACGCACCTGCTTGAACCGGCGACGGGAAGCGGCACGTCCGTTCTAGCCGGACAGACATGGACGAGTTTTCATCTGGAACATGTCTACGTGTTGCGACAAAGACGGGGCTGTGTGTTTGTGGCTCCAGGAACGGCGAGGTACTTATAATCCCGAACTCCCACCGTTCGGCGAGGAAGCCAGTCTCAGCCTTACCTACAGCTATAAAGAGCCGCAAAAATAAGGGTCTGGGGTCCTACACCTGTAAGGGACCGGAGCCGTGAATTTGCCGCAACAGCCCCATGACGGCGCCAACAATCATTGTGCAGACTTCACGCCCAAGTCACGCCCACGCCCCATGCCCTACCGCCCCTAGCCCCGTGATTACTTGTATCGCTCCTCGCTCCCGCAATACTAAACTCCCTACTCTCGATTGTACAGTAGATATCCGCCGCATCAGTACCGCACTGTCCAATCCACGACGTTTTCGGAAACCACGCCTGTGTTTGGTTTGCCCCGATAGGCGGAGGAAAAGACCCACATTCTCACAAATCAACTTCCCAACACGCCTCAAGAAGAGAGGTCATCCAGCCAGACACCCTCACTGTGCACATGCGCAAACCTGCCAATCGCCTGACACCTTCGCGCGTTACAACCCCCTCGTAGTTTGCGTCCGTTGTCGACTAGTCCTGACCAGAAAGATCGCCACGCCTCGAACAGCCCCGCGCAGCCCTGCGCCAAACATATATACCGATGCCCCTCATGCCGCGTTCCAAGTCGAGCGTTGCCGTCAGTACTGCAGTCATGGCTTCTCAGGAAGAACCCATTCAGCCCACGTACCGCGGCTACGGCACCTTCGCCTCGCAACATCCTGCACAACGTCAACGACGCCACTCATGGCACACACGCCCCTGCATGCAGGAGGCTGAAAACTTTCAAGTCTTGGTATGCAACAGCGCGTACATGTCCATGGGAAAAAGCACTAACTCTGTATTACAGCTCCGGAACTTCTTGGCTGAACTCAATTGCCGACTTGATCTACTCGAAGACTACGGCCACCTCAAGTACGACGCAGGCGTCGAATACGCATACAACACGCTCCTTGCTGTCCGTGAATCATGCTCCAAGATATCTGATGGCGCAATCGAAGCCGGACGGCGGCAAGCATCTGTTTTCGTCGAGACATTGGAGGGACGGTACACAGACGCCATGGAGAAGAAAGAGACACTGGGAGAGAAGGTCCTTGAAGGAATAGTGCTTATGGACTCCTACCTGACCGAGTTTGAGACCCGCGCATTCGCTTTAAGAGACGGATCAATTGGGTCTTATGCGCAAGAAGTCTACGAAGGAGGGTTGAGGAAGATGGACGAGGGCATAGAGATTGCAAAGGGTGTAGTAGACGGCGGTCTAGACAAGGCACGACGCGCGCGAGAGACCATTGAGATTAGAGTCGAGCATGCTGTACAACGAGCACTGGCACGAGCCAAGGCGCATGGCTTGATTCACTACGAAGACCTACCGGAGCCATGGCGAGTCAACCCACACATCCTCAAAGGCTACCGTTTCAAAGAAGGAAAGTGGGCGTGTGTACGCTCCATCTTCGGCCTACACAACGAGCTCATCAACATCTGGACTCACCTTCTGGGTTTTATCATGGTCCTCGCTATCGCATTTTACTTCTACCCGTCCAGCACGAACTTTAGCATGTCAACAAAGGCCGATATATTTATAGCCGCCGTCTTCTTCTTCGCCGCATGCAAGTGCCTGGCTTGCTCGACCATCTGGCACACGATGAACAGCATCTCGCACCAAACGCTTCTCGAACGCTTTGCTTGTGTGGACTACACTGGCATATCCCTTCTCGTCGCCGCCTCCATCATGACTACGGAATACGCTGCTTTCTACTGTGAACCCGTTTCCCGCTGGTCATACATGTGTATAACAGCACTCCTCGGCATCGGCGGCGTCATCCTTCCCTGGCACCCTACCTTCAACCGCGCCGACATGGCCTGGCTCCGCGTCGTCTTTTATTGCTCTCTCGCCCTAACAGGCTTCCTTCCCTTTGGCCAGCTCGCGTACACACGCGGTGTTGAGTGGGCTCAGTACTTTTACGCACCTGTTACCAAGAGCCTTCTCGTCTACGTCACAGGCGCGTGTCTATATGCAAGTAAGACGCCTGAGCGCTTCTTCCCGGGCTTCTTCGACTATATCGGCTGCTCCCACAACATTTGGCATGTGGCTGTGCTGGGGGGTATCATCTTCCATTACATGGCTATGCAGACCATGTTCACACAGGCGCTCGCCAGGGCCCAGACAAGCTGTTCGGTGTACTAGACATTTTCTTGTCTATTTCCCTCATTCTTTCTCTTTTGTTTGGAGCGTTGCAGCGTGTTTGGCATTGAGGCGCGTGGTTGTGTTGCATTTGCATAAAGAGGGCGTCTTCGTCCTCTTTCATAGACCTTTCCTCTTCTTTCTTTCATCCTAGTTGAATAGACTACCTGGGTGTGGGGAAATATAGGCCTGCTTTCTCCGGGATGAAGAATTTGTAGCAGAGAGCCTCGAATACGTTAGATATAACGAATTGGATATTCACATCAACTCGTTTTGTTTCACTGCGATCATGTAAGGAGTAAGAACCAATTTTTAGACCAGAAGATAACTGGTACATGTAGTGCTAAAACACCAACTCCTATGCTTCACCCCCGCTTTTCCCCATCTATGTTGTAATTGTACATGCATATGCAATAGCCCAGGTCGCTTTTTATCTACCTTAGGCGCAAAGTGGCCAGCCTGTCTGCCCAGAGATGAAGAGTCATGGTGTCATTACCTCGCCTTGCGGACAATGGCTTTGCGTTTCCTGGCTTCGCCGTTGAGGTTGGCTGCAGTAGCATTCTGGATGGCAGCTTCACCTTCGGGAAGGTTGGACGAATCCAGGAGAGGCTCATTGAGCAGCTCCTTCTTGCCGAGGACGCGTCCGACCGACTGGTTGTAGGCAAACTTTGGCAGCTTGAACAGAAGAGTATCGAAGATGGTGGGCTTGGGTTCTTCATCGGGCTGTTACTGTTAGCTATATTCATTTTCATGGTAATGTAAGTCTTACGTCAATCAGGTACTCGCCCTTCTGTCCGTCCTCGTTCTCGTGTTCCAAAAAGACATTACCAACAGAGTCGACGACCAGGACTTTACCGTTCTCAGCGACGATGCGCCTCTTGGCTCCTTGGGGACCGGAAATGACCTCTGCCTCGACAGGAGCGCTGATACCATCCGTGCGTGCTTTCTTCACAGCCTGTACCTTCTTGGGCTTGCGAGCATCCTTCTCCATGGCGCGCCTTTCGCGACGGTTTCTGGGGATTGCCTCATCAGGAGTATCTTCAGGAGATTCTTCGACCTGTTCGACGTTGGGAGGGACAGGGACAGCGTCTACACCTGGGATCCCCTGTAGACCGCTCTCGTCACCCCAAGCAGTCTTGCGGGCCTGGCGAATGTATCTCTCAGCAAACTCCCTTCTACGCTTCCATCCCATCAGGAGAGCAAAGTAGTGAAACCCTCCACCCAAGACGACAAGTAGTCCAAAGATGACGGAACCGAGGCCAGGGCGGAAACGCTCATAGTAGTAGCCAGAGCCCCTCCACGCAGGGAAGCCGTTCCTTAGGAAGTGGTCGTAACGCTCGCGTTCGGCGCCCTTGAGCATAGTGGCTACGACGGAGAGTCGCTGGTAGGCGGCCGTGACCTTCTTGACGTGCGCTTCAATCTCCCTGTTGGATGGCTGCTTCTTGCCTCCCGCCTTCTTTTGGTTCTTCGCATAGTTGTTAATGTACGCCTGGCGGGCCTTGTCGGGGTGAAGCTCGCGCGACTTCTTGCGGTAAGCCTTTGTCAATTGATCTTGCGACGCGCCGGGCTTGACGCCGAGTAGGTCGTAGAAAGTGACATTCTTGCCCTCTGCTTTGGCGACTTCGTCACGGATACGGAATATTTCGTGGTCTGGAGTAAGTGGTCAGAGGGAAGTTGAGCTGGATGCGAATGTATATGGGAGCATATGTGGCCTCATATGGCAATTGGAGATGGACATGAGATGGAATTGATTGGAAAGTTACCCACCCTCTTTTGTCCAGGCGGCAGCAAATGCCACGAAGAGGCACACAACCAGTGCGAGCAGTGTGTGAGATCTCATGGCGGGCGTGTTGCGGGAAGAACAGCTGGCGCGTCTGCGAGCGAGTAATTAGGGAAGCTGCAGGCTTGTGCAGCCAGATGTCCAGTAGTCTAGACTGAACGTGGCCCAATCAGTCTGACCGGTATAGACGAGACACGAGTGTAGCAGATTTGGTATATTGGGGGCCAAGGAGCGTCCCGGTGTTTGGGCATGCCCTATTTTCACTTTCACGGTTCTTCAAGCATGTAACAAAAAGTGGCCCTGTGGTCCTAAGCATGTGAGGCTCGGCTAGGGGGCTGACGGAACCTCTGTGGCTTTTCTGTGAGGAAAGCGCGACCCTGAACCACGGGATTCGCGGCAGGGGCCACCAAAAGTTACCATTACGATACGAGCAACCACAGGTAACCATCTCTCCTCAACCACTTGCTTCTCATTCACTCCACCCTCATTTAGGCCGCGTCAGCCTCGCCCCTTTCATCCAACCCTTCTTCTTCACTCTCTCGCCACTTTTCAGACCACGTAAGGCAGCCATCCCTATATACATTCTTGAGGACACATCTCAGTCTGTCGCTCCATATCTCACCACCACCACTACCGGCAACTAACGTTGACTTGTGCGCAGTTCTTAGATCCAACAGCAAACGCCTGTTCGGTTATCCGCAAATTCTCAACTATCCAGACTTGTAATTCACACATCGCTCGTCATGTCACGCTTCAGCATCCCCATCGACGCCTTGACGTCCAGGATGAATTTTGGTGGACGCTTCGACAGCCTGCGCTCAACCTCCGTCTCGTCCCGATTCGCCAACTTGCGACCCATCTCCGAGTTCTTCGACGTCAAGCGCATCTCCAAACCCGCAAACTTCGGCGAGGTCCAGAGCAGGGTCAACTACAACTTGGGCTACTTCTCCAGCAACTATGCTGCTGTCTTCGTCATGCTCAGCGTCTACAGTTTGCTCACCAACTTGATGCTTCTCTTCGTCATCTGCCTGGTAGTCGGTGGAATGTTCGGTATCGGTAAGCTCGAGGGCAACGATCTGCAACTCGGCAGCTGGCGCGCAACCACCTCGCAGCTTTACACTACACTCTTCGTCATTGCTATTCCTCTCGGTCTCTGGGCATCGCCCTTCACCACGGTACTCTGGCTCATCGGAGCGACGGGCGTGACTGTTGTCGGCCACGCTGCGTTCATGGATAAACCAATCGAGTCAGCTTTTTCCGAGGAGGCGGTCTAGGTGGTCGGCCGCGAACTCCTTACACTATGCCCCACTGGGGAAGACCACCAGGGGGCTCGTCGGGTGTGGGGAGATACTATGGGGGGAGTAGGGACGACGTACTTAGGTTTCAAGATTTGGGTAGCGACGACGAAAAGGATGGCGTTGTATTAGATTCGGCCTTTCAACCAGCCTTGAACGGCCAGCACATCAATCCAGATGAATTATACTTTAATGATATGGATATCAGAGCGTGGGAGGGCAGAGCATCGGCTTTGGCAGAAGCAACTTATGGTCAAGAAAATGGTTACCAAGAAGACAGTGAAAGGCGCTTTGATTCGGCCGAATATGAAGAGATGCTCTTTCGACGTGTACTCGACAAGATCCGGATAGCAAGAGCAGCAGGAAATCCAGACGTCTCACTCAGTCCTCAAGAGCTTCATGCGTATCAGTCACGACTCTACGGCCCACGAGTGCCTGCAGCGCGCCCCCAAGCCCAATCTCGGCACAGTAGCGCTTCAACACCTACTGATAGTGCTAGCGTTGTGAGTGTCCCTGGGGATGGCAGACACGGTGCCTCCTCAACGCGGTCAAAGAAGAGTGAGAAGCGCAACTTCATCTTCAGCTCAAAATCAAGAAAAGACAAGCAGCCTAGCAGTCGTACACGTACATTGGCTGTATCTGCTCTAGATAGTTATGCGCCGCCACCAGGATTTGTTGTACCAGGTCCCAGTGGAGAGCCCATGTATACACCTATCAGCGCTCATCCGGCCAGTCTAGCTCGTGAACACGAGTCTCTGGACCCGCCGTCCCGCTCGGCGGCTGATGTCAGCCACCATGTTCCTACGCCTTCAGTCACCACGACGAGAGACATGCTCGGTGCATACCCGGAATCTGTGTACGAATATCAGCCTGCAACCCCTCGACGTCAAGATCGGACTATCTCTCCACGACAAGCTGCTTTTGAAGCTGATACGCCGCCCGTCTCCCGCACAAGATCACCTTCAATACAATCATCTCGGCTTGTGCCGTTTCCCGTCGAGCCATATCAATACCACTCCTTCAGCCCAGCTTCTTCGTCGTCGCCGACTTCGCCTCAACTACAATACACTCGAAGAATAAGCTCCGGCGTATCCGAAGCTAGCTACGCGTCGATACCAAGGCGTGTGCCAGTGCCCGTGCAGGCTTCAGCATCAATACCACTTCAACGAGCTGTAGCTGTTGGAAGTGGTCAGGGCAGTCAGTCGGACCCGGTTCTGGTAACGCAGGTGTCTGGTTCGGCGACTGCGGTACCAGCTCAGGAAAGTGGTAGAGGTGTTGGAAGTGGCCATGGAGCTGAGAAGCGGCGAAAGAGTGGTAAAAGTAGAAAGAAGGAATAAGCCGCCTCGATCCGTTGCCACCGGTTATGTCTTGTTGGTTTCTGATTTTGGCATGTCTGGTCCAATTGATTAATGCTATCGCAGTCTTGCATACGGTACACTGGCGTAAATGGCGGCCACGTATGTTAGTGGGCCCTTTGATGCTTTTGCTGTCTCGATTATATGTACCGAGTATATCGATTACTTCTCCACTACTTGTGTGTTGTTCGACACAGTCATTCGATAAGAGACTGAAATAGTCAGACACAGCTCAACAAGGCAAAGTTTGTATGCATGAACGCGTCTGTAGGCTCGATCCAGACCAATCCAAGATTGTTGAATGGCATCTTGCGTGTGCTGCGTCTGCACTGCGTCTGCACTGCATCTGCAGCATTTTGGTCTCGAACAAATGGACCGTTTTTGGAGACTGAGATCACAGGGGTGCATGCACAACGATCGTTGCACAAGGATATGTTTTTCGGTAGCATGGCCTAAAATTTGTGGCGTTGATCCCTTGAATGTGTCTGAGTGGTGGTTCAAAGGGTCAATATTGCAATGGTGGCCTTGGGGAATGTACGGACATGTTCTGGTCAGGTCAATGCCATGACTCTGTGCCATGGTTCACGCACAACACGGCGATGTGCATGTGCACAAGTAGCTCAATCTCGGCACAAAAGGAAGATGGGGCTGCAGACGCTGTACCTGCAGGGATGACAGCCAAGCGCCAAAAAAGCGGTCTGGTAGCGCGGTCAAAGTGCGTCAAACGTGCAGCAAAGCCGATCCATCCTACCAGGAGCTCCACAAGTTCGCGCACATGTTTAAGCTGGCCAGAATTCCGCCCATGGCACGATAATTCCATTCCCCAACCGTGCGAAGTACCATTTTTCCTTTAGCACTGAAACAACCGTTCGTCGTCATCCCGCACTGCCGCTTCCGCTGTTTCCAGGTCACTTGCTCTACGCATGGTCCCGTGTGGTTTTGGGCAAAAGAAGTGGACTGGGGTTACCGTTGTCCTGAGCGTGTGAGGCGAATACAAGATTTCAGGCCGCAGGGAAGATTTTGGGAGCCATTCCAAGGCAAAAATTACCCAAAACATTGTGGATTGAGGCCCAAAAGACCCACATCTGCATCACCACATAATCCAGCCTTCACCGGTCGGCTACTTGGTACGACGAGAGCGTTCTATTCTAGTCCCCTAGTTTGTGTTTTTGTCTTGTTGTTGTCGTCTTGTCACTGTATTGCTGGTAAAGACTCACACATCAAACAGTCATACAGTCACAGTTTCAAGTCGCCAGATTCGATTTAATCACACACAAACACACATCATACACACATACACACATACCTACATCAACTACCTCTTACATCTGCGCTTACATGCGCTACGCTACAACATACAATTCGCATCATCGCATCCCAGCCTCGGTTGTCCGCGCCCATACTTCGCGCCCACGCTCCGCCTCCACAAGCGCACCACCGCTAACACGCTCGCTCGCCCCTAAACCGACGTTACTCCTCACCTCGTCTTCGTTGTCGCATTCGCACGCGCACAACACCGCAACCATGGGCAGCAGTAACTGGAATCCGTTTTCCACCGGCTCGCCTGGTCGCCGCTCTACGTCCTCGTACCGTCCCGGCTACGCATCCTCGTCGTACTCGTCGTCGTCGCGCCACCATAGCTCCACATCACGGTATAAGCGGTCGCCACGCGACTCGTACATGCAGCACCTGTACAAGAAGTTGCAGCATTTCCTACGCGAGATCTGGCGCTATGCCCAAAGACACCCGTACAAGGTCTTCTTCATGGTCATTATGCCCTTGGTCTCGGGTGGTGTCTTGCACAAGCTTGCCAGGCAGTTTGGCGTCAATTTACCCCAAACTGGTGGTGGTGGCCACCAGACCGCGAGGGGCGGATACTCTGGCTCCTCGCATAACAATGGTGGTGGCTACTATGGAAGCCAGGGCTATGGCAGAGAGACCACCACAACCAGGACGTCTGCTACTGCAAATGGAGGAGGTGGCGGCATGATGAGTGGTCTGGCGAATATCGACATGCAGAGCGTGGCGGGTGGCATTGGCGGACTGGCTAGTTTGGCGAGTATGGCGTCGAGATTCATGTGAAGAAGAAGAATCGATGGGGTTGACGAGTGTCCCTAGGAACGGCTGAACATGTCTTCACCATCTGGCGGGTGGTGAACAAGTTTACAGGAAAAGATGACGATGGGTTTTGACAGGGAAGAGACGGAGCTTTTTTCTTTTTGCGCTTTAAAGGACCTCTTCACGACGCATGGACTCAAAAGGTGGCACGTGTGTACAAGTTTCACGATGTGAACGATGGGTTGTGCTGGACTATGTTGTAATTCCTTTTCCTATTTTGCTTGCTAGGCTTCAGAGATATCCCTCCCTTCATACGAACGGAAAACAAAATTTAGTTACCTTTTTTTGGAATCGGCTTTATTCAAGTGCTACCGTGAGGTCGTGTCATTGACCTGTGCTAACAAAGAATTCTATTGAGAGCTGATGTGAAAGGGTTACTATCAACGCAAAGGATATCATCAGTCATACAACTAATCAAGGACTTCCACCTCAACTCTAATCGACGTGTCTGGCGCCTGAGGTAGTCTTTGTATACACCCTGATGCAACCTCATGCAGACACAACATTGGCAAACACCTTTGCCGCCAACCCACTCAACAAGCGCGCCTTTTCCGCCTGCGGCATTTCCTGGAACACCGCATAGACGCTCTTTCCCTTCGTATCCCTGACCGCCCCAAGTCTATTCCCTGCCACAGCTCCCGCAACCATACCGGGGAAGTTGGCCACAATGAAGCCCATAGCCGCGCCACTAAGCCCACCAACAAAACTCCAGAACTTGCCCGTAGGATGCGCATCTTCGTCCGCCATACCTTCTTCCCTCAGCATTTCTTCGAAGATGCCGCCAAACTGCTCCTCGCTGAAGCGATTGTGACTCTCTTCCGTATTACCTGCGGGGGCACTGCCAAACCCAAATGCAGACCATGGAAAGCCTTGGGCGAATCCTCCTGCGCCACCCGCAGCTCCAGCATTGGGAATCTCTTCTTCAGGGTCCGAGTCGGGTGTGGTGGTGCTACCTGTGAAGCTATTGTACATGCGTGCGGCATCGTAATCCCGGCGGCGCGTGGTATCTGAGAGGGTATAGTAGGCATCGTTGATTTGTTGGAATTTCTTCGTGCGACTGGCGCGTTCCGGAGAGTCTGAGGGAACGCGGTCGGGGTGGTGTTTTAGCGCTGCTCTGGGTATCATATTAGAGAAGGCATCCAGACTTGTGAAAAGGTATGTGTGTACTTTTTGTAGGCATCGCGAACCTGCTGTTGGGAGGCCTTGGGGTCGACTTCGAGGACCTTGTCTACGGTACTGAATCAGCTTGAGGCGTCTTATCGCGACGTTGTGTATGTTTACAATAGTCCGCTGGAGGAGCTGCGTGAGGTTTAGCTGAAGTTTGACTACCAGGCTGTTGCACATCTCACCCATGCTGTTGGCTAATTCGCTAGGTCTCGTACTTGGAAACAAATGAGGCGGTAAGTCTGGCCAGAGATTGGAAGCGATTAAGGCTTCCGGTCGATTGCTAGGTAAGTGGTGAAGTAGATGATAAGCGGCAGCGCATAGGGAGAAGTGCAGGTACACGGCTCGTAGAGCAATGACGTAGACGCGCTTCAGCCATTGTGGCTCCACGTTTGCACGTGAAAACAATACGTTTAGCAAACTCAAACAACTGCACTGCAATTCCTTTTAAGTGCATATATTATCGCTAATTTGGTTGCTTTACTAGAAGGGCTTAAGTAGAGGTAGACAAATCAAGCGAGAAATTACACCGCTTTGTATTTGGTGAAAGAGTTCAGCTCAATGTACTAAGCAGCTTCGAACAGTACTCTTCATGACCCCCTCATCTTGGTACATGGTCCATTTAGAATCCTCTCATCCCTTCTTGTATAATTCTTCAGGAAGCTGGGAATTACCTGAGATCTGGTCTGTAGCTTCCGCGGGAAGAGAGCGGGGTGGGATGCGGCTCAAGTGACGTGTCGGGCGTAAACCGGCTGTCGGTTTGTACCTACCACATGGTTTTAACTGGAAATTGCTATAATTCCATAGATATAGCTAAAAATACACTACATGCACAAGAAGCGAGGTGGCCATAGCATGATGCATGGCCTCTTCTGCTAAGGACCAGAGGACGGGGGCAACGCATTAGCACGGATGGTGGCGGGTTTGGAAATATCAGCACGTTGAATGGAACATGCTATAGCTGCCTGACTATCACACTACGCACTAGAAGGGACTTCCGGTCTTGTTATAGCTTTTGCTCATCTCTATGTGTATGCTTTCAGTCTTGACGTGGTTTTATGTGCGATCAGAACCCTTTTCAAGAATCACCACCGGAAACGAGCCGGAATCCTCTTTTGGAAGGGATACATTTATATCTAACCTCGTCACCCGAATACTGCTGCTACTTCATACATCCACAAGCGCAAATAGGAACAACAGATCGCATCTCATATATTGCACTGACGAGACAGGTACCATATCACTTGTTACAGCCTCATAACCTGGCTCAACCCCTGTTGTTCTTTTACTTATTGATAACGATTTCACGTTAGAACAGAACGTTCATTGTTTCTCGAGCGCTGCCCGATTGCCGACGCCGGCTTAGCAAGTTTCGTATTTACATATGCATACCTGCTGAATCGCAAATAGAGCCATAGACGATATCAATACTGCTAAAATTTGAATGGCAAGTGACCTCTACGCAATCCAAAAGCGGTAGTGAATACCCATACAGCCAGTGTAAAGCATCGACGGACAGGATTGTTGGTTTCTTCATACCAGCGATGGCATATGTCCAATCAATACCCGGGAACCCGGTTCTGACGGATGAAAGGCATACTGTGTGCTGGCATTTTGGTCCTCTTGTGTAGCCAGCATGACAGCCTGATAGGTCTGGTACGGAGCCCGACATTGGAATTAGCCAGGCTGAAGTACCAGGGTCGGTGTGGTGACGCAATAACATGATAGCCTACCAGTAAGAGTGAAGATCATGTTGCCCTGCATTCATCAAATCAAATCAGTGAAGATTCATTTCTACCGGTCATCGTGATGGCTGAATTGACATGTTAGCCGATTGGGGTTATTGAACGGCCCAACACTGCCACAGTCGCGTGGCCCTTTCGCATGGAAGTAGGTAAAATTTGCCTTCTGAGAATGGCGACTAAAAGTGCACGACGTGTTAACTGTACTACTTCAAACTCCAACCTTCTTTTTGGTGATAGAGAAACGCTCCCGAGTGGTTGCTTGGTTCCGATGTTGCATGTATGGCATGGAAAAGACTCACGAGACACATTCAGCCTCCAAGATGATGGTTGCTATTTGGAGACAATGGCTCCCTAGGGAAGAAAAGCACAATCCCATCTACGCCGTCTGAAACTAGTTTTTCCATTAAATTTTAGACCCATAGTTTGCATTAGGCGTTCCTCATTGCCCAAGTGAGCATCTTCCTCGAGCTTTCCAAGGTTGTTTCGCACGCTTTCACTTATCACTGCATTACCCCAACCTACTAAATTACAACAAGTCAAGATCATCTTGGGCTTCCATATAGCCTTGGAAAAGCATTTCGATCTGAAACAGTTCATCTTATATCTCATAGTACAAAGCGTACACACTTACACAGTCTGCGTGCTCACATACCTACCAAGATACCTTTCCGGATATCTCATGGAAGATAAGTCGAAGCATAATCTCCCACAACCAACCAGACGGACGTCTTTCATTGAATGGAATCCGGAATATGCTACCCGTAACTCTATCCCTCACGTCGGTGACCCATTATTCTCAGTCTGGCTGGAGGAGCAGAACGGCGACCGCGACGTTCGAGACGTATTCTTCGAATATACGGAAGGGCCTGTTCCCTCTCGAGAAGTAGAGCAAGCAAAACTTTTTTTACGAAAGGATACTGCCAAAGAGTGTGATCTGAAGCGAAATGATCGGGCATGGGTTGAATGTCGCAAGAAGTCGAAAGAGAATTGCCAGGGCTTGCCAGAAAGACTCTCAAACGCAGAGTTGACTGAAGCCCGCAAACAGTGGGCATGACTATGCTACCATTACATGATCAGACTCAGAGAACGCTAACATTGACCAGGCCATTGAACCAGTCGATAACTCTGATTTTGTTCGGCGCTTGATGTGAGTTTCTTTTGATCTTAAATATGCGTCTTATACTTTGGTCGTGACTCCCTTCGGAGGTCACGAATATCGAGATGAGAGTATGCAAGCTGTTAACTTGATCACTGAACTGTTGCTAGTTATAGTCAGAATCCTACACCAGACTTCCTCATCGCCCTTATCATGACAATATCCTGTTCTGGGAAGGAAGCTCTAAGAGAAGCCATATGCCATCACATGGCCCGTGAGTATGCAATCAAGGTGGAGGTACCTGTGTGTAATACAATTTCGAGCTCATACAAGCCGTCGTTTCTAATATGAAAGAATAGCCCGGAAGATTTCAAACATTCCGCCTGATGCTCAGTCTTCCTTATCTCATGCTAAGGGAAAAGCCCATCCAGTCAAGCCAATCACTCGATCTAGAATCTCAGGAGAAACTTACGGCATACGATCTATCATTCTTGGTCGATCCTGCGGCAACCAAGAATCCAACCCGCTTTGTGATTAAGGAAGCACATGAGACTGTTGCCATATTTGGGCGCAAGGACCACAACTGGACTGGTTACGCATTTTCCGCGCCACACATGGACATGGAGAGTGAAACTGATAACGGCGATGAGGATGAATGCGACGAGGAAATGCCAAACGTGGACTTGTTCGTCTCAGGTAGATCTGATGAGGTTATAGATCCCAACATCACGATATATGATCCGCGAACATATTTTCTACGCACTTTTGAAATCCGAATCAAGGTCATCCAGAAAGAGTATGGTTGGCTTGTTAAAGAGCTCCAGAATTTGACCACATGTTGGGTAAGTACTCGACACGTACAGTTCTTCCATGATCTAACGGCCAGACTAGATGAAAAGCAAAGTGTATACATTTGGCGTATCTGCTCTACTGCATGATCAAGACCAGCGAACAAGTCTAAAACAGACTCTAGAGGATTTGGTAAACCTGAAAGGAGTCCTGCAAGACGTTCGCTCACACTTGGCTGACACGTTACTAGCGTGGAGAGATTTCAGCAAAGACGACGGACACATATCGGTTTTCTCGGATATGACTGCTGAAGATGCGAACAAGGCACTAGAGGGAATCAAGCACTCATTTGCACAGTTGGGGTTGTTGGAACAGAAGCTGGGTCAACTCCACAGGCAATGTATAGACTCGGCGGATGTCGTGCGTCAGCCCGTAAACACGCGTTTTTGTGGCGGTGCCTATCTCTAACAGTATCAATAGCTTACGCTACGCATGGAATCCGAAAACTACCTACTTGGTCGTCATATGCACGAACTGAACTTCAGAACAACCGAACTCGCCGGAAAAACGACACAAATAGCTTTACGCAGCCAGCAAATTGCAGAAGAAACGAACCGCACCACTCGTACCAACGTACAGGTTCGTCATTTACATTCGAATTGTCTTTCATCAGTACTTACAGATGATAGCTGCTCATGATCACGACACCTTTTGCCTTTGCCCTGCAATACTTCTGCGGCGATAGCAACTTCTTCTCCATCGAGCGCACACCTAAGGCTTTTGTGATATCTCTTGTAGTGTTATTCCTCGCCCTTCCAATCGTGAATGTTTCCGTGGACGCTCTTCATCAGGGTAGGAAGGCTTTACTACAGTGGGTGGCTACGAAACTCGGGCGAAAGGGTGGACCAGCAGATGATGAACAGCTTGATCCGAAATCTCTTGATACTGATTTTACTGAAGTTGTATAACGTAGCGTCGCATTTACTTTGCACGACTTCTCTTCAGTCTGGCAAAAGATGCAAATCCTCGCGTAACTGTAGATGATTTCTTCATGGACAATGTAGAACGGAAGAGTAGCCTTGACTGTTAGATTGTTGGGTATACAGATGAGTAAGACAATGTATGCCGATGAAGGCGACCGATAGCCTTGCGTAAAGATCAGATAATAGCATAACTCAATAAGACGGAGATATGGATACTTCATTACGGCTTACCAAACGCATGTCTCAGCACGCAATCCCAGGTAAGCAATCCATCCGCCCGCGTGGTCAAACAATTGGCCGTCTTCGACGTACCTAGCCCGATGACTCTGCCCTTGCAGGATGCATGAGGCTGTGCACCTGACGATCTGCACCCCACCCCACCACCCCCACTAGAAGCTACCCCTCCATTTGCCTTGCTTTCTCTCACCCATAACAACCCTCCATCCTCCACCAATCTCTCAGCCCACACATGAGAACCTTCCTTAACCTTTCCTCCTACCACCGCGCAACTACTCGAGCCTTTACCACAACCGCACGCGCAATGGGTGTCCAGAAGACGATTCTCCAAGAGGGCAACGGCCCCAGCCCGCAAAAGGGCGACCAGGTCACCATGGAGTACACAGGCTGGCTCAAGACGGCGGACAACGGCAAGGGCAAGCAGTTCGACAGCACAACCGGTCGTGGTCCGTTCAAGACACCCATCGGTGTTGGCCGCGTCATCAAGGGCTGGGATGAGGGCGTTGTGCAGATGAAGCTTGGCGAGAAGGCAAGGCTGGACATCAGCTCCGACTTTGCTTACGGCGACCAGTGAGTTAGCTGCGTGTGGTAGGGTCGGATTGATACTAATGATGCACTTCAGAGAGTTCCCCGGTCTGATTCCTCCTCACTCTGACCTCATCTTGTAAGTCTTGACACTGCAACCGTGCATATAACACGTCCATACTGACATGATCATAGCGAGGTTGAGCTCAAGAAGATCAACTAGGCGATGACATTCCCACTGGCGACTTGGACTCCTACAGTCCGATTGCATGGTAGCAGGGAAACTTGCGCTTCATCTAGCACATAGGAGCCATGAATACAGATGACAATTTCAACCAAACCACTGAAGCTCTCCACAAGCCTCGTTTCCATGTGTTGAACCCGATGCTTTTGATTTCTGAGGAGTAATTTGTGGCGCATAGGACCTTTGTAAGGCTGTAGAAGTACTGCATTGCACCGTGTGTGACATGTGCCGAAATATGGTTGAAAGTCAGACCAAGAGCTTTGCTGTAGTCCCTTGTGTACCACTAGCTCCCCAAGAAATCCCAATATTGTTACAAAAGTCACAGATGCGCGCCAAACGCCGTACTCATGCGGAGTGGAGATATCGTACACCTTTTCGTAGCCCAAATGACTAACCAAACCAGCCCTTGTTCTTCCTTGCTTCTTTCCTTGCAGCTTGCTGTGGATCCGTTAGCAACTATTCGCGCCGTCTGCACGACTCAATATAGGGAATTCGTGTGCACAATGACCATGCGCCTCAGGTCGGGATATAGGCAACGTACCCATTGTTCTTTGCAGTCGCGATACGCCCTATTGAACACCAAGTCAGCTTACCATCCCAAGACTTCCCTCCCTAATTCCCCTTTGCGCATTGTATGTTCCACTCACTGGAAGAAATCCGAGCACATTGCCCGCTCACCCCCGTTCCTCTTCAAACACTTTATGCTCCTATCTGCCGCCTCCTGACATGGGTCGTAGTACTCGCTGTACGCCTTGCTGTGCACCCAAGAAATCAGTATTCAGCAGCAGTTGCGTGCATGTATGGGGAGCGTTTGCGACTCGGTGGCGGCGTACTTGTCGAACTTGTTTGCTTTGGGACCAACCCATTCGTCGGCCTTTGAGGGCGTGGGTTTTTCGGACATTGCGGGGAGCAAGGAGAGGGGACGCGCGCTAGGTGTCGTGATCAGGCGATTGGATAGCAAGACGTGTGGGCACGGTAGTTTGGGGTTTTTGGGGGGAAAGTTGGATGGGGAGGCCGCGGAGGTGCGGTATCGATATTGTGGTTTTCGAAATACCTTGAGCCGCCTGGATCTGGTTAGCTTGGTGCCCAAGAACATCAACTCCCATAGTAATTTGTTAGTAAATTAATGCAGCAGCCGTTTCCCACCTCCAGAAGCCCATGAAGCTAGTCCTGTACTCTAAATCGTTCGTGTATAGCGTTTTGTTTGTGTGGAGCTTGTTGCGAGCTCAATCTAGCTGCTGTTGGGATGCCGCCCAAGCGCCAGCGTAAGCCGAAGCAGCCATTCGATCAAGGCGTTAACCCGTCCTCCCAGAAGCGTAGAGCGCCAGCAACTAGACAAAATCCTACCCATTTAACGCCTAAACGTGTCCGCCGTGAGGCGCTGCCGTCGCCTCCAGCGACTGCCCCGCCGCGCCGTCAAAGCCCGTTGTCCGAGCCTGAGCTGCAAGCCACCCAAACAGCTGCCTCCGCGCAAGCTGAAGATATCGTTGGCGAGGATGAGGATACTTTCGAGGATGGAGATGGCGATCCGCTGCCTGAGGATGAGGATGAGATCGCTGCTAAGGGCGCTGCCGGTAGTGTTGAGGATGAGGGAGAGCCAGCGTACCGACGTCAAGAAGGCACTCCATGGCTGCCTCGCTCATCGCAAGCGCTAGAGGATGAGGTTAATCCTGTACTGCGCGTTAGGTGGAGGGCTTGCCTTGGTGGTGATATGGAGAAACACTTTATTCCTGAAGCTGCCGATAGCGAGCACGGCGTACGGCTGTACTCGCTGCATTTCGACGACCTATGGCAGTGGGTAGATGACGTTGTTGCAGAATTACGGCCAAAAAGAGCGAAGATCTCATCTGTTTGCACTGTTGTTTACCCAGCTAAGCAGGCCAAACGCGAGCGCGCGATAAAGCGATTGCGGCGAGGTGTTGATGCAACGTGGAATAGCTTTCAGCGCCTTGTTGTAGAGGTTGATAACTATGTCAGCGAGCCAGTAAACGTCGATTTCGAGCTCATCTTGGCTGAAATTCCAGGGGAGCAGCAGCCGTTGCCAACGGTTGTCGACGGTCCTCGTCGACGCACCGCAACGGTGATTCAAGAGGAGGGGCTTGCTGGTGTAATAGCAGCTGAACAAGCAGGTAGCGGGCATGCTATTGCTATCCGGGATAGATGGCGCTGTACAGATACCCATTGCGAGAACTATCCTTATTGCTGCTGGATGGCGCCAACAGCGAGGCAGCCAGCGCGCTTCGAAGATCACCTCTTTGTCAACGGCAACATTATCTCCATGTGGGCAAGAGCAATTACAGCGAGAAGGGCAACGTACGATGAGCCATCTGATGATGTACGGCTTGCAATTTTGAGAGCAAAGGACCTGCGGGTGCATGAGAAAACGCGCAAGTTGCGGGCGGCTGGAGATGGCGACGATGATATCAAAAGCTTAACAAAACTGCTCATCGTTGGACAGCTTGAGCGGATGAACAGGCAACCTCAACAGGAGTCTAACTTGCAGGCAGCTGCACCAACGATAACAAGAGCTGAGGTATCTAGTGCATCTCAGTGGGCGCCTATCCGATATGATCATGAGCAGGAGATTAACGAGCATACTAGTAATTTCTTTAACTACCTTAAGTTAAAATTTCCTACAGTTGGAGAGGACATTAACGAGCTTTATAAGACTCTTGTTATTGACGGAGCTATGGATATCAACCTCTTGATGCAGCCATCTGGTGATATCTTGAAGTTGTGGACGCAGCATTTCAAGCAGCCTCCTGGCTGGTTTTTCACGCTACAAAACACTGCAAAAGAATGGCAAGCTGGGTACCAGGGTCTCACAGATCGTAACTGGAGACGAGTCGAACGTTGTAAGAAAAGAGAAGAGATTGCGCGCAAGAAATTGGTGGTTGAACCGTCTAGCAGTGTTGTGGAGGATGATGGCGAGAATGCTTGAAGCTTAGTGGCCTGAGCGTTTTTGGTGACAGCGGCCCGTGCCCGCTATAGTGTTGAGGTTTTTCAGGCGTTTCAAATGCGCTGCAACAATAGTCTATTTGGATAGCCCTATGTACAACACTACAACGTTATGCGATTATAACAGGTTAACTTCCTAAGATAGTTCTATATGTATAGAAATAGCTCTTATTTTTTTAGAATTATTAAATCGCTTTTGTGGGTTGCGCATTAAGGTGTAATCGTTCGCATTTGTATGGTATCATCTACCTATAGAAACGTACTGTGGCATCCATTTAAAAGCACAATTAATAGGGATAGCCACACCTATGGAACCAGCTTCTGCAGTTAATATTACAGCACACCAGCTGCGCTGCATACTCAAGAAAGACCCCAAAGTCAATGAAGTTCTCCGCTTGCGCTGAATTCCTTTTCATCCACCCCTTGAGCTGCTTAAAGCTCTTCTCGATGGGGTTGAAATCTGGTGAGTATGGCGGCAGATACTCAAGGAGTACTCCAGCACTTTGGCAAAGCACCCGTACACGCTCTGATCGATGGATGGAGGCGTTATCAAGCACGATTACTGAGGCTGGCCCTGGGTGAGGATTGCAGAACGGCAGCACTTGAAACTCTAAGAAGTCTTCTAGGATCTCAGATGTAATCGCGCCTTGAAAGATCTTATAGCTTATGTAGCCATCTATCGTCATGGCTGGCAGCAGCGACCACCGTTCTGATCGCCTGAAGCTGTGTGATAGCTCCACCGGCTCCCCGATTGGAGACCAGCCATACTTGCGGTCGCCCGTACGCTCATTGCAGGCGCTCTCGTCCAACGCAACGATCTGCTCCGCCTTATAGTGTTGCGCCATCCTGGCAAGATAGAGGCGGCGGAGTGGCTCACTCTGCTCCTTTGCCCGCTTTGTTGCAAGCTTGCGAGACCATCTCATCTTCTCTAGCTCTCGGTAAACGCTCGCAAGGCTTATCCTAACGTCGTACTCGTCGTACAAGAAGTCCCTCATCTCATCCATGTATGCGCCCGGTGAGCCATTGAGGTATGCCTGAAGGCCTTCGCGCTGAGCTTGCCGGAGTATAGATGGCCGCCCAAGTCGAACGCAGCGCGGCGGATAAGGCACGCCCCAAAACTCTAAGCTCAACCTCAGCTTTGCTACTGTGTTACGGCTCGCACCTGTAGCTCTAGAGATGGCTCGATCACTTTCGCAGGCAGCAATTCGGTCGAGGATAGCCTGGAGAACAGCGGGCTGCAAGCGGTGGCCGGTGCCTGGCATCGCGATGAGATGGGCTCGAGAAAATTGCAACACCAAAAACGCGAGTCAGTAGAGGCGATCGCAGCAAACAATGAACTTCAAATACGTTGTGGGTGTTAGAAAGCGTGGCTGCATCGATTTACTAACAAATTACTATAGGAGTTGATGTTCTTGGCCACCAAGCCAACCAGATCCAGGTGGCTCAAGGTATTTCGAGAAACACCCATAAGAATGAGAGATTTACGAGAGCATTCGCCCTGGCCCAGCAAGTGCGCTTCATGCGCATATTTGATATTGTCGTGAGCTTGTTTGTTAAGAATTTCAAGACAGTTTTGTTTCTAATTGCATCAACATCTTACTAATGTATACAATATAGAACATAAAGGTGTACACAGCCATTATACCTCTAGCTCCATCATATCACACAAGGCAATAGTTAATAGCTCTAGCTTGGCCTGAGAGTTGTCTCAACGCAAACTAAGAATGATCTGCCGCATGGAAACTATATTAACCACGCTGTCGTCTTGGGCATAGGTGGTTATCGCCATGTGCGGAGCTTTGTGTCTCTTTTCATTGTACTGTGCTTATAGACCAAGCTCTACTTAACCTCTGAGACATATCCACTTCTCGAGGGTTTGAGACTTCTGTGAACAGCTGCCAGTGTATTTTAGGTAACATGAAGTGATGCGTTAATTAGCCGTGTGGAGCATTTAAAGAAAGTCGGCTAGGCCAGAGGATCAATGGGCTTCTTAGTAAGAGCAAGTACAAACAGTGCCTGTTCCAGACATCGAGGTCGAGTATCTGGTTGCGACTAGAATCCAAGAAGGTTCGATCAATATAATACATTGTGGTTCAAGACCTCTCTTACCTGTAGTGCACAAAGCGGAAAGTACACATATATAGGTTGCCTGTGGAGTAACAATGTCATACAATTTCACGTCCAGAAGTCTAGACGGTCTTCGTCAAGCGAATGATCAAATTCGGACAGGTTTGCACAATGACATGAACCGTGGATGCGACTTGGTCCAGTCACGCACCCAAGGCCCTTTCGTCTCAATCGCTTTCACTCAGTCAGCTTATCAGCTATCGGTTCAATCACATCCGCATTGACCACTAGCTCGCATTACAGAAAATGGAGTGGCAAGGTGGGTGCCCAACAACGAAGCTCATGTGTAATAGTGTCTGGATTACATGGGAAAGCGTTCACGTATTAGTTCAGGCTCTACCAAAGCTACTTCTACATGCTGTTGGTCTCGAATGTGCGAGTGAAATGTGCCTTCCGCGATCAATTTCTGTTGTGTACATGCCGAGACTGCACTCTTGAACCATGAACTCGACACAATCTCTGACTGTTACTGATATTAGATCCGCGCCGTTATCCTAGATTACCTTATTACTCGTCCGCACTGTATTCACTTAATAGTATCACTCGTCCGCATTGTATTCACCTAGTAGTGTTGCTGTTCCTTCCGCATTGTTTCTTTCACTGTGCTCTGACCTTGAGCAAGTTTTCCAAACAGCTCAACCAGAAATTTCTTTCCACTGTCTATATCTTTAAACTCCCCACCCTCTCAATCCTATCCACAACTCGCTATCCCCTCCTTTCTCAGAGATCAACTATCAACCATGGATCAACAAACTCTACCAACGACTGCTCCGGCGGTGGGCGCTGTGGCGTTCGACCCTAAGGAGCACCTTATCTACAAGGATACACCGGCGACCCATACTATGCGAGAGATTGGTCAGCGCGAAGATATCGGTATCTCACGTGTTGCTGTCACTGAGCCTTTCGCTCTATTCTCTCCTGCAGCAATTCAGATCATGCGTTCCGAGATCGCCCAGCCCGAGGTGGTGCAGAAGCATAGCTTCAGCAGCAACATTGCGGCCAACCAGCTTCGTGGATATGCTCGGGATTACGCCCCATTCACCTACGCGGCTTGGAACCATCCTGAGACAGCGGCCATTGTTTCCAAGCTGGCCGGCATCGAACTAGTTCCGTGGGGAGACTACGAGATTGCACATATCAACCTTTCCTCCAAGTCCCAACAGCAGGTCGAGGCCGAGCTCAAGGAATTTCACCAAGCCGAACATGATGCAGACGAGGGAATCGAAGTGCATGTCAAGGAGAAGCCAATTGTCGGCTGGCACAAGGACTCATACCCTTTTGTCTGCGTCCTGATGATGTCTGATGTCACTGGCATGATCGGCGGCGAGACGGCTCTGCGCACTGCCAACAACGAAGTGATCAAGGTCCGTGGTCCTAGCCAAGGTAGCGCAGTCATCCTCCAGGGCCGCTACATCACGCACCAGGCACTTCGTGCTGTGGGTGCAAAGGAGCGCATCACTGCTGTCACGTCTTGGCGTCCTCGTTCACCTTTTACCCGCGACGATTCTGAGCTACGCACAGTTCGAGGCATCTCGGATCTGAGCGAGCTCTACTATGACTTTGCCCAGTATCGACTGGAGATTTTGGAGGCTCGCATTCGCCACTCAGCTGAGGAGATGCGTGCTCATCGTAGGGAGGGCAAGAAGTTCAACACGACTAATCACAAGACCCTTCTCAAGGATCTGTATGAATTTCTAAAGCATACTGACGATGAGATTGTTGAAGAGGAGCAGGTTCAGAAGGGTGCCGTTGAGGGCGAGGAAGACATTCCAGATGTCTAACTCAGCCACGAGACGATGTAGAGGAAGCCGTCGGGTTGAGGAGGGCATTTCAGATGTCCAAGTCAGCCACAAGGCGAGCTGGTAGGGGGAGTAAGCCGTCATGGTCAAGGAGGACATTTCAGATGTTCAATCCAGCCAAGAAGACGGGCTTGCACGCAGTGTAGAAAGTTTGAGATTGAGTGAGAGTTAGGCTGTAGTATGTTCAGTAGTGTTTACTATAGTCTGCTATTGGTGTGGGGTTGGGACACGAGTCGGTGGAGAATTGAGAGTCGCGTGCCCGACGTCATTGGCTATTAATGGCCCCAATAGATAGCGTTGTCCAATAAAATTATGCCACTGTATAAGAGAGAATTGCTTGTGAATGCTTGTGAGAATGGTTGGTGGTCGTTCATGGTGATCAAAGGCGCTAAGGAAGGAGATCAAGTGAAAGGTGACGGCTGCTGCGGCAAACGTCCGGAGAGCAAGGGCGGTTGCGACCGAGCGCCAACGTGCTTAGTTGACTAGCATGTCCGCTGCTGCATGCATAACCACTGCCAGCGATAGTCATTCTGCAGTCTACAAGGGCAGAGTCCCATGTGAGCAGATGCACCTTCTTTCCCACCCTAGCTGCACTTGGACGTAAGAAGGTGAGAGCGAAAAGTGAGTGTGTGTGAGAGAGCACGCAACAGAGCCCACCATGGACAGTCGAGCGTCGCCAACCCCGCCCACGGCCCGTCCCAGGAATTCGTCGTCGTCGATTACCTCGACAACGGCTTCACATGCCGCCTCGACGTCGCAAACCAACGGCATGCCTACGAATTCACGCACCGGCCGCGGTGGCACCCCAACCGCCACCCGCTCTGCATCCAAGCTCGTCGACCAGGACAAGCCGACACGGGCTGCGAGCAAAGACAGCCTCAAGCAGAAGATGCTGAGCAAGAAGGATGACGCCCCCCAGCCAAGCCGGGCAGATGAGGTATGACACATGCAAAAGAAAGAAGAAGAAATATATATATATATATATATATATATATATATGCCATGCCGAAGCGACAACAGACTAACATGCCACAGCAGCTCAAGGCGCTCAAGTCCGAGTTTGACAGCCTGCGCACCCATCTCACATGCAAGATCTGCGACCGCTTGCTCTACCAACCTTACACCATATCGTGCGGACACACGTACTGCTATACAGTAAGCCACGACTGTCACGCACCGTTGCAGTCATCGACCGCTAACATGCACACAGTGTCTTTGCACCTGGTTCGTCAGCAACAAGGCCCGCAAGACATGTCCCGACTGCCGCATCGTCGTAAAGGACGTGCCGGCCCCCGCCTATGTCGTGAGTGAGGCCACAGATATTACACGGCCGACCTTCATAACTAACTCAATTCTTCAGATCAGAGACATGACGGGCGTCTTCATCGCCCGCGCCGAACTGCTGCCGCTAGGCGAGAGCATCGAAGACCACAAAAAGTGGCAAAAGGACGAGGCCGACGCTGTGCAGCAGGACAAGGACAACAAGGACTCGCGCACTGGCGGCCTCTTCAAGGGCTGCTTCAGGCTTTCACACCAGCGCATTCCCTCACTACAAGTTGTGCGCGACCAAGAAGACGGCGTCGACCGCTGTCCACTATGCACGTGGGAGCTCGAGGACGGTGGCTGCACGCAATGCGGCCTCATCTTTGACGAGACAGGCGAAGTCTCGTGGGGCGACAGCTTCACAGGCTTCAGCGACATGGACGAAATGTCAGAACACGACGCCGACGACCCCGATGCCGAGATGGACATGCACGACGTCGACTATGACGGATATGACGATGCACTCAACGAATGGGGCCAGTACCCTCCTGACCAAGGCTCATTCATGATGCGTCGATTCCTCGAGGGCGGCATACCACCCAACGCAGCCGCCTTTGCAAGGCGACGTCCCCTCTCACACAGCGAGGCCGGCAGCCGGCGCTCATACTCACAGAGCATAGTCTCGGACATGTACGGCGATGAAATGGACACGGTCGAAGAGGAGGACGAGGACGGTGCAGAGGAAGACTCCTCTATGAACGACTTCATCGACGACGACGACGTACCAGGCTCGACCTCACCAAGTGCCGCGTCGTCTACACCAGGCCCCGTGCCTCAGCCGACCACCAACAGGGCGCGAACACAGGCCAGGGCACGTCGTATCGTCGAATCGGAATCCTCCTCTAATCGCTCAAGTGTCGTGGAGGAGGAAGACGAAGACGAAGAAGACGAGGGGCCAATTCGCAGAGACAGGAGGAACCCCGCTCAGGCCCGCGTTCTGAGTCGCGCCAACGGCTCCAGGTCCTCCCATGAGACTGCTTCGTCAACATCTACTGATGTCTCTACCGAAGAACTCGACGAGGATACCCAGGCTTTGCTACGAGATCAGGGGTGGATGTTGCAGCGGGACGACGATGATGAGATGGGGGAAGAGGATGAAGACGATAGCGATGGAGGAAGGACGACCGTTGGGTGGGAGCCGCTCGCGAACTCAAATGACAGAAGCCGAATGGGCGGTTCTCTAACACCTACTGCAGATCGTCCTCGGCCTAGCGCCTCTATACGACCACCTTCGCGAACCGGTAATGTTCGCGTCTTGAATACCTCGCGTGGCCTTCGCCAAAGACCTTCTGGTGTCCCAGCTTCAGGAACACATTACGAAGATGGCGAAGCGGATGACGATGACTCGGACCAAGATGGCGATATTGATCTGGCCATGAATGCGTTGCGAACGCGCCGCTCTCAAGCCCATATGCGAAACATTGCAGCCTTCTCGAACCCTACTCGCTTCAACAACCGCGGGCCAGCACCTGCCGACGGGACAAACGAAGCCGACACTGATGAAAACTCGGACAATTCACAACAAGGACATGGGCGACGAGTGCCTCGTATGGCTCGCAGAGAATACGATCCACGCATTAGTTGGATGTTTGCTGCTCATCAACAAGCACTCCAGCAGCACCAAATGGCGGGCGCTTTGATAGATGTGGAGCCACGGGCCATCACTCCGCTTTCTCGCCCTCGAACGAGAAACAGAAATCGGCCAAGCCCAGCACAAGCCTACTCTCCCTTCTTACCCCCTACGCGCCTCAGGACACCGTTGATGGACAACACTTCAAACCTCGTCATGGACCCACGAATGCCAGTATCACCACCTCGACGAAGTGCCATGTCTCCGGGCCTGCCGACCATGGCCAACACAGGGAACATGAGCCGCTTTGAACGTGCACCTTCTGTTAGCTCTAATAGCAATGCTTCTACTATCTTAACCCCTGGTACTTCCACACCTTCATCCCAATACTCTATCGATTCCATTGCCCAGACACAGGCTGCTGCGGCAATGGATATAATAGATCGTCCCCAAAGCCGCGTCAATGCCCGTCCTTCTTCGGCAAATAGCAGAAGGAACTCGGGCAATTTTGGTGGAGCAAACTCCTTTCCTCATGCTAGCATGGGATTACACGTTCAGGGCGGGGCTCTTCCTCCCTTCACTGCACGTGGTAACCCCTGGGCGGCATTCGTACAGGCCCGCGGGGTTAGGAACCGCAACTCACGCCAGGTCCTCCGTGACCAGTCTTCTGTGGCCACCCTACGGCCCGTGAACTCTCGCGTGAACGTTCGAGAAGCTGGCGGCAACCCACCGCAAGGCATGAGACCTCAACCATCCAGGCTCAACCTCCGGTCGCAACCATCCAGGCGTCAACTTAACAATCAGACATCAACGCGTACTTTGCGTGCAAATGAAAATGGCCGACCTCCTCCATCGCCTACCCAAAACACGCCAGCGGCTACACAGCCAGCTGCCCGCCCAGCCGGGTTGACAGCGGACGAACGCAATCTCCGAGCTCGAGAGCTCATTGAGACTAGGAGACAAGCACTCGGACAGCGGGACAATAGTGTCCCCGCGCGCACCAACCCGTTCACCCAAGGTTTCCAACGCCCTGCCAACCCCATCGGCCAAGCCCACATGCAGCAACCAGCAACCGCACAGCATGTGAGGAGTAACTCGAACGAATCTGTCAATTCGACCGGTACCGTGCAGGGCTCTCCTGGGTCGCCAGTGCTCGGACGGCGCCGCAGCAACCGCAACATGCTCAACGCTCCGCCATCGGGCGCCATTCCGCAAACACAAGGAGTCTATAATGCTCCGACGAATGGATACACCAACAGCTACTATCGTCCAAGACAGGGTAGCGATGCATCTGCAGCATACGAGACAAGCCTCCCTACCAACACCAGGAACATGAGTCCTATGATGGCAGGTCCGCTCATCTAAAAGGTTGCATGGTGGCCATGAATGGAACTATATTTTCTTATGTTACACGGTTTTTGACAGGGCGTTAGAGGAGGGTGGTACGTCAAACATTCCTTTAGCATTTGTTTTGGTTGGGCATGGCTTTTCTTTCGCATGGAACATGAGTAAAGCTTGTTTATTTCCTTTCCAGTTTCTGTTTTAGCGGCATCAAAATGGACTGAGCGACGTTGTTGAAGCATTTACTGGCGTCATTCATTTGGGCACGATACCATGGCATTCAGCGATTGAGATAAGGGGGGGTGGGGAGCATATTCGGATAGCTGCATTTGGGACACAATATGAGTTTATTCCATGATGATGCAATGTCCTTCACACCTGCCATGTTGGGATTTGGTTCATTCCTGCCATGTTGGGATTTGGTTCATTCCTGAGTTTCAAAGGCATTAATGATCGCCATGCCACACTCTACACACTGTAACAACCACCAACTCACATGAAACGCCGTGGTGAGACGTATGATGAGTTGCACTGGAATGCAGGGAATTTGATGTGCTTGGAATGTTGGTCATGAATTGGTCATGAGACTGAATTTGCTATGATGCTGTACTACACTGCCATGATAATAATTGCAATTTATTCCGGTACCATGCCACGTACCGCGCTCCATGGCTCCCGACCCTGCGTCATATACCTCTGATAAAGTCCATAACTCCTGCTGTATGCGTGGTACGATTGTGTAGATATATCAATCTAGCTTTGTCCATCATAGCCGTGCGTGCGCTCGCTCGGTGCTCAAAATGTAAAAGAATATAAAGTAGATACTTTATAAGGTACGGGGCCGTGAGCAATCATGTCATCTCCCCAAAACAGAATGTAAAGGTCATAATAACCTGGTTCCACTACTATAAACACATAAAGTGATGTTGAAGCGAAAGTTGAAGCCCCAGCGAGACCCCAATGGCTGCACTTGAGGCTGCCACCAGACACATGTGGGCATTAGAGCTCAGTAAACGCCGTTACTAGCTGGAAATGCGGATCTTGGTTTATCTGTTTTGAACAATGTTTATGGCCGTTCCATTACCCATAGCCATGAGCGATGTATGAGCCGAAAGGTACTGTGTCCTAGAGTACAGAGGATGTGCAGTTGCGTGGAGGGGTCGGTACTGTTACATGGCGACAAAGTGATCTGACGTCTCATCTGCAACGTAGATGATACTGTGCATATCATCCGTTAGTTGCTGGATGGTAACAGGGCCCGATCGGATACCTACTCGGAGATGTAATTCAAAGTGACATGGTCAAGCTAGTCCATGTAGAAGTCACCCTTGAGGATACGCTCTTGCATGGCATCGGGAACCCTGGGCTTTGGCATCTCGCGGGCAGGTGGCTCCATAATAGTAACGCTCTTAGCACGGTGGTGTGTCGTTCCGGAGGGATTCAGCATCGGAGAGGGGCCGGAGACGGAGCCCCGCTCGGCTCGGGACCGGAGGTTCTCAGCGAAATTGTAACCTTCGCCTGTTGAGGACGATGTTAGCGAGTAGTTTTCAAGCAAGTACTCGGGTTGCTCTGCAATGGTGGAGGGCCAGATGTGCGAAATGGAAGCGGATCGGCGCGAATGGGAGTGGGAGAAAGGACGAAGCAATGTAGAGGAAGAGGGCAATGACTGCGACAATGAAGACAGACCTCGACCTCGACCAGTCGGGGGAGAGGAAGCTTTATGGATGGGTGGTCTACCATTTGGGTTCCCAACGCCTCCGTTGCTCTGCCTAACATCCCGCATTGCACGAGCTCCGAAGCTCAGGCGTCGAGCAAAGGGTGTTGCCGGGTTGCTGCTGCTGGTCGATGCGGAAAGAGCATAATCATCCTCAAAGGGGCTCTCATCGACCGAGCCAGAGTTGGCACTGGAGATGCTCTCGGTGCGGGTCCGTGGGGTCTGGAGGAAGGGTGACGTCTGGCCAGGCGAGGCACCCAGGCCAATAGTAGTGAGCGACAACCGCCGTCGTTGAGCGTTGGCCGCAGCTGTGGTGATTGGGCCTGAGGCCTGGATTGGCTGGCCTACATAGCTGTTGGACCGGCCAAACAGGTCCTGGAAAGTCTGGCTCGTGACTGAAGCACGCCTGCGGCCATCCGGCGAGTGGAGAGGCGGTGAGTTTCGGTCGTTGGAGGACATTGTAGGTGACAGTGGAGTGATTTCGGGTTATGGAAACGTATGTATTTAGGAGTTTAGATGCGTGCAAGTTGGAAGTGGAATGAAGTGTGAAAGTAAAGCAAAGCAAAGCAGGGAGGGTGGGATGGCAGATATGGCGGCGGACGCACGGACAGGGCCGTTATGATGTAGTACGTCAGCGGGGTATGGCGTGATAAGCGAACTACTTCTGCGAGGAAACCGCGTTGGATGAAACAAGGAGCTGTTAGGAGAGAGAGAGAGGCTAATACAACAGGTTCAGAGAAGTGTCGAAGAGGAGAGAAACAGGAATGATAGACAGGAGGTAATATCGCAGGAGAAGGGTACGGCTTGGCTGCGCTTCCTAAAGGATAGCCTGTGCGCTAGTGCTGTGAGCGGACTAGCCCATCTGCTTTCCCCGCAGTCCGTGGACAACCCATGTGGATAAAGGACGTGGCTCTTTCATCTCGCATCCAACCAGATTCCAGGGCAACTCGAGCCTAGCCGCTGCCTCCCCGCAGTCGACCCAGTTGGTCCAACCTCACGCATGAGCCCACAACGACTATCATGATGATCGGACGGCAACTTCCTAGCTAACTCAAGCTTGATATGAATCGTGCCACTAAGAAGGCTTCGTCTGTTCGCCCGCTTGGGTACCTAGTCATGCCATCATGCCATCATGGCACCCAACTACTACACGCAGCACCCGACGACCACGCCCATGTCATTGTCGTGTTTCTCCTTTCAGCTGTTAGCACACGACCTGTAAGCCCGCTCTTGGTTTAGACGACGTGCCAGGTAGTTGGGTGGCCGCGGCCATGCCAACCGGAGCTCGTGGAGCACCTGCCAAAGCCCTCCATCCTGAGATAACGCTGACTGTGCGGGGCTTACAATGAGTGTGAGATAGGCGAACCGAGGGGCCACAAACACAAGCTTCGCCTGAAAAGGCCCGTCGGTCGAACCAGGTGAACATTGCCCAAATTTAGCGCTGCTCAACGCCCCACTACGCCGCTTCGGTCCAGTTGTCTGTAACGAGAATGGAACGTAGTATAGAGACCATATGGCCACCACGCAAACTAGCGCCTGGTGGTAGCCGTCACTGACGTGTGCCGACCCGTTGACGTCGTGTTGCTGTGTAACATGCAGTTGTGCTGCTGTGCTTGGCTCTTATCGAAATCCGATACCAATCTGCCATCTTTCATGCCACAATCGGTTGAGTATCAGGCCAACATCATGGCACTGTCTGCTTGCACGTATGAGTAGCGTCGCAGCTCCGAGCATGTCGTAGTACACGGATAAAACCTCACCGCAATTTGTGGCGCATGAAAAGCGTTCAGTCCCCACTAGTATCACATGCGAAGCTCACTACAAGCTGCGCCAACTCCGCGTTGATGCATGTCGGTGCTTTCGTGAGCCAACCATCGTTCACCCTCCCAACGCCCCGGGACATGTATGCATATCAGAAGCTTGGCACTGTTTGAGTGTGGAACTTTGGGCCAGCTGACGCCCTGACTCTAGACCTGACCCTCTACCGTCGATTCCTGATCGATGCGAAGCTGGATATACTCTCGGCGAATGTCTTAACTCAGTCATTTAGTACGCCAGGAACGCTAACCAGCGTTGAGGGCTGATACTTTCCAAAGGAACAACCGTTCAAGGATCGTGCATGGATCTCATTGCTCAAACTAGTTACAAAAAGGAGGGTAAGAAGCGAAACGGGCCACAGTGAAGGCATCCGTTCTGAAAACAAAGGTACCGGCGAGCGACCATCTACTCAAAGGAAGGCGAGAAAGATAAAAGTTTAAATCTTTCGGTTGCTTGTGTACCGAAATCGAGTGCCCTGAAGAGAAAACAAGATCAAAATGGGAAAAAAGGTTGCTGAGACAGACTAAAGCCTGGCAGGCTCAGAATGACGGAAGGGATGTGACAGAAGTTAGCGCTGTGGACAACCGCAGCCCTGTAAGGAAAGCCATGAAGATATTAAAAGCGGGAGAGAAGATGAAGAAAAAGAAGGAATGGAAAAATTGCAGGATACCACCAACACCAATACGCTGAAAAGGAAGAGAAAGCAAGCAACGCCCCCACCTATGTAATACCAATGGACGTTATCCGGTGTAGCCTTCAGATATACCGGGTGTGATCAATGCGCAATCATCACTGCATTGCCCTCTTCGCTTCTCGTTCTCCAACTTCTGATCCTGGCCTCTTGCGGTTCTCGTATACGACGTTGCGGAAGATGTTCATGTACTGAGGTGGCGTTTGAGAGTCGGCAAGTTTCTTTTCGATGCCCTGTAAAGTCTGCCAGTGGTTACGATGAACGTCTTCTTGTGGCAAAGTTCCAAGTGCATCTAGAACAAAGGCAGGTTTGGCATCCGCATATGTTCCGATTAAAGCCATATACAGATTGCTTTCAACAGGATCGGACGGAGGGTCCAATCCCCAAGTGATGTTCGCGTATGCATTGACGTTACTTTCCGTGACACGGTCGAGAATCGTTATGAGCGCTGCTGCTGCCCTCACAGCTACGTCTTCGACATCAGCGTGGTGCTCGTGAAACTCATCGATCGCTTCGACTAGCGACTTGAGTGTTTTTGCACAACTAGGCACGTCAAGGCGGAATACGCCTGGGGATATGTTTGTAGGCCCATAATCGATGTACATTTTCAACGCATCGAAGGTCGACATAATACGGCTGTCGATCTTCTCGAAGAAGACACGGCTTTCGAAGTCTGGGTCGATGATCTTGCGGACTTGAAGATAAAGGCTAGGATCTCTTTTAGCGTACTGAGTGAAGAGATCTGCGAATTCCTGATACTTCTTTGAGCGTTCGGACGTGAGTGGAGATTCGGGACATCTAAACTCTCCAGGGAGTGCTGCTTCAGGCTCGAAGCAAGAAAGCATGTCGATTATTGTCTCTTTCATGTTTTGTTCGTCCTCAGGTAGGTCCTCCTCTTGATATACCCACTCCAGATCGTTGGCTATGTTTGCTAAGCCCTTTGTGTCTAGTATTTCTGCTGGCTTCACGTCTTCAATTTTCGAGCCGTCCGGCGAGAGATGAAGAGGTGTCTTGACGATGTCATCCGGTGAAGTGGAGATAATCTGATCCCCAACCCAATAGATATGCTGTAGACTGCGTTCAGCTCATAGACCAATGATTAGCGATGGATGATCATACTTTACACGCGAAGCCGGTCTCATTTGCACCACATGTACACTGTGGCCTTCGCAGCTCTCCACCTATCGCTACTGTGATATCATCGTTGAGGTAGAAGTACTTCTTTGGGCTTACTCCCGGGCTGTCTTCATCTTCTGACACCGCACAGTACTTCATTCTGATTTCCTTGTTTTCCAGTCCTCGTCTGGCCGTTCTGCGTAGGTCGCTACTGAAAGCCGAGACATTGTAATGAAGGTTCTTGGTTGATATAACTAGAGAAGGCGTAGGCGATACAGTCGGCTCGATTGAAGGAAGTGGATGGTCCGAGTCTGAGTCTGAGTCTGATGACTGTGGGTTGGCTCTTGCTGCCTTTGCGGCTCTGGCACGAGTCGTGACCATCTCCTCTCCGAGAGAGAGCTTTGAGAACTGCTCAATTTGCATGAAGAAGTTTTGTTTTCGGGGTGCTCTCATAGTAAAAGGCGACTGAGGAGCTATATACCAGTCCAACTCCTCCGGCTCCACGCCACAATCTTAGCTGATCCATCGTGTAGGCAGAGCAGGTCGTCCATCTCACGACGGCGCTTAACATGTAGGCCCTCCGTGCCTCGGGGCGTTGAGACGTGTGAAGCGGATGTGGCTTGCTCGGGGAGAACCGAAGTAAGGGAATAATAAGGTCGACGCCGCAGTGTTGCCTGGCCTACTAGAGCGAGTGCAGTAGCATGACGACGGACATTTGCCGCAATTCCGCGTACATTCGTCTTTTTGTTGCGTGAATCACCTCCTTCCGGACAGTATAACTGACATAATACCCACTTATCCGCGAGCATTCCATGTCGCGCGCCAATGGCATGGCATCACTAGGCGAAAAGCCCAGTCTTGTTTGATGCGCAGCAACACAGCCCTAACCTGTCAAGGTTAAATTAGGGGCACTCGATGATCACGACATTGCCGTCTCCAGACAATTATCTCGGTTTGCCGCCGTGCCTTGATGTCACAAATGCCGCTAAATGGTCGAGCTGAGTTATCGCAGGCCGAGTTGGGGTGATAATGCAAGGCACGGCGTTCACGCACCGCAGCAGGGGCGAGACCCGTGATTGAGGTTGCAGCAGGAACAACAAATTGGTGCAGACACGAGGATATGCCGAGGGGCTATACGCGACGTGATCGTTGCCTCAGATAATCAATACAACATCAAACTTGCGAAACCCCGATGAAGTTGCACTGTTGCAGGCAGCATAACTCGGCGATGACGGAAATTTCAGAGTAGGGCTTTGCTCCGCCTTGCGACGCCGCATGAACCCTGCAATGCCCGCTGACTGCCTGAGGGTTAAGGCTGACTGAAGTGAAGGAGTAATACACTTCTGGTTAAGCTTCTCACCGCATGCGCAAGTATATCATGTGCGGCACACGTCGACGATGCCCACACTGCTGAGGATGCCTTGGGCCGCACATAACGGGCCTAGGTAAGTAGCAGTTTGCACTCGACCCTCTGTCACGCGGCGCATTGCACTCTGCCAACACAACTGTTTGTTGTATATGATAATCCAAAAGAAGAGGGGGCACATTCGGTCATCAATACATGTTTCCATTGAACAACCGTACCTCGCTCACGCTTACGTCGGAACGGACTTTCTGCAAAGCAGCTTCACCGTTCAAACCTCGGACTACGAAGTCCAACATACCGTTGCGGCCTCCAAGCTTCGCACATGGCTTTCCGGAATACTTTAGATTAATGGGGCGGGGCAGACTTGTGCTTCTTGCATGGCCAGATCTAGTGCCGTCCATTCAGAGGATTCGAGTAACCGCCGCGCGAGAGAGAAGCGGAACAGCCCCAGGACAGCAACACCAAGAATCCGAGCAACCATAAAAATGCGTCTCAGATTGAGACAAGCCCCCAAAGATGCGAGGCGAGGCAAGCCCACCTGCGGATAAAAGTTGCGAGGCACGGGTGTCGTCGGGATCATCATTCGATAGTGACGTAGGAAGATCCAGAAGCATCCAACACTTGCTACACATACTTGGTACCAATAGCAAAATATGGGCGATGGAAAATTGTTGGCGCCGATACAACGGTTATTGATCCCTGGAGGGTCCCGAAAGAAAGCAAGGAAGGGATTCGAACAGTCAACGCTCTTGCGAACGGAGAAAATGTTTCTTCAGCTCGGGTCCCGCCCTGAATGGTGGTATGGAAGACCACGGAAATAACCCCATACCGAAGGACTACGTGCGAAACGGTCGGAAAGATGAAGTCCAGGTCTAGATGGGGTCAGTACATGCAAGCAGATTTAAGGGACCGCAGTCGCACAGGGTCCTCACCTGTTGCTACCTGTCCCGGTGTAGAATAGGCCTTCATACCCAGTGTTTAGATATGAGCTCTGGCGATATATCTGGTCTCTGCGTCTCCCTTGCTCTACAATGTATCTCATTGAAATACCACCCCACGGTAATCCGGAGAGTGTCTGGTCTGGCTTGAAACTTTCTGGCTCCGGTGATACGTATGAGCCTGCAGCTCTTTTTTGGTTTTCTGCTTCTCTCTCAGCGTCCTCTTTCTGTTCTTTGATCTTGTCACCTGCGCAACTGTCAGAAAATACCATCCCCAATCGCAATTGCATGACTCACGGAATCTTCTTTGAGCGAGTCTATTTTGTATCTTTCGCCGTGCAACAGGATCTTTGATATCAGACCAGTCGTCCCAACTTGTCTCCGGAAGACTTTTGCTCATATCAGAGGACCCGCTTTTCGAAGATGTCGGATATTGTGCACCAGACCACTGGTTGTGCGACATTTCTTGTATATGTCTAAACGAATCGAAATTTCCGGTCGACCGTGATACAATGGAAGGTCGTAGATGAATAAGGTAACTCTCGAGACGATGTGTTCCAGCGGAGCTTAACGAATCTTGACTCTAGGCTGTACCATGCCACATATGATAAATGATCTGCCACCAACTGAAATTGGAAGAAATGGATTTTAAGACGTTCGGACCTGCGTTCTGTCGCTGTCTGGAGACTGGATGTGGAGACCAGGTTAACACTATCTGCTACCGAATGATTTCCCAAGGCATGAACAGAGTCCAGATATGTTGTGGTGTAATTGTAGGATTGTGTTGCGAAGGAAATAGATCTAATATTATGTGATGCTGAAGGAACCACCAATCTGCCGCAAGGAGAAGTGCCGGATGAGGTATAAATCGGAAATACAAGGTAGCCAGAGCCTTATTCAGAAGCTGAAGGAATTGGAGGCATTGGAGCGATGGTTCCTGAGTCGCAACTATCATGACCATGTTCCAGGTGGGTATTTAGGGAGAGGTTGACTAGAAATATGAGAAGAACACCATGAGATGACATCAGTAGTACTCACCTGCTACACCCAGTAAGGTTACGATGTTCATGAGACGCACCCAAAAAGCGACCGTGATGTGTCAGCTCGGCTAGCCCGATGTATCAGCTCGAGAGTCTATAATCTATAGGTTTTCGGATGTACAAAAATACCCAGACCAAGACCCGCACCGGGACAGCCGAGATGACTACATAATTGCAGCCTTATCGTTGGGCTGAAACTTTGGTTTAATAGTGGGAAGTCAGATGGTACCAATCACAGCCGTTCACTCAGTGTCAATGGGGATGTGGCTATGCTTCAGCCTAGAGCTCACCTAGCTATGAAGTGTTCCGGAAGCTTTTACACCTTCTGCTAGCTCTTAGCCCGGACGGATCCGTGGACACTTTAGGTATAAGGAACGCGGTCACGACATTAGGCATGCTATAGGTATTGCACCAAACATGTCATCCTTTTAGCCGTGCTGCGCGATGCACATGCATGTTGATGAGAATCCTAGCCCTGTGTCCCGGAGAGGCGCAATGCGAAAGTGAGAACAGAACATGGAGAAGCGAAAGCCTTGTACTATTAGGGAGGGTGCCGATGTCTAGGATTGAAAAAGAGGTGGAGTAACATATAGTCGCTGTACACAGAATTGCGGTCGGCACAGCTCTCACTAAGCCCAATGGGATGGTCTAAATCACTATGACGCTCGCTCATTTGTCAGATCGCATCAGCCACATGTGGCTTTGCCACGCCTTGACCGCCGCCGTCGTTCTCACATCAACTCTGTTCCCATCGACCTTCCACGTCGGGGAAGCGAAACTCAATCTTAGACCGATATGCTTGCATATCCTGCGTCCCTTGCTCGACACAGTTTTATTCCCGAACCGATTCTGCATTGCCAGGGTCTCATATCATCGCAAACAGTACCTAGGTATCACATGTGACCGCCAAACTCACGCCCGGATAGCAGACTCCGCAACAATCAATCGGATCGGCATGATTGATTCCTATCTAGGTTAAAGGCTGCCTAATGAAGTAATTCTTTAACCTATATAGGAATCAATCATGTCAATCGATTGATTGTTGCGGAGTCTGCCGGATAGAGACCGAGTGGGGGATACAATGATGACTAGGTAGTGCGGCATGTACAACTGCTGCTTTGTTGTCAAACACCAAAATCGCTCTACTTGCGAGTAAACGTTGTGTGCTCTATCCGTTCGGCACGGTCGCATTCCCGGCCGATGCCATTAAGCAGGACAAGCTCGTTGATTTCAGTGCGCTACTAGCTCGCCGCATTGCAGATTTTGGCCAATACTGCAAAGGATGGCGGACAGGATGCATCGCAAATGGAATTTAGGACGTCGATAATAGTGACGTACTGGTATAACTGTTTCGTGAGAACAATCCTTGTTGGATTCTCCCACGAAGACGGTACATGGCCTCCAAGCCCTACGGATTGTTCCGCACACAAGTCACTGTCCTTGCACAGATGGGGTTTCGGTGATGCTTCTGTAGCCGAGCAGGGCTACAGCATTTTGCCAAACCAGAATACGATCTGGGGAGTGGATGTATGTCCAATTATAGTCCTACACATCTAAACGTGATGGCAATGGGTAGGGTGGAGAAGACACGGCTCTGCTAAAAACCAATATTAATCTCCCACCGAGAGAATTGTTGCTTCCTGGCCATGTAGAACTGAACCAGGGAGCAGGCAATGGTGGGGTAGACACACGACATACATGGCAGCAGCAGCGACTCCTGGAACGACGAACATGGATCGTTCCGTGTGGGAGCACGTGCCGTGGGCAATGTATGATGTCGAGGCTGATGTTGGCGGGTGGAAAAGAGAGAGAGACGCGATTTTGAGGTGTAGAAAATTCGGCCGCTCGGACCCCTCTCTTTGTCAGCGGCCTTGGCAGTGGACAAGTGAAATTCTCGCAGCGGCTCGGGCACGCTTTCTCTTCTTTACACACAATCATAACAAATGGACGATTAATCAACGGCTATACTGAGCTACCATCTCTATAGTTGTCATATTTGCGTCACTAGAGTAATACTGGCACTTTTAGGCTTTTTGCTTCGATTTCTATGTTGCTTCAAGCCACCTGCGTGACCAAACATCCTTTTGACCCAAATATGTTCGTGATGGCTTCAGCTTTAAGAGCGAGGCGCGAGTTTTCTGCTGTACAGTATTCTGGCAATGCAGGGGAGAAGGCTCCAGAGACGACGTTGTTATGGCCGCTGGGTCCGGCAATGTTCTCCAGCCTTGGGCAACGCTGGTCAGCGCCCGGGTCTGTTCTCGGTCCTTTGCACGCTGCCACGCCTGCACCCGGTGTAGTCGTAAAATCGATAGCTTTGCTGCTCACCTGGCTATATAGTGCTGTATGATGATGTCGTCTCGAGTAGACGGTTAGTAGGCTCAGACAGGGGCATGTTGCTGTATATAGACCGAAACACAGGGTTCTGGAGCTATACGGGATGCCATGTGTGGAACGGATGCATTACTCGTCATCGCGTGTGAACTAACGACGCTCCCAAGCTGGAGGTCTCCTTTCTATGCTCATATCTAGTTTTGCCATGGAATCATTCATACTACAGTAATCTTACATAGATATACTTCACCTGCCGTCTGCGAGCCCCCTTTCCTCCCCGCGTATCACCTTCGTGCACGTTCTGCCGCTCCCTGATCTCCAAACTCCGCCCGAACCGCTTCCTCCTTCAAGACGACATGGCGTCGGCCCTGAACAAACGCCAGCAGGCGCGTAATGAGCGTACCTTGCAAGACCTGATCAAGACGGTCCCGGGGAATGGAACCTGTGCAGACTGCGGTGCGCGAAACCCAGGTAAGTACTGTCGGCGCATGCCTCGGACACATTGCTAACAAGGCCACACAGGATGGGCAAGCTGGAGTGTAAGTCTCTCCACATTTCCGATAGAACGAACGTCACTGCATCTATCGAATCCGTCGACCGAGAAGCCGAGGCTGACATGTGGTATAGTTAGGCATCTTCCTGTGCATGCGATGCGCAGCCATACATCGTAAACTGGGAACGCACATCTCCAAGGTCAAGTCCCTGAGCATGGACAAGTGGGATAACGCGCAAGTGGATGTAAGAGAGACCGCGACGCAACCATTCACATACGGGTGCTGATGGCTGTTTAGAACATGAAGCGGATTGGGAATGTCGAGTCCAACAAGACGTACAACCCGCGCAACGTCAAGCCGCAAATACCCATCGATATCGACGAGGTAGACAGTGCCATGGAGAGATATATACGCGCAAAGTACGAGCAAAGAATATACCTGAACGATTCGCGACCGGGCACGCGACAGAACACGGGTAGCACGAGCTCGGAAGACCGGCCACCGCCGTTACCACCGAAACCCACGGGTCGCTTTGGATTTGGGCTACGCAAGGCAGCGACCTCATCGCGAGACATTACACCTCCAATATCGCCGGGTCTAGGAGACTTTGGACAACACTCACCTCCGCGGGTGAACAAGCCCTCTAGGGTGTTTGGCTCAAACGTGTATACCTCGGGTGATGGCATGGATTCAAAACTAGCAACGCTGCGCGATATGGGATTTCCGGACGAGAAGCGCAACTCCACGGTGCTCAAGGGTCTCAATGGGAATCTCGACCGAGCAGTGGAGGCCCTGATCCGCTTAGGGGAGCAAAGCGCAGCCAAGTCAAGAGGGAGCACACCCACTCCGCCTACAAAGCCCGCGGCCAATGGCCTTTCTTTTGACCAGGCAAGTACGACAGCGGGTGCTTCGTCTACGAATCCCTTTGATGCACTGGACGCGCGACAGCAGCAACAAGCACAGTTCGATCAGCAACAAGCCCAACAATCCTATTCTTCGAATTCCTATAACCCATTTCTACAGCAAGCTCCCCAGGGATATACTCAGCAACAAGTCGCTCAGCAGCAACAGCAGCAGCAGCAAGGGGCCATCTATCAACAGAACCCTTGGGACCAGCAACAACACAATCTCGAACAGTCTTTTCAGGGCATGCAACTCTCGAACCCACAGCCTCAACAGCCTTTGTTTCCCAACCGCACTGGAGGCTATGGACAAACGCAACCCTCCTCATATGCACAGGCAAACCCCTACCACCAATCCTTTACGCCACCTCCTATGCCGCAAATACCTGAACAGTACAGCGCCTTTTTCGCACAACCTCAGCCACAATACCAGACCATGTCCAGTCCTTCTAGTCCAGGCAACCCCTTCCTGAGATCGTCGCGAAGTCAGGTATTTCCACCCGCCAATGTAGGAAGCTCAAATCCGTTCGGGCAACCACCTCTCCAGCAGCAGCAGCCTCAGCCTCAACAGCCGCCTCAACAACAGATAGCCGCCCCACAGCAACAGCAGCAGCAAGCGCCCAACCCTTGGTCACAACAACAGCCACAGCAATATAGCCAAGCCCAGACTACCCAGCCAGCGAACCCATGGCAAACTCAGCAAACCCAGCAAAGCTATCAGCCTCAGGAACCACAGCAAAACTATCAAACCCAGCAACAAAACTTCCAGAACCAGCAACAGCTATATCAACAACAGAGCTCTAACCCATTCGAGAAGAACGCGGCCATTCTCTCACTGTACAGTCAACCCCAGATGGCCCCTCAGCAACCGGAACAGCAACAGGCTGCGCCAGCGACATCGATGCCTCCTGCACAAGCACCTGGTCGGTCGAACCCGTTTGCGAACCTTTCTGGCGCTCCACAAGGTCAGCCGTTGTCGGCTGCTCAGACGCCAGGTGTGAGGCACGTTAGTAATGAGAGTGTGGACTTTTCAGGACTGATGGGGGGACGACAATCGCCGGATGCATTCTCAGGGTTAAGTGCGAGCTTTAGGCGATAGACGATCAACAGGCGGATTGTTCAATTCTTTACAAGGCTGAAGCTGGGGCTAGTGTTTTTAGGGTGTCATTGGATATGACAGGGATTGGTTGGGGATTTTGGTTGAATATAGGCTTCTTGCATGATACCTAGTTAGGAGATGGATAAGCATCGCTGCGATGGTAATTAATATCTCATTCTTTATCAAAGCATATGGTTCCAATGTGTTGAATGGTACAGGTGGACCGTGGTATTCAATACACGTGCTCAGGTTGGGGCTTTCACTAACACTAGGCTGCCAATGCATTTTGTCTATTGGGAAGTTTAACTAGTAAGAAAAATGCCATGACGGATGATCAAGCTACCATGGTCACGTGACGGGACCGGTCGAGAAGCTGCGCTAAGCCCTGCTGAGCCCTGCATGTGATGTCCCGAAATAGCAGCAACGTTCCTGAAGTGCGTAACTGGTGCGATCTGTCAGCCTTGCCCTGCATACCATGGTTTTCTGCAGTCAGCGTGCCTGAGCCCGCAGACGTCAACAAGGTGCAACCATTGTTTTCGTCCGCGACTCGAAAAGTTTCCCATTCAATCACTCGGCGAAACCACAACGCGTCTCATTTCTATCCTTCTGCATTCCCGTCGCTAGTCTGCACAAACGACAGGCGAACAGGGCGCTCAGATTGCGCCTTGCCCTGCGGGTCTCTCGACTCCGCCCCTGTCACCCTTTCCCCGTCTTCCGCTCCACCACGACCACCTGTTGCACACAGTCATCTCCTCGTCGCCCTACCTGTCGCTCGTTTTCGGCGCTTTTCTGTCCTATCGATACCACCTACGACCTCATCTTCCCCTCCAGAGTCTCATTCACGCGTCGATCCCTGAAACACGGCTGTTAGATCACTAGCCTCGGCTCACAGGGTGTCCTTCACCCGTTCAAACCCTTCTCGAAGCCGATCCGTCCCTCCGCACATACCATCTCACCATCGTTGGAGATGCGCTCCTCAGTAGGCCTCGTGGGCTTACTGCTCGCAGTTGTCCCTACCGCACTTGGGCAACTCCAAGGCGTCCCCAACCTGGCCACAGTCTCACAGCCGGATGGCGCCACAGCAAAGACTACAGCAGCCTCTTCTGCGCCCGAGAGTAGTCAAGCAGCAACATCACAAGCCGTCACATCCACATCCACAGCCAATCAAGCAGCAACCACCAGTGTTTTCAACCTCGTAGGAGCGCCAACACTCGCTGGTGTAGGCATTCCCGAAATCAAAGTTCCGGACACAGCCGCTGCGCCTTTCATGCAAAAGTCCAATCTCCCAGACGGCACCGTCTTTATCTGTGTAGGCGCCATTCTCGCATTTTTCGGTGCGGCAGTACTTGTATGGCGCAGTCTCGTTGCTTGGTCGCTGCATCGCTCCGTGAAGCGTGCGGCAATTGCTCAGAATATGGCCGATATAAAGTCCATGTCAACAGTGCCTGGCAAGAAGCGGGGCATGTACAATGTGGTTGGAGCGAACTCGACCATGTCTCTCGACCACTTGAATGCTGCCCCAATTGGAAAGTCTTCGAAGACTTTCGCTGGCGCTCCTGCACAGCGATCTCAGTCCTCTCTGTTCTTCTCACCCACTGCTGGTGGCGCCACAGGTGTGCGAGAATCCATGGCAAACCGATCATCCACCTACCTCCCCGCGGGATACTATGCCTCTGGCAACTCAGCACCCGCTGCAGGATCACCCCAGATGCACGTTGGTGGACAAAATCCCAATAATCTTTCTGCGCTTTCACTGAACACGCCGGGAAACCGGTTCAGCACAAGATCTGCCATTTCACCACCAGAGTCACCATCACTGCCACCTTCCCGGGGAGGATACAGCCGCGCACCACCATCGCGAGATGGCCTCCCCATGTACAACCGCAATAGCGTTGCAACCCTCGGTCAACCAGGCAACACAAGAAGCATGTACGGCAACGCTCATGAAAGCGCAAGCCAGTTGTCCCTCAACGTGCCCGGTGGTTCAAATGTTCCAGGTGGCCGCACGCCGAGCGGGTATCTCGAAGATCTCTTCGAAAACCACGGCAGTGGATCGAGGGATAGATTCTAATTGGATCTCGAACAGCAGCCTGCGAAGCAGCGCGCCGTGAGCGCGATCGGCACGGGGAGTCGGTCGAGGGTGAATCGCTGCGCGTATTTAGCGGGGATGGAGCATGCGCGAGCTGTATCTGCGACGCCCCTCTTGTGGAACCAAACTCGCAATCTGACATGAAAGGACAGCGAGGAAGAATGTGCCTGAACCAAGAAAAGAATGGGTGATCATTGTGAAAAGAGAAGGATGGGCTTTTGTTTATGCTTCCTTCAAACGCACCAGCGTCGCGCTTGTTTTTGTTGTGGAGCGCTTTTTGTGCAGTCTGTGTTCCGTTGAAAAGCTCGCGCTGGTACGAATCACCTTTTCTTCTTATTATTTTTTCCTCGCTTTCGCTTTTCGCAGTTGCTGTGGTGCAACACAGACATCGGGATCCATTGGGGGGTGCCGACCGACACACAGATGACTTGTTATACTTACCGCGCAGCCGCTTCACCACCCCCTTTCTTCTCACCTGTATCTTTTTATTTCTTTGTACATTTTCTTTGGCCGAGTGGGAGCATTGGGTGTTAGCAAGGCGCTTCGGTTTACTATACCTTTCTGTTACTTGATAATGAGGAGGCAAGGCTGGGTTGGGGTTGCGCTTTGATCGTCGTTCTCGCGAGCTTGCATACATGGCTCGTTTGAGTTTGTGACAAATTATATTCCTTAATGAAAGGTTGATGAACTGAGTCGCATTCATAGTTTGTGCTTGTATTCTTAAGAAAGAGAGAGTTGGTGACAAAGTGTTGTGTTAAAATCGAGGTGGTTGGCGGCGTTGCATAGTACATGTGAGATGACGTTTGTCGCACTGCGAGTCTTGGTACACTACGTGAAGCTAGCAGCATAACTTGGTCAACGAGAAGATTGCGGAGGGAGATGATTGGGAAGGACATGTATATGCTGTTCAGGCTTGTTCGGTAGTTGCGATTTTGTCTCGTTTGCTCATATCGGAACGGGAGGGGTATACAGCTGTGGAGATGAGGCGTAGTCCAGTTGGCGATTGATATGACGAAACTCGAGTGCAACCTGCGATGTACAGGAAAAAGATATGTACAGGTATATGCGCCAACTCGAAGTCTATTGCGCATGAACTTATCTTTAATAATCCCACATGAGCGGGCAATGCTGCCTCAAACGATGACCCTAAACGCCTTTCGCTATGCAATATAACCTATACATTTTTCCAGCCGATTGACCATTCCCTTTCTCCTCTACCTACTATCCGGCACATCAGGCAAACGCTCAATAACGTACTTGCCCTTTGCCACACTAACAATCGGCACACCTGGAATCTTCCTTATGCGCCTCTTAAGGTCCCTATCGTTCGTCGCAACCAGGTAGATTCTATGTTTCTGAACTCTGTCCACGATGCAGTCATCGGCATACGTGCCCTTGTGCTCGCACTTGAGGCGCTGCCATCTCTCGTCACGGGCGATTCTGAGCGCAATGCGGTATTTTGGGCCAAGCTTCTCCAACTCAGCCATGACACACGAGGTTATGATGGGCGTGGCTTTCGCGTAGAGGAGATCCATGAGGGCCTTGTCGAGCTCGAGTTTACCGTGGACCGTGTGCGAGAGGAAATTTGTGTCTACAAGGACGGAGTAGGGGGGGCCGAGAGCGGTGTTGGCTTGGAAGAAGAGGGCAGAGGAGACTTGCGGACTGCGAGGATATGTCAGCTGTGCGATGCGGTATGGGAGGGTGGTTATGTTGGCGCAGTTTTCACTACATACATCTCACGCTTTGCTTTGCTCTCCTCTTCTTTCTTCTTCGCTTCTACTTCGCCGGCCATTTGGTTCTTCTTTCTAGAGCAGGCTATCAGCGCATGTGCAGTGGAGGGGTGGCGGGGCGCATTGTCGCATACAATCGGGCATCGCGTTGACCTACAGAGTTTTAGCACTAGAAATCGCAAGCTGAGACTGAACATACCTATGATTTTTTTGGTGACGGCAAATTTACGAGTCCTCTTCTGCACACCCATCTTTGCGGAAGTTTGGAGATTTCCAGTCTTTGCGCCGGATTGGAAATGTTATGGCTCTGGACGCAAACTTGGAATTACTTCTGATCGAAGGTAGAAAATTTTCAGTTTCTTGCGTCGTTATAGGCTGCGTGTATCGTGTTATGGTGATTGTCGCAGACAGGTTGCTGGAGCATGGAGACGGAAACCCAACTTTTTGGGATGGCCCAAGCGTCTACGGGTATGGGTCCGGCGCGCTCTAACCTACCTAGGTCGCCAGTAGGGCCCAGCTAGTTCCGTATATAACTCACACTGGAATGTATCCTAACATAATTCAATTTTTTAGACAGTATAGAATAACTAAGTATTTTGGCACTTTGTTCCTCTTGTTCAGCCTGTTCGTTTCAAGCTCTGCGAAATTGCGCACCTTCTCAGGCAGTCCTTCCACGCATGGTTCGACGAGCATTATATCGCTCTCTTTTAACATCCTAACTGGCCATACTTATGTATTTTGGGCAAGATGATATATGATGCGCTAACAAGCCCCTGCAGTGAGCGGTGATACTCTGTGTGATGCCCTCGGCTCATCTTCGACCTATCTGACGGCGATAATAACATCAGCAGCCCGACCGCGAGGTTACAATGCAGATGAGGATGGAAAACACCTGGTACAGCAACTTGGAGCTACATTAATGCAACCGTCACCGACTAATGTAACGCTGTGCGGTGCACTGCGCCGAGATTCCTAACTTCATTTCAAGGTCTAGGTTGGTAGCCCAGTAGTACGTGTTATTCCCTGGAAAACGAGCTTTTGCAGAAACCGCTCCAGAATAGCCCGAACAAGCTCTTGCGTGTAAAGCAGGACGCTTGTGTGATATAATATTCGATGAGGAACTGCGGGTACACATTACTATTCTATTCTTCGATGGATTCCAACTGAATACCCTTTAAGGGTAGCCAAGACTGCACACGAAATATGCGGAGAAATCGAGATCCAATATATCACAAAGCATCTGGTTACTTGTAACATAGTACAACTCCGGCCATTGAAATGGTGTACGATGTATGTATGTCGTAACCCATACACACCGCAGGTCGCTACCGGGTACCGAGCACTTCTAAGGCTGTTTCACTGTAGCCACTTTAGGCTGACGGAGATGGACTCGTCCTCTGTAGCTGTTGTATAGCACAACCAGTGTTAGCCTGATACTGCCGCTCCTGCTCCGTAATTACTCGTTCGGTGGCAATGCGATAGTAGAACGGAGCATGGAAGTCCACCCACTGGTCGGACCCGTTGGTTCCTCCGAGGATGCAAACGCTAACCATCCACGACTTCCCAATCACAACAGCGCCTAAATAGGACAAGTTTGTTAATGAAATCTGCTATCTTCGTATCAGACCCGTAAATTGCTTCGTATGGCCGGCTAAAAGGTTCCAGTTATCTTCGATACTGATCCACTTGCCTACAAAAGGATCTTCCTGGTTTCCAAGGTTTGTTGTCAAGGCGTCTCGAGCAGCCACGTTCTTCCATATCCTATCAGAATGCATCGTCGCAGAGGCCAATAAGCATATCAGTTGGTACCGATCCGTGTTCAAGTAACACTTCCAGATGGCTTGTTCACACGTAGCCTCGATGACTCAGCTTGATAGCGTGACCTCTTTCGCTGCTCTTCGAATACCCGCCGTCCTTTCCTTTACTTAAACCGTGTAATTTTAACCTCTTATGCACCCTTCCCCCCTTTTTATACTATTTACCTTGTCTCTTTCTCTTGGTAGCACCTATCCTCCTTCCTTATCGTGAAACTTTTCACCCTTTTTCTTGTGCAACAGCCTGCATACCCTCTCTCCCCCTTGCTTTCCTGAAACTACCTACCCTCCAATCAGTTTGATACTCATTCGGCGCCTTACGCCGATAAGACAAAAGATAGGATGTGAATACCGTGACTTTCTCGATCTTTTACTATCTTTCATCTTCATATAATTCTTATTATACCATGATTAAACACTTGTCCTATCTGATGATAGCTCTATTAATATTCTTCGACTTCACTCTCTCAGCTTCCTAGACCTACAGGGTTCTATTCAACCTTGGAACAAATCAGCAATGAGTCAACAGAACCTATGACATGATTGGTAGGAGGAATTAGAGGTTCTTACTATATTATATCTACTTGGTAGGTAGAGCAATGCGGCCCCCCGCACAAGAGGAAAGACTACGCTGATATTAGGACAGACTATTGTAACCGTGCGAATATCCAGTGTTCGCTTCAGGACGTGCGCACCTCCACACTCCTCGCACAAAAAATACCTGATTAGCTGAGAAGAGGAGCAAAGAAAATGTGTAAAGAAAAACCAGCATCGAAAGCCGTTGCTTACAACGACACGACGAATTTGAGCGAGCACGCACTACTCATCCAGGAAACCAAGTCCACCCCGAAGATCCTCTAAGTGATTATCCTAGTGTATCGCCATGTTCACAGACATGTACATGTCATCGTTATCATAAGGGCCTCATCCTTTGTTCGGTCCACTTGAAGGGGTGCAGCGACCACCTAAGAGAGAACACCTGTGTCTCAACCAGGTATATACGACTCGCGATCCGAGACCAACCACTCCTGTATTGTGTGTGCCCTCAGCTGGACTTTGGTGATGGGGCAAGTCCCACAGCGTCCGTGGCCACACGAAGGGCATGAAGGGGTCGTGTACGGCAATGATGTGTACCCACATCTATCCTAACACCGACACAGTTAGCTATGCGAGTATTTGTCTGACCCAGTTTACTTACACATTGCCATACGTATGTGTGCCTCTTCCTGGCGAATGTACACACTGGAATCGGGTCGCCGTCAAGATGTTCACCCCCCCAATCGTCGTTGGAGCCATTCGAGTCGCGTTGTTCTTCCACAAAGTAAACAAGCTCCAGACAGACGTACATGTGTTCATCGTATGGCTCGTTACCAGGCAGTAGAGTTCCTTCGCAGGGCCGCCATTGTGGTTGTTTTGCATCTCGCCATGGATTGTATAGCCCTCCTTGGATGCTTTCCATCGATGTACGGAACTCAGATCTTTTATACTGCGAGGCTTTCGGTACTAGCTATGTATCTTGATGTATTTTGCGAGAATCGCGCTCGTTGAACTCTATTGGGGTTTTCACATCTTTCAGGTTGTGTACCCCCAACCTTCATGTGGGCTAGCCTGCAGGAAGATAGTGTCACCAAATGCGTCCGCGGGTATCTTTTAGATAAGTTGAGGGGCTAGGTAAGATGGCATATCACGAAGCTTAGGAATGCTTACTCTAAGGATTGTTCATAGATCTTCATTTGGTGGGTAAATGGCGTGCTCGGTCAACGGGCGCTCAGCACTGTCGGTCGCTCTCAACAGCATATAGGAGGTGGTGACCACGTTCCACTAGAACGGTTCTCTCTGCGTTGTAGAAGCTTTGAGAGATGGGCTTGAAGTTTAATCACGTCAGGGTGATGAAGGACGAGGCCGTACTGCCTAGGAAGGGAACGCGTCCGGGATAGTGGAGAATCCCTGTCTGCTAGAAGAATGCAGCAGTCCCACAATGCCTTCCTGTCGTGTGTGAAGCAGAACATCTAGGTATATACGGCAGGTATTGCAGCCTGACTCTTACCTGAGATGACTGCCTTGCATCCGATCCTTCTGGTCAGTCCCGGATCTTAGCACAGCTTTTCCGGGCGTATCTAGGTATACTTCAGATTCCACGCTTCCCGATCGATAAGGACGATGGGAGATGATGAGAGAAACAGAAATCGGTACTCAGGTACCTAGGTATGATTAGCGCACAAACTTTCCACGTTCGAGAGGAGCAAGGGATAAAATGCGAAGGCTAGGTCCGACATACATGCAGGCAAAAGGGAGATTATAGGAGTTTATTAGCGAATCTGTAGCTCTAAATAGCAACCGTCTATCTTGATATTAATCACTTAGAAAATTCTTTATAATTATCTTAGTAGAAAGCATTACGTAACACTTTAGAAGAGATACTACAACAAGTCTTAACTATTAGAATTGAATTCTTGTGTCTATTCTCCAAAGGTAAAAAATACCCAAAACAATCTTTTACTTTCCTACTCTATTGTTATTATTATCTGTGTCCAAGTTTACCTCACTTCTAAGTTCCAGTTGTGCAAAATCTTATACCATAGCTTCAGACCGCTAGTTCCGTATTTCGTTTGTTCTTTGAGTTATTCGATACCCTCTTAGTAAATTACAGTTGTGCTAAATAGTTAGACTGTTGTATATTCTGCAGGATTGCCGCTTCGCATTCCTATTCACTACATAGATTTTATGCGTTAGTGACCTTACGTAGCTTAGCACGCTACCGTGTAACATACACAAAAGAGGACAAGAATGCATATAGTGGAGGTCTTAAGATGAATCCGTGTTTGCCCCTTCCGTTCCTTCCAAATCCGTCACTAGTGCTCAACTTCCCTGGCTATTCTATCTAGCAAACGAATAATCAATTGAACAGTTGCAGGCTATCAATAAGACCAGTCCTTTTTCTGCTAACGTAACGGATGTTCTAAAGTCATACTTAGGAACCGGGGCTTCACTATCCTCCCTGGTACAATAGCCCGCTTACAGGAATTTGTTGAAGTTAACCAGTCCATCGTTCACTATTTCAAACTGTAGAACCGACTTCGGCGATATTGCTCTGTCAGAAGTAAAATATACTCGCGCAAGACAGCGAGGTACAAACTCAAGGTGGGGGGCTCATCGCTGCAGCGAAATGTTTGTTCTTAAAAACCAATTGGAAGTGAGGGATGAAAAAGTATGGAACCTGTTAATTAACCACTCGAATGGGATTCGTGCGTATGAGGTAACATGCATGTGCAAAGAGAGCGGACACTAAGGCTCATAATCGTCATCGGCTGCAGCTAAGTTAACTAACGAAGCTCTGTTGCGCCGAGCTATCGTCTCTCATTCCTAAGCTCCAACCAACCTCCAATCGCAACAGCGAACCACCCACACCATGGTTCTCAAAGCGCTCTCTCTCGTTCCTCTGGCTCTCAGCACCCTTGCTTCCATCACGCCAGCCCAATCATCTCTCGAACCCACCGTTCTCGACCCATCCACCTCCAAGAACCTCCTCGAGCTCCACCGCAATCTCGTAGAGATCGAATCGATAACCGAAAACGAAGGCAAAGTAGGAGCTTGGCTTACAAGATACTTGCGCGCGCATAATTGGACTGTAGAGAAGCAAGAGGTGTCAAAGGACAGGTACAACCTTCTCGCATACGGCAGCACGCGCGAGACTACGATTCTGTTATCTTCACACATCGATGTAGTACCACCGTATTGGCCATACTACTACAATGAGACTACGGATATGATTGGAGGCCGGGGGAGTGTGGATGCAAAAGGCAGCGTGGCACCCATGATAATCGCTGCAGAAGCCATCAGGGAGCATATGCAGGACGACATATCGCTCTTGTTTGTGGTGGGCGAAGAAACGGGCGGCGACGGCATGCGCGCATTCAGCGACTGGTCTGATCGCCCTTCCTCGCATGAGATTATTATATTCGGCGAGCCTACAGAGAGGAAGTTGGTCTGCGGACACAAGGGCATGCTGGGCTTCTCGCTCCAGGCGACGGGCAAGGCGGCGCATTCGGGATACCCATGGCTGGGCGTGAGCGCGAATGATATCATGGTCTCGGCGCTGGGCGAGCTGCTCAAGCTAAGGGAGCACCTGCCCTGGAGCACAAAGTACGGCAACACCACGATGAACTTTGGACGCGTCCAAGGCGGTGTCGCGGCCAACGTCGTTGCTGAGACTGCGACTGCGAATATCGCTACGCGCCTCGCAGCCGGCACACCCGACCTTGTACGCGGACAAATCATCAATGCGCTCCAGGAAGTCAAGGCATTTGCACAAAAGGAAGGTGGTGATCTAAACGTAGAGTGGTCGAGCGAGGGCTATGGCGTTGTAGACATTGACTGCGACATCGAAGGCTTCGAGACTATGACCGTCAACTACGGAACCGACGTGCCCAACCTGTCCGGCGACCACAAGCGCTACCTCTACGGCCCCGGCTCCATCTTCGTCGCGCATTCCGACCACGAAGCGCTCAAGCGCAAGGAGCTCGAACAAGCCGTGCTCGACTACCGCCGTCTCATCCTCAAAGCCACCGAAGTACGCCAAAAGGAGCGACAAGGCAAAGCCAAAGAACAGCTTGAACTGTAAATAAAGATAGCTAGATATATAATACCCAATTACCAAATCTCACAGTAATCACGTGTTACAAAAAGTGTACCCCTACATTTAGTCTGCCAGGAGAAGAATCTCGCTCAATAAATCAGGCAGTTCTGAAGCAAGTGCTCGGTGTGCGCCTCCACCCAAGTCTCGCGACTGGGTAGATGACCACGGTGATTGTTCTCGCGCGTTTGACCCTTCGAATAAATCAAAGGGGTACAGAGCCGACCAGCAATAGGGAAAATGCATAGGCCGTCTGTAGGATCTGTTCGATGCGCTGTTGGTAATGTGTGGAGAAAGGGAAAGGGTAAGGGATGAGGGAAGCTCTTATGTTTGCGCAAGCACGGAGCGGAGAAAGGTCCGACCGGAGCGACGATTAGGTAGACGTGAGCGAGCGGTTGGCTTGGAGGAAGATGAGATGTTACCGTAAGGTCATGGGAGGAAAGAACGGCCCTCATCGCACGCATATGTATGCATTCACTTACCCAGTGTAGATGCAATCCACCTGCAACGCCCACAATGCTAGTCTCTCTTATCATACACATATACTGTACATTTCCATAACGCCACAATGCGAACTTCTTAGCTCGCGATAGCTGGCACACCATCCTCCTTTTGCGCAATACCTTCCGCCTCTTCTGCTGCCTTGGCCGCCTCCGTCATGCCCAAGTCCCTGAACTGCCATCCATCACTCTCCTTGACCCAGTCTTTCCTCTCTCCTAGAATAGCCATACTGCTCTCCTGTGCACGCTTGACAAGAAACTGGTCGGCTACTGCTTGCACCTGCTCTGCAGTAACATCGAGCAGACGCTCACGACGTGTTTGCAGCATGTCGTCGGTCACACCAGAGAGAAACTGTCTCATACCCTCGCGGCTGACACTCTGCGGTGCATCATAGCCTTGGAACGCGCTGAGCTTGGCTTCCTCAAGGTCTTGAGCAGTCCATGCACGGTCGCGCGCCCATAGTCCTGCTTCAGCCATGATCTTCATGCTGTTCTGTGGGTTGGGGTCTCTATACGAGTACATGCCAAAGACGCCACCGAGACCACGGGCATATGCGCCGCCGCCATATGCCCCACCTTTCTCGCGGATCTCGGGGTGCAGTTGCTTGAATGTCAGCATTTTGGCGAGAATCTCGAGAGGCGCACTGGCAGCATCGGTATAGGATACTGTTGGAACAGCGCGGGCGGAGTAATAGACTTGGTAAGGGAGGGGAAAGAATGACTTTACGTTGCGGGGGTATTGCTTCTGCTGTGATGTTGTCGGTACAGAAACGTTCTTTGGCAGCGTGTTCAAAAAGCGATGAAGTGCTTCTTGGTTCGATGTCGAGCTCTCACTACCGCAGTTGAGGGCCACGCGAAGCTGGTTGCTGTTTGCGATGGTGAATGACTGTATAGCTTTGAGCTTCTCAATAACATCGTTGAGTGATTCTTGCGACGCCAGGGTCGTCATAAGCTTGACCTGAGTGATACCTCCTGTCTCTTCTGCTAGCCGACCGACAGGGCTTGTACCAGCCTCAGCAAACCGCATTGCATAGGAGTGACCGGACTCGGCAATGGAGTTGATTGCGCCACTTGCCGCGCTTTGTAGTAGTTCTCGAATCTTCTTTCCTGCTTCTGGACTATCGAAGTCGGTCTCTTGTATGATGGTCCGGATAAGCTCGTACATGTCTGGGATGTTGCGATCAAATGCATAACCAGAGAAAGCCATACCCTCTTCGTAAACATCGAGCGATAAGGGTGACTGTGATGAGTGGTATCCCACAGAGATACCTCCAGTTTTCAGCTTGATCTGTTCCTCGAGCTGTTCCATTGTCTTGTCCTTGGTGCCAAGGCGCATAATGGCGCTTGTAAATAGAGGAATCATCTCCCGTAACTCGTCTGGAAGGTCCTGCAACTTATGTACAGCGCGGAAGTATGTCAGACCATTTGTAGGTGCCTCGCGCCATTGAACCTTGACGCCATCCAAGTCTGTATGTCGAAGTGGCTTCCTCTCTTTCTCTCGTGGAATATCCTTAACGTGGACGGTGGGCAAGCAGCTCAGATCTTCGTTCCTCGCCTGCTCTTGTACTTCCAGTAGCTGAAGCTCTCGCTCTTCCAAGTACTTTCGTGCCTCTTGTTCGCTTGGGAATTGTTTAGTAGTCTCTGAGATTTTTGCTGCCAACCGTTGACTTTCCTCCTCTACCAGTTCCTGGCTGAAGGTCTCTGACGGCTTCATAGTGAAGGTTAAGGTATTGTCATTGAGGAGGTACTTCTCGATCAGGCTTTCCAAGTAGTCTCCTTCAACGTACTTCTTCTGAAAAGCATCTACGGTTTCCTGCCATGCGAGAGCCTCCATTGGGTCGATGCCGTTGAACCAGCCCGGCTTAAGTCTTTGGAGGATGCCCATACCAAAGTTTGCTGTCTTGTGCTTGAGGGAAAGTTCCAGCTGGTGTAATATGCCATCCACCTTGATCTTGTCGAAGCCGTTTTTCCGTACCTCAAGCAGAGTCTCGGCGATAGCTTCGCGAACCTTTGGTACGTCGTCTGCCTTGACCGCATCTAGCCCCACGGAGAAGACGCCTCGCCTTCCGGCGCTGTCATAGCCAGTGTTTGCACTGAAGTCGGCTCCAAGACCAGATTCAACAAGGTTGCGGTACAGGGGAGATCCATATCCACTCATAAGCAGGCTGCTCAGCACACCAAGGGCAAAATTTTCCACGGAATCAGCGGTGTCGCCCATCATCCAGGTGACGGACGTCTTGTACTGTCTATCCTGAGGTACTAGGGGGTCTAGGGGTCCGTCAACTGTAACATGCTTGGGGGCTTCCAGAGCTATCGGCGCCTTGACTTCCTGGTCGACAGCTATCTTGTTGAAGCTGCTCAAGCGGCTATCCACCTCTTTCAGATGTTCGACCAGTGGCATATCTCCATAAGTGAGAATCTTGGCGTTGCTAGGGTGGTAGTGGTCCGCATGAAACTTGCGTAGCTGTTCCCAGGTAAGATCAGTAATCTTCTGGGGATCGCCGCCAGAGTTGTTGATGGCCGGATAGAGGTGGTCCTGGAACTTTGTGTAGAACAAATAGCTTGCATCTGACATCTGGCCCTTCATCTCATTGTAAACAACGCCCTTGAACACTATGCGCTTTGCATTCGGATCTTCCGACTCTTTCGCCAACGGGTTCTCAGGACCCAGTCGCCACCCCTCCTGCGTGAAGTCGTTTTCCTTTAAGAGCGGGTGGAGGGTCGCATCAAGATACACGGACATGAGGTTCTTGAAGTCTTGGGCATTCGTCGTGGCGAACGGGTAGCCAGTGTGGTCGGCGAATGTCCAGGCGTTCATGAAGTTGGACAGGGAACGGGGGAGCATCTTGAAGAAGGGGTCACGAATAGGGTACCTAAGCTGTTAATAGGAGGTCCTAGGTTCTGGTCAACGTGACATACCTTTCGCTTCCACATAATGTGGTATGCTCCAGGATGTGTGGCACTCCGGTGGCATCTGGCGGGTTGGTCTTGAAGCCAATGGAGAAGACATTGTTCGCATCCTCGCGGGCAATGTGCAGGTACTCGGCGCCCGTTTTGTCGTGCTGCAGGTGCAGTGCAGTTAGTTCAAGCTCCGGCACTTGCTTGACGCGCTTAAGGGTGAAGCCATGCAGCTGCTCGCCAACACTCGGGAAGTTGGAGACATCGGTGATTGCGGCATATCCACGTCGAGCGAAGGTTGACAGGCGGTGCGGGGCTATGGCAGCATTTCGACGGCTTTGACACTGTCGACCAACAGAGCGCAGCATGATCGGAATTGCGGGTGGGTGGCTGACAGGCGTAATGCTTCAACTTCAATCGCTTTCACAGGCGGGACCAGAAATGTCAGAGGCCAGGCCATCGATGACGCCTGTCCCGCCGATTGGCCGAGGGTCCTATGTCCCCAAAGTAGATTAGGCGGCAAAATTACTAAGACGCACTCGTGTGCCTGTATGGGCGTGGTGATGGATTATGGCATGTTTGACAAAGTCACATTGGCCAAGCAAGTGTATCCTTGCATCTGTTGCGGTTTGATAGTGAAGCTTGTGGGCGTGGTGGAGACTCTTGGACGCTGTCTTGTGCCTCTGCGCCATTGAAACCACCAACCTCTGCTCCCCTCCTTCCTCTTCGACACCCGCCACGAGACATTGTCCAACCTAACCTGGACGGCTACGTGACCTCGGCCCGTACATATTACTACAACACGTCGCTTGAAGCTCCCTCGACTGTCCCGTGTGTCTGTTTTGCACCCGAGCAGCTCTGAGACGTCAGCGGACGGCTTGTGCCCTCACCACGCGCATCGTAGACTGGCGGCGGCGGCAATACGGATGCGCACCCCGCCGGCACACAGGACTGTTTTGCGAATTTGTTAGATTGGGACCATAGGCGGAGGATTATCCGACTCAAAGCCGACGACGTCCCCCACAACCGGCCTGCTAGACGGAAGAGTCACGGCTTCATGGCAACCGTCGCCCAGCAGCGCCAGCCGACGTCTGCCCAGTCCCGTCCACACCACGAAGCAACCCGCAGCGCATCTGCCTCGCCCGCAAACATGGCACCCTCACAGCATCCCCCGGCGCCTGCGCCTGCGCCAGCCAAAAAGGGCAAAGGCAAGAAGGCGCCAGATCCATCAGAGCAGCAGAAGCAGATCCAGGCCAAGATTGCTCAGCTTGAGCTGGACCAGGCAGGAGACAAGGAGCAGGAACTTGAAATCGGTGCGTCTATCCATACGTGGCGACGGCGACGGCGATGCGGAGGCGGGCACACCCTGCGTGGCGCAGTCACTGGCTGCACGGCATGGCATTTGGGCTAAAATCATATGAATCGCTGGCTGACGAATGGCATGGACAGAACGCGAAGTCAAGAAAGCAAATCGTGAACTTTCCTCGCTCCTCTCCAACATGGACGGTCCCTTGTCCCGCCTCGAAGTCGTGCAGAAGCGATATACCGAACTCTTATCCGACATGAAGCGCACCGAACGCGAGCATCAAAAGGCGAAGAAGCGTGGAGACCAGTTGCAGAAAGAGAAAGATGCGCAAAGGTCCGAGTTGAACAAGGTTACCACGATGAAGGACAAGTTGGACAAGTTGTCGCGTGACTTTGCAAAGGAGAACAAGAAGCTCAAGGACGAACTACACAAACTCGAGACCAGCGAATCGACTGCCCGACAAGAACTACACGACCGTCTGGAACATCTTGTAAATGACGTAGACGACTGTATCGCTGCTGCAAACGGGCCAGAACCTCCGAACCAAGCTGAACAGGAACTGGATGAGCTGTAAGTTTGATAGTCTCAGATCATGTCTCCTCAGACTAAAACAACTAGATTCCGCCAAAAGTTCAAATCTTTCATTGACCAGTACGAACTGCGCGAGCTGCAGTACCACTCGATGCTTCGACTCAAGGAACTTGAAATACAATATCACTCCGCCCGACTAGAACAGCAGCGCAAACAACAGGAAGCCGAATCGTCAAAGTCACATCAATTGACCCGCCAGGTGTCGACCTTCTCGCAGACAGAGACCGAACTCCGCACGCAGCTCAACATATATGTCGAGAAGTTCAAACAGGTACGTCAAGTCCTTTAACCCCCAGTTGATCAGTATCATCATGGTTAATACTGACCAGATGCAGGTCGAGGAAACTCTCAACAACTCCAACGATCTCTTCCTCACGTTCCGCAAAGAGATGGAAGAAATGTCCAAGAAGACCAAGCGCCTCGAGAAGGAAAACCAAAATCTACAACGCCATAAAGACATCACGAATCGAAACATTGGTGAGATGGTAGAAGAGCGCCAGAAAATGCAAGAGGAGCTCGCCAAGAGAACGAGAGAGACGGAAGAACAACGTAAGAAGATTGCTCGGCTGGAAACGTTGTGTCGCGGGATGCAAGCACAGGGAAGAGGGCAGGTTCCGATGCACGAGTTGGAACACGAGGGACACGATGAGGAGGACGAAGAAGTCACGGAGAGCGAATATGAATACGAAGACGAAGATAGTGCAGAGTACGATGACGATACGGAGGAAGACGGCGTCGAGCCCGCACCTGAGCGTAGGCCGTTTGGGCCTGTGCCACCACCTCCGCCTCAACCACAGCCAGTGTCACAGGGGAAGCTTAACGGACACAAACAGGCCAACGGGCAAATGAATGGAGTCAAGCGCTAATAGCAATATCAGCCACTGATGTTCCGGATTTGCCGCATTGTACAACTATCGCTTTTACACCCATTATTCAGCTAGAGCTGCCAGTGTCCCTCGGAAGAAGCCATGGCGCGTTTGCGTCTAGGTGGCGAGTATGTGAAACTGCAGAGTGAACTCTCTGAGAAGGTTGGTGAAGATGTCTCGACGTGACATTGGATGTTGAGATCAATTCAAGTGCCGTGCATCCTTTCTTGAACATGCATAACCCTGATGATTACACCCAGACTTGAAACTGTGACAAGGTTATCATCTCAACAATCATGTCCGACTTGGATACATTTCGTATAGTTACATTGTTCGTGTTTTGAGAATCTTAAAATGTTGGGCAATATCTTCAGAAGAATGCTGATCAATTGCCAGGTATCAAGAGAATTAAGACTGGTATCAAGACAACCAAGACAATCAAGACTTGTATCAAGAAAACCCAGACGCAACGAGCCTTGATCTTAGTACTTGGCTAGGTAAACGGTATGGGAAAGGGGACGAATCGGCCGGTGGAGATACAGATGCCTCGGCACGATTTCCCCGCAAGACCCTTGTCATCCAGGACACCTCCTGCTGCAGGCGCTGCCGTAGCCGGTATTTAGCATCAACATGCCCACTATAATCGCCATGCCGTCACGTATAGCTCCAGAGTCTCTGGCGTGCTGTTCATACTCGCCATTAGTCTACCCAACTTGATATTCGATTGCTTCTACTCCCTTTCCACACAAAAAGCTTCTACCACCTGCGCCAACATGTCACCTCCGTCATTGCAAACGCCGCTCTCGAAGCTGCTGGGCATCCAGTACCCAATTATTCTCGCCGGAATGGCGCGCACATCCGGCGGGCCGCTTGCAGCAGCACTATCGAATGCCGGCGGCCTCGGTGTCATTGGCGGTCTGGGCTACACTCCCGAACAGCTCCAATCCATCATTGACGACCTCAAATCCAACCTTCGCGACAAGAACCTCCCTTTTGGTGTTGACCTGGCTCTCCCACAGGTCGGTGGTAGCGCACGCAAGACGAACCATGACTATACACACGGCCATCTTGACGAACTCATCGAAGTCACAATCAAGAATGGCGCAAAGCTGTTTGTCAGCGCCGTGGGAGTGCCGCCAGCGAGGACTATCAAGAGGCTTCACGAGGCCGGCATCTTGATCATGAACATGGTAGGACACCCCAAGCATGCGAAGAAGGCGCTGGACGCGGGTGTGGATATCGTATGCGCACAGGGCGGAGAGGGCGGTGGACACACGGGCGACATCGCAAACAGCATCCTCATACCGGCCGTCGTCGACGTGGCGCGCAAATACAAGAGTCCTCTGACGGGCGAGCCAGCTATGGTAGTGGCAGCAGGAGGCATCTACAATGGTCGCAGTCTAGCGAGCAGCTTGATGCAAGGCGCACAGGGTGTATGGGTGGGCACACGCTTCGTAGCCTCGACCGAAGCTGGTTGTTCACAGATGCACAAGGAGAACGTTGTCACGGCCGACTTCACAGACACAGGGCGTACTTTGGTCATCAGTGGTCGTCCTTTACGCGTTCGATACAACGACTATATCAAGGACTGGCACGAGAGGGAGGATGAAATCAAGAAGTTGACCGACGCGGGCATCGTGCCGCTGGCAAAGGACATGGACGATGGCAAGGACGTGGACATACCGTTCCTGATGGGCCAGGTTGCGGGCGTGATAGGGGACATTAAGCCCGCAAAGGAGATTGTAGACGACATGGTGCAGGAGGCGGTTGAGATGCTGAGGCTGGGCCAGACGTTCATCGCGGGTCCCAGTAGCAAGCTGTAAATACATGTCGAGTATCCATGTTTGGTCTGTATTAGTGATAGTGTTGGAAGGCCTTGTACGATCGTACGGTGAATAACAGTAGCTAAGGTAATCTTGTGTATTGGTATTCTGGTGTATGATGATTCTACGAATGTGGGGGCTACGAAGGTATACATAGCGTTGGGTCCGAGTTGGGCCGAAGTAGGATCGAGGCGGTACATTGGGCCTTATTAGGCGACACACCGTGTGTATGCCGACAGATAGACTGGGCCGTGCAGTGCCTCAATACTGCTTCATCGTATCTCGGACCCTGCATCTTCGGGCTGCGTTCTGGTGTAACGTGGTTTCAGAAGCGAACGACAGCCTGTCGGCGTGCATGTTTGCTTCGAGGCTAGTGATTTGTTGTACAATATGTATTGATATTGTTGATATTGACAGCCTGTACACTACCAGACACAGGCGATGTGGACCATGGGGTGTGGAGGAGAGTAGGGACCTTCCCGAGTGAGCGGCATGTGAATGATCTGCAGCTAGGATAGCGCTCCGCAAAGCCAGGGCAGCACAAGCTCAGGAGAGATGCGATGGAACACGCGGTGCCTCCGCAATATTCACAATTAATACCCTTCTGCAGTTCCGGTCGGCCAAACTTAGTATTCTTATCCTCGTACATCTCGAACGCCCTAGACCCCCTGGCGTTTGCGGTCATCTCCACTCTCACTGCCATTAGGCGTCGATTGGCCTCTCTCACTCCCACGGCGCTCGCTCGCCAGTCAGTACTCTCCTGTTCATAGATGACGCTGGTTGCGCAGTCGACACCACGGAGCAGCGGCGCATCATTCCATGCAGTCAAATCTCAGAGCCCAGGCTGAGATTCAGGCCCAGAGGAAGAAGGTACCTATGCACCCTCCTTCCCGTTTACCGTACACGCTCGTGCGCCGCACTGAGGAGCCCCCGGATCCATGTTTCGTGTACACATTGCTGATGCTGGAATTATAGCAGCTTGCGAATTCTTATAAACAGTTGCTTGAGTGAGTCGCCCACGAGATAATTGCTTTTGCGCGCCTGCCGTCTACGCGTTTCACATGCACTGCTCTTGCTGACATGGACACAGTGAATTCGCCGCGACTGATCTGAAGACCGTCGGAAACTACACTCTTGGGAGGCTCATCGGCAAAGGCAGTTTCGGCAAGGTCTACTTGGCGTCGCATAAACTCAGCAATGGCTCCAGGGTGCGATGACGGAATTGACAACAAGCCAGGGTCGGTCATGCTGACCGCAGACAGGTCGTGCTCAAGAGCGCAAAGAAAGACGACTCCAACCTCGCGCGCGAGATCCACCACCATCGACAGTTTATACATCCGCATATCGCCCGCCTGTACGAGGTCATAGTCACCGAGGAGTTGGTCTGGCTGGTACTCGAGTACTGTCCAGGCGATGAACTATACAACTACCTCCTAGCTAAGGGCGCCCTCGAGCCCGCCAAAGTCCAGCGCATCTTCACCCAGCTCGTCGGCGCTGTCACGTACGTCCACAACAAGTCATGCGTTCACCGCGACCTCAAGCTCGAGAACATATTGCTGGACAAGCACGAGAATGTCAAGTTGGTCGACTTTGGTTTCACGCGTGAATATGAGGGCAAGTCAAACTACCTGCAGACATGGTGCGGTACCATTTGCTACAGCGCTCCGGAGATGCTCAAGGGCGAGAAGTATGCGGGAGAAAAGGTGGACGTCTGGAGTCTGGGCATCATTCTCTACGCGCTTCTGGTCGGCGAGCTCCCCTTTGACGACGACGACGAAATAGTCACCAAGACGAGGATACTGAAAGAGGAGCCCAAATACCCAGAGAACTTCCCGCAGCAGGCTAGAGAGTTGTGCCAATTGCTGCTATCGAAGCGGCCCATCCTGCGACCGACGCTGGCAGATATATTGCAGAATCCATGGCTGTCCGAGCATGCGCCACGTCAACAAGAAATCCTGAAGCTTCAGCAGCCGGCACCTTTCTCTACCGAGTTGGAAAAGGAGGTTCTGCACCGGATGCGCGCGGCTGGCGTGGATATTGACATGGTAATCGAAAATGTGCTTGCCCAACGATGCGATTCTTTGGCTGGTTGGTGGGCCCTGTTACTTGAGAAGGAGGAGCGGAAAGCGAAGAGAAGAGAGCGCAAGCGTAAAGAAAAGGAAGCTGAGGCAAAGAGTCTGAGACGGCTGAGCGCTGCGAGTAGTCGTCTAGACAAGCTCGCGCCCACTATAAGAGAAATGGATGAGGAGGGCCTACATTCGCCGTCCACGCCCAAGAGTCGCGGAAGGACTATGAATCGTAGCAGCTTACATGGTAAGTTCGGCGTTACATTCAAATCGATAGCATTGTGCTCACTTGAACCAGGTGCTCCCGAGCTACCGCGCCTGCCAGAAATTGGCACCTCTCCCACTCTGACCATCGACGACAAGCCCCTCCCTCCAATCGATACCCACCGCGGTCGCAAATCGCATTCAACTTCGCGGCCGCCGGTACCAGGAAAAGATATAGATAGGCGAAGGTCACGCAGTAGCATGCTTCAAGTCGTTTCCAGCAACCCCGACCTCCTTTCCCCGAACGGCTTCGTGCCAAAGCGGCGACGGAAGCAACCGTTTATCAACCATCTTCTGTCACTTAGAAATTGGATAAAAGAGACATCGAAGCGGGCACGATCACCCGGCTCAAAAGCTAGTGGCGGCCATTCACCAAAGTTCACCGAGAGTAGGTCTCCAGATTCGAAAAGGAGGCAAAACACGACGAACCGATCATCTATAGCGACAACGCCCAGGACGCCGCAGACACATATGGCACCACGTCCACGAGGCTCAACCCACGGTTCGGGCTCCATGAGACGGCTTTCAGCGTCTCCTGCACCACTCACACCGCGCTCCTCCTACCGCCGTTCTTCTGGTGGTCTCCGGGGTCGAAAGTCGACATCCTCATCTGTATCCTCCATCCGCTCTATGCCACACCACCACCATACCCACAGCAAAGCCTCGTCCATCTCCTCAGCCTCACTCGCCTCTCCCGCCGGCTCCGTCAGCGGTTCCCACAAGCCCTCAAAGTCGCCACACAACAGCATTAAAGTCCTACCTGCTACGCCAACATCCTCATCCTTCCCTTCCAACATTCGCCTTGTACGCTCCGGCTTCCCACCCGGCCTCAACGAGTCCAGCGCCGCGTTTGGAAACGGGAATTCGATTCCTCCGCAATCTCCAGGTCTGGTGTTTGCAAAGAGGAAGAGGACGCCGTTCAAAGGGCCTATGATCAACACTAGTGGCAATCCCCCGGGCAGTGGGTGGAGGAGCAGGAACGGAGAGGGGGGTACGGGGAGTAGAGGAACAAGTGTGCAAGGGAGAAGGAGCGGAGAGATTCTGGGCATCACCGAAGAAGACGAGGAGGAAGAAGAAGTTGAAGAGGTGGAGACATTTGGCGGAAAATTGGCAGAGGGTGAGTTTATAGAAGAAGAGACTGTTGCGCCGCCTATGACACCCCCCAAAGACAAGGGCGTGGCTTTATAGGCTTGATGGTTCTTCTCACTAAAAGGGGATTTATTGGTTTGTTTGATATCGGGAGAAGTGCGTTGTTGGATTGGTGTGAATATTTCGGCCATTTTCGTTGCGGCTTTCTTTCTTATTGGTGCCTTTTCTTTTGCAGTGGATAAAGCGTGTTGATTCCATCTTCTGTTTGTTCATTTCCTCCATCCACGACATAGACTTGTAGCCACCGTTTGGTCATTTGGATGCCTACCTGCAGTCTACATATCGTTCTCTTCTGTCCATTCTAATTCATACATGCATCGGCCAATATTCTTATCGTCGGCGCCATTGCCATGACCGCATATGTATGTGTACATGGCGGAGCTAAAGTCACGGGTCATGTGTATCAGAGAGTCGCCGTTCAAAGGAGATCTTCACCATCCGTGTCGGTCCGCCCGTGTTAGCCCGAATCCTTTGCATCATTCACGGAGAGCTCCAAGGTTTTCGCGTAAGCGGCATGACCTGTTCATACGACATGTGTACTGTACTGTACTCTGAAAATCGATAAATCGATGATGCTGGGTAACCTCGCACACTGACACGTGTATGCATACATGGATGCAGGTACGGCAACTCCGCGTCGATACGATTCCGAGATGGAGTTTGTGCATTCAGCTAAGTTGGCTACTACGCCCAAAGCAAGCCTGTTGTTGCACATCGAATTCGAGGAGGCGGTGTGGTGTACATCGGATTTTGATATCAAGGTTGGATTGGGAAAAGTGGTGTGACCACGTACGACCTGTGCTCACGAAAAGCTTCGCAGGACAATTGTCAGTGCTGCAAAAGTGCCGATGCTCGCTGACTGGATATGCAATTACCGACATGAAGCGTCGGAGATTTTGAAGCGGTCAGTCTGTCAGCATGCGGCAGTGACATTCTCATCGTTTAGAAAACCGACGATTCGAGTCATGATCGCCCATGAAACATTGCCCATCAGGCATCTCGATGCGCAGTGACATTGCGCCCTGTGCGAGACTATTGCATGGAACCGCACGAGGCCAGGAGCCCGAGAGCCGAGATGTGGGAGGCGGCATGCATATTGCCAACGTTGTGCGACACAGAGCGCCGCAAGGACCACGGTGGTAGTCAAGTTGGAGGCTGGGCGTTGTCGCTGTACTGTACATGTCTTCAAATGAAGGGTAGTGAGACCCAAAAGTCGGGACAGGGCCAATGGCGAAACCTCCCATGCTCTTACCAAAGGGTAATATGTTTCGGCTTATAGTTGATAACAATGGCGTGCAGCGTGGGGTTTTGGGCGCACGGGCGCCACACTCGACGAACTGCTGCTTGAGAAGATGCAAGCTGCAAGGTAAGTCGGAAAGATCGACATCTGCACAAGCCTCATAAGTGCCATTGCTACACGGTAGAAGTCAAGTAGAAGAAAGACGGAAGCAGATCGTTACTCGGCACTCGCCTTAGCAACATGGCAGCGCATGCTGGTGACAGTGACCACGCAGCAGGTCTTGGGCTCCAACATGTGAATACGGATGGCAAGTCAAGAAGCGTTGTGGTGGTTTGCTCGGTCCTTTAAGGCGTTTTTGACTTGGCCAGTCACGGAAGACAGCCACAACAACCGCATCTCGCTTGCGATTGCGTGCGCGTTGGGTCATACGAAGCTTCGTACGAGGTTGCAATATATTTGACTTTGTTGATAACAAGCAGTGGCAAGCATGAAAAGACGGTGACATGTTCATAACATGCGGATTAACGTGCTGGTGACTAGTTAGTACGCAGGTATTGAATGGATAAGCAAAGGTATGCCGCCAATAAATGACATGGCACAAAGGTTGAGGGAGGTACAAATGCCTCCTAAACCGTAAACGGGTGGTTTGTGTTGCTCTAGTACGAGAAGATTGGGGGGCGGGGCTGGCTGTGCCTGTTGTCCAAGCCTGGCCTGTCGACAGACGCATTGGAGACAAGCCAAGGTCAAGGTTAGTTGTCGCGTGATGAGCATTGGGCAGATCTACATCTTGATCAATGCGGACTCTGGGGACGACGACAGTCTAAGAAGGCGCATATGTAGGCAGGTATAAGTCGGCGTCTGTACCTGCATGGGCTGAAAGCGAGGTTAGATTGAGAGATACGAGGGGACCTAGGAGGCCCCTGCATATGGCAAGTTGAGACGGGAGTTGATATCGAACGACAGTCGCTGACGCAGATTCAGTAAAGACGTAATGGAATTTAGCCGCTCCAGTGGCATGACGCGTTCATCCACGGTTGCACGTACTCGGGGCCACAACAAAGTACACATGCAAATTAATACACGTGATGCTGAGCGGCGAGTTTGCGATAACTCTATTTGCTGGAAGCCGGGCAGCCGTTTTTATCGAACCAGTGTGTCGAGCGTGAGACGACAGCCAGGCCCTGGCCAGGATTGTAGAGGTTCCAGGCCATGGACGGGCTGACATTGGAGCATGGAGGGGCAGTGCTAAAGCAGCGCCAGTGCGGCGGCTGCGGGACGGGTCAACGGGTGACTGACTGTAAGATGTGACGTCCGAGGTCACGACCAGTCGAAACAACAGGGCCTACGAGCAAAGCCCGAAAAGCTAGGCAAGCCAGGAAGCTGAGCAGTCTGTGCCTGTCGGGTTAGAGGACGTGTATGAGATGTTGTTGGTGCCAGACGTGGGGTCAGTAGGCGGGTGGCCTTTGTTGCGAGCACATGCCGCAAGAGTGCTAGTGGCGTCGCGATAAGGAAGTCGCACGCACCGTGTTCTTCGAGAAGACCAGCGGGCGCCACCAAGCCGAGGACTCGACACTGAGTTCGCCGCGATAGCGCCGGCAGCCAGCACCGAAACACGTTACTGGTTCCGACACGCGGGACGTAAATCTGGAGAAGATAATGAAATGAGTTAAGCGACCGAAAGTAACAGTTTAGCCTCTTATGGAGCCTCGTTGGATTGTTGGACGCGGCCGCGCCACGGATTCGGGTAGTCAAGAGGCGACGGGCGATGGACGGAGCGAAGGAGCGAAGGAGCGAAGGAGTCGAGTTGCAAGATCGAGCTATCTACCTACGCCAGTTTTGTCGGTGGATAAAGACTGTCAACCGCCTCCCCACGCTCTTCACAAAGGGCAAACGCCACCAGATTATCCAGGTCTAGGGACGGGTCACATCACCCTGCACGACACTGCCTCCAAGGCATTGAGAGTGGAAGAAGATAGGCAGCTGGTCACTCCGTTGCGCCCGATAGAGACGCTCCCACACTTGAGCCAAAAACAGTTGCACCCCCCGGCCGCTACAGATCCTAGTCCTTTCCTTACTGTACCCGCCGTTCTGGGCCTGATCCTTGACGCCTCTGCTTTCCGAGTGCGAGCTCGCACGCTCAAGAATAGGTCCAAGCCCAACCACCCTAGACCTCAGTACTGTAGTCATATCCCGCTCCTGCGCCCATCGCACAGAGAAAAAGAATTTGGTCTCCGACGGCTGCACCGCAGCCACATCCACCGCCGTGCAGCATCACTGCAACTACTCTCATTATTCCTGTGCTTGTCCCTGTCGCACCCTTGCGTCTATCCAACATGACCCCCGAAGACGAAATGTACGGGACGGAGAAGAGCTTTGGGAGAGCATCGCAAGGGTCCGACTACTTTGGCGAGTCCTCGCGGTACCAAGACGGCCTTGGGCGGAGGGTGATTGAGAGTTTTAAGAGAGATCCGAACTTCGCCATGACCATGGCTCCCAAGGGAACGACGGCAGCAGAAGGCAACATTTTCGATCCAGAAGCAGCAGCAGCGAATACGGCAAACTCGCCACTCGCGCGAAGGCTGAAGGGCCGACATTTACAGATGATAGCAATCGGAGGTTCCATAGGTACGGTAACTGCCATGTGTTAACCAAGTACATGTTCCGGCCTAACTTGTCTAGGTACCGGTCTCTTTGTCGGCTCGGGACAAGCGCTAGCAAATGGTGGCCCAGCGTCGCTCGTCATATGTTATTGCCTCGTCGGTATAATGTTGTACACCACTGTCCACGCGCTGGGCGAGATGGCAGTTCTGTTCCCGGTCGCTGGTTCCTTCTCTGCATACTCTACCCGCTTTCTGGATCCGGCATGGGGTTTCGCCATGGGTTGGAACTATGCTCTGCAATGGCTTGTCGTCCTTCCACTCGAAATCGTCGCCGCTACCTTCACCATTGAATACTGGAGTGGTGGGTCCATTGACAACAATGCATGGGTAGCAGTCTTTTTGTTCCTGGTCGTTGTCATCAACTTGTTCGGTATCAAGGGATATGGAGAGGCAGAGTTCATCTTCGCCATCATCAAAATTACGGCAGTCATTGGCTTCATCATTCTGGGTATAATCATCAACATTGGCGGTGGTCCGGACGGCGGCTACATCGGTGCAAGATACTGGCGCGACCCAGGGCCCTTCAACAACGGCTTCAAGGGCGTCTGCAGCGTCTTCGTCAACGCCGCCTTCGCCTTTTCTGGAACTGAACTCGTGGGTCTGGCCGCTGCAGAAACTGCTAATCCGCGCAAATCCCTCCCTACTGCCGTAAAACAAGTCTTCTGGCGCATCTCCCTGTTTTACATTGTCTCTCTCACTATTGTCGGGCTGTTAGTTCCTTACAACGACAGGCGTCTCCTACAGGACAAGAACAACGCCGATGTCGTTGCTTCGCCTTTTGTAATCGCCATCCAAAATGCTGGTATCCAAGGCCTACCCTCGGTCTTCAACGCCGTCATCATGATTGCTGTACTCTCTGTCGGAAACTCGTCCATCTACGGTTCATCACGTACTCTTGCTGCACTGGCAGAGCAACATCAAGCCCCCAAGATCTTTGCCTACATTGACCGTCAGGGCCGCCCTCTAGTTTCGATTGCGTTCGCTTCTTCCCTCGGTCTTCTTGCTTTTCTTGCTGGCGCAGATCGCAAACTGCAAGACGCGGCATTCAATTGGCTACTCGCCCTCTCCGCCCTCTCTGCAGTTTTCACATGGTTGTCCATTTGCTTGGCTCATATCCGCTTCCGCCAGGGCTGGAAAGTTCAAGGACACAGCCTGGACGAGCTTGCTTTCCGCTCACAGCCTGGCATCATCGGTTCTTATATTGGACTGTGTTTGAACATTCTCGTCCTCGTGGCACAGTTTTACGTGTCCGTTGCGCCCATCGACATGAACGTACTGTCAACCTCACAGCGCCTACAGCGCTTCTTCAGTGTTTATCTCGCCCTTCCAGTCACCCTGGCATTTTATTTTCCCTATAAGCTGTGGTTCCGTACCTCATTTGTACGATCCCACAATATGGATCTCGTTACCGGAATCCGGGAGCTGAACTTGCAAGTACTGATTGAAGAGGAGCGCGAAGAGAAGCGGAGATGGCCCAAGTGGAAGAAGGTGTACAAGTTTTTTTGTTGATTGATAGATACCCTGTGGTGGCGTTTTCCTCACTCTCACATTTCATTTTAGCGATGGCGCTGTTTTGTTTGCGCATTTTCAGGTGTCCCGTTACGATACCAGGCGGCATGCTGAGAAGCATCGCGCAGCCTTGCTGCAAGTTATCTTTTCGTTTGTCTACGGTTAGTTATGTCTTACAGATGAATATTAATAATCATAGATGCGGTGCATCGAGTTGTATTTGCATGGTGATTGTACATAGCTCCAGGAGGGGAAGGAACGAATCAATGCAAAACACTACTAACGATTCTAGTTATTCTTTGTCTCACCATGGTCGCTGCAAACAAGGTGAACTGTGGCAAACAAATAGGCGATCAGAACATTCAGTCATCTGAAGATCAACAGCGTTCCAGGCATCCAAAAACTCAATGCAACCAGCTGCCTTCCCTACCTACCATTAGCAAAAAATTAACTTTTAACCCATATGAGGGAAGAAAGGGCAAAAAAAGAATCAGATAGAAGAGGTCTTGCCCGGAATCGAACCGGGGTTGCCGGAAAGCTACTGACATGCTATCAGAATCCGGAGTGATAACCGCTACACTACAAAACCGATAACAAAATCCGGCTTACAAAAATTATATACACCGTTTTTAAACATGAAAGAGACTGATGACCAGCAAAATACAGTGCCCAAATCGACATGTGCCATGAGACCACTGTTTAGGGGAAAGAATTTGCAAAATTTCTGTTCGCATGAGGTGGGGTCGGCGGGGTCTAGTAAAACTCTGGCTGGTGGGGCAGGAAGCTACAAAACCATATTGACTTTGCGCAGACTCTTATTAGTGTACTCGTAACCTCTGTTAATCGTTTTAGGATTGGATATTAGGCTTTGACTTGCTCAGCATCACATCATCGTTTGTAGGTTAGCTACGCAACACCTAGACTAATAGCACAAGGGCGCAAGGCGGCTACATATCGAACAACAGGCTCAGCACGAGGATAGCGAGAATATAATCACGAAAAAACTAGAATATTCTCATCTTACGCATTCCTGTTTCATTGGTTTCCGGGTTTGTCAATGCGTACATGGCATATGCGACATCTGAAATTATGAGCGTGAATTTGCTACCCGCTGAGCTATAAACGTAGTATGCAAGTTGGAAAACCATGCAAGATATTATCCTTTTTTATTTGGAAATTCCAGGGACATAGGCATGCCTCAAAATTTGTACTAGGGTGTGAATTCATCCTTCACTTACGCCTCTGCCAATAGGGTAGGTTACAAGAAATCATGTCCTAAGCATTGCTAACGGCTTGCACAATGGCTCCCTTCACTCCCTGATCCAGACCATCTAGCTTATCCATGTCATCCTTGTCGAGCTCAAAGCTGTATACATCGGCATTGGTGACAATTCGAGATGGCGTGTCGCTCTTGGGAAGAGGTACAAATCCCTTCTGCAGGCTCCATCGGATTAGAATTTGGTTCGGCTCCTTATTATGCTTCTTGGCGATGCTGACGAGTGTCTCGTCGTTTGCCTTTTCATTGCGCACGAGAGGGCAATAGGCTTCGACTACTATCTTATGGTCTTTGCAGTAGTCGACAATCTCGCGTTGTTGGCACCAAGGGTGGAGCTACTATCTCATTAGTTCATGGCGTTGTAAGCAAGGAGACGAAATGTCACGAACCTCGATTTGATTGACGACAGGTAGAACAGCACCTTTGCGGGCCGTAGAAACCTCCTCGACGTGGATCGTGGATATTTCCTCAATGTGTTGAATGCCGTAGTTGCTGACGCCAATGTCTCGCACCTTGCCCCGGTCCTGTGCGAGCACCAACGCGAGCCACATTGTCTTCCTGGCCTCTTTTCCTGCATTCGGACTGTGAACGAGGAACAGGTCCGCATAACCGTCTTTCCCAGCCAGCTTCTCAACGCTCTCGGCGACTTTCTTGTATGTTGATTCAACATCCTCTGCAGGGCTCAAAACCTTGGAGGTGATATAGACATCCTTCCTTGGAAGCCCGCTTTCAGCCAATGCCTGGCCAACTTGCTCTTCGTTTGCGTAGTACTGGGCTGTGTCGATATGGCGATAGCCTGCATCAAACGCCTTCTTGCAAGATTTGACGCATACGTCCTTAGGTGACAAGTATACACCAAAGCCGATTTGTGGGATTTGGTGTTGCGAGCCCGTCAAGGGGAACGTCGCATCTATGCTGAGGGGTTTCGCCGACATCTTGGATAGCGGGGTAGTGGTAGAGGAATGCTTAGACGATGCTTTGAGCAATACACTACAGAGGTAGATGGAAGGAGCAATGCGTGAAGAAAGGAAGTTTACGGGTAAAAAGAGCATTAGAATGTGTGGGCAAACAAGTCAGCTATCATTCTTTCCTAGGTAGCTCTATGCCGCATATCGCAGTTGCCATGCAGTCGTGATGTCACTGCGGGGTCTGAAGAGGATGCATGGAGCAGACCATCCCAAGGCCAGCTATTGATGACATGTGAGGGCATTTGTTTGCTTCGTGCTGCTCAACAAGAGTTAATTTGAAGTGGAGAGAATTAGCCCTCGAGCGCATTGGAGCTTGACTGCGCCACGCTAAAATCTACTATCCCTGCCACATGTCAGGGCTCCCCAACAATCCTGCCACAAATGCGTGCATACCTGGTGTCGTTGTCCAAACCCAATGAGGGCAATTTATGTGTTAATATACTTCGTTCGTATATCATGTTGAATCCTAGAAGTGCATACTCCACTGCCAGCTTCCATACGTATACATACCACGTCGAGACTTGGTAACAATGTCATGCAGACCCCATTGTTCGTTGTTATCTCTCGCCTAGACCTGACTAGTGACATTGTTTCTACTAAAGATGATGGGATGTACGAAGATCCCACTGTGAACCGCGTGGGGGGAGAGGACACTCAGAGCTGACCTTACCCATCTTGACACTTGAGGACGGCCAAGAAGTTTTATTTGATTCGGTAGCTTTGTATCAGGCCGGATTACTTACAAAAGAACGGTTACATCTTGCGGATTGGCAGACAACATCTCACTTGTGTCGTCTCTCGAGCTTTTTCTGAGGAGAATCATTCTTTTTAAGCTTTGTTTGGAAGGTATTCCATAAGACTTAGCAGCACATGGCAGACCACCGACTCTAAGAACGCTGTCCAGGAGTTTGGCTTGATTTATCAGTCCCCAGCCCATAGATTTTTATATCACGGAATAGCGCCCCATCCGCAGTCGTCGAAACTAGAGGAGTGGGTGCTGTAGCCGACTTACCCAGTTTTGGCTTCCGCCTTGGGCATGGGACTAATTGAAGTTTCGGAGTCGGTATGGAGCAGATGAAGCGTCTTGCTCAATTGAACGTATGAGCCAGACAGTGAGCCCGCGACAGCCTTACTCTGCTCTACCATGCGTGATACAGGGGGTTCATTGTTGTTGGCGCCGCCCGATCCGTCTTTGCGAATTCGTACCCGAGATCGGGAAAGACATCATGAATGTAGAAGAAAAAAGACAGTAGCTTTGTACTGTGGTAAGGCACGCTGTTATCGAAAAAGGGGTGTCATATAAAAGCTGAACTTTGAGTAGAGTGAGGGAAACAGGTGGTGAGCGCATCGATTAGGGTGCAAGGACCCCAATCCTGGGCTGCGGGGCTTGTGCTTGCTAGCGCGAAGCGCGTCACCCCACCGTGCAGGAGCAAAAACACAGTTCTAAATTCCACTATATGCTGGATAGAGGTAGTCTTATGGGTTAGACTAAAAGGTCGCTGCAAGAGCAAAAAAAGAATGGTTGTTTCCGACACCGGGAATCTATTGAATGTTAGAGGTGTGAATCGAAGACAGGCTCGATGTGAAGCTTACCGAACCCGGGCCTTGCCGGCACTGAACAGTGAACTAACTCTGCGATGAGAGCGGCAAATCCTAGCCACTAGACCCTTGAAGCTTGTTAGCAAGAGGCTGATGAGAGGATTTAAGGCAGACTAACATATCGGATGTGATTTGATAGAGAAATTTTGAATTAATGTAAATATTACTGTGCACATAAATGCAGCAGGAACGTGAGTGGGGAAGGAAGGGTTTGCACACCCTGGAACCGGAATACACCCGATAGACGGTACGCACTAAAACGTAATTTCACAGCATGTGGTGGAGCACTCGCTTCGGGACTTACTATTAAGAACATGCTACACTCAATCTATTGCATCATTACAAGTAGCGCTGAAAGTCTGTTTTATGTTGAGATCAAGAGTAACTCCACGTTCATTCAATCCATCACTGGTGTATCAGCTCTCTCCGGTGTTGAGCACGACAGCGGAACCATTCCGAGCAGCTTCATGCCATTCTCAAGCACAATTGCAGCTGCTCCATATAGCGCAGCAACTCCCGGAGTTACAATTACACTCTTTCCATCTTCACCTTCACCCACGTCGTCCTCTTCCAAGCACTCAGCAAGTTGCTCCGTCACGATAGCAAGGTAAGCGACTATGCTGGACGGCTCGAGCGAGTGGAAAGTGGTATCCATCACCTCTGGGTACTGCATCAGGATGCGCAGGAGATTATGCTGCTCCTCCTCCACCAACTGTTCGTAGTCTTCGTTCGAAAGCTGTGCTGCAGTATCAGCACCCTTTAGAAGGAGGCGAAGTCTGGTCAGCCAGTACTGCAGATCTGGGCCTGAACCGAGTTTGAAAGTTGTCATCGCGTTGGTATCGAACGCATGAGCGGTAGCGAAACGGGTGGAGAGCTCTTGAATGAGCAGCGAGGAGATCGCTAGACCTTCTCTCGTAAGTACCAAATCACCCATCGACGCGAGCTTATCGTTATCGGCTTCTTGAAGACCTTCCATCGCCTCCTCACATTTGTCGAGTATGCCTTGTGGAGTATACCCTCTTCCCAGGGCTGTCACAATCTTAGACGCCTCATTGAACTTGACATGCTGTAGCCTATCCGCAAGATCCTTCATGTCCAAGGCCTCCAAAATCATGGTAAGCTGGGTGAAGTGTACGCTATTGTCACTAGCTACCACGTATATCATCTTGTCGAATGAGTACCTTCTCGAGCGCTCCAACGCTGCGGCAAGGTCTCGTAGCAGATACGTGCTACTTCCTGAGCGATCGCGAATAATAGCGGTCCCGGCTTTCGCACCAATGTTCTGCATGTGTACGATCCAGGCACCTCCACTCTCTTCAGATAAACTCTTATTTTTCAACATTTGCTCGACCTCAACCATGGTATCAGGACTAATTTGTGACTCGCCAGAGTATTCGTCGAAGCGGATGTCCAGTCGGTCGTAAAACTTTGCATAGTTTGCGATGTTAGTATCTCGTACACGCTTCCAAAACGCCACAAGTCCTTCGTCGCCTTCCTCGAGTTTCTTGAAGGCTTCGTTTCGCTCCGCGAAAATGCCCCTGCTTTCAATCTCAACCTGCGCCTCGCCTTTATCCCCCCCCTCTTTGGCCATTTCATCACGAGCTTGCTTGCTTGCAGCCTGTTCAGGCTTAAAGTCCTCTTCAATCTTGCGATAGACTTCCAGGAGATGTCCAATTGGGTCTGTATCATACGCCTCTTCTGAACCATACTTTGCCCATCCAACATACAGCAATGCGATCGGCTTTCCCCAGTCGCCGAGGTAGTTGACGCGAGCCACGTCCCATCCCATCGATGCGTATAGTCGGCCTATGAAGGCACCGATAACCGTACTTCGCAGGTGCTTCCCCTGGAACTCACTCGTTATATTAGGCGAAGAAAACTCGATGACAAGTTTTCGTTCATGTTTTACTTCTAACGAAGTGGTAGAGCCATAAGTAGTCCTGCGGCTCGTAATGTATGGTAGCAGAAGGCGCGCTAGTGGGATTGGCTTCGTGAAGACGCGGAGGTGTACGCCTTCCAGAAAAGGCAGGAGGAAGAGTGGGTGTTCCTTTGGAAACTAGGAAGGCTTAGCAATTGGATTGTCGCTGCGCGTCAATGAAGTTTGAATGGTATGCACCTTCTCCATGAGCTCAACAGCTACTGCATCTGCTTTAGTGCCAGGCCGAAGCTTTGGAAGTATGACAGCAAGATCTCCGTTGGAGATGTTGTTCGGCCATTGTATCGACTTGTAGGCAATGCTGATGTCACAATCGAGCGCTATTGCCAGTATTTGCCCAAAGTAGGTACGATAGATATCTAGCGGGTTGGCAAGCACCTCTGCTCCTTCCACTTGGGGGATGGGAACGCCGAGATCCAAGGACCCAAGGGACTGCTCGAGCGCATTCATCTCAATTCAATCGTTTTGTGATTTCCTTCAACAAAGGATGATTCGAGTGCTTTGTGGATCTTGACGATGCTTGTGTACACGCTCTCGATCCGCTCAACAGAGACTGCGGGATGATCAGCAGCGGCAGAAAGTGTTTCACGTCTTTTGTTTCCAACTGGCTTAAAATGTTCACCGGTCGTTATCATCAGCCTCATCAAAGTAGGAGCTGACTGCCACGTCGACCAGGCAGCGTTCGTGGTTCTCCGCAATTGGCCCTCGCTTCATGCACCTCATCAGCCGTGATCAATGAGATGGCGATACTCGTCATCTTGAATGCGCGAGGGAAGAGTGAGTTCTTTGATTCGTTTGCCGTGTACACCAACTCATGTATAGTAAGGTGGGGTAAAAAGTTCTACTGATATGGCGGCCAATGACACGGAACTTTGGAAAGCTCCTGCGACTCTAGATGTTGCCTTCACATAGGTTCCCTGATGCCGACACGTCATGATGCTTCGCGATGTCATTCCATGGAGGCAAACTTTCAGCCCAGGGTATACAATAACCTATCTTGCATCATATCGCTTTGTAAGAATATAATCAGGGTATGCCTGGGTTTCTCTCTGTCTTGCAGTACAGGTGTGACGCGTTCCATGATACCGACAGCTTTGACCTGATGTACTATCAAACTGTCCTCGTTCGTCGAACCGACCTAATTCCTGCTATATTTCTCATGATGTTGTTGCGATCGCCTTGCAGGGCCTGATTGCCACGAGTGAATATGACCCTCCACCACTGAGGTCTATATGCTTGCCTGGCCTTTACCAAGCGTAGTAGTTGAACGATCAGCATTAGAACAATGGTAGAACCGAGAAAGGAGATTAAATTGCGCTTGAATGCCATGATGGGTGTATCAATCGAGAAGAATGAAGACACTACGCTCACTGGGCAAATATAGAGTATCATGAGGTCGGCGTTGTTGTTGTTCTGTTGCATCATCTGAGCCTCAACAGAGCTCTCTCCCTTCTCGCATTGTTCCTGGATCTGGGATAAGGTCTTGTAGAGCGCCTTCAGCTTTTCGAAGTCTTTACGGATGGCAGCGAGCATGTTGCGAATCCTGGGGGCGCAGGATGGTGAGGTCGTAGTGGTGAAGTATAAGATATCACCACCAGGCGCAACGAAGTTATCCCAAAGGTCGGTGGTAGCTTTAAGCACTGGCAACAGTATCTGAAGCCGCTGTAGCATAGTTTGGTACCAGTATAGTAGATGACAGGTGCAGCTCATATATGCCCGCTCAATTGTCCGTACAAGTCGATCCCATTCGTTGCGTATTTGTCGAACTCTGGACTTCAAGGTCGTCAGAAAGTATTCTCGAGGATCCCAAATTGGAAAGTTGGCATCCTGTTTCCCTCTGATGATCTGATCATGCTGAACGCCAATGTACGTAGAATCGTCATCATCTTCTTCATCTCCAGCGGGCCCATGGTCTTTGTCGAAATCGGTATCTTCAAATCCATACACGGTATAATGTCGTGCACTTGTTCCACACATGGTAACAGATACCTGCGCCGGATAGATACCCAGCTCACCATCTTTGTCCGAACCTGGTAAGACCTGCGCGATGAAGGACAAGTCTATCCATTCTCGCCGTAGCTTTGTCGTCGTATGATTTCTATGGTATGCATCGGTTCGCATTGCAAAGAACGGCAAATGTAAGTCGAGTTGGAAGATGAAGATATCGCTAGTCTATCGGCTGGCATTAGTATGCACAAGAACCAAAACACGGCAGGTATAACTTACAGAGAGATTGACCTCCAACAGGGGGCTAAAGGCTAGATGTTGGGCGATTGCTGTCCTGAGAGCTCCATGTTGATGACGTGGAACTGTCTCTGTGAGTGCGAAGAAGTCGGGAGGTTCCGGATCGGGCATGTATCTGAATCCTGGTATCAGCACACTGGCAATCAAACAAAGGCTCATATACTTACATAAGGCGCCGATCAGCATCTGGAAGACTTTCATGGTCGAAGCGCTATTGTATGAGTCAGTAATCATGTATACGAGGACCATTCGTCAAACCGGCTTTGATGTGTTGAATAGTTGGGTAGTAGCCTTCAAAAAGTGTCATGCGGCAAAGACTTGTACATTTGCGCTACGCGACACACTGGATCAAATTAAATTGCTTTACCTTTTCTTTCAACGCATTGTACAGTGTCTTCGCTGTCAAAGGAACGTTATAGCTTCTGGAGGGGGGAGAGTATCGAGCTGAAGGCCTCCTTGCGCATGGGGCTTCGTTTCCTCCGGGGATCGGGCTTGTAGCAGGCTTTTCGTAGCTACTGGACATGTGAGCATTGATAACGTGTCCGTCCAGGCTCGAGATTTTGCGCCGAGTGTTTCCATGCGAAGACGATGACATCATGTTCGGAAAATACGCCGTATACGTCCGGTCGTCCAGCCAAATGAACTCTCTTGTCTGCTCGTCAAGATCAGACTTCTTTAGATCTTTACAAAATTGAATGATGTCATCAACGTCAGTCGAAATCGTGTCTTCGTCATCGGTCCGAGCAAAGAGTTCAATATTTTCAAAGTCGGGCTTTTGCGGCAGAGACCGTAACTGTTCCATGTATGAAATGTCGTCTTTCGGTACTGGAGTATTGTAATATATCTCACTCCATTGCTTCTCGAAAGGATCTATAACGGCCCAATTATGTTTGCTGATTCCGGTGTCCATATAGTGTCTGCTGGATCTTAGTGCTGGAAGCTAGGGCTTCCTTGCTTACATACCTGCTCAAAGTGCCTCCCTGAGCGCCAAGTCCGCTTGGTGTATTAGTAGATATCATTGGAAACAATTGGTGCCAAATGAATTATGACACGCATAGTACAATCCATAGAGCTGCTCTTCTCAGATGATGCCCGATCGGTGAATAGAACGTACTGCACAGTAGAAACAACCGCTTTTGTGATCGCCCATCTGTCATTATATACATGCGTCCCCTTGTATCCTCGGAGTTGAGCGATACCTGCATAGCCATCAGTATCGCCCTGCTCTTGTCCAATAGTTACCCACATATCACTTCACCCAGCCCTCACAATTTCGTGGTCACACAGCGGTGTAAATGCGCACGTGGTATCGATCCATTCGTTCTGATTAGAACCACGTCTTTGCGGAGGATTTATGGTATAGTAGGGCTTTCGTAAGGCTCCCGCATGTATGCTTCGATACACAACACCGCCAGCCAAGCTATGCGACTAGAAAGACTACTGCACCTGAGATCAGCTATTTCTTGTTTATTGGTTGGGTGTAGAAACGCAGGGAAATGATCCTGTCGACCCGTGTATGCGGTAATGACGTCGATAGTCTTCAAGTTAGAGAGTTTCAGGCTGCAGAGCCAGCCGTATGCCTTGCGCATATCTCTCAGCCTCGTTGGGCTACGACCAAAGCCCAGCTTACCTGCCTGAAGGACCTCACATTTGCCAATAGGACTATCTAGAGACCGTTGACCGCCGTTTGCCTTCTACCAGCAAGACCGGCGGGTGTATACATCTGACGTGCATAACTGATTCCGGCAGATCGGGACGCACAACGTACCGGCATTCATCAGACTGGATCGGTAGTTGCGCCACGTTTGCCGAATGAGGAATGTATAAGCAGAGCTTAGAACAACGTCGAACATTGTAGTGTCAATGTTAGCAAGGCCAGCTGAACTCACTTGCGGCATCGATGCATGTTCACCGATGAGCATGGAATACACAGGTAGGACGCGAGGATAGATGATAGAAATTGATGCAAGTACGACAATCAACAAGTATAGTTTTAGAAGCCGCGGTTGTTGCGCACCATATTGAAGGTTTGTCATATAGCTTCATGCGTGACTGAGACACTACAGGGGAGTCAGCATGTAATCAATCGGAATCGTCTTCTCACGAATACATCACATTTCTTTGATGTAACTTCAATACTTTGTCCCTCGACTTACTTGCTTTTCTCTGTCAGGTCCGACGTCTGAGGCCGACTTTGCGTCGCCGCCCGAAGCTGCAGCCACCTGGAGTCGTGTTAGATGTTCGTTGGCTGGTATGTGTTGATCCAGAGGTCAAAAGACGGGACGGGAATTGAAAATAAGGCAAATCTTCCATACCCAAAGGGCACTGTGATAACCCTGGTTGTGATGTGCTCAGATGACTCGCTACAGGGGGATCTGACTTCGAGCTGGATGTGCGTACTTGTACTCGCGTCGTTGTACAGTAGGCACATCTTCCATAACCACAACCGGGACAGCCAGCACTTGTTATCGGGATAGTCGATGTCCCGCAATGACACTTGATTGTCAGGGTATGTATTGGAGGGTTTTCAATCAGTTGCGCTCACACAATGCCAAACGTATACATGTCTTTTCTTGGCCTAGATGAGAGGGTGAGTGATTCATCTCCTGATTCGCCCATCTTAGGCATACAAAGGCATTAACGGGTGGTCGGGCAGAAAGAACTGAGAGCATATATGAGTCGACCAATCAAACGAGCAGAGTTGGGCAAGTACGTACCAGTACGTCTGCATTGGTTGGGCATTTGTGACAACACAGTGAGGTCGATTTTCGAGTTATATGAAGGAGCTGCTATCTTAAAGAACATGACACTTCCCCTCTGAAAATCCGGAAAAGAGCAATGGTGTTTGGTTTTTTTGCAAAACCTAGACAATATTTTCATTGCCCCACTTAGCATGCAGCATCCCTTATACGACCCTAGGCAGGTCCAAGACAGACAATCGAGAGCCTACCTAGATGTCTACCAAGGTAACATTTAGGCTAGTCCTTTGATCGTCTATCTTGTCCATTGACGAGAATGCTGTCCTCTTCTTGTACCCTTCCATTTTTGAATCTGTATCGTCTTGTGAAACTCGATGCTGGGTGGCGAGGTTGCTGTGCCACGTCATGCATCAATATTATGTGCAGGGATGGTGTAAAGCCTTCATGTACGCTCAAATCTTAGAACATGCAGATTGCGTGTTTCGTTGAGAAAAGAGTTGAGTGAAGAACCGATGGTGTGGTAGATGGAAGGACAATTTTAAGGTAACGCTAAGTTGTATTCAGCATAGCATTGCTTTCTCTACGTTCGTTGCTCAGGTTACGGCTGCACAAGCTCCTGGAAGAGTCCAATCACGTGGCTGCTCACGCTCTGAGGGTGCGCTGACCCAGTTTAAATTGTACGGGTAGACTACTACTGTAGTCCAAAGGCAAAGCAATTATGGCCAAAGGCACGAACGGCCTAGAATGCACACGCAATCCTGAGAGACATTGTCGGGCACTGAGACGCATGTGTAGTGGAACAGGCCGGCATAAATACATCCATGGAGATGAATTGAACCCGTCTTCATCCGGTTGCTTAGCAGTGCAATGGACACTGACTCTTGCCACCACGAAGATGTGCTACTACCTTGGCTGTACAATGTCATGTTGATAGGGACAGTGAAGTAATCTTCCGATTTGGTGTATGCTTGATATAGTTATGGTGAGGAGATGCTCATTAACACAGCAGAAGGTGGTCATCTGCTCTTCTTTCCGTACGAGGTAATACATGGGCAGCCGTTGATTACGGTGGGCACGTTCCGCCAATGACCTTAAGATCCGGCGCAACCTGCGGACAGAACAAGGCGGCTACGCGCGGAGCTTGCATGCAACGTAGTCGACATCCCTCCGTCCCTCACTATGCACAAAGCCAGTCGTCGACAGTAATCTGCTGTACCTCGCAGTATCGCATACGGTTCTTCTTCTATTGGTGGGAACAAGGCAACCACGACATTATCCAGAGGGATAGGTTTTGCAAACACGACTACCGGCCCTGAAACGCACCGAACCACGCCACATATCTGCAACAATGGCGCCTCCCGGGACGCCCTTTATCTATCGGCTCTGGCACCTTTATCTCGAACCTGTTTTTGCCCTCAGCGGCGCGTACAAACTTCACTTTTCACCGCTCGACTACTTTACCTACATGCCATCCACAACCGCGTATAGCGCTAGCTCACAGATACTCTGCGACCAGCTGGCCTCGGCCTACCTGCTATTTGCATTCATCGAGGGTGTACTGCTGCGGGTTGTGGATGACAAGAGGACGTGGCAGTGGATTGTGTTCGGCTTGATGCTGTGTGATCTGGGGCACTGCTATGCAGCCTGGTGTGCGATGGGAGATGATATCTTCGGGGCGGCGGGCTGGCAGGGGAAAGATGGAGTCACGAACACGCTGAACGTGATGCCTGTGTTGGTGAGGGCGGCGTATTTATTAGGGATCGGAGTACCTAGGCAGGGACAGAAGAAAACGGCTTGATGGATTGTATGTGGTGAGTGGGCAGGGCTATATGGCTATGGTACTTCCTCATGGATGTCCATCCTTAATGTGGATCATATCTTACTGGGGCGGATATGCAAGTTCGGAAAGTTTTGTAATGTCAAGGATTTACCTCGCACCTGCCTGGGTAGGCAATGCCTACAGCCTCACATGACTTGCTCTCATGAGCATTTACATACATGAGGGACTTGTCCATCTTGGCGCCTCGGAGGCATCTATCTGCAGAATTTGACGAGTTCCCATGCACAACCCACATATTTTTATAATTTGGTCCACTCCAGGCACACTTCAGCCCCTCGAAAATACCGGTTTTATCATTTCTATGTCAAGCATTCCTATCCGACATGCATGCGTGCCGTGTGGGGGGAGTCCAACATCGAATTCTTTGTGCGACATCGTATTCTGAAGAAATGCCATGACGGCGATACCTGCCAAGTTGAGGCGGGTAGCAATTTCCCCCACTGCCCCTCAGCAGCCTAAGTAGACGGGCGGCATGTGAAAACAGCAGCGTGCAAGAAGGTTGGCTAGACCGGGAGATTCAGCGTGCGGCATAGGTAGACAGTGTAGAAATACTAACCAGATTCATGGGCGCGCGGGGTGTAATTTGCGACTAACGGAGCAACACCCGCAACTGTTAGGCATGCGGGCAGCAGCAGGCACTTTGTTGACAACTGATTTCTGCCAAACACGTAAAAGTGATGCTCGTCGAGTCAAGGCGCGACTCGAGCGGAGCAGTGATTGCATGGATGGGCAGTAAGATGGTGGAGAGGCCCACCAGCGAGCTGTGCCCTTTCGGTATTCCATAGGTACGTCATATGGTGACAGCGGGGGGAAATCTTGCAAATTGCGACAACAGGCAAAGAACACGCAGCAAGCAAGTTCCTTGTCGCAAGCAGCACGCATCGTTTGGTATCAAGACAGCCAATACCGCCCAAGTCCTTGTTGCCGTAAGCTACCGGCAGCACTTTCTTGCGTAGGCGCCGAGACGACGCGCCAAAGGTTTGGAAGCTTCCATTGTCAACACGATCCATCGAACCTACCGGAAATTTCACTGCGCTCTTCCACCGCCTCGATATCCTCACCTCTCCTGACCTTAGCTTGATAAGGGCCCCGCAACCTCTCTCACCTGTATCTGATAGCCATTTCTACGCCACCTCCCGACCTACAATTCGTTATCAGCGGGCAACAAGGCCAGCCCACTGCCCATCATGACTACACATGTTGTCTCTCTGTAGGTATCCACGTTTGCTCAACTGCCTATAAACGGCACCTTATCTATTTCGTTTGTAGCTCTTAGCCTTTATCTCGTCTAATACAGCCAGTTTCTTGCCCTATACTGTAGATTTCCACGAGTCAAAGTCAAACTCCAACTCGAGCCCCGCCAGCTCACCACAGCCAGCTCCCACACAGCTAGCCGATGCCGGTCGCCAGCCGTCTTCGGCCACGAGCATACCGAGTGTACGGTCAGGTAGCAAGAATGAAGAGCAGCCCCAGAGTCTCCTTAAGCAGGCGCCTCCGTCGCACATCCAGCTGCCCAAGACACCGATGCGCATGACGGAGCACGAAGACTTCTTCACGCCAGGTCAGCCCAGTGCCGCCACACATTTCCCCAAACCAGCAGACCCCCGGGGCCTGGTTCGTAGTGATGCTCATGTCCCGGAGTGGGGTGCGAGTGGCTTGTTCTTCAACCAGCCCATATCGCGGGCTGAGCCAGCGCCCCCGGATACCATCTTAGAGTACGCCAAAGCACAAGAGCGGGCCCAGGCTCAGAAGGAGCGCATGAAAGGCTCACATGCTGGCAAACCTACAACAGATCCGCGCTGGGCAACCGAGTACTCGGTCGTACCTGCTGTCCAGGGCAACGGTGGCCTGACCAACGCCGTCCGTGCTGCAGTCGACAACAAGTGCATCGGCGACATCATTTTTGTCGGCCTCATTGGCTTTCCCACTGACAGCCTGAATGAGGACAAGAAGGCGGAGATCTACGATAAGCTAGAGGAGGAGCACGATGCTCTCACCGTCTTCGTCAGCGACAAGGACTTTGACGGCCACTATGCTCACTACTGCAAGACAATCCTATGGCCCGTCTTCCACTACATCATCCCTGACCACCCCCAAGAGCAAGGCTTTCCTGGACCACTCATGGGTTTTCTACGTCAAGGTCAATCAGGCCTTTGCTGACAAGGTTGTCAAGAACTACAAGCGCGGAGATGTCATCTGGATCCACGACTACCATCTGTGTCTCGTTCCCCAGATGATCCGCCAAAAGCTACCAGATGCACAGATTGGCTTCTTCCTGCACACGGCCTTTCCATCGTCCGAGGTCTTCCGTTGCTTAGCTGCCCGCAAAGAGCTGCTTGATGGCATGCTTGGTGCAAACCTTGTCGCATTCCAGACTCCCGAGTACGCTCACCACTTCCTGCAAACATGCAGTCGAATTCTCTCAGTAGAGGCTACCGAGGATGGAGTCCAACTCGAGAGCCGGTTCGTCAACGTATGGTCATCCCCCATTGGCATTGATCCCCGTGCCCTTGCTCTAGCGCGCGAAGAGCCCCAAGTTTTGGAGTGGATCACTACCATGCAGAAGCGATATGAGGGCAAGAAGGTCATTGTCGCTCGAGACAAGTTGGACAACATTCGCGGTGTACGACAGAAGCTGTTGGCGTTTGAGCTGTTCTTGAACAAGAACCCGGAATGGAAAGACAAGGTTGTAATGATCCAGGTCGCGACATCCACAACCGAAGATACCGAGCTGGCTGCAACTGTGTCAGAGATCGTCACCCGTATCGATGCAGTTCACTCAACTTTGACACATAACCCGCTCATCTTCCTGAGGCAAGACATCGCCTTCTCACAGTACCTTGCACTCCTCTCCATCGCCGACGCTCTGGCAATCACGAGTCTACGTGAGGGCATGAACCTCACCTGCCATGAGTTTGTCATCTGTCAAGATGGCCGAGCGAGTGAGAAGAAGCACAGTCCCGTTATTCTCAGTGAGTTCACCGGCAGTGCCTCGATTTTCGATGGCGCCGACCTATCCGTGAACCCATGGGACTACAACAACATTGCCGAAGCATTTAGGGTCGCTTTGGAAATGTCCGACGTCGAGAAAGAACGGAGGTATACAAAGCTGCGCAATATGGTCATGCACCAGACCGGCGACTTTTGGGTCAACAACCTAAGCAATCATCTGTCAAAGGTTCATGCGGAGCAGTTCAAGCGGGACACAATGTCCATTCCCCGTCTCTCTTCTACCAATCTCTCTCGCAGTTACCAACAGTCTCAGCGGCGACTGTTTGTACTCGACTACGAAGGCACGCTTGCATCGTATGGTTCTGTTAACAACACAATCCTGGCGAATACTGAGCGTGTTATTGTGGTACTTAATGACCTTGTTGCCGAGGAGAAGAACGTGGTCTACGTCATGACTGGCCGTACTGTACGCGAGACTGAACTCATCTTCAACCGTGTACGTGGTCTCGGCCTCATTGCAGAGAACGGTTGTTTCCTGCGTGAGCCCAACACAAACGAGTGGATCCAGTTCCCCGAAGAAGAGAAGACAGTCAAGTGGAAGGACTCTGTAAAACCTATACTGCAGTATTACCTTGAGCGTGTAGAAGGTAGCTGGGTCGAGGAGCGCCACTGCTCAATCATCTTCCACTACAACAAGTCTAACGACAAAGACGACTCTTCAAGTCGACATGCTGGCGACTGTGCCAACCACATCAATGACGCATGCGAACAGCAGCGCGTCAAGGCAATCCCCACCAAAGACTCTGTTGTCATTGAGCCCGTTGACTTTGACAAGGCATTCGCGTCACAGCATATCTTGAACAAGTACCCGGAGGAAGCTCGGCCTGACTTTTTGTTCGTTGCCGGTAACGACCGTAGCGATGAAGCAGTCTTCCATTGGGCAAAGAAGTTGAAGGATGAGAGTATCATTCCTAACGTCGAGACTGTCACAGTGGGGGATCGCAATTCGATTGCCATGTCGACGCTTCCTAATGGCACAACTGGTGAGTCTTGTATCAAATATTGTGTTGTTGAGGTGCTAATGATGGTTGTAGGTCTACTAGGTGCTCTTAGCAAACTCGCCAAAGCCCAGCGCTCGTCGCCATGAAGTTAACGAGGTCTCACGTGGGCAAAAAATTGAGCATGATGTCAGGGGCACATATCTCATGACTTGACGAAAATTAACGGAATGAAGGTATGACGTGACGAGCTCCAGGGTTAATGGAAACAAAGGAAAAGACTACAGTTCGCGTGAACATTGCAGTATGCATGAGTGGAGTCCGGCGGTTCTTCCTCCTACAGAATCTTCCTAGATACCACAATCAAGACCTAGACTCTTACCATATGGGGAGTCGTAGTTTTGACATGATGATGCTCTTGATGACTTGTGTACATTGTAATACAGCCTCCTGGGATTAAATAATGAGTGTATAAGTGGTACTTACTCGCCCAATATCCTCGGCACGGTTTAGTTTGTATGTTCTTGGTTTTCTATGGTTCATCCAAGTCTTGGACTGGGGTATCTGTATACTGGGTCAAGGTCTCTCATGATAACTTCTCCACGGTCAGCATGCCCTGCACATCGCCTTCCAATGCCACAAGCCCGCTCGACTCGATTTGCTTCTTCCACTTTGTAGACTCGTATCTCGCCGTTATTATCGTGAGTCTCAAGACCGGCTCTACCTCGTTGTACCCCTGTTCCGACGGTAATGGTACATGTGTAAACGTCCAGCGGCCAAACGACCAGTTCAAGATATATCTTGCCCTTCCTTCTGGGTTTTGCTGTGTGGAGAGAGGTGTGGTATCCGAAGATTTGGGGGGCTTAGATGCATACAAGATGCCTTTTATCCTATACACTTCATCTTTTGTAGGGTCCTGCAGCAACGTCGCCAACTTCTCCGTGTCTACACTTGCTGCCAGGTCTTCACTCTTGAGCGTCAGACTAAGGACTTCCACCTCACTGGAGTGCGCATGATCATGTCCATCTGCTTCTTTGTTCTCCTCTGTCACACCCGCAAGTCTAGCATCTAGCCCAAACACGATATCTTTATCCACCCAGCCCTTGCTGCTCTTCGTGCGTGGTATCTGTGGCTCTACTTCTAGCGCTAAGATAGCATCCTCGACATCTTCCAGCCGCCGCTCACTGACCAGCTCGTGTTTATTCAGCACAATAAGATCCGTGTAGCGGGCCTGCATCTTAGCCGTGTAACTCGTGTCCTCGTAACCCTTCCAGTTCTCCACATCAATCACGCTCATGACACCGTCGAGGACGTATCTGCCTGTCTCGCGCGACAGCCGATTTACCTCCATGGCGAGGGTGGCGGGGAAGGCGGAGCCAGAGGTTTCAATGACGATGCGGTCGGGTGTTATATCATTTGCGAGTGTTTCGAGGGCGTCGGATAGTTGCCCGACAAGGTTACAGCATATGCAGCCATTGAGAAGTTCTTGGACGCCCGAGATCGCTGCCGAGGAGGCGAGGGCAGTGTCGACTTTTACGTCTCCGTACTCGTTTTTGAGGAGCGCGAGTTTGTAGGTTTTAGGGAGTTGGGGGATGAGGTTTAGAATGAGAGCTATATGATTTTTAGTTTCATGGCCTGTATTTCGTTGAATGCAGAGTGTTGGAGTGTCATACTGGTTTTTCCTGAGCCTAGGAAGCCTGTGATGATGGTGATGGGTATCATAGTGAAACAAGGCGATGACGAATGTACTGTATGATGTCGCTGCCTTGGATCAATTTACGCAAATCCCCCCAGTCGAAGCTAAGAAAAGCAATTCCCAAACTTTGGCAAGTGGCTATATTTCAGATCTCCCCCGCACGTGTTATTCAGCAGTTAGCTTCCCCTCCTCCAGAGCTTAGCTTCGCTTGTGCCGTTGGCGGGGCCATAAAATGACGTCGCTGCGCAGCTCTAGCCAGTGGGGTGGGGCATTGCTGCGGACCAACATCAGGTACAATGACCGGTACTGCGTAGCGTCTGTGAGCTTCACATCCTGGGCTTGCAACATGCGCCTATCAAGCCCTCTTAGCTTGCAGTACCAAGAGCGTGAAATCAGGAACTAGAGCCTGCTTTACCCGTTTGCGTTGTGCTACGACCGTGTCCAAGATCGGAAGTCGCGAGGGTCTTCTAGACTGCATAAATAGCTCTCTCTTCCTTCACTTCTTCTGTATTCTTCAACACAAACTCTCAACTACTACTACTACTACCACTACTACAGCGACAACTTCAATTACCTACCTACTTCATACCCAACACCACACATTCACCATGGACTTTGTCAACAAGCTCGCCGGCGGCAACAGCCAGAGCGCCAACGAACAAGTCGTCGGCGACCAGCAAAAGTCCCAACAATCCTCCGGCTCCGGTGGCTTCCTCGGTGGCCTCGGCGACAAGTTGAACTCTGCTGCTGGTGGCGGTCGTGAGAGCGAGAAGAACGAGGACTACGTTGACAAGGGTATGCTTCCTTCCCCCTCCAACCACAACATGTGGTCATGTAGGCTCGTAGCTAACATTTTCGTCATATAGGCGTCGACTATGTTCAGGAGAAGTTCATGGGCGCCGGCCCTCAAGACAACGAGTCTGCGCTCGAGCAAGCCAAGGACGAACAGATCAGCGATGCCATCCGCAAGCAGTACAAGAACGCTACTGGCTCAGATGTCCCCATTCAGGACAAATAGAGGAGCTGCGATATGAGCCAGCAGGACAGGGGATCCGTTGGTCATGCACACCAGTATGATAGCCATGACATAAAGTATTGATAATGCATCAAGCGATACTAGAACGAACACCATCATCTGTGTCCAACGTGATGTTGCTATTGCTTTTCGTGATAGATAATACCTATGATGTAGAGACACCTTCTATAATGAGCGATACAGAACCTATCATCCCCAAGTGGGAAGATACCTGCCTCCCATCTCGATATACGCCTCAACAATACAATACATACTGTGTTTCCCATGTCATATCACAACTGCGCGATGCCCTCTACAAGCTTATCAAGACTTGCTTCAGAGCCATCGGCCAGTAACCCTTTCATCATGCGCGATCTGATTATAGTTAGCGTCCAGTTCCCCAATCATCATATCAAGTTGAACTCACAAATTCCCCAACTTGCACACCTCCATACTCTCCTCCAGGTCCGCACTTTTGACTTCAGCCACATCAATAACCTTTTCAGGCACCCTCGCCAGCCGCGCCACATTGAGTCCATACGACCTGTGACTAATCCCCTCTGTAGCTTCGTACAAGAAGACAACCTCCTTACCGCCATTCTGCTCTTCAAATCGCATGTGCACATTCTTCAGTTCCCCGGCGGGGAAGCGAGTAGTGAGCTTGGCAAGGTGCTGGTAATGTGTGATGAACAGCGTCAAAGACTGCAAGTCACGAATGACATAGTCGAGGACTGCTTCGGCAATGGCGACACCATCAAAAGTAGAAGTGCCGCGACCGAGCTCGTCGAGAATGATAAGGGAACGTGGGGTAGCGGATTTGAGGATATCAGATGTTTCGTTGAGCTCGACCATGAAGGTCGATTCGCCTTTGAGCATGTTGTCGAATGCGCCCATGCGGGTGAAGACTGCATCTAGCATGCCGAGCCGTGCGTTCGTGGCGGGGACGTAGGAGCCTATTTGCCCCATGATGGCGATGAGAGCTGCGGAGCGTACGTAGGAGGATTTCCCGCCCATGTTGGGGCCTGTTATGAGCAAGGCCCGGGTTGAGTCGTGAGACAATGATAGGTCGTTTGGGACGTAGTTGTTGAGGAGTAGCTGTTCAACCATGGGGTGACGGCCACCGGTTATGTTGAGCTCGATGTCATCGGTGAAGGTTGGCTTCACGTATCCGGGCTGGTTTGCCAGAGCAGCGAGGGAAAGAAGCGCATCCAGTGTTGCCAAGGAAGATACACAGTCCCGAAGTTGCTGGTACTTGGATGAAATGTCTTCTAAGAGATCCTTGTAGGCTTTGTCACATGCTGCTGCAAGCGACTCTTTGTACTGATCTCGCTCTTGGAGCATGCGCTTGACCTCAGGAGTATGAAAACGGAGGGTTGTCTTGGTGGCAGAAATCTGTTGCCAGGATGCAGGCACCTTCTTCTCCTCTGGTGCCTTTCTCTTGACTTCGATCAGATATTCGATGCCTGCAACGGTGACATAATCCACTTTGCTCTTTCCGAGCTTTGCAGCCGCGTCTTTACGGTGCGTGTTGAGGTCGTCTTCCACAGAAGCGATGCTGAGCTTGAAATCGTTGATATCCTCCGCTTCGTGCTCCTCTCGGAAGAAGGAGTATTTGTCATCGTCCTTTGCAGCACGCGCATTGATCTTTTCAAGAAAGCTGTTGAGATCATCGTAGATTTTCGGCACATTCGACACAGATTCGCTCAGCAATGTGGAAGTAAATCCGCTCTCCTCCGGAGTCTTGACCGACAAGTATTCACCTGATATCTCCTGCAGTGTTTGCAGCGCGGCTAGCAACTCGGGCCGCGTACACTTCTTGTAATATATGCGGATGAGCACCTTCTCAAGGTCTGTCTTGATCTTACCGAGCATAAACTTCAACTTGTCCACAGGAATGGTGTTCTCGCCTTCTTTCAGTTCCTCGACAGCTGCTATGCGCTCTTCTAGCTTAGACTTGTCAATCAACGGTCGACCAACCCACTTCCTTAGCAATCGCTGACCAAAGCGTGTCTTGGTCCGGTTCATGGTCCAAAATAGACTGCCTTTGGAAGTAAAGTCGGTCTGATTCTGGTAGATTTCGAGACTGGATAGTGTGTTGCCGTTGAGTAGCATGTACGACCGGGCGCTGAAAGGCTGAAAGTACTTTGTGAGATCAAAGACGTGCTCAAGTCCGTACTCGCTGAGGTATGTGATCATGGCTGACAGGCAAATCGTCACATGTTCCGACAGCTGGTGTACCTTGTCCAGAATGGCGCCCTGCTTGTCACTATCGTTCTCCTGACTAGACTTCATTTTCCCAGCGTAAAAGTTTGAGATGTGGCTGTATGCTTGTGCGGCCATCGTCTTCGGCTTCTCAACTCTCTCCACCCGGGACCTGTCTCCAAAGACGTTCGTCTTACTGGCGGACAGATGTTGTATTAGCTTATCGGTTGCCTTGGATAGATCGCCGACCACCAAAAACTCAGCTGGGGCAATGTGGAGTAGGCGTGTCTCGATCTCGCTGCGCAAGAAACCATCTTCAAAGTCATCGTAAATGATGTCGCCAGTTGCCGGCTGAACAGCTATCAGACCGACTTGGACCTTCTCGTCTGTACCCCATCCTTTTGCATTACTTTCGGTGATGCAGAGGAGGTATCCAGTCGACTGTGCCCCAGCGCCTGACCCAGCAGTAGGCGTCTCCAAACCCTCTATGTCGTCAACATATGTGCCCTTGGTATACAGGTTGGTGAGCTTGCGCACGAAAGGCGTGTTCCTGTTGGTCCCTGCAGCCTTGAGTGCTGCCGTCTCAACTTGGCGCACGACTCCGACCTTGTGATTGGCTTGTATGAGGCGTTTGACGTGAACTTGTAGACGATGTGTGGGGAAGCTGGCGGATGCGAATCTATCGAGGTGGGCTTCGGAGGGATGCTCGTCGTATCTAAACTTGCCGGGTATGCATACGATCCCCAGTTCTTTTGACGCGGTTCTTGCATCCTCGCCAAAGAACTTGTACTTGTATCCGACCTCCACGATGACAACCGTGTCCAAATGCTTGCGCTTGATGTCAAGGTACTGAATCTCCATAGGCGTCAATTTGTTCGCCTTCTTTGTCGCGGCGCCCTTCTTCCCTCTGGCAGGCTTTGCGGGAGGCTCTTCTTCCTCGTCTTCCTCGCCTTCTGCTTCTTCGCCATTGGCATTGTCCTCGGCTATTATCTTGTTTCTTCTTCTGAGCTCTGCGAAGCTGTCTGGTCGTCCCAATTTCTTCACAAACTTCTCGTGGAGTCTCTCCCTCTGCTTTTGTGAAGCCGCGGCGTCTTCGTCGTCTTCCTGCTGGTTCTCGTCTCGGACCATTGGCGATGATGAGAACAAGAACTTGGATGTCCTTTCGGTGATCTTTGGCGGCTTTGCAGCATTCAGGCTGGTGGCAGAAGTTTGTCCAAGCGACTGTCGAGGAGAGTCGTCGCCCTTCGCGACACGCACGCGCTTTGGCGGCGATGAACGTCCGGAATCTTCGTCTTGCACATTCTCCTCAATGGCGCGCTTTCGAAATGATGGTGCTGGCCGTACGGGGAGGCTGTCTTGTTCTGAATCGTCGTCATTTTCTTCTTCCCGTGTCGTTGCGGCTGGAGAGGGTGCTTTAGCAGCGGGGGCAGGGGCGGGACTAGGCTTTGGTGCCTGCGACGGTTTTGTGAAGAAGCTGGAAATCGTCTGCTGAATTCCCTTTTGGGACGACTTGGGCTGCGCCGACTGACTATTCTTCGGCGCCATTGGAGCGGGGTGACGAGTGGTCGATGTGTATGTGGAGAAGCTGAAGACGCGCCGAAGTACGCGCTTCACGCTGTCACGTTTCTGCCCTCTAACTAGTTACGCTTTTCTGGGGAAGCTCGGCTGCCAAGTCAAACACCAACACGAACACCAACTCACAACGACAGAGATCATTCATGGAACCTTTTTTCACAGACAGCTGCTGGCATCTATGGTAGCTATCTCGAAACTTTACTACTCAGCCAAGCGCGGATTTCCGCATACAGTGGTCAGATCTCGACCCTTCGCAATCAGAAATTTCTCAGTACCACAGCCGTCCCATGACCTATAGCGAAAGATACATGGAACTTCATATATATTGTAATGAGCAATGTCGTTGTGTGTTGTTGAACACCCCACGTGTTCACATGGCTTCAACTTGCAAGCCGTCTAAACTTTAATTTTTAATTCCAGCACAATGTCGCTACCAAAACTCTCTCTCATCATGCTTTGCTACTCAGGTTCGGTGGAGGCGTTCAATCTTGGACCAGGGTCGAGTTGTAAGTTAGCTGTAATCGTTTTGCTACTCGACTCAGTCTGCAGGCTTGTTAACGGCGGGCTGATACAAGTTCAGTATGTAGATATAACTGGTTAAAAAGTAAAATACCGCACTGCGCGCTGTTCCTTTCGCTTATTCTTCACGTAATTGAGAAAAGAGTGACATTTTTCCTCAGCGCACAGGTCGCGGCATCTAGAAGAATGTCACTATTTTCCCGACGAAGGCGTGCTAACTATCCCCCATCGACATCGGCCCGCATTCTCTTATCTTGACCACGACAAACTTCCCTAATCCAGCGTACGTAAGCACTCATGCAGTAACTAACTCACCACACGGACCGCCATGATGCATTTTTTTCTTACCCAAACGCAATCCTAGCCTCTACCGTCGTAGCCTCCCCATCTGTCCAGTCGCTACTAGTCTCGCCGTGCGGGGAAATTCATGGTACTATCGTTGGTTGCTTATGAAAGCGGTGACCGACTACTCAGCGGAGGGTCCGTACATAAATAGTATCAGTGACGAGCTCATTGTCTTCGCTACGTTGCTGGGTTGCTGACCTTATTCTTCCTTCATCTTTTCGAGAACGTTGCGCTGCGGACACCATGGCGCGTGGATCCCTAACCAAATGCGTGGTGGGTCTTTTGACGCTGCAGAGTGCTTTAGGTAGCCCGGTAGCCGGTAACAAGCCTCCTGTTCTTGCAGAAGGGAAGCTAGGTGCAGTGGCATCGGGGAATGAAATCTGCAGTCACATTGGTACCGATCTGCTGAAAATTGGTGGCAATGCTGCAGATGCCATGGTGGGTACTGTAGTATGCATGGGGGTTATCGGCATGTACCATTCTGGTAAGTTGAATTGCTGCAAATTATCAGATATTGTGTATTGATCTTTCACTTACAGGTATCGGTGGGGGTGGCTTTATGCTTGTCCGAGCACCGAACGGCACATATGAGTTTATTGACTTCCGTGAAACGGCCCCAGCCGCTGCTTACGAGGACATGTTCAAGAACAACGTAAATGCCAGTATCACTGGCGGTCTTGCATCTGGCGTCCCAGGCGAGCTCCGCGGCCTTCAGTACCTCCACGAGCACTACGGTGCCCTACCTTGGGCCAAGGTTCTTGCTCCGGCTGTCAAAGTCGCCAGGGATGGTTGGAAGGTCAATGAAGACTTGGTCAGGTACATGGCTTCTGCGACCGCCACAGCCGGATCCAACTTCTTGGTCGATGACAAGCAATTCGCCATCGATTTCGCACCCAACGGTCAGCTTTTGAAGCTCGGCGAGACCATTACGCGCAAGCGCTTTGCCGACACGCTCGAAACCGTGGCCAATAAAGGCCCTGATGCGTTCTACAAGGGGCCCATAGCAGAAGCTACCATCCGCGCGCTTCAGGCATCAAATGGCACCATGACACTCCAAGACTTGGCCGACTACAAAGTCGCGATTCGCAAACCTTCAACCATCAACTACCGTAACTACAAACTCACAGCTTGTGGTGCTCCATCTGGTGGCGATGTCGCTCTTTCAACCCTGAAATTCATGGAAGGCTACTCCAATGTTGGCGACCCATCCAATATCAACCTCACCACGCACCGCCTTGACGAAAGCATGAAGTTTGCCTACGCCTTGCGCGCCGAGCTCGGCGACCCTTTCTTCGTAAAAGGCATGGACAAGTACCAAGAGCAGATACACTCGGAAGCCACAGCCAAGGAGATCCGTAGCAAAATCTACGACAACAAGACCTTTGAAGTATCCTACTACAACCCCCTTGGTCTCGAGTCCCTTGAGACACCAGGAACCGCTCATGTCGTCAGCGCCGATGCAAGTGGAATGGCCATCACTCTCACCACAACTGTCAACCTCCTCTTCGGCAGCAGGTTCGTGGTACCCGAAACGGGTGTGATTATGAACTGCCAGATGAACGACTTCAGTATCCCTGGTCAGTCAAACTCGTTTGGTTTCATTCCCAGCGCTGCGAACTTCATCCGCCCAGGAAAGCGACCTTTGTCTTCAATTTCGCCTGTCATTGTTGAACACCTGAACTCTACCCTTGCAGACGCGTTTTACGTGGCCATCGGTGCAGCAGGTGGTTCGCGCATCATTACCGCTACTGTTCAGAACTTGATCAACATTCTGGATGGCAACATGACGACCGCGGAGGCGCTCGCCGCACCCAGGATGCACGATCAGCTGGTGCCTGCCCAGGTAAGTTTCGAGTATGGCTTTGACAATGGCACGACTGCGTTCTTGAAGAACTTGGGTGCCAATGTGACGTGGAGTGCTCCCACCGGCAGCAGTGCACAGGGGCTAAGGAGATTGGCGAATGGAACATTTGAGGCTGCGGGAGAACCTAGGCAGAAGAACAGTGGAGGTGTTGCCGTTTAGAGTAGAACATGAATGCGGTAGACCACCATGGTAGCCTGGCAAGCCCCTATAGACCATTCCCAAACACATATCATGACCTCCGCTCTTCCCGATAAGCGTCACCAAACAGTATTATATGTACTTCAACCGTACACGAAGACTCTCAATTTAGTATATGATTGAACTTTTTACATACATAGAGCTTGATCTACAAAGCTAGGCTCATTTGACTATAATGCATGCCCCCGATCAAAATCGCTATCCTAAAGGAAATGGCATTCCCATCTCCGCACATCTTATTAGAAAAAGAATCGAATTGAACGCCCCAAATTGTACAGTGCAAGTCAAAGGAGATGGTGATGGGGTGGTTGTTTACCTATGGCAAGTCCGAATTCTGGCTTCATCCACAATCTTGACAAAGTCATTGTAAAGGTGCCCAGTCCTGACACTGTCATTGTGCCCCGCCTGTGTCTTGCTATTATTGTAACGACGTGGTAGCGGATACAGCTGAACACACATTACTCTTCCGTGTAGGATCTGCATCTAGCTGCTAGACGCTCATGAAGTTTGGAGAAAGGCAGCCTAGTCTACACATAAGTTAGAGTGTGATAAATGAAATCTATGACAGGAGGTGTGTACCAGACTGCAGTCGAGATACTAAAAGCGAGTGCGGTGGCTGGGCTTTGCGGGTGCAATTGGTGGAGCAACAGTACCGTCTTCGATCTGTTTCGCACTGTGACGGAAAGCCAAGGTCAGCAAGCACGACAAGGTGACGAGAAGTGTGGTTTATTACGTTTTGCTAGCAGGTGTGCAAATGTAGAGAAATGGTAAATAACAAAGGCTCTCAAGAAGGGGTATGAACACTAGAGCAGTGGGATGCCACGCCGACTGGCAACGTGCGTCGCAACCTTGCTACGCCGACAAGACCTAACAAGTAATCATTTGCGCTGACGTTTGTTTACTGCATTGTGAGGCTGGCCTTTTCGTTTCTTGTGGGAGGGAATTTGGGAGGGAGCGCTGGTAGCAGATAATACATACCCATTAACATCCTTATCTAACTGCATGTACTCCTCAGCTGCATCCTTGCCTCCACGGTCGAGTAGGTATGACATGTAGTAGTGCGATAGTCCTTTCGAGACGTCAGAAGAGAAGCGGCCTGTGGTGCGCATAAGCTCGTGAACTGCCTTTATCCGGGCATGAGCCTCGTCCTGGTTGGGTGAAGATTGTGCCACTTCGAACTCGAGGTACTTGACCCAAAACTCTCGTGAGTCCGGGAACTGCTCGTACTTGTTCTGGAACACTTGACGCGCTTCATCGACACTGCCCTTGCATTGCCAGAGTATCCGCGCCTGTTCTGCAGCTAGGATACCACCGATCTGGTTGTTGGAACGTTTGATGTACTCCTCCAGCAGGTGAATAGCAGCGTCATTGCCCTCGTGGCGTCGCTCCAAGCCTGCCAAAGCAATGAGAGTCTCGGTATGTTCGGGAGCCTCTTCGAGCATGGCCAGGTAGATATCGCGAGCGACAGTGATACGACCGATCTTCTCTTCGAAACGGGCCCAGTTTAGGCGTATGGTAGGCGCTGAAATAGGTACGAATATGCAGCTAGCCCTCATGTAGATGATCCTCGTGTTTTCTTCCTTGCCCTGCGAGAACATCCAGCGGGCATATCGCAGCCAGAACTCATCGTACAGCGCACACGCAACCAAACAGCGCTCGTACAAGAAAGAGATGCGCTCGAAGCCACCCTGCTTCTCCTCGTACTCCAAGTACTTGCGCCAGTTCTCGAGTTCGGCATCTTCGAGATCGGTGACGTGGAAGTAGGCCCTCTTGATGGCTGTTTCGAAAGTCCAGCGATTCGTCGTATCCGCCGAGGTCTTTCCGTAGACTTCATACCAGTATTCATGGATCTTGACGCGCAACTGTCGTTCGATTTCTAGCGCCGGCTTCTCAGGTTGTCCTTGGTTCTCCAGCTGAACTGCGCTCTTAAACGTCTCAAGCATATCAGAATCGACTAGTTCTTCGACTGGCCGGTCGGCAAGTAGTAGGCAATACTTCTCATAGTATCGAGAAGACTGGTAGATGGGCATATGCATAATTCGGCAGTAGAGCTTGGTGACGTTCGCTGGCTCTTGGATGCGATCCTCAAATTCAATGTACTTGTCCCAGAACGGGTGGCTCTGGTAGTCAAGACCGACAAAGTGGGCACCACGCTCAAACAATCTGTTGGGTCAGCATGACAGGTCTACATATAGGGGAGGGAGGGGAGGGGGTGCTGTTGTAAAGTAACCTAGTGTGCCAACAACAAGGCAATATGACCATGGACTTCGGACTAGTAGCGCATCATGCTGCTCATTCGCAGGGTAAATAGTGACGGGGCAATTAGGAGGCGCATCAAACTGTATGCAGCGAGACAAGGTCATTTGTAAAGATGAAGCGCCAGAATGCGCGGGACTCGCCGCTGGCTACGGCAAGATTGAGCCTCCAAATCGGGAGGGGAAGGGGAGGAAAGGCAAGACTTACTCTCGAATAATATCGTTATCATGCGACGTGTCCATCTTGAAGGTGCAATAGTTTGCCCACAAGTCCACTGAGGTTGTGACGCAAGAGACACCGCGCTCGTACACCATCTCGGCAGTCTCGGTACCGCCAATAGAGAACTCGAGGTCGGCATATTTCTTCCAGTAGCCAAAGAACAGTGGGAACTTTGTGAGGAAGCAGTCGTAGACATTGCGCACAAGTTCAATGGCACCAGGGCTGGAGTTCCGAGTGACGCCGCCCTCAAGATCGGAGGCGCGCGTAACAAGGGCTTCCCATCGCTCAAAGTCGTCCTCGTTCTCGATCTGAATGCACGTCGGCGTCAGTGTGAAAGCGTGAGGAAGGAGCGGATAGTACTTACAACTGCACCTAAGAGCTTGTTGATCTCACCCGCAGCCTCTTCGCCCGTGTAGTGGATCTGGGCAATGGCACCGCGCCCCGTGTGCAACATGTTTGCGCGAATTGGATCTGTATGAGAGAATGTGTGTAGTTGTCGAAGGAAAGTGTGCGACAAAGGGGAAATAGTGGGCTGAGGTGGTGAGAGCTTTGCGACTCTCGTGGAAGCTGCGCTGGAGTTCGCGTTGGAGAGATCCACTTTGGTCAGCAGTAGCGTGCCAAGGCGAACGGCTGCCTAGCACGTGCGTTGTCCTTCACCGTTGTCCGCGTTTACTTTTGCATGCTACTGCTCTAGGCCAAATATGTGCTATCATGTACACACGCGTTTGTATCACCCAAATTTATCAAAATTTATAGTGGATCATCAAGAGAAGCATACATACGCATGTTCGCGGTGATGCCACTGCTCCCGAGAGATCTGTTGGATGCACTTGCAACGTGAAGACACAAAGGTACATTCACATCGATCCCATTGGCCATGTTTGAGTGTGAAGACCTATTACCATGTTTCTAATCATTGCTACTTATTGAAGAGGCATGCAGGCCGCTAAAGGTATCGCTTCAACAATGTTAGGCTACAAAATCCCTCCCACGAGCGAAAGAATACCATACCCTAGACTCCAAGACCCTAATGAATCGATTTCTGTAACACTCAAACAGCACTTTCTTCTTTCAGAAAAGGTGCCGTATCGCTGGTTGCAAACGAGAATGGACTCTTGCCCACTTCAGGGCTCCTCGGGCTGATAGGCAGCGCAAATAGCCCGTCGTCCTTGTCGTCCTCGTCCACAGGGGCTGATGGACCACGGGACTGGAAGATAGGGGCTGGACCAGAAAGTGCGTTCAGGGAGCCCATCAGACTAGAGCCTTGCTGTTCCGTGATGAATTGCGGGGGCGCTTGAGCGGCGACTTTCCGCGGGGCTACTGCTGGCTGAGACTGTGGCGGCTGCGGCGGTTTCGCTGCAAGTGCAGATGGATTCGCGCCTTTGAATACGGAAAATGAACTAATAGCAATGTCGGAGGATTCGGGTGAGAGAGGATTGGAGAAGCCTGGCGTGCTGCTGTTGGGGCTAAGGTCCTTCTCGCTCGTGCCCAACCGCAGTCCAGCCAGCTTGTCCATGAGCCTCCCCCCGCCTGGTGATCGCGGGCTAGACGGAGCTTTCATTGGTGCTAATGTCGGCTCTCCCAGCGAGATACTGAGACCGGCTGGTTTGGCATTGACACCAAAGGTAGACTCAATCCATTCCTTCTCTTGCACTACCATGAGCAGGCCAACGCCCTCAACATTGTTTCTTGACTCTGCTTCAATCTCCTTCTGCAGCACCTGTAGCCTCTTCTTTGCCCAGATGGTGTGCAGAACACCCTTCTTTCCGGCTGCGCGTGCTGATGCGCCAAGTTCAGGGGGAAACAGGGCCGGCAGGGGATTTGTATGCCATACTACGGGAGCTTTGCTAGCGTCTTGCGGTCGTAGCGTGAGTGTGACGCTTGTCGGTACCGCAACACCCGGAGGCAGAAGAAAATACATGCGATTCACATCATTGGCGGGCTGATCGTTGGCGGGCAAGACGCGTGTGCTGCCTTCCCATGATATATGCCAGTCTCCCCGCACGCCTCGGGTTGTGTCATCATCCTCCCACTCGACCATCAAGATCTTGGTGCCTGTTGTGGCATTCGCATGGCCGGCCTCGTATTCGTAGCGGGCGAGTGCATTCGTGCTGGAAATGCTCGGCGACTCAACTTCATCCGTGGCAGGCTGCAGCGTGTGTGTGTTGACCGACGTAAACGGAGCCGTGGCTGGGGGCGCCATCAGAAAGGTGGAGTTCGAGGGTCGAAAGCGCGATACTGGCGGGACGGTACGTCTATACTGAGGGGTGGGGGCGGAAATCCGGTCTAAGAGTTAATAACGGCGACGGCAAAATGATAGTCATTTACGGCCCGTAACTATGCGACGGCGTGAGACGCGACGCTTTGGACACGCGGCTAGGCACGCACCGGGAACCTTCTTCTGACTTTGACAACAGACAACCGTCTCGACGTGTCTGGCCCACCGTCAGTATACTGCTACGCGTCCAGATGCAGCCTCGCTGTCAGTCTGATGTTGCTCGCTATATTTAGCCAGACTGTTCTCTCACTCTGGCAACTGCGAGGGGCGAACCTGTGTTGCGCCACATCCCATGTCGCTCAGCCGGCCTCCAATCCAATCACATCACATTTTGCATATGCACAAGTGAGGCGTTGTTCATGTTGAGCGTATCGCTCGTTTCACCTTCTATTCGTCTGTATCGATGGAGCTCCTACTTGAGCCCCATCCTACCGTACTGTACATGTGGGCGCCTGGGTGCTGCGCTAGCTTCCCATGCCATGTGTGGCCCCTTGCCCAGTCTGACAGCCGTGATATCGTCAGCCCTAAAGCCACTCCCAACTCCATCCAATCGATGCTGCTGCGCCGTTTGAATGCTTCCTTGCGCCTGGAGCGCCAATAGTATCCAAATTACAAAAGGGGGGTATCGTTGTGAAGAAAATATATGCAAAGAAACAAGCAAATGCTTTTGGCCCGACACCCAAGCCGTGAGCCCGACGAAAAGAGAATGTCACCTGCGAAGAGGGCACACAAGACCAGGATGCATACCAGCAGAAGAGCAGGGCTTTTTAGATGAGCAAAAAGTCCCAGTTCTTCTGTCGCATCATGTCCCGCCAGTGGACACTCTGTGTGTTACCCTTCGCGAGGTTGTCGTCGTTGACTCGCCAAACTTCCTCAAGGAGGTTCTTGACTCTGCCGTAAGATCCAAAGTTGGCACCCTCACCCAACAGAGCGGAGCGTTCTGCAAACATCTTGCGGAATCCTGACTGTGGCACCGAGATTGAGCCGGCGACCAAGAGGGGCCATACCAAAGAGCGGTCGAATCCATCGGGTCCAGCAGGAATATACTCCATAGCCTTGCAAAGTGCGCTCACTAGGTTGACAAATGTGGGCGAGGTGCGGTCAAAGTCTGGTACTAGACTGCAGAGGTAGATGCGCGCGGCTAGGCGGTATACTGCCGTCATGTTTCGGCGGAGCTGCCTGGGGAGAATTTCACCCGTCGATGTGTAGGCAGTGTTGAGCGATCCCTGAGGAGGCTCAGTCAAGCTGATTTGCTCGCCGAGGAGCTTGATGTGCGCGCAAAGCTGCACAACGTCCATGTTCTCGTTCTTGAGCGCCTCGAGACAGGCGATCTCCGAGATCAGGTACATGATGCGATCTTCACAACCCATGAGTTCGGCAAGGCCAGAAGACGCGTCAGCGATGAGCTTCTCGCGGTAAGTGTCAGCGAATGAAGGTGTCCTTCCGAGCATGGTGGCGCCTAGGATGTCGATCCAAGAAGCCAGAGTCATGTTGAAGGGAGGCTGAGCGTTGGCTTGTCCATTCATTGCCACCATCTGTGCAGGAAGTTCGAGCCTGTGAACAAGGTTCTGAACTGCCTCGAAATGGCCGTGCCACGGAATATCCATAAGACCGTCATTGAACCTACCAACAGAGCATTGGAAGAAGATCATTCCGAGCGCTGCCTCGAGAGTCTGGCCGTGCTGACTGTCGCTGTAAAGGGCAGCAGTGAGCTGTTGGACAGTTTCACCGCGGTGTCGCTGGATGTCCTGGTCGATCTGCTCTCCTGTGAGGCCTTGTGTCGTCTTCATGTGTAGCGCTGAGATGCTCATGCAGCAGTGCAGGTATGCCTTGTTGGATTCCAATGCAGGGATGATGACATCGCGTTGGGCTGCGCCAGGCTGATTTGTCTCGAGGACTGGGAAGGCCGAAGGCATGATGTTATCCAAGAAATGACTGAGAAGGTGCCTGTCGCAATCGTCTACCTGGATCGAAGCTTGGTGCGACGGGCTAAAAGCACCGTAGGTGGTGTAACCAAAAATGGGGAATTCGAGAGGCTCCTCGGTGAAGGACTCGCGGCGACTCTCAAAGTAGTCTTGCTGAATCCAGTTGTCGGTGGGAAAGACGTTGTTGACGGCTGGAGGGGTTTGGTAGTGACTGTAGCTAGATATGGTTGAGTCTCGTCGAGTGGGAATGTCGTTGATGAACATCTGGCTTTCGGTCTTGATGTCGATGTCGTATGGGACGTAGTGTCCTGGATGCGCGAAACTGGGGGCGAACATTGGCGGCGGCATTGACGAGTTGTAGAAGTCGGGTGTCGCAGCGGGGTTGAAGTTGTAGTCCAGCGAGTTCTGCGAATCGACTGATGGTGCGCGAGTGCAGCTGACGCCGTCTGAGAAGGTGTCGGCGGTTTGCATTGAGTGGCAGAGACTTGGTGGGGTGTTTGTACCCATTGCGCCGCCTTGGGCCGTCTTCTCATTGAGCTTGGTGCGCTTGATGATGTTCTTGATGACTTCTTTTTGGTTCCGTCTTTGCTCATTGTTGCTCCACCACATTGGCCTCTTGTATTCGCACTTGAGGCCAAGGTGTTTGCAGGCGCGGCAAGAAGCTTTTCCTTCATCACACTTCTTTCGTCGTAGGCGGCATGTGAAGCATCCTGCAGAGGTGCGGTTAGCCAAAAATGTCCATGCGCAGGATCCTTGCATGCGCATCCAAAGGGCAGCCCTTACCTGTTCGTGAGCGGCGATGCATTTTAGATGCAGCTTGCTTTGCTGCATTGGCAGCGTTAGTAGTAGTCCCTACCATGGTTGAGGACTGTTTGGTAGTAGATGCGGGAGCGGACGAGGAGGACATGGACGCTTGATGTACCCAGAGCGGTGGTATATGAGGAGAGCCAGTAAACAAAGCGGCAATAACGACTAACGCGCGACGGGACGATTCGTAAGGGACAGGATGGCAGGGCTCGACCGGGCTGCTCGTAATTAAAGATGGGTATTCGAAGCTCGACCAGCGGGCTTGATGTGAAGGAAGGAGCGGAACCAAATTATGCGGTCTACCTGTTGCGTGGAGAGGTATTAGTGAGAGACATGTACCTTATATCTACCACGAAGGGATTAAAATGTTCACAAATACTTCTGAATCTATTCTTGGACCCGTGCTATCTGGCAGGGCAGCCGGCCAACGGGAGGGAGATGCGAACGCCATGCAGCACGTCGACACGGCATAGTGATTGGCTGGCATATTGCTGGCCTGCAGCTTGACGTCGACATTTGGGGTCATTCTGTGCACCCTGCTATTTTGGGGCTCACTTACCCGCCGCGCTAGAGCCAACTGCAGCGCCCAGCTTACCTATCTCCACGGCTATCGATCGGCTCAGTGGTCCCCGCAACAACCTTAGCAAGTTAATTCACCAGTTTGGGACTGGCAGCATGCTCCCATGAGACCTTTTGCTGACTGGGGCCGTGTGCCTTTTTCCCTAACCCCCTTGCAGACACCACTATCGAGCTTGGTTCCTAGAGGAGCTTAGGAAACACTTGCAGCGGCTGCGATAAGTGGCCGGGCCGGACGTTACTGGTGGCCTTGTGCAGATGCGTCGATCACCGACTGCAATATGCCAAGTCTGCAGACGATGGCATAGCATTGCATAGCATTTGCATGTCCCGTTGCCCGGTGGTGCAGAAGCGTGATTTCGGTACCAGGCCAGCTAGGTGCTCTCGTGTCAACAGGCGTGTAGCATGGCTAGGGGAGCAGACTGGGACGGCATCCGCCTATTCGTCTGTAGAAGCTTGGCCAGAACGTTGGGGCATTCAAAAACGGAGTCCTACAAGAGTCGCGGCGGCCCAATTCGTGTCCACGCAGTTGTGATCATTTCCACCGCAGGACTTGAGCAGCTAACTTAGCAGCTAACTTAGGCGAAGGAAAAAGGTAGACCGCAAGGTCGCCCCAACACGGCAGGTCTGTTGACGATGGTTTTCCGAGCTAGGCGAGCAGACGACTTGGAGTGGGTGAGCCTTCGTGTACCGCGGCCAGTGGGCGTAGCACGACATGTGCCATTCCTCCAGTCAGCGTGCGCGCCCACGCGAAGCCATCGCTTGTGCATGTCGTTGGAGTTGGATTTTGCAGGCCAAGCTTTTGTTAGCGGGCCGATTCGCCCAATGACAGCACAGATGCTGCTAGCCCGCATTGCGGGGCAAGCCACCGGCAGCGACAGCTCGGCTGGTGACAGGGGAAGAGGCTGGTGCTAAGTATAGGCCGTTAATTATCCTCCCACGCATGACCATAATTGCCCATAATTAGGGGCCTGCGACTTACCCTCTCACAACCCAAGCGAGGCCGCTTTGGGTGTGTGATACTGCATCAAGGCCGCCTCATTGGTTACCGACAATTGCTGTCAATACTTGCACGTCCACGAATCGCCCTTGAGTACCTGGGTACCTGGGTACCTTCTCGGTCGCAAAGACCATCGTGGCATCGCTCACCTGACAGCGCGCATTCATTGCTCATTAGGATACCCGCATCCTGCTGGAATCTGTCCAGCCTGGCATAGATCCAGCAGTGGTATGTGCTCGTTGCCAGTTCCCGCTGCATCCCGCTGTGTAGCTGCTCCATTACCATTACTAGACATGGATAATGAGAATTAGATTGTCATCGCGAACTGCGCTCCTCAACATCTTGGCTTGCTCGCACATCGGGCACACGTCGGGCTAGCGGTTGACTTGACAAATTTCTGCGCAGAACTTTCCACCGAGCCTGCGTTGTGACTCCGGCTTGTGCTGTAATTCAGGTGGGACAGCAGCCGTTCCGCTGGTATCCCCCAACGCATCCAGCATAGCACCAAAGGTGGAACTTCTCTTGCTGCTTGGCGTCGTGTTTCGACCTGTGCTTGGGATCATGCTTGCACCAACTTGCACGACTTGCGGTCTGGTAGTCTGGTCGCTGGAAGCCATGTCACCAACCTGATTCGTCTATCCAAACCACGCTCCGACGAGGCTGTCGTGGTAGCGGAGCACAAGAGGCGAAAAAGGTGCGGCCGCCCGCAGAGCTTTGCAGTCACGGGCTCGCTGTGTGCGAGCCATCTGCGCCACT